CTTGCATGCACCACGTTCGGGGTGACTTCAGCTTCAAGTCTTGGCTTCGGAGCCTGTAGGCTATGAAGATTTGTTCATATGCTTGTCATAAATAAAACATTGGCATGTGAGCAGATCCGCACTCGGCGGAGTGCTGCGGTCCCGCTAAGCAAATCGTCGTTCCTGCAGGGTGAACGGTGTGGACGACTCACTACAAGCGCCATTTAGCATGTCATGCTCGTAAATAACGACAATTTTCCTGCTGCTGACGCGCTACTCGATGAAAACATTCAACAAGGTCGCCGGGAGTGGTGATGCAGTGATAGTACAAATGTCTTCTGGCGCTAAACTGGCACTAGGAACATATAAGCGGCGTCGACTCACCCGCTAGACGCGATCTGAGTACGCGCGCGCCTGTCGCGCGCCAAACTCCGTTGGTCGTGCTCGAGTGCCGCACAGGTATTTGCGATCTTGTTCGCAGCAGCGGTCTTCTCATGAAGCCAAGGACGCGAAGGACGCGAACCATAACTTTAGTTCACCACCAGAAATCTGCATCGAACGGTGGATCGGAACAGGGGTCCCGCGCGCGACAGCCCGACAGACACCCAACACGCCCAACTATCAGCCGTCCACCGTGGTTCAACCGTTCGCTCCCTCGGTCGCGTTCTCGCCGCACGCATCTGTGTCCGGCCGCACAGCGCGCCCGTGGAAGCCCGAGATACATGCAGGCGACCACGCGCGAGAGCGGTCTACTGCACGATACTGCTGATTCCGGGAGTGCGTGTCTGACACGGACAGGCGGTGGCACACTGGCACCCACACAGGAACGCCCGGTACGCCCGCGCCCATCTCCCGTCCTGCGCTCCCACAGCCCGAGTTCACATCTCATCGTGATAGCGCGGCGGCCGCGACGGACACATTTGCAGGACGAGTCACCTCCATCCCGCGGGCGCGCGATGGCGAGCGGCGGAATCACGAACGGGGGCGGTCTGCGGCGCGCCCGAAGCGCCTCCGGACGCGGGACGCCATCTTCTGCATCATCCGGGGCGGCGGCAGGGCGACAGTTGAGGAGGAGCGAAGAAGGGGAGCCCCAGTCACCAGTCGCGGTCCTTGGCAGATGCATCGCGCGGACGATGCCAGGACATTTGGCATTGACATACACGGCACACATGTCCTGCAAGGGTGGCACGCCCACGGCCCCGTGCGCGCGAGCGTGATAGACTGTGATCAGCCATAGCCTAAATAGGGACGTGATGCATACACGGCGTGGCGTCATAGGCGTATGGCGTGCTCGCGAAGGGCCTACACGGAGCAGGACCTGGAGAGCTTCTGCCGGTGCACAGGGATGCTGAGGCTTGCATTGCGCTGCTTGCGGTTGCGCCGCGGAGGGCAGGGGAGGGCGCAGAGCATGGCCCGGCAGGGCAATGGGTACACTGGGAAGCTCGGCGCAAATAGACGGCGATCGCATGGAAAGAGTGGCGAACGTCGGCGGGAGCAATAGTGACATTGCATAGAGAGCGGAGGAGCGCGGTGCCGATCGTCGTGTAACTTCCGGGATATGAATGCGACTTGAATGCTACACCGCCAAGTGCCAGATATATCCCTGCTATGTGGCGGCATCAAGCGTTAATCAGCCGGTCTCATACCCGGATGACATACTTCATTTACCTACGCGCTAGCTAGAATTCCAGTCTGAGCTTTCCAGCCAACCTCAGCTGCGAGATATGTGGCCGCCAGGTATCAATGGCACCCTCCTCTCAGAGATGGGCGTTTGGTACGCGCTTCCTCGTCTCACTGACATCAGCCTCTCTGGCTGTTTCCGAGAACATAGAGGCGGAGCCCCAACCTGCTGACTCAAGTATCGCGACGGGGCTGCCCCCCATCGCCACGTCCTCCTCTTCCTCTTCCATCATGTTCGCGCCTTCCGCGCCCCCCTCCCTCTTCGCCCCGTCCTCTTCACATCCCGAGCTGTTGCTCTGCGACTTCTGTCGTATCGCTTGGTGCGGGGATCCTACGTAGCACATATGTTCGACTCCCGAGCTGTTCGCTCCGCGGCTCGCTGCCGTGTCGTTATTCGGGGAATGTGCCATTAAGCACTTATCGTCCACTGCCCCTCTCCCTGGACTATGTGAACGTTTGCGGCGAGGCCGTCTGGCATCTGTGGCGCGCTTTTGCAAGCAGTTTAGTAGCTCCTGGGCATCGGCGCCCATTTAGTAGCTCGTATCGTTGTAGTCACTCTGCTCGCATGTATTATATACCGAATCAATCACCTTCTTGTGGGTTTATCATGTACATTCCGTGTCTACGTGCACCTGCTTCCAAGGCCGATCTGAGCTGCAAAATACGTGATATATAGGTTCAGCAACTCATGGACGCTCGGGCGAGTTTTTGCTGACATCGTGCTGCACCAACATGTAGTGACCGGCTACGACTGACTCCAGCACGCATTTGACAGGTGACGACGGCCCGTAACTGGACCCACGACAGATCTATTTCCGGTAATTTTCTGGATTTTGACTGGCTACCAGGTAGTGGTCGGGTGCCGGCGCTCGGTGGGACACATGCCAAATCCAGGTTACATCTACATGCCAGAATCATGGCGGTGTAGAGGCCCACTTGCGGCGGCGAATCAGACCGGCTGGACAGCTGTATACCTGAAGAAGCACAGATGCTGTGTGCTTTAAGGATGGATGAATGCGGACGCAGTCGTCGTGATAACGGACGAGCAGTGCAGCGCACTGCGGAACGTGAATCAGGGAACTGTTCATATGGAGAGTAGGATGGCGAGGAGCAGGCGATAGGCTGAGAATAGACGTACGCGCTTCCGCTGTTCTAATCCGAATGTGCGTAGTGCTGAGCGTTTATAAGTGGATGAATGTATGGTAACCGTAGTAGACGATATGTCATCAAGGGAAGATGGTTGGCCGGGCGAGGGCGTCCCATTCAAGGCGGGACTGATACAGGGCGTGCTTCTGTGACCTAGGGTGGCGATTGACACTGTGAACGAACCAGACACACGGGAACAACGCAGGAGACAGATAGAGGGGTGCGGCGGACGAGCGCAGCCCGAGGGGATCACGTCTCGGAGCGTGCATTTCGAAGTCGACGTGAGTCATGCGGAAAAATGGGCGTGAGTCGGTCCGCTCGCAGGTCGGCAGGCGGTGATGGAGCAGCAGCGGGTGGGTCGCGGGCAGAGCGGGGATGCGCAGGGAAGTGTGAGGTATACAGCCGTGCGCAGCAGGGAGGAGGACATAGCCTGGGAGGAGCTGTACGAGTGGGAGAGGAGATCCGGGGGGAGGAGGAGGGCCGGTCACCGTGACTCCAGCGGGCGCTCTGTTTGGCGGTGTTTGCGTGTGGCTGTCGACGACTCGATATGGCGATTTGACTCTGCGCTCCTCCAGCTGACTCTCCCAACGCCCCTTATAACGCCTCCGCCCTATCTCTCCCGCCTCGACGACACATCTGTCGCCTGCTGCCCCCTGCTGCCTCCCCATCTCCAACACATCCCAAGCGCTTTAGAGCCCGTGCTGTTCTAGGCAACGAGCTCTCATCCCGGATCGTCCTTAGTCTCCGACTACGGACTTTCCGCCCTAACTCCAATCAACCGAAATGTGCTCTATGCGCCTCGTCGCCAGATACCCCGAACCGTCCCCCGTCTCCTCCTCCAAGGCCCGTCTCGCTTCGGATTCTAGTATCTTTATCACCCAGTCTTCCTCTCTGCTTGCCCATGCTACTTCTATCTGAATTTTAATCCTTCCGTCCCGTCTCTGGCTTATCACGCACCCCCACTCCGTCTGTGGTTCCGACAATGAACATCCATGCAGTTTCCCACTCGCTTCCCCATCGCGGTCCTGGCGCGTCACGCGCCAGGCCCCGCTGGCAACCCTATGCTTCTCAAGTTTCTCTTTCAGCAGTCCCAAAAGCCTCTCCCGCCGTCTATCTACACACGCCCGCCTCCTCTATAGCCTCCGCATCGCCAGCCTCAATTCATCTCCACCCTCTCTCGGATTCCGAACACCTCAAATTCCTCACCCAACACCTCCCGGCAGCCAATCCTCTGCGCGATGCGCAGAAGACAAAATACGCCGCGAAACTTGTCGGTGAGTCTATTTGCTAATTCGCGCCACTCGGCTTCTACTGCACGTACTACTTCCTTCTCCCCCACCTACTATATGCCCATTACGTACCGCCCCCGGCCGCTCGTGCTTGTACATGATGCTCGGGAGGCTCGGTGGGAGACCGCTCGTGGATTGCAATATCCTCGCAAAAGCGCCCGTTCGGTGACTCGCATGCTCATTTTGCGTGTGTTCCCAGATCAGGCTGTCAAATCTCTTTGCGATACCTGGCATCCCGACGACATCCCGATCGTCTTCACCGCATGCGGCCGCGAGTCACTGTGCGCGCAGCCCGAACCGCCGACGCCGACGCCCCTCTCTGAGCCGTCCCCCTCCCCCCCGCTGATGGCCGCCGGATTCTCGAAGCTCTTCGGCACCCGCAACACGCAGCTCCCGTCGCCCGTGTCTCCCACGACCCGACCGTCGCCATCTCCGCCCGCGGACGGGTGCGAGTCATACACTCAAGCGCCCGAAAGCTCCGGAGGCAGCAACCTTATTCCGATCAAGGGCTTCGTGCATGAGGTTCTTCGCCGGTCCCGGACCTCCACCGGCGTGCTCCAGACTGCGCTCTGTTACCTGGAAGCTGTCCGGGCGAAGGTACCGGAGCTGCTCCGCCAGGAGAAGGCCGACCCAACGTCGGATCGTCACGCGGAACCCGAAGCTGAGCCCCGGATCGTGCAAGGCGTCTTCGACGACGACTCGCGTGATGAGCTCGCAGACGGATCTTTCACTGACGCACCCGAGAAGACCGCCGGACCTACCTTGGACACCATTCGAGTGGACGACACCTACCTTGCGAACGACACCGGTGCAGACATTCCCCTTCCCTCGGTTCCTGCTGTAGCACGCAGCAAGGAACCGTCTCCCCCTCTAGCTCCCCTACCTCCGCTCCCATCTCCTCTCTGCTGTCCGCGCCGGACGTTCCTCGCCTGCCTGATCCTCGCGTCGAAGTTCATGCAAGATCGCTCCTACTCGAACCGGGCCTGGGCGAAGCTCGCTGGCCTTCCTCCGCGTGAGATCGGCAGGTGCGAACGCGCCGTCGGCGAAGCACTCGAATGGCGTCTTTGGGTCGGGAAGCTGCCTAGCACGGCGACGACCGGGTCTGAGTCGGGCAACAGTCGTGTCTTCTCGCGCACCAGGAGCGATGGCGACCTGCTCGCTGCCTCGACTCGTACTTGTAGCTCGGCCTCTACTGCGGCGTGGGCGGCTAGCGCGACTGCGGGCATGGACGCCCAGCGGTGGACACCTTCGCAGACCTTCGCTAGCATCCCCACTCCTCGCGCCACCCCAAGGACCACGCGGACCATCAGGCGCAGCGCGACAGTCCCCGCTATCGCGTCGGACGGGTTTGCTGCGCCTGCGGACCCCTTCCTCGCGCTCCGTGGCCGGTTGGATGATATTGCGGCGTGCTATGACGCACGGCCGGCACCTGGACAGGGCTACGACCCCACGTTCTCGATGGACGTGGAGCCCCAAGTCGAGGTGTCGCCGTCGCTGTCCACGCCGACGTTGTCTTACTCGCCGATGTCGACCGCGTCGTCTTCGTCTGATGGCTCCGAGGAGCGCACGATCCAGATGTCGATGTTCATCGACCTTCCGACTCCGGCGCTCTCCTACGCTTCTTCGGCCACCCCCTCTTCGTGTGGACCTTGGGTCGCCAGCTCGGCGATGTTCCCTCCTGCGGACCCGGCGAACCCGTACCGCGCGGCTAGCCACCTCAACTTCAATTTCTCCCAAACACACTATAATAATCACGTTCATTCCTCGTATGCTCTTGAATCTGGCATGGCGGAGAACGAGAATGCGGCGTTCAGCGCAACCGGGCGAGTCTTCGGCGTCTCAACGACTAAGACGACACCACCCCCGGCGACGATGACATCGACGACGCTCCCCTCGTTCGCGGAGGCTTTCCCCCTTTCTGAACAGTGTCCGGGCGTGCTCGGCTTTGGCTCTCGCTAACCTATTTGCGCTTCCTGTCCTCCTAGTCCCCTGCGGGGAAAGGGGGGAGAGGGGGACGCGCCCGATTTTGTGGCTCGGATCTCTTCACACCGCTCCCGGTTTTCTCTACTTCTGATCTCTTCCTCGGTACTCATATATGCTCGTGTATCATCTGTCCTGTTCATTGTCGTTTACCCACAACTCGCTGTTGGGCCCCCGCACTCGCGCGCGTCCGCGCCGTCCGAGCTCCGGCGTCCGCCCCCCCTAATCAACACGCAACGCCCGGGGCTCCTCAAACGCGACACGCTGCGACGCGGCGGCCCGTGATACTGTCAGTGATTTGCCGTCTCCCCTTACTTGTCTTTTTTGTGGCCCGCGTTTCCTTGCAGACACTTGTACTCACACCCCCGTGTACATAGATATGATGAGCTTCCCTACTATGCACCCCTGTATGCGCGCGTATACTCACTCACCGTGTCTCGTACCAGGTCTCCCGCCCCCGCCCCCGCGCGAGCGGCGGCGGCGCGCGTCGAGGACGAGGATCCGCAGTCGGGCGGCGAGGCGCGGACGGACGAGCTGGGATCTGGGGGGCTACGCTGTCGCTTGCGATGCCGGCCCCTGGTCCTGACGCTCTACGTGGCGCGTCCGCTGGCCGACGGGCCCGTCCATGGCACGATGGCCTGCTCCTGGTCGCGTCCCGCGTTCTCTGGATGCGGACGCGTTCCGGGGCGGCCCTCACGACGCGCGCGCGTGCACTGGGACTTGGAGACCTGTGTGGATCGGAATGGTGTCGATGAAGGACTCCCGTTGGAGGCGCGCCTTCATCAAGTCTTCGTGCGGCCGTGTGCTGAAGCTCGCGCGCGGCATGCGCGATGGCAAGACTCACCCTCATCTGTGTTGGTGTACATATGGGACCCCGTGGCTCGCGCGATCCGAGAGCGATAGCTCTGGCCAGGCGGCAACCGCGGACTTGGTCCCGAGCATGTTAGAAGCGCACTCGCACGAAGGCTCTGCTTGCGCGGATATGAAGGTTTTGTTGAGAACAGCGACGCGCGCGCGCAACACGCAACGTTCGGCGAAGGTACGTGTACTCGTCAGCTGTTGCGAAGTGTTAATTACTTTCATTGTCTCTGTATGTCCACCCCTGGGCCGCGGGCTTTGCACGAGTGGTTCTACTCCCACCGCTCAAACCGAGTGTTTCAGGGCGACATCACAAGGCGAGTCCCTCATCCGCATAACCGTATAACAGCATACACGACTGTCGAGGTCATAATAGGTTCTGATATCTTGGGCGTGCGTGGTTGAGTTCTATCTGCAACCACCAATCATCGTATCCTCAAAGAAGTGGAACCCGTCTTATCTGGCTTCTTGTTGACAGTACGTGGACTGACGCGGCCGTATCCTCTAGATTCATAGTCCCGTCATATTCGTCGCTGTGCCCATCCACGCTGCTCGGTGTCGTACATCTCACGCAGTCAGCCCCGCGACGCAGGTGAACGTCCCGGTGACGCAGCAGCGGATTGGCCGGGAGTCCATCGCGTCGAACGAAGTCGCTCTTCTCCTTCTGCTCTCCTTCTGCTCTCCCAAGGCAACTCAACCATCTGCTTCGCGGTCTCATCTCCGAGGACGTCTCTCCGCCGTCCCCGCCCTCTGACTCATCCCCCACGCACCGCCGGTGTATCCGGATTCTGGCCACCACGCCACTCCCGAGCGTCATGTGCCGCGGCAGTGCGCTCCGCCGCCGATGCGTCCACATCCACCCATGCGCCCCCACAACCACGCCTCGCCACGCGACCACGCCACTGGACCCCGCGCCCCTCCGTACGATCTCAGCGCGGCCTCCCCGGGATCTCGCTTCGTGTATCGCGAGCACCCCACGCGCCAGCGCCCCGCCGCCCGGGACGGAAACCCTAGGACCAGGTCGGAGTGCGCAAGCGCACCCGACGCGGGACAAGGCAAGCCGCTGCTGTAACGCGCACGCGATGGGGGACGACAGTACTTCCGATCGCGATCGATATCCGTACATCGAACGGCTGCATTGTCCCCACATCCTGGGTCTGCGACGGTTGGCTAGTACGCGTATGCTGTAACTGGTATCGATTGGAAGGCAGGAGGCTTCCATGCTCCGACGACGACTCACGCGTGGGCCGCTAGTTCTGGGCCTCGTTTGCCTCGCTGTATATGGGGCAGCATAGGAGGCAGTGCGATGCCCTTCTGCAGATGGGCGTATCGGATCTGGATGCAGTGATATAAGGTGCGCCTGCACGTCCTGGGATCCTGTTACAGCATGCATAGAATGCTGTGGCGATCGAGTCATCGTCGGGGCTCGTCTGTGCGCAACTCACGTACGCGAAACGTGCCTGTATATGTTCACGAGGTCAATGCTCAAGTTGGACAACGTGGATGCTATGGAAGGGCGATGACTTCAAGCTTAGAACACATGTGGTCTGCGATAGGTCAGAGTGCAATTCTGTCAGTTTGGAACCCAGACCTAGTATCGAAACTGACTACACGATCAACAGGCCTTTCTACCTGAATGCTGCCAGAGGTCGCCGTGTGTGTCGTAATGAGCCATCGATATGCCCCGGAAGCTGTTAAACGCACCAAGCCCGGACATACCGATCGCACCCCTCCTTTCAACAGTTGGCTGCGACAGTGCCCTCGCTGCGACGAGACTGGCCTGTCTATCTGTTGTGGGTGCCCGACTGGGGGCGACGAGCACACATAGTACTAGCAGTAGTTGAATGATTCAAATCCACACATTATTACAAGTTCCGAGAAATGAACGGCACTACGGCCTACTATACTAAAGTACACAGTCAGCGAACAGGGGTCCAATATCGCGAAGTCGCTTATGACGACTTGGCGGGGATGGCGAGAGCGCGTTCCATTTCTGCCTTTGTGTGCTCCCAAACGCGCGTCTTCGCATCGTTGTCGCCGTGGAAGCCTGTCCTGCCAATGTCGTCGCCCTTGCTGTTCCGGCGGGATAGGCCCGGACCGCTCTCGAGGAGGCCGTAAAGGATGTGCTCCGCGCAGTCCTCGGGCGAGTTGGAGATGGGGTAGAAGAGCGCGTTTGTCAGCGGGTTGAGCACGCGCAGGATGGGGTGGCTAGTCTGCAGGAGTGGCGTGCGCACGACGCCAGGGTGGATATGGACGAAGGAGATGCCTGGGTTCTGTTCCGCATAGGCCTGTCGCAAGGAGGAGTGAGCGGCGACGCAATACGCGAATAGGAGTTAGGACGCACCTCCATCGCCAAGTCTGTGTATGTGGGGGACGCCACGCCAGCTTTAGGGAACGAGTACGCCTTCTTGAGCCCCAGGTCGTCCAAGTCGACGGGTCTGCCGTCGCCCGGCGCGAGCACGGACATGGCCTTCGCGTCCTCGCCCGCATCCTTCGCCTTATGGAGCAGCGGCAGAAGGTCGTAGATGAACTTCCACCTCGCGTAGTAGTGCAGGCCCAGCCGGCGGTCAATGCCCTCCTCGGTGTCGTCCCGGCCCCTAAAGTTGAAGAGACCACAGGAGAGGACGAGGAAGTTGATCTTTGGGAGGCGCGTGAGGAGCGAGGCGGTCGTCGCCTGGATGTTCTTCATGAGCGAGACGTCGCACGCGACGAACTCGTGCTTCGCCTCGGGCACGGTGGGTTTGGGGAACGACGCGATGACGGCGTCGGCCGCGGCCTTGTTGCGGCCGACGATGACGATGTGTGCATTGCCCTTGGTGTACCACGCGAAGGCCTCCGCGGTGGCCTTGCCGATACCAGATGTCCCGCCGACGAAGACGGCTACAGGGAAGTAAGCAGGAGAGAAGGCAGCGTTGGCTGCGCGGGCGAGAGCGAGTGAAGGCATGATGGGTGGAGGAGCACAAGTTGTGCGCGCGTGTATTCAAGCGCGAGGAGCGTGATATGTAGCTCCCGACGCGTCGGCGGCGGGCGCCCGGCATCCTCGTTCTCGCGTCATCCATGCGATGTTCTACAAGTATGTACTCATTGCTTTGTGTATATCTTTCTTGACAACAACTCCACCAAAGCTGCGCGTTCGTCGCATCTCTCGAATGTACCCGGGTGTAGGGGCACCGGTCACCGTATGAAAGCCCATTCGCGTTGGCAAATTCGATCTCCTGCCGGCTCTCAATACGGTCCGAGGCAACTCCGCGGTCTTGGAAGTTAGGCCGTGGCTCGAAGAGCCGGATGAGGTGCGTGGTCGTGCATTGATCTTTGAACCACTTATGTTTGTTGGTGTACTACAGGTTTAAGCCCATGGACATTGACTAACATTTGGCTCCTACAGCTCGGCAATTCGGACAAGGTGCGCTCGGATTTGTAGGGACCTATGCCTCTCGGTACTGCGTTGGTGTGCTGTGAGTTTCTAGCTATTGCTTGTTCAATGGCTATTGACTCATAGCGCAGCAATAGAACTCAGACATATAAAACCGCACGCAGATCCGAGGGATAGTAGCCGCCCTCTAGTTACTGCAAGCATGAAGAGGTCAACAAACTGTGTCAGTCGATCGACAAGCATAACGCGGTATGACAAAACGTGGTTCTTTTGCACATCAAATGTCTAAACTTGAAGTCCTCAGCACGCCCATAGCTTGCCATCGGACTACTGTGAATGCGACCGCAGTGCTTTCTCGGGGCTTTTGCCCTCGCGTCTTCCATTCGAAGGAGGCCGGACGAATAACATAGTGAAATTTTGCCAAGCCAACTAAACCGAAGGATGCAGTCCAGGGGTACCCGCACGAGTCCGCTACACGTCATCCCAATCACGGTGAGTTTGAGTCTCTGGTCTGCCGGTGAAGGTCTGTTCCTCTGCAGAGCCGTCTGACATCCGAACGACGCGTCCTGCATGGCCCAGAGGGCGGTGGAGTGCACGACGAGTTGCGTTTCGGGCGTGGTAGAAAGAAGGTGGGATGCATTACATTGAGGAGACAAGAGTCATGTTATTTCCAGATGTGTTGCATTGCTACTTGAGATATATCGCGAATTACTACAAATTACTACAAGACGGCTACCATCAACTGCTCGTCCGAAATGGTCTGCCCGATATGAAGGCGACGAAGACGCAGCTGCGACCAAACATACACCGGTGTGCTGGTGCACGACCTTCGCACCGTTCCCGGCCGGCTGTATGGCTGTGTAAAATGTGAAGTCGGTGGTAGGCCATCCATTGCCAGGCCGGCTTTGTGGCCGCTGTTGGAAATTGTCAAATTGCGACGTCCTGTCCGAGTCGGCGGAACGAGAGGGGAGGGAGGGGCTCGAAGAACAGGTGCGGAATTGCTTGTGCCCTGTAACGGGGATAATCGATGCACAGAACATGTCCACAGCGCGGCCAAGCGCGGCATAGCGAGGGCAGAGCTCCGGGTATGGCACACAGGACACTTGATGGCAGAGGCGGAATCTGTAAGTAGCTGGGCGAGCATGTAGCCTCTGTTAACGGCGGCGATTACCACGCTGGAGGGACCGGAGATTACAACAAGGGCCCAAGACATGCACGAGCCTACAACAAGGTTTTAGATGAGACAGAAGAGAGGAATGAGACTGGGAAGTCACACTGACCTTTTCTTTCTTCGGCATCGCTTTCGACCGGACAAGCAGAGGTGGCAAGGGAACCGCCAGCACCATTTGTAGATGGAACCATCAAGGAAGTCTGCCCGAAATCCGAGGTCGAAAAATCCGGTCGGTGTCCTGGCTGGCGAGTACGACGAAGGTCATACAATAGGCGTCACGGCTGACCAACTCGGGTTCCGGTGCGTGAGACACCGAGTAATATATATCAGCGTTGCATCCCCATAGCGGTGTTGGGTGGTTGCGGAGTGGCATATGGCCACCCCAATAGACAGGATGGGTTATCATGAACGGTGAAGGATGAGGACGAGTGGCAAGGGAGATGCAGGGAGCCATGGTGGGCTCCTGCCGGGGTTCGGACGATGGTGGTGCCCCTCGGCGCTGCCGTGTCAGGTGACTTTGCATCGTCGTGGTCGACCGTCTCCCCTTACATCGTTCTCGGACGGTACAACCCCTCGGATGAGCCACGCCGTCTCTCGCTGAGTCCTTGCTGCTCCCCAAACCTTTGGTATTCGGCGCCACACCGTCTACAAACGATGCACGAGGATCCACGAAAGAAAAATCGAGGCTACGACCCAGCCCACCGCGCACACAGAGTACGTGTCCGCCATGAGTACTGAGTGACTTCGTCCCACTCCGGCCCCGACGGAACGTTTGAGCAGCGGACCCGCGCCAGTTCAGGGACGTGCGTAGGCTCACGGGAACGCTTGCGGCGTCGGGCTCACTTCGCTGAAGCTCGCCCCGAAGTAGAGGACCTCCCTGCGCCTTGAGCCCGCGCTTTGCAACGTATAGAGGTGACGACCAATTTGGGACTAGCTGGACGCCGTATAGACCTGTGTCTGCGGGTGATACCCGGCACTCGCGCTGCAGAGCAGGGCGCGGCGGTCTCCGGGTCCAACCAGTGCATCGAGCGGATGCTGCGACTAAACGCCGCCGTGCCGTTGGGGGAGAATAGTCTTGCGAGGGTTTCGAAGGGGATATCCCGCCGTCTTCATCTTGCCGCTCCGGAACTTGGCCTAGGTCGAGTTTAGAGGTATTACGGTGGTCCCGAGTCCAAGCGATGTGCAGGGAGACCAGGAAGCCACGGAGTGACATTCCCGAGGCGTCCATGGGAACCAATGCGGGGCCAAGTCCGCGAGCTGGGAGAGTCAGACAAGTTCCCCTCGGATGGCTGGGAAGCCTGGCAGTCGCGACCAGGGTTCGGCAGTGGTGATGATCAGCATTTGCTAGCCCAGTCACTCTAAAAGAAAGCGGAACACGTATTAGGTGTCACACAAACTCGAGACGAAGGTTTGACGTACGGATTTTACAGTGGGGGACAGTGAATCCTGACCTCCCCACCGGCCCTTCGCCGACATCGCTATGTGCATTCATCCGCACGGCAGAGTTGATGGCAGAAATGGTCTCACGATGGTCGCACCGACGTAACAAACTGCGACTGAGTGTCATCCGAATCGGACAGCCGTAGGGTTAGATGTGAGATAACTCGGCAAGGAGGTGTGCACCAATCCCGCCGGAAGGTTCCCGGTTACGGACGCAGCAGCAAGTGCGGGTCACCAGGCATTCACCAGGCCCGCACGTACGGGCTTTAGTGCATCCGGGGTATCTGTGTATCGGCATGAGTATGAGTTGGGAAGAGAAGCGCGACTGACTGGTGGTCAGAGTGCCGTATTCGCGGCGAATACGTCTACTATGACGTCCACGATACCCTGCCAAGGCTCATCCGACACAGATTCCGGACTAGACCTGCAGGCCGCAACTTCTATGCGCCTTACTCGACTGGTAGTGAGGCGCTGCCGTGGCGGTCGCGATGACGATTGGAAGTGATATTGGAGCCGATTACTGCGCCGAGGAATTGAGCAGCGGATCTATCGATCCCAAGTCGGACGCTGCGCCGAGGTAGTTCCTAGATAGACGGGTAGCACTGCGCGCCAGTCGGCCGATATGGGTCAGATACTAGCGTTTCGTCCAGGAGACTGACGACATCCCGGACGATATCCGACTGCGCTACGGGGTTCCGTCCCCACGCCAAATAGAGGAGAGTCTCTGTGCAGCTGAGTGCGATCGCGGAATCTCACCACGAAGCGGGTAGGCTGAATTAACGTACCTCTTTCCACGGATATGTATACCGTACAGCCATCTGCCGTATGAATCCACGGATGGCCCTTGCGGCAAAGGGCAAAGCAAAGGCGCCAGAGCACACTACACGCAGGGTAAAGTCGATGATGGCTTGAGCAGGGTCGTAGAGTGCATCATTTGCGCGCGTTAGTTCGCCGGGCCTGCAGGTCTGGTGCGTCGGCCACGATGAGAGTGTGCATAGTTTGTGTAATTGATTTGATAGATCTATGGAACTGTGTCAGTTACATACTCTGAAGTCACCCGGCACTGGAGTGTGGGGCGATATATCGACAAACGCACTCACAGCTGGTACATTTGCTTCTTTATCGTGGGTATACAGTACTTCTCCGCGAACATACACCTTCTTTAGACTTTCCAAACTTCATACATCCCCGTCGATTATCTTCTACTCGTTGAAGAACTCCAGGGGGGTATCGCGCCCCTGGATCGCGCGCCAGGTAGTGGGGCGACCTTCCTCGTCGCGATTGCCTTCGTCCGTGAACAGGGAGTGGAACACCACATCATCAGTACCCTGGGGATCGCAATGAGGTACATTAACACGAAAAACAGATCATGGCCGCTCACCCTGTTCGGCGGGTCGTGGATGCTACGGAACGCGATGGGTCAGCGACCTGGCTGCAGACACAGGAAGGACGGACGCACCGGACATGGATATACCCCTGTCCCTCTTCGTCATTCACAGCAGGGAGCTTGATCTTCCCCAGAATGATGGTTCCATAAGACGTCGGGCCGCTGCGGCACTCGACGAGGTCTCCGCGGATCGTGAAGTTGACGAGGTCCTCATTGGAGATACCGGCAGCGCGGGACCACATGCGAGGCTCGTGTATGTCCCAGTCGTGGCGCGACTTGAGGATCTCGGCCTTGATCTTGTGTTGAACGACCTCGAAGGCCTCAAAGGCCTTCTCGGTGGGTGTATGCGGCGCGTTCAGCTCGACTTGCTCGGATGAGGCTGTGCGTGTCCGCGGTGGTGAGCGAGATGACAGGCCATGTGGCTGAGGCATGCTTACCCATGATGTGTTCTTCGCGGGGTAATCAAAGTAGGGAGTGCCAAGATGTCGAGTCGGAATGCGTTGGGGACGACTGGACGATGGTGGTCGCGTCGATACCGCTCGCGGCGGGGCGGTGTTGAGCGAGTCGCTGATCGACGAACGCGTGATGCAAGCGCCTAAGAACCATCGACCTCTCCGTCTCCACATGGACGCGCTTGGCTTTGAGAGATGCATACAGCCTCGACGTGAAGCTCGACCTGGAGAGCACACGCCGCAATTGTGTGGACATGGCGTTTGCGGAGAGGAATTGCCGCGAATGCACTCGCGGCAGTATCGGTCTTCCGATTTCTGGCTTCCTCGGTCCACACGGTCGTCCTCGCAAGAATAGTGGTCTGCCCACACACGCGTGTCTCTCCTTCCCGCCCATGCGGTCGTCAGCGCACCGTGCAACACTCTCCCCCAAACCACCCATCTGGTCGCGCTCAGCTGCCCGACATCAGTCCTATCAGCTTCTCCCGGCGGCACTTGCGAGCTCCAGATATCCCATCTCGGCCCCACATGTCTTCTGAGACGTCGCGTACTTACCGCCCTGGCCACGGGTATAAAGGGTCCCTATGATGGCGCGGTACCGTCCCAGGAACTCTGCCATATCCCCTCCCCACCCCGAGGTTCGTCAAGGATGCTCTCCGCCATCTCCCTCGGGCTTCTTGCCCTCGCTGCGTCGTCCGAGGTCGCCGCCTCGCCTGAGCCCATGCAGATCAGGCCTCACAAGATCGACCTGCAGTCTCGCAAGACCCCCAAGGGACATGTGAGCGCGTTGCGCAAGCGCGCCACGGCCGCCATTGGCGTCCCTCTTGACGACTTCTTCCTGGGAACGGACTTGCAGTGGTTCGGCAACATCTCCGGTGAGCATCCGGGCCACACTGAATATCCGGGATCGACCCCTGATTTGATGCATCACAGTGGGCACTCCCCCGCAAGATGTGAGTGTCGTATTCGACACCGGCTCGCAGAGTCTCGAGTTTGCCAGTAAGCTGTCGTGTGCACATCGCTCGTCGTTGTCCCAACCTGACCACATGAGCCAGCCACGGATTGCACGTCCTGCACGCAAAAGAACAAGTTCGACATTTCCAAGAGCACCACCTTTGTGCAGGGCTCGCGCACATCGACTCTTGACTTTGCGACTGGTGTCGGCGTAGACCCCGTCGTCAACAACGACTACGTGCTCACCGTTCGCAGTGGTACGGACACTGTCACCGTTGGCGGCGTCGCTGCCAAGGCGGTGTCACTCTTCACGATCACCAAGCAAACACCAAAGTTCAACATCGACCCCTTCCTCGGCATCCAGGGTATGGGCTCCTCAGCTGAGGGCTTCTTCGCCGCACTTATCCGTGCGGGTCTTCCTTGTGAGCAATACCATCACGACATTCGCTCGAAACGTTGCTAACAAGCAACGGGTGCAGCTCTCTTCAGCATGTTCCTGACCCCGAACGCGGTCGGCAACGCGGAGCTGCTGATTGGTGGTATCGACAACACCAAGTTCAAGGGCGACCTCGTCTTCGCCGACCAGACCGGCGAGGGCGACTGGGAGGTCACGTCCTCCCAGATCTCTGTGAACGGAAAGACGACCACGCTGCTCAAGAAGACCCGCAGCATCATATTCGACAGCGGCACGAGCAACATCCTCTTCGACACCCAAACGACCAACGTCAGCTCTCCCGCACCCCACATCGTCCACAGCACGCGCTGACCCCCTTCTCTAATGCACACAGGCGATGTACGCGCTCATCTCGCCCCTGATTAAGCCCTTCTCCGCCGAGCCCGGCGCGTACGGTCTTCCGTGCTCGAAGATCGCCGGGCTGCCCGCGACGATCGACCTCACCTTCACGTCACAGGCCGGGAAGCCGTTCAACCTGACGATCCCGAGCTCGGAGCTGAACGTGGGCCCGTTCGCGAGCGACCCGACAACGTGCCAGACGCTTATCAACGCGTTCGATGGGCTCGAGCTCGTCGGCGGGTCGGTGCTGAAGCACTACTACTCGGTGTGGGACGTCGGAGGACAGCGCATGGGCTTTGCGCCTAATGGTGAGTGTTGTGATTGGGTATGAGGTCATACGCTAACATGTTGCTTTTCATTCAGGTTTCTGAGCTCGGCTTGATACTAAAGCTGCTCTTCACGAGCTACCTGCTTGCCTGATGCAGGCGACCTTCACGGTAGAAAATCAGGTCCATGTAACGATAGCAAAGAGACAAACTTCATCCTTGGCCTCTTACTCTGAGTGAATACAGCGCGGGCGTCCTTCCCAACGCAGATAGTCGTCCCACTCTTCCTCGAACCTCACTTGCAGAGCTGCCTCGTCTCATCGCGATTCGTGTGCTTCTATGTACACGGTCAGGTGACTGTCTCGTGACTTGGACGCGAATAAATGAGCGCGTCGCGAGGTTGCTGAGACGAACGAGCCTGGAAGAGCCACAACGCTAACTGGCACTTCATATAACTCTACCACCTTGAACTTAGAGCAGCATATTCCTGAACTGAAGCAACGCCTTCGCGTACTTCCTAGTTCTGCCTCTCATCGGACACAGCAACATAACACTCGGACGGTAAGCTGTCGCAGCGACCCCATTCAATACATATGTAGCATTGGACAGAATTTGAGCAAATGTGTTTATCTTGTAGCGTACGGAATTATTCTGGAGGAACTTAATGGGTTTGTCCAGTTCTATCAGTAACTGGACTAGCATCACGCAAACAACAACTCGGTAACTCCAACATCTACTTGAAATCTACCGTATTCTAGACCAGTGACAAATGCGCCAGATGAATGACCTCCTATTCAGCTATGCTGAGGTTGAATTGAGAGCGATGCGGAGTTCGCGCGGCCATTGTTCGCGGTCAATGTCGGGGGCGTGACAATGGGACAGCAGCCGTCGGCTATCGCGCCGTGTTTGGCGGAGTTTGGCCGTATGGGCGGCCACGGGGCGGGGTGGTGGCTAGTGCCATGCGCTCCGTGCTTCTCACCCCCACCATCTCCTGCTATCACTCGCCCCCTCGCTGCACATCACAATCCTACCTGCCTTCCCTCTTTGGCACACTACTGCGCCCGGCCATACACACACAAACGATCTATGGCCATATCCGGCCCGGACAGCATCAGAGTATGTCATCCTACAGCAGCCCCAGTCTGAGCGGCAGCTCCCGCTACGCACGCACCGACTCCTCCTCATCTTACCCATCGTCGCCCTCAACGTCCCCAGGAACCACCCCACCTTCCCCATTCTCTGTCAAGCCTCCGTCGTCACCCATCTCGCCCACGTTGCCAAATGGCAACCCGCGCGCATACCGCTCTAAGGCCTCACCGGGCGAGCGACCCCAGCCCGAGCGACAGGGCGAGGCCGGCCTAGGCGTCGACCCCTCCATGCTCGTCGGCAAGACTCTCACCTGTGTACGTCGCTCGCGCGCGCACCCGACCGTCACCCTGCACTTCGCGGATGGTGCGTCGTATCAGGTGCGCGTCGTCGGCTACGACCCGCACTTCCGCGGAATTCCCAAGAAGCTGGAGAGTGACTCGCCCGTGCTGAACCCCGTCGCGGGCGCGGTGGACGTCAAGCTCACCGTGAAGCATGCAGCGATGGTCACGCTTGCGGACAAGGCGTTCCAGGTGCAAGGTGGGGGAGGGAGCGGGAGTCCGGCGGGCGGGCCGGGGAAGGGCAAAGGTGCGCGTGAGTCGCGCTGGACGCAGAAGCACGCCGCGTTCGCTGTCAAGTTCGTCGAGGAAGCCGGCTGGCATTGCGTGTGGGCGACGCTGGCGGAGTACGACGATCAGAACCAGGAGACGTGCGTGTTCCGGAACTTCGCAGACGTGTACGTCGACTCCCTCCACCCACCCTCTGCCGTGCCTGCGAATGCGGCTCGCGCCAAACCCCATAACCGTTCCACCCCGCCTCGCTCGCGCAATGCGTCTCCCGCACCAGAGCGTGCGCCAGCGTCGAGCCAGCCGCAGAAGAACCAGAAACCGAAGCGCAAGAATTGGAAGAAGAAGGCAGACGCCCCGAAGTCTCGGTGGTGAACTTTGAACGCACCTCATCCACGCTTATCCACGACATAAGGCAACGACCAGCATGTGATCTATTGTGTAAAGGTGCGTGTGTTGACGGGGCAAGCGCTTCTATGTTCTGACGTAGCCGCCGGCAGGGGAGAATGTTGTAACGTTTGTGTAACTGGAAGAAGAAGCACGAAGCCGAGCCTTGATGGACTCTCGACTATCTCCCACGCTGTATCTATATCACGCTGTCTTTGTTATCGTCGTCGCGCTGTTGTTGTCCAATTAACGTTGCTGTACTCCTGCTAGCAGTTGTAGTACTGTACTTACCGTATCGAATGCATACCGAACACTCACTTTAGCTTATCATTGCCCGCCGTGTCATGATAGATCACCTCGACCTGCCAAACATGTTCTCCTCGGACCCCATCCGCACCGGTACTTGTCGCACTGACAGTTGGAGCTTGTGTGGCGGCCTGCTTGGTTTGCGAAGTATGTTCTTCGAGTGCTTCTCCCTCGTAACCGTCTCATACTGACGTATCCCAAGCATGTTTAGGTTGCCGCTGAGCATCCTCCTCGGGGACCGGGGATACTCTATCAACGAATATCAATGGGTCTCTCCCTTCTCACGCACGCACCACAAGGATGCCCAAGGCCAAGTCGGTGCGCCTCTTCTCCGGTCTGCTGTGGACGCGCTTTCGTCAGTAATGGAAGAGAGTACTAGGAAGTCAAACGTACCGTGGTCAGTCCGGGGCCGTCGGAGGAGTAACTCAAGTTCGACATGAGTCAACCTTTCACCTATTTCGCGAACGCACGGAGGCCTCCATGAGACCGCAACGGCTACGTGTCCCGCTGGACACTTAACCTCTAAACGCCATGCGGAACAGGTGTGTTTGATGTCTTCTGGCACGCCGCTTCCCTGAGGTGCTCACCCGCAGCCTCACTAGGTTTGCTCCGTCGAGCGTCGGACCGCGGTGCTCAGCGGTGTGTCATGGAGTGCTCTATCCCACGCCCACTGCGCACGTCAGTCGAGGGCTCGCTCCCTGACAGCTGCGCGGGATCTGCTGGCCGCAGGCCCAGATGGACTGGAGACGCACCAACCAGGATAGACCCTATGGCCACAAAGCCGCAGCGTCACCTCCTAGGGACATCTCGCCGCCCAGCTGGGGTCTGCGATGCGCTCAGGGAAATATGCCGTACACTGTCGCGCTCCCTGGTAAGTCGTGCGATGTGAACCGACAAAGTTTATTCATTGCAAAGTTCGCAGCGGCTCGAATTTGTATAGGACAGCTCGCCGACGACGCGGGCTCGGTCCCCGCTTTTACGGCAGCTTCGCTGCAGGCACGCCCGCACGAAGGCCTCTCGCCGCACGGGTTGGCATCTAGACGGGCGCGCCAGCGTACTGCGACCGAAATCGCCGCTGGGCGACATACGTTCCCTGTCCGCCCATACCTTCGAGCCGCGATGGCCCCGAGCATTGAGCGCGTCGCGCCGTGCACATTGCAGTGGACGACCTAGCGTCGTGATGAAGGCCAGTTCCCAGCTATGTGCTAGAACTTTGTGGGACGTGGTAAAGACACTTCTGCCCTGGCTATTGCGTCCGCTAGCTTCAGAACCCCCCGGCGTTTGTTTGTATCTCCCTATTGCGACCGCAGGGGGACGCTCGCAAGTTCAACCGCCTGCCGGAGGCCGAACATATCGCACTCCAGGGCGAAAAATGCCGGGACTAGCAGCGAGCATCTGACTGCAAATCTTTCTAGGTGTGTGTACATTGCATCCCCGTTTCAGCGTGCGGCGCGCGGACTACACAAGGCAAGGTTGCTCACGGGGCGTTGGCATTCAGGCTTCAAGGCGGGGCGCCGTGCGTTAAGGTACGCCATGTTATACAGCTCCCGTTATGAGTAACTCCACGCTAATTATGAGGGTCGCGCTGCTGGGGTAGATTATGCGTGCCATTTTGTGTCCACTCGCATCTGTACACTTTGCAGACACCCTGCACCGCTATATCCGCCACTATCATACAGGACGACGCTCCAAATCCGTGGAGCTAAGACAAGCGAGGATATATGCACACGGTGAAACCATCCGCATCGAATACGTTTGTATCCACTGCTGTGAGAACGACTGTTTGGTCAATATGATGCTTTCAGCACAATCACTAGGAACCACTCGCCCAGATAGCCTTTCCCAGGTGTTCCATCTTTTAATTTCATGATTGGACAGCGTCCGGTATGGCTCGCCGCACATGGCTCTTCGGACCCACTCGAGCGCGATGTCCCGCGCTCATTTCAAGGTAACAAGGTCAGAATTTGATGCCCAAGCTGCGCAGCACCAATTACCGGCGCCCGGCCCACGCACGACCTGGCCATCGTTGTCATCCGGCGAGAGGCGCATCGAGCCCAGTCCCAGAGTCGCAGGAGGGTGCTATCGATGGTAACCACTCATGTGAGGCATGGATCGCGGCTTCGATGCATCATACTCACCTTGGCGGCTGCGCTTTCGCGCCAGCTCCTTCCATATCGGGGGTCCCAGGACGGCGAGACGGCCTCATGTTCTCGGAGATGTGTGTTCATCTGCTGCTGCAGGATACGTACGTACATCGGGCTGCATCAGGTAAGAGATGCACCGCAGCGCTAAGACAAACTTCCGGCACAACCTGCTCCCCCGCCTTCCGAGCTCGAGCCATGCCAACAACAACACAAGCGCGTCAAGAAGAGAAGATGGCACCGTGCAACTCCCGACACCGGAGCCCTCACAAATCGTCCGGTCGCGGGCAAGAACCGAGCGGGGCGCAAGCACGGCCGCCGCACATCCCATGTCCATCGACGCACGAAGCTTGAAACGTCCACAGCGGCGTAGTATGCAACACATCCACGGACCGGAGGCAGCTGCGTCCGCCGCGTGCGCCCCGGAGCGCGCTGCTGATTTGTCACGATCCCGCTATGGCTAGCCGCCGCAGACGCCGTCAGCCTGTCAACGGACGACCGTCTCGGTGATGGGTGCGCCTGCCATATGTTGCGTCGGCTCCGCTTGCGTGCGACATGCGTCCGCGTTTGGTGCGCGGGCCCCCACGCGGACGCTGGGGGCTGTGTGTGCTGCCCGCCGCACCGCACACGCTCGCCGGATTGCGTAAGGGCGCGCGTCTGACGGCGGGGCGTGCAATGCATCACGCGCATGCGGCCAGGGTGGGTGCTGAGAAGCTCCGGAGGGCACATGTCCTAGCGCGCCGCTGCGCTGTTGGGTCGCTCTGAGAAGAGGTCGCCGGACACGCAGAGAAAGTCCAGGGAGCCGAACGCCAAGCAAGGGGGTGGACGACAGGCACAGCTCGCCGCCGTCAGGCAGTTGTTCGCCCCAAATGCTGCCTGATGCTGCTCGAGAGGCAGATCAGGGCGCCTGCGAAAGGTACGGGCGGCGGAGGCGACGGGAGGACTGTGGCTAGAGCACAGTAGCGCGACGGAACGACACAGGATGGTCGAAATGTACGTACAGCGAAGGTCGGCCCCGTATTTCGCGGTGACGAGGCCTCCCCGGGTTGCATCAGCGGAGTTGAAGCTCCATTAATACTGTCGCAGGCGTGAGGATCAGGAACGCTCGCCGGAGAAGCAAAGGCCGATTCGAATCGCCATGGCGGCGCGGTGAGAACGCGGCATATGCAGCTGACGGGTGGTTTCGAAAGAGCTGAGGGGGATCCGACCGCGCAGGAGCCGCACGCTATGGCGAGTGGCAGGTGTGAGTGACATCTCTGGCTTTGGTATGGGCACGTACCTGACGACTGGCTCTATGCCGTTATGTTGAGGCTTCAACGCTGACCGGGCGGCCTTCTTCGGCCTGTCATTGCGCATTGCATAACCGGTCAAGGAGGGTGCGGTGCATGAGACACGTAAGGCTAGCTGCGCAGGCATTCGTGAGTACATACACGACGGGTTCACATTGCAGGTGCAGGGCTTACTCATTCTTGCATGTACGCGTTTTGTAACATAGAGCATGTGCGTGCGGGTGCTGGAGTAGGAAGGCACAAAATGATCGAACCAGCCAATTCTAGCATCGCCCAACCGCAGAGTTTAGGGGAGGCTCCACAGGCCCGTGTGGCCAGACAACACTGCGCCCTACGAGGCGCGCTGAGTTATTCCGCATTGCACGGCCATGGTGTGGCCCGATTGCGCGCCCGATGGCCCGCGTCCGATAAGTCTGCGCGCTCGATGTCAACCGTAGCATCGATCCCACGAGCGTAGCGAACCAGGGAGCCTGCGATCTGACAGGTTCGAGTAGATAGACTTGGGCCGCCCTATGGCAGGTGCAGGGGGCTAGGGACCAGGGCGGGTATCCTATTGGCGCATCGACGATCCAGGACGACCGCATGAATCGGGAGTTGGACTGACAGAAAGGAAGTGGATACTGGATAGTTGATGCTGTCGTTGTCAGCGGCTTCGGTCGTCGCTTCTCCGCTTCTCATTGGTAATCTGCAGGCAGGAAGCGTCAGCAGCGAAGCCGTGGAAGCGAACGAACAAAGAAAGCATTTTACTGTGAATGGCTGTATAACGACCTCCATGATGACAGCGAGGTGAGCGCGAAGAGCTATTTTACAACTCGGGTTCAGCACATAGCCGGTGCAACTCCGGGGTGCCATTCGAGCGATGCTGACATCCCGGACTTCGCCCGATGAAAGGTTTGTCGGGGATACACAGGGCACTAGAACGAGGATTCCTCAGGGCGGGAACTTCCGGAGAAAGATCTATCAGCGGCCCTAGATGGCGCCGTGAGCTGCTTCTTGAGTTGCTGCTTCGCCGATGAAGCGCTCCAGAGCGTACGCATTTAATTATCCCTGCGGTACACCATCAGCGGCGCGCTCGGAACAGCCAAGAAAATAGGACAGGGTCGCAGAAGGAAAGCCTGCCGAGGCATTCCCGCCACCAGGATGTGAACAGGTGTACATGAGAGCAGATCCCCGATGAGGCACGCGAGTCGGCAAGATCATTTAGACTCAAGGCAGGAGGTGCTCCAAGAATAGGGCTAGCCGTAGTTGGAGCGGCACCAAGAGGGCATAGATTGAAGATATTTCTCCCAGGCCGTTCGCCATGTAGGTATGGCTTCTTCGATGGGGCGGAGACATTGCGGTCATCTGTGTCATGAAGGCAGTACGTTGTCAACCACGCACGAGACCGGGCAGGGAATCTGACTCCTCACAATAATTGGTATTGAGCCTGGACATCGCCGAGACAAAACGAGGTTAGCACAAGCGTCCGGCAGTCGAACCACATGCACAGCTCCCGGAGGACAGCTTCTCGGTCAGCCGCCTGAAGACGCCTCAATGCCGCAGTGATTAACTGGGGCATTACTTGATGTGAGGAACTATGACAGGACGCCCAATAATCCTACCAAAGGCCTTTTCCCGTGAGCCGCTTTCGGACTGTTTGGTCCGGACAGCTTGGCGACCTTCCTCAGGGCATTTTGGTCCGGATTGCCCTCAAGGCCCTTCCCTCCAGTGACCAGGAAGGCGGGCGGTTGCGGACGTGCATGTGTGGCGCGCGTTGACAGGCCTGGCATGCTTGTTGGACCTTGGACGACCGGGCTCAAATGGTGAGCACCTTCGACGGCTTGTATCAAGCCCACACAACGAGCCCGACCGTGTGACACGCACCAGAGAATGAGCCCCACCGGCGCTGTCTGCGATGTGTGGCTCACAGATTTACACTCGGTGGGCAATATTCGGAATGGGAGCCATTTGTTTCAGCGGTCGTTACTCGATGTACGCTAAGCGCCAATAAGCGCCAGGCTTCCGCTGCAATCCCTCCGCACCACGACCACATACAGCTGCTTAGGAAACGTTAGGCCGCTTTGTGATTGCCCCCCGCTGGGGGCCTTGTTTACCTGGTGAGGCCGAACAAACATTTCTCAGCCAATGGCTAAGGCAGCTCGGGCGGTCGGTGTGGCTCTCACCAGCGCTGTCGAAGCCCTCCGCCGTAAATCTGCCACATTTGGGTGTGCCGACGCGTGCCGCCTGTTTGTTGGGCTCTGCAGGTAAACAAGAGCTCCAATGCGAACGATCTGAGAAACGGCCTATCGTTTCCTAACCAGCTGTAAGGTCTCCTCTGGAGGCCCCCAGAGATCCGGACGCCGACTATGGCCTGTTCGGCCTCGGAGGCCCCATTTGGTCCGGATCCTGTATGACATTACCCCTCCGAGAGCCTAGGTTTCTGGAGGTATTATCCGGGGTCCTGATGTACTGCGTCCGATAATCCCATAGAGGCCAAAATTCGCCCGGTACCTAGTGCGGCAACGCCTAGAAGGAGCGCAGCGAGAAGGCAGCGTCAGGGTTTGCGCAGCACGCTAGAATCGACGTGCTGACCATCGCAGTGATGACTGGGGGAACGATGGAGTAAACCGGGGGACATCCTGGGATATCTGGACATCGGCGCGCTTCTAGGCTAAAGTAGGGCATTTCAGTCCCGCTGACCGCGAGGCACTGTCTTGGGCGACAAGAAGAGCGGGCACACGCAGCCAGGATCAGTGATGCCAGACAATCGAGATGGCTGCAGGCAGGGGTGGCCGCGAAACCGGCGGAGTGCACGGCTGGCCAGACCGGAACATCAGCTCGTGCTGATATGTTCAGGCATTTGGCCGACGCACCTGAAGCACGGAGGGTGTGTGAGCGCGCTCCGGACCTATTCAAACATAGGATAGCTTTACTGACAAATATGCCGCGGAGGTCCGCGCAGAGACAGGGAAGTAGCGGCCAGGCCGGGGTGTCCGCACGCGCTGGGCTCCCGCAGATGACGACGGAGAGAGACACGAGACTAGCGGTCCTCCAGCAGGGTTGCGGGTGCTCGGCGATGGTTTGTGCGGGGAACTGAGGCCAGGGACGTGCTTAGCGAGATCGCGATAGGCATCGTAGCATGGCGGATCTAGGCGTGGGTTCGTGGAGGATGGATCGTTCTCTTGGTGTGTTCTGCCGTCGGGATCCCCTGGTCTGGAGAGAGATGCTGGACGATGGAGGGTTCGTGTGGGAGGAAGAGGTCGAGATGGTCAGGAGGAAGCAGCAGACGACGTCCAGAAGCCCCAGAGTCTCCGAGGCGAGGGGCGTGATGCTCCCAACGACGCCCATGTAGTAGGCGCCGGCCCGCTCACCGGCGCCTGTGCTCTCTCAGTCCTCCATGTCGGACTCCCGCCCCACACCGACGCGAGTGTCCTTCGCTGCGGTCACCCCCAATAACCTCGGTACGCCGGTGGACTGCTCTTACTCGTCGTGTCTATCTGAAGGCGCATCTAGGGACCGTTAGGAAGCTCAACTCCGTCCTCTTTCCCATCAAATACAGCGAAAAGTTCTACAGCGACATCGTCCAGCCCGATCTCGAAGACTTCTGCCAACTAAGTACGCGTCCATCCGCCGTGACGCGCCAGCCTGCTCATCCGAGTCCTCGTCGCAGTCTACTACAATGATATTCCGGTCGGGACGATGTGTTGTCGCGTGGAAGTGAAGGACGGTGTGGCCAAGCTCTACCTCATGACTCTGGCGGTGCTCGCGGTGCGTTCCACTCGCATCGCAATCTCGCCTATTCTGACTTTCCTCGCTCGGAATCTCCCAGCCATATCGTTCCAGAGGGATCGGATCTCAGAGCTTGAAGCATCTCGTCGACACCGCCGCCGCGCACGCGAAGCCAAAAATCAACGCGATCTATCTCCACGTCCAGGTTTCCAACGAAGACGCGAAGCGATTCTACGCGCGCCACGGGTTCACCGAGGTCGGCCTGTACGAAAACTACTACAAGAAGATCACGCCACACGACGCGTGGATTCTCCAGCGGGATATCCAGCCCGCGGCCGCAGCCGAGGCGACGTGAGCTTCGTTGCAGCCCGATATGTCACTCCAGAGTGTGTATTCCACGGGTGTGCGGATAGTAAGATACATTTAGTGCGAATCTACGCCTACTACAGGGGGCTAACGTCTTCCTGGCCGTGCAGTACTGTCCATATCAGCGATACTTTTACAATGACTGTACGAATACAACTGAGACACAAGTGGCGCATAACATAAGTCAAGACGCGGGAACGTAGGCTAGGTCTTGTGCCGGCAATTAGTGGGTGTACATTCTGCGAACACCGGTTAGCTGTCAACTCCTCTAGCAAGCTAGCCCGGACGTACAGAGAGGTATCACAGCCCCGACCCGGTGTTCAAGCGGAATCGTCGATGCCGCAACGCTTCACAAGCTGAGGAGACCGGTCAACGTCCGGCGCGGAGGGAACGAGAAAACAAGTGCGTACCTGGTGCCTCTTCAGCGCGTCCTTCCTCGTGAACGTCTTCCCGCACCCGCCATTGCAGAAGAACGGCTTCTCGCCCGTGTGGGTGTCGCGATGCCGCTTCAGGTCGTGTTGGCGGTTGAAGGAGAGCGCGCACATGTCGCACGCGAACGGGCGTGGTGGCGACGCCGGGTATTGAGACGCGTTGACCTGCTGAGCGTAAGCCGCCTGCGAAGCATACTGTGCGGTTGCCATGTTGGCCATCGCCGAAGGCGCCTGCGGAGATGACGACAGGGGGCTGCCGTACTGGTGTGCCATTGCCTGGGGCTGGGCGTAGCCGTGCGACGGCGAGTGCGGGATGGCATGGGACGACGCGTGCGAGTGCGACGAGTGGGAGTGTGACTGCGGGTGGGAGAAGGAGTGCGAGTGGGGGCGCGCGGAGACGTGGTGTGCGCCCGGACTGCCGTGGTGGCTGTCCACGGCGTACGCGCCGTATTGCGACATGGACACGGAGGACCGCCGGTCGGAGGTGGGGATGTGCGAGTAGTGCATCTGGCTGTCGCCGAGCTGGTACTGGGCGGCGATAGCCTGGGCCTGCGCGGACATCGCGGCGTCGTAGGCGGGTATGGGCGGGACGGCCTGGGAGGTGGTGCGCAGAGACGGGTGGTTCTGGTAGGCGGTGGTGGCGGAGTAGTGGTCCTGCGAGGTCACGTACCCGGAGGGGTACTGGGCGGCGGGGGACCACTGCGAGGCGAGCGCGACGTTTGCGCCGTTGGGGTACTGCTGAGCGCGTCGGTCCGCCATGGAAGGAAGCGCGAGAAGCAGGCAAGCGATGCAGAGTGGAGGACAGGAGCGTGATCGCCATGCATATGTAGTCTCGGAGGGCGCTCCCCACAAGAGGGCGCGAACTGCCAGGCACAATCTCACTGCCACAATGGCGATGGATTCGGAGCTCGAGCCAAAGGTGCGACCCGTTATTACGCCAGAATACTGACAAAAACCAGCAAGGCAAAACAAGTAAAGTGCAATAACACTGATCTGTCAGTCGATGAATGATGCCGTGCCCTCGCGGCGCGCCCCCATAAACAGCTAGCCCCGCCCGCAGGTTCTGGTCCACGGCCGCCCTCTGGCGCGCGCAGACGCAGGAAATTGCTCAGGCCTGCCCCCGGACCCCCGCGCAAATACCCTCAATCTAGCCTATACGGGCGCGTGTGCGCCCGATCATCTAGCCTCCCAGCTAGTCCGCCAGGAACGCGCGATCACGATGAGCCGGGGGCCCGAAACCCTCTCGCTCCCGCTCCTTCCGAGCCTTTTGCGTGCGCGGTCCGGCGTCCTCCCCGGCCACCCCCACTGCATCCGCCCGCCCCCCGCCGTTTCATAGCATCGTGTCTACTCACCTCCCCCGCTTTCCCAGAAGCACTGATGGGTTGCGCGCCGAGATTCACGGCGTTCGCGCGTGCGCCGAGCGCGGTCCGGCGCCCTCTCCGGCGGCAGAGCGCGGCAGCCCCTCAGCATCCGCCCCCGAGCCCGCGATTTCGAAGCGGAGTGTTCTACTCACCTCCCAGCATTTCCCTGATGGGCAGCGCCGAGGTTCACGGCGTTCGCGCGTGTCCGCAGTCTCCGTCCTGACAGGACCTCCCTTGCCGCCCTGATCGCGTGCGGCAGGCGGACAGGCAGCGCGCACGCGCAACCGTGATGGTCACAGTGCGCAGGCGGGCGAAACCCATGTCCAGCTCACGCCGACCCACGTAAGATTCGCTCCCTGGCGAGATGACCCCCAAACGCTCTTCTAGTGCAGTTAGCTTGAAATGCAATCTCTTGACGGCAGTGCGGATGCCTCGGAGGCCCTCATCATGATGTGATAGCCCGGGGACGGACGCTGCGCTGTGTTATTCATAGTAGGTGCCCCGCCAGGGGTTGACATCATCATCATCATCTGAGCACAGTACCTACTTGACCGGCGCGGCGTTGCGTCGGTAGGTCCCGCCACGGGTGCGTTGATGTACGCGCCCGTGTTACGGCACGAGGGCTTGAGCTTTGTGTCGTCGCCGCCACCAACTCCGCCCACTCACTCCGGGCCTGCGTGGCGTCGTCCTGGCGCCTACACGCTGCGCCTGGTCATTGACGAGGCACCGTCTGCGCCGACCTGTGTTTTCCGCTGGCAACGGCTAGCGCGAGCCAGACGCGGGTGTTGTGGCCTGTCCACCGGCTAAACGAGCCATAAACTGCGTAAATTGCACGGTGCCTGGCTGCCTTATCGGGCCTCGAGGATGACCATCGACTATCGAGGGTCTTGGAGTCACCGCGTCCGTGATTCTGGTCCTGCCGGATGTGCTCAGCAGCAGCAGCACGCACCGTATGTTGCACAACGTATATCCCGATGAACGAGCCCCGTCTCGGGCGCGCGCGCGGGGCCGGCAGTGATTCATGCGCCGTGCTCGTCATGGAAGACAGCCTGCGGTGCAGAGAGTAATGTTGCAGCCTCGAATGGGGATGGTGCACTGACAGAGGGCGGTGACATACTACCGCCTGCAATGATCGTGGGTAAAAATGATATAATTTTGCTGCATCGAGCGGAAAATCGCTCAGGTACTCACTCCGCCCGCCCGATCAGCATGCACAAGACCCCAGCTGCTCATCGTATCGCCGATTGCGCAAGCCGACGAGCGGTGCCGTGTGATCTTAATTAGGGGATTTGGCGGACCACGAGTCCAGATAGGCGTCTGCGAATGCCCGGGCGTCAGCGGGGGCGAAAAGGCAAACAGTGCGCGATGGACAGCGACGGCGAGCGACGGCAACGGCCAGTCACTTACGGTCAAACAACGGAGAAACGCCAGAGGTCGGAGCGCGCCCCATGGAAATACTTCAGCCCATCTGCGCAGCGGAACGCCCTTGGCGCAGTGAGGGCCAAACAAAGCGTTTGGCACTCAGGAGGTCCGTGCACCGGTTTGAGCTCGCCGTGGGAGGTGTGCCGACATTCAAAACTCTGCAAGGACGAGCATGAGAGCCCGAGATAACCGGAGCAGACGAGATCCGCGATTGGGGAGAGTGAGGAGAGGAGCGAACCTGGCGCGCGCTCAAAGAGGACGGGCACAATGATGGGATGCCAAAAAGGGAACTCAAACGTACGCGTCGCTGGACACGATCAATTCCTCTTTGCGCTCGACGCTCGTGTCCCTCGCTAGCCTCGCGTACTCTGAAACGCAATGTCCAAACGTACCCTAGTGTCACCCTCGGCATCACCGAGCCGTCAAAAAAAGAAAGCCAAAGTCACGACAGGACAAGCCCGGCTTGATACATTCTTCGGCGCCTCGTCCAGTCGGACGCCAGTGCCAGCTAGCCAATCTTCGTCGAACGTTCCCTCCCCCAAAGCTGCCAGCTCAACCGGCAGGAAGGAACAAGCGAAGCGTCCTCTGACAGATGAGGAGCTCGCCTGGGCACTAGCGGCGGAGGACGGTCTCGACTTGGAAGCGCTCCGCAAACTCGAGGCAAAGAATGGAGCACTGCCCTCTAGCAACCTGTCAACGGTCACGCCTCGCGAGGACCCACACCCCGAGGTGATAGACGTCGACCAACTTGACGACGCTCCACAGCAGAATGTCCCTGGTCCGTCCAGTCGGCCTGCTAAACCTTCAACACCGGCGTCTCTTCGTACGACACACCCAGGGAAACGTCTAGTTTCCGCGGCGGGCCACAAACAGACCATTGGCAGCGTCTCGCGGGCCTCTGTGCCAGGAGAAACCTCTGCCGTCCCGTGTGTAGAAGTCTCTTCAGCTGCTGAGGGTGTCGCCGCGGAAGCGCTCCGCAAATTGAACGCGCACGGCGGACTCGGAGCAGCTACTGGTAGTCTGTCAGCGACTCTGCCCTGCGAGGAGACGCATTCTGCGGTGATTGACGTTGAACAACTTGAACATATCCCGCAAGAGAACGACCCTGGTCCCTCTAGTCGCCTTTCTCCGCCCACTAAACTTACGACGCCGACCTCTGCCCTTGTGACACACCCTCCGGAGCGCTCTCCCGTCTCGGGCTCTAAACATACTATTGGCAATGCCAAGCCGTCCGCTACGCCATCTTACAACCCTCTTGACGTCGACTCGCCTAGCTACCGTCTGGACTGCGCTGCATGGCCTCCCAACGCGCCGGTACCATACTCATTCCTCACCCACGCCCTTGCTACACTCTCTGGGACGCGCTCGCGGATCGCCAAGTTAGACACTCTGACGAACGCTCTCCGTACTATCAGCCACCAGCACCCTCCGTCACTGCTTCCGGCACTATACCTGTTATCAAATACCCTTTCGCCGCCTTATTCCCCCATTGAATTGGGCCTCGGGCCGTCCATAATCTCTAAAGCCATCCAGCATGTTTCAGGACTCTCTTCTGCCGCGTTAAAGCGTCTCTACAATTCAACCGGCGATCCAGGTAAGCTTTGACACGGGCCGCCGGTACATCGCTGACGAACACGTTTATACTCTACAGGGGACGTGGCGTTTGAGGCAAAATCCAATGTACGAACGCTAATTCCGCACCCTCCTCTTCTTATCATCGGCGTATACGACGCCTTGATAAAAATCGCTGGAGCGAAGGGTTCGGGCGCCGCAAAGACTAAACAAGCGGTCGTCGAGAAGCTGTTAGTCGCTGCCAAAGGGGAAGAGACGCGATTCCTCGTACGCACCCTTTGCCAGAACCTCCGCGTGGGTGCCGTACGGACGTCTTTGGCAGCCCTGGCCCGGGCGACGGTCCTCAACCCTCCGCCCGCAGTCTCTGCGGCGTTAACCAGTGACTCGACATTTCATATTAGTCTAGAGACTCTTGCTGCCATAAAACCACTTGTTGGCAAGAAGAAGGTCCCCGACGACGCCCGGGACGCACTGAATGCAATCTTCGCCCTGGCTGAGGGCGCTATCAAACGGGTCTACGTTCAGCACCCCAACTACGATCATATCGTGCGCGCGCTGCTCGAAGGCGGTTTAGAAGGCCTCGCGGACCGCCTCCCTCTGACGATCGGTGAGTGCCGGCCCAGCGGTCCTCGGATACTGTACATCGCCTCATACCAATATTCGTCCACGCAGGTGTCCCATTACTCCCGACCCTAGGGTCCCCTACGCGGTCCCTGGATGAGATCTACGATCGCCTCGGGCTGCTGCCTTTCACGGCAGAGTTCAAGTATGACGGTCAGCGCGCCCAGATTCACGCATCAAGGGGCCTGGGCTCTAAACACACGGTGAAAATATTCTCGCGGCATCTCGAGGACATGACCGACAAGGTAGCCGTCTTCTCGCCTCCCGTGGCCGCACGCTGACGCGCGTGTGCCACACCCAGTACCCGGACGTGGTGTCATTGGTCGGCGAGATGCTGGACGCCGCGCCGCAGACGCAGTCCTTCATCATCGACTCCGAGGTCGTCGCCGTGGACCCCGCCACCGGGGAGCTGAAGACGTTCCAGGAGCTGTCGAACCGCGCGCGCAAGGACGTCAAGCTCGACGACGTCAAGGTCGCCGTGTGCGTGTTCGCCTTCGACGTAATGTTCCTGGACGGTCAGGTGGGTGGGCCCCTGGGCGTCTTCAAGCGCGCCGCTCGCCCGTCGCTGATTTGCGGCCCGTCGTGGGTGGCGACAGGTCCTAATAGAACGGCCGTTCCGCGAGCGCCGATCGCTTCTCCGCACACGCTTCCCCGCGTACACCCCGCCACAGAAGGGCGCGGCGCGCTTCGACCACGTCAGAAGCGTCGAGAGCGAGGACGGGAGGGAAGCCGTCGAGGAGTTCTGGCAGGCGGCGGTGAACAGCTCGAGCGAAGGGCTGATGGTCAAGGTTCGCTGCCAATAGCCCCAGCTGGTGCACACCGCTGATGGCCGCCCCAGCTTCTTGATAGCGGAGAGGTTTTGGAAGAACCTACCCAGAATAAAGAGAGACCGCGGAGGAAGCCCCTTCCTGCCACATACGAACCAGGTGCGCGTCTGCGATTCTACACTCCGCAGCGCGCAGAAGCATGATGCTTGACACGTTGCAGATAAACGGACGTCCGCGTGGCTGAAGCTCAAGAAGGACTACGTCGTCGGGCTCGGTGACAGCCTTGATCTCGTTCCCATCGGCGCATGGCATGGCAACGGGCGAAAGGTGCAGTGGTGGAGCCCGATCCTGCTGGCCGTCTGGGATCCCACCGCGGAGAAGCTCGTGGCAGTGTGCAAGTGCATGTCGGGTGAGTGGGCCCTCGGCCGATCCCTTCTGGCATAGCACCGCAGCGCGAGGTGATTGACCGGCCGCGAGCAGGCTTCACGGACGCGTTCTACAAGGTGCGCGGGCGGGCGTGGTGGACTGGTGTGCTTCTTCGGCGCTGACGGCGTGAAAACAGAGCTTGCACGAGCGGTACCCCGAAAATTCGGACACCTGTTCCTCGCACCCACTATGGCAGCCCGAGTGTGATACGGGAGGTGCGGCCGGCGTCGCGCGGTCTGCGGGTGGACTGGTCTGACAAACTCGTTGCCGTAGGACTTAGGCCGGAGGTGTACTTTAAGCCGCAAGAGGTGTGGGAGATACGAGGCGCTGAGTGCGTCCCTCCCGGCTTACTGAATGGGTGTGCGTTCCTGACTCATTTTCCCTTACTACCAGCATCACTATAAGCCCCGTGTCGGTTGCCGCGCTAGGACTCGTGTCCCAAACGAGAGGACTCAGTCTCCGATTTCCGCGGTTCATATCCATCCGGGAGGACAAAGGGATCGAGAACGCGAGCGACCCGGAATTTCTTGCGAAGATGTATCGTGATCAGCAATCTGCTGGGAAGGACCAGACCGGCGCCGATGAAGGGGAGCTCGTGGATGTCGATCTAGACGAGGGGCCGCCGGAGGACGAGGACGAAGAGTCGTCGTAGAGACAATCCGGAGTTGTACCTTCCGTAGAACGAGCTCTAGATCGTACTGTCGGGTGAGGTTCGCTGCCGTTGAAGCCCCTCTCGGCGCTTTCCCTCACGCTCGCTCCTATTCGTTGGAGGCGGCCGCGATGCGATCTGAGCGTTTATACATACATGCCTTTTTGAGAACATGGTGCGGGCCTGATCGCGGTCCGGCGGGAACCGCGGGCACGCGGGATGCGGCGTCCTGGATTCCTTGATTCCTTGGGTGCACGGCTGTGCTTCTCTTCCGCAGCCCACAACTTCGGTTTTACTGCTGCCTACTGAGTACGGAGTACTGACCGTCAGAATGTGGTTTTTGTCGAGTTCTCTGGTCGCCGTTCTATGCAGCATAGCTGCTGTGCTAGATTACGCATACGCCGATGAAACAGTTCAAGATGCAGGTCAGTCACTATCTCAGCTCGTCGCACGACATATGGCGATAACGCGGCACGTCAGCCGTAATTGCCAGGCATCTCGTGAACAGCTCATCCATCGGCACCATGGCCACCGTCTTCCCCGGAGATCATGCCACTCTTGCAGGTACGACCGTCTGCCCCAGACCCGATCGCGGCATCCTGACCCGCTATGCCCGCCCCTGATTCATGAAGGAGAGCCATTCGCGCTGCAAGAGTACTACGCCAGGCACGTCCGTCCAGGCCCCTTCTCCAAAGAGAAGGCACAGCTTTCGAACTTTGCTGACTTCGGTGCCCCTGGACTCGCCGGGTCCACAGCTGCCACGCGAACGGCTCGCTTACGCTGCTCTTCATGCCCATCTCGCGCCACAGTCAGAACGTGCTGCACTCGCCCGTGCACGCCGCCTCATTGACCGTCGCGAGCGCATCACCTGCCGCCAGCCGGCCGCGGGTCTCTCTCCTGGGGAACGTCACCGTGTTCCCCGTGCTCGGCGATACCCCGGAGCTCGCAGCCATCCAGGCCTGCTACCTTGCGCAGCACCCCGACGCGCGCTGGTGGCTCCCGGGTCCGAGAGAACCACATGTGGTCAGTACTAGTGCGCTCCAGCAGTCAACTGCCCGTCGTGATGCAGCGCCGCTGACTGCAAACGATCTCTGGGTGGACCAATCGCGATACAGGCATACTGGGCGCGGTTCGATCCCCACGTACGTCAGATTCGCTGCACTCACAGGTCATTTGGCGGGGCTAACGAGGTACGAACGCGCCCGTTATCGCGATCGATAGACCGTGTACTTTGTGGGCGGGTTCGGAGACGAGCACTATATCGGCTACGTTCCCCTGAAGATGTACCAGGAGGCGCTCAAGAGCGACATTGACGGGCTGGGCGTCGCGGGTAGGTTCCTTGTGGACCAGCAAGGCGTCTTCTGAGACGCCAGACGACCACATTTAGTCCTTTCTCCAACATACCCGTACGCATCATATCGCAGGTACATTGCAATGGCCGCTAGAATGAACATTAACCATATGTTTCACAGTGACACAAGCGGCGGACTCATGACGAACTCTAATGAATATACAAAGATTGTGCACAACTCTGGTGACTGTTGAGTATTTGTTCATGGGCGCAGCAGCAGTCATGTACGTGATGAGACGAGCTCGCGGCGACAGCCGTTACGACATACATAGCGACGAGAACACGCCGCACTCGCGGCGGCGACTTGCTGCGACAAATGTGAAGGGGAAGGATATTCAGGAACCACGCGAAGGCTAAATGACATTCACGGCATTGTGCCCAACACATACGCCGCGCTCGCGCTCGCGGTTCCCGAATAATCACGTCGTCGCGCGACACCAAGGTTGCATCAAAGATTCAGGCCTGCGCAGCGTCGTCGCGGAGCAAGTGCTCCCGATGTGTTGCAGCGGCTTGCCTTGCGGGCGGAGGTGAGGCGGCTAGCATGACGTCCCGCACAATCTATCACAGGAATGTCAGTCCGCTTGTGCATTTCACATGCGTGCTGCGAGACAGAGGCTCAGCATTGAACAAGTATGTGATCCTACCAGCGGGATCACCGATGGGCCCGTGTATACCGGGTCTGCGAGTCCCCGTCGGGGTCCGTGAGCTGGAGTCGCAACAAATGCAGACGTGTGCTACTACAGCTGCCACACCGAAATAATCGCAAGCAGGGCGGCCCTGCGTCGCTGGACGTAAGCCTGGTCCTCTGCGTCTATCACCCCGTTGATGGTCTCCGAATCGAAAGCCTCCTCCACCGCCTTGAGTAACCCACCGTCACGGACTGACGCTGGCCACGCCGCGTCTTTGTCGCCCTCCGTCGCCTGTTGCTGCACTAGACCATAGTTGACGACGAGCTCTGACTTGAAACACAGGCCCTGCAATGCGGACCCGAAATCCGAGAAACTCGGACGCGTGAGGAGCTCCAGCACGTCGGATGTCGAAATGGCAGGATACTTGCGCGCGACCGAAGCCACTCCAGGTTCCTGTCCGCCCGTCGAGGCGTCCTGGGAAACGGCCACCGCATCCGCGGTTGCAGAGGCCTCAGTCGCCTCCGCCCGTATGCGACGCCGGGGTGGGGGACGTGCACGCGCCTGGGGCTTCGCGCGTCCCTTTGCAGCAGTGGAGCTGCCCCCGAGGGCGTTCCTACACAAGTGAACCTTGAACTGCGCCGTGGTACGCGTGACGGGCAGGGCGGCGAACAGGTGCTCGAGCGCAGCGATGCTCAGTCCGGAGACGCGTGTCGAGGCGGCATTGAGGAACATGGGAAAGTCGAGGAGCGTTGTTGATCCCAGGTTGATGAGCTGCGGCAGCGAGGGCGTGAGCTGCTGCATATGGACACAGACGGAGACGCGAAGCCCGTCTAGGCACGCACCAGAGCTAAGAGCCGGACGCCCAGGGACCGCCTGCCTTCGCCGTCTTGCTGCAGGGCGCAGAACGCAACGTCAAGCGGCATGTCGAGCTCCCACCGTGGGGCACGCTCGTCACGGGACGGCGAGATCTGCTCGAGCAGCAGAGGCGAATAGCGCACTGTTCGCAACAGTCAGCGGGCTGCTCGGTCTGTCAAGGGCGGGACACCCACCCTGCCCAGTGCGTTCTACATCTGCCTCATCACGCTCGAAGAGTGTTAGGATCCATCCCAGAACACCCCAGGCGTGTTCGCTGACAGAGGCAGGCGGTTCGCTGTCGTCGCCTGCTTGACCGTCCTCGTCAGCATCTTTACTTCTCGCTGTACGCCGGCTTCGCTTCTTCCGCGGGCTCGACGAAGCCGCGATTCCGTCTCGCCGGACAAAACCCTCCCTGATGATCTCCCAGCAGCAGCGTGTCCTCGTAATCCGCAATGCCTCACGGGCGATATACGAGTCCTCGGTCTCGAATCTCTGCGTCGGGAGTAGGTTGGGATCCTCCGCATAGCTAGGTAGCGCGCGTGCAAGCGCCGCTGGGGTGTTTGTGCGCGCGAACTTCATAAGCACGTCCCGCGCGGCGGCACTCGCCTTTGACGAAGGGGCTAGGGAGGTCTTCTGCCTCCTGGAAAGGATTTTGCTGGGGCTGCCGGGTTCGAGTCTTATGGCTTCCTCGTCTAGTTCATCTTCATCCGATGGCGGGGGGTACATAGCAATGTAGATCAATTGCCGTATATGGGGTCTAAAGCGGGAAGAGTTAGTATAGTATGCAGTAAGGTGATGGCTCGTCCAATAATGACAATGCTAGTTGAACGAGCTTATCGCCAGTCACCCGTGTAGAAAGTACACAAGTACGTCATTGAGGCATAAGACGCATATAGGCTGCTGGTAGCCTATCACACCGGGTATTCCCCAGCTTCCTATGGCGAAAAGACGACGAAAACACCCTGGAGTGGTTGTCTTTCCGTCGATTATCCATTTCTCTGACATGAAGCCGTTCGTAAGGTTAGTGTGCGTGAGCAGCAGAACGAAAAGGCAACTGCTTGTTTCACCCTTTCATAGGTTTCCCGCCCGCAGAAACGCGCTAATGTCCATGTATGCAGGCGCCTTTAGCCGCATACACATACGGCTCGAGTCTATCACGAGCGTGTACCTCGGCACACAGCAAAGTGTGATTGGAGTTGTCTTGAAGTCTCAAGACAAAACCAAAGACACCAAGGGAGTCTCTCACTTTGTGGCATACATCCGCTCACGACACGCCCAAAATGAAAGACAGGGGCGCGCTTGTGACCCAAAGAACGCGAAACTCACGGAAATGGCCTGAACTTGCTCGAGCGGATCTCGTCGAGCACAGATATCGCTGCCTCGTACTGGTTTTCCTCGAAACATGTGTCGACGAGGTTGCGCAAGTGTATGGTGAACTCCTTCTCCGCCGCCCGGCTGGGCGCGATTTGCGTGGCCGTCATGGCTTGTTTCGCGGGATTTTCTCTTGCGAATGTTTCCCGAGAATGTATGGAGTCGATTGAGGCGACCAGAGCAGCAGTAGACAAGGACGATGGTGGTGGTACAGAAGCAAGGAGAGCGGGCCGTGCCCGGAGAACGCGCGCAGGATGTTTGTGGCTCGCGCGTCACAAACAGCGCGTCAGGTCACGACCTCGCGTCGCGTCGGTGGCTGCCTCCCACGCGCACTTTGCGGAGCGGATCCAGCGTCCTCTACCAGTATATCCTTAGAATTACTTGCTCATGATTTACATAAAAATGCATAATGAGTACATACGTAATAGTAGCGAGTGTCCAACACCGAGACCATTAGAACGTGCTATGACTGTAGTCAACCTGAAGGAATACATAAGATAATCGTTGGTGGACGCGATTAAGTGACAAAGAGCAGATTCAGAACAAACAAAGCACAGGACGGATGAGCATGCGAGTCAAAGGGATGGGTATGAATGGATCATGAGGCGGAAGCTGCGTTAAGCTTGGTATAATCCTTGAACGGGATGGTCGTCGGCGGCACAGTGCGCTGAGTCTTGGGCTTGCGCTTCCCGTCGCCGTCCCTGTCCTTGTCCTTGCGGTCCTTGTCGCGGTTCGAAGGATGGTAGAAACCGAAAGCGGAAGAGATCTCGGCTTGCTTGATCGAGCCGTCGCAGTAGCGGCATCGACAGTCCGGCCTCCCATGCGCCTTCATGGGCTGGCCATCTAGCAACCACGCCAGGTGCAGGCAGAACTCCATCGGCGACCGGAAGTGAGGGACATAGCGGGATCCTGGCGGCGCGAGAAGTTTGTTTGGGCATCGACGGTGATATTATGGTGCGGGGAAGTGGCTTACCATAAAGGTAATGATCCTTGCGGGGGTCGTGTGGGTGGCCCTTCTTCTGCACCCAGAACGTGTAGTTCGCAGGGAAATTGGCGAGGTAGACTTTGTCGGGGTTCGATCGGGCTGTAGAGCATAAAAGAACGCGGTTATAACCACATGGAGGAGAACAAAAGAGCAGCACGCACGTCTGGTGCCCTGCCGCGCCATGTCTGGCTTCACGACGTGGTCGTAGATGAACCTCCCAAGTTTCTCCCTCCACATTCGATCCGTCACCTCGTCCGCCGGCTCGTAGTAGTTCACGAGCCCCTGCGCGTCGCGCGTACGAGTTCTTTGCGTCGGAGCTCGGCCCGCGTCGGCGTCGGATTCGCTCTGATCGGTGGGTAGAACGATGAATACGGTCTTCTCCCTGCGGAGGGCTTCGTAGCGTGGCGTTCGTATAAGGCACTCCATGGCGGGACGGTGGTGGTGGTAAGAGACAAAGTGTAGTTCGACGCTTAGTGGCCAACCGGTCGTGTAGATTTACGAAAGGCGCTTATCTAATCATGAGTAAAAGCGGCTGCAAAGTTCCCACAAGAGATGCTTTTGTTCTGGTCGCTGAGTCATGTCGACTGCTCTGCCCAGCAAGTGTTAGGCATGTCGAAGCCTAATGGCGAGGATGAGCTCGAGTTGATGGTTCAGTGCATGACAGAAGTGCCGCCGAAGGAGACGTGGGGAATCAGAGGGATTAGCGTGGATCCACGTTTTCATCTGATCTCCCCGCTTTGATCCAACGTAATCTTATCTCTTTCGTGAACCACCATGTTGCTGCTCACTCAACCAACACTCAACATGCAATATACATCCAGCATATGCGTACCAAAACAAGCACGCCAACTATCGCACAATCAACCAATATAGTATTCCAACCTCCAAAAAAAGCCCAGCGAGTCGTCAAAGGTGACTATGCTATACAGCCTGTCCAAACCCAGACGTGCCGAATCCTAGGTGACGATGTAAACATGTACGTATACGTATACCCAGGCCAGTAGCGTTGAGCACGCACGTTCTAATCGCGTCGCTCACATCTGCCGCAGATGGACTTCAGGTACCGTTCCTCGGTGATGACATAAAGTTGCGGGGTGTGTTCTGAAAAGCGCCTTGCAAAAGTGGCAGTCGTACCGTTTGGGTCATTCCAGTTACTCGGTGTGCATGCAGTGCGCATGTGGGACCCACGACTCCGACGTCTTCCCAGTGAACGTCTGCATCCTGAGCAACTTCCATGCAGTCTCGAGTTTTCTGGCGCCCCGGAATTGAAGCAAACCGACGCCTATCGGCAGGTACCAACACCCGGTGAGTCGCCTCGCGTCATACCCTGCAGAGCGCGGAGGCGCATTTGAATGGCCGCGGCGACCTGGAGGATTCATCCCCGTCACCGTGCGTCAGTAGTGATGTCGTACGGGATCCGATACGCTGCCATTTCCGCTACTGCCGCTTACCTTCTTTGACCCTACAAGCGCCACGGAGTGTATACGCACCGTCTTGCTTACTGAGATTAGGCCTCCAGAAAAGGGGAACGGCACGTCTACGGCGAGTATACTGCCGGTGAAGCCTGACAGCGCCACAGTGAGCATGTTAACAGCAGTGCCGCCGTAGTCCATCGGGAGGGACATACCCGTGAGCCCGTGAGGTTTCGCCGTTGAAATAAGGGATCTCAAACTACGCTTCTGCCTGCGATAACAAGCTTGAGACGGGTAAGGCGACTGGCGACCGGTCATATGATTGATGTTCACGATACGGCGCCGTAGGTTCTTGGTCCGACGGGGCGGCAGCGTAAGGCACTGCAGTGTCTTCGCTCTCGCGCCGTCAATATACATAGCTGCCGGGACTTCCCTGCCAATACCTGCTCGAGCGTGAGTATCGTTCGCGCAGCATAAGTACTCTCACACTCATCAGTTGAAGAGACATACCCACCCACCTCTCGCTCACACCATGATAGCTACCGCAAACGTCGACGTCGCCTCCTCCTCCGAGACGATGGTCGCCTACCGCATCATCCCCGGCCTCACGGAGCCGCAGCGCACCATTCTTCCCATCCCCACACCGGGTCCTGACGAGGTATTGGTGAAGGTCCTCGCCTCTGGTGTGTGCCACTCCGACGTCCACCTCCTCGACTGGTCCGCCACCCGCCCCTTCTCCCAAGCCACACACACCCTCGGGCACGAGGGTGCAGGCATTGTCGTCCGTGTCGGAGAACGCGTCGCCCAAGAGACCCAGACGCTCCAGGTCGGCACGTACGTCGCCGTGCTCACGACGAACGCGTGCGGGCAGCCCGAGTGCACCCGCTGCAGCCGTGGCTTTGCGAACGTGTGCTTCGCGCGCCCCATGCTGGGGATCGGCGCGGACGGGAGCTGGGCCGAGTACGTCGTCGCGCGTGCGAGCACCGTCGTCCCGGTTCCGGGAAACAACCCGAAGTCGGAGCGGCTCTCCCCTTCGGTCGTCGCGGCGGCGACAGACGCGGTCATGACGCCTTGGCACGGGCTCAAGAGGGCAGCAGGCGTGCGGGAAGGGCAAACGGTCCTCATCTTCGGGTGCGGTGGATTAGGAATCAACGCGATCCAAATTGCGAAGAACGTCTTGGGCGCAGGCGTAGTCATCGCATCTGACATCCGGGAGGAGAGTCTCACCATTGCTCGTTCTCTTGGGGCGGACTACGCCATCCCGCCTGCCGCACTGAAAGGGCTGCTGGAGGAAAAGGGTCTCGAAGTTGATGTGGCGGTGGACCTGGTGGGAAAGCAGGTGACCCTGGACTCGGCGGTGGATGTGGTGCGGACGGGCGGGGTTATCCTGCTCCTCGGACTTGGCGACGATGCGGTGTCCGTGAACCCGCTCGCGGTGACTACGAAACAGCTCACCATCTCAGGGAGCTTCGGCGGCGACTTTCACGACTTGGAGGAGTGCCTGCACGCGATTGACGAGGGGAAGGTCGTTCCGGAGGTTGAGAACAGGCCTATGGACGAATGCGCTCAGGTGATCAAGGATCTGGCTGCAGGACGTATCAGAACGAGGATAGCTCTCGTCCCTCTGTAGTGGTTTTGTCGTATCTTCCTGTAGCTTTCTCATCCATGCGACATAAGCATTTTATCCTACTCAGATGTCCAACGAGCCCCATATTGGCAGAACGCTGACCTTTCGTAGACCGGGACGCACCACAGTCTCGCTCGCGTTTTGCGAGTTTTGTAGGAGCATGGCCATATTGGTTAGCACATTCGGAGCGACTCGCCGCTCGCATAGCCCTTGTGTACCCAGCTCGCGTTACCGAACATGTCCGTAAAGTGTTTGAGCGTCCGGGATATCGTAAGAATTCGGAGAGAAGGTCCAGAAACTCCTAGCGCCGACTCCGGAGGTAGATTGCCACGTTTAGCGTAGGTTAGAGCGTGCGCGTTCCGGTGCTTCAAGATTCATAGGGAGAGGTTTTGGGCAGATCATCACCGCCCTCAAACGAGACTAGAGGTAGAACACATGCTAAGATAGGCACACTCGACCTGAAGACGTCACTCACCAGGAAGTTGGTGCTCATATCGAGCATCCATAACAGGAGATAGAGAGCTGGAGAGCATGCTAGTGGCATGTGTTCATGCGAGCCTCGTGGTGTTGTACCTCAATACTCCATGGGCCGGTGTTTCATCAGTGAGGGGCCCCCACCACTGCACCCGTGTTTCGCGGGCTACCCGCATTCGGGCCTTTGTAAGTTGAAACATAGGCTTTGCGGAGGATCGCCGCTTCTACGGTGCGCACTCGACGTGCGGTGCAACGCGCCATCATACCGGCGCGTACGCTATAACGCAAATCTCTTCATGTGACGAGGTGTATCGGCGATCTAGCTCCTACACAAAGTATAAATGCCTGCGTCGACGAGGTGAGCGAACGACTCAACACACACCTTTCCAATCCTCTGCACTTGCAACATCTATAGATCAGCTTCCGCTTCGCAATGTCTACCAACACTTCCGTCGATGTCCCCGCCTCCTCCGAGACGATGATCGCCTACCAGATCGTCCCCGGCCTCACTGAGCCCCAGCGCAAGGCCCTCCCTATCCCCACCCCCGGTCCCGACGAGGTGCTCGTCAAAGTACTCGCCTCCGGTGTCTGCCACTCTGACGTGCATCTTCTCGAATGGTCCGACGGGCGCCCTTTCACCCCGTTCACGCACACGCTCGGGCACGAGTGCGCCGGCACCATCGTCCGCCTCGGGTCCAACGTCGCGTCGGACCACACCCTCTCGGCCCGCCTCGCCGTCGGGACCTACGCCGCAGTGCTCGCCACCAACGCGTGCGAGAAGCCCGACTGTGACCGGTGCAGCCGCGGCCTTGCGAACGTCTGCTTCGCCCTCCCGCTCTACGGCCTGGGCGGGGATGGCAGCTGGACGCAGTACATCGTCGCCCGCGCGTGTACGGTCGTCCCCGTGCCAGGCAACGACCCCAAGTCCGCGCGGCTCTCTCCCGCGGTCGTCGCCGCCGCAACGGACGCAGTTCTCACCCCCTGGCACGCGCTCAAGAGGACCGCGGGCGTCCAACCTGGTCAGACGGTCCTCATCTTCGGGTGCGGCGGCCTTGGGATGAACGCGATTCAGATCGCGAAGAACGTCCTTGGCGCCGGTGTGGTTATCGCGGTCGACGTCCGCGAGGAGAGTCTCTCCATCGTCCGCAAGCTCGGCGCGGACTACGCGATACACCCTGACGGGGTGAAGGCGCTGCTGGAGGAGAAGGGGCTCAAGGTGGACGTGGCGATGGACCTGGTCGGCAAGCAGTCGACATTGGATGGGGCCGTGGCCGCGGTGCGCACGGGCGGGACTGTGGTGCTCATCGGACTCTACGGCGATGCTCTCTCGGTGACGCCGCTCGCCATGACCACTAAACAGCTGAAGCTCTTGGGGAGCTTCGGTGGAGACTACCAGGACCTGGAGGAGTCTTTGCGCGCGATCGCGGAGGGGAAGGTGACGCCGGGTGTCGAGGAGAGGCCTATGGACCAGTGCAGGGAGGTCCTGAAGGATTTGGCGGCAGGGCGGATCCGCACCAGAGTCGCCCTGGTTCCTAACTAGGAGAGAGGAGTTGCTTGCTATAGAGTAGTGGATGTTTTACCTATGAATCTACGTTAATCAACTTAGTTCTACATGCTCATTCAGTAAGATTCGCCGCAAATGAACAAGAATAATGGGCGCGCATGGTACTCACTTGCGACTGGGACGTTTTCCCGCTGCTTGTTTCAAGGTTTGGTATTGGTATCATGAACAGTACAGTAACAGCGGCTGGCTGGACGACCTGAGATATAGTTACGTTACCGGTGTGGTAGACTTCTCGACGTGGGAGTGGATACACACCTCGGAGCTGCCTTTCTACCACGTTCAGTCATGCGCATGATGCTAATCACGGGGACGCGACCGGTATCTTCGCGGATGTGAATCACCCCCGGCGGTCGGTGTATACGACTTTCTATAAGTACACACCTCCGCATTCCCATACACAACACGCACCTCAACCACTCCCACCGAAACTGCACTATGCCGCCTCCGACACCGTACCTCCATAGCCCTCCCCTGCCCAAGACGATGGTCGCGTACCGCTTCGAGCCCGGCTTGAAGGAGCCACAGCGGCGGACCCTCCCCGTTCCTGTTCCCGGCCCGGACGAGGTGCTCGTCAAGGTTCTCGCAGCGGGCGTCTGTCAATCGGACGTGCACCTCCTCGAGGAGTCCGACACGAAACCCTTCGTCACATACCCGTTCACCCTCGGACACGAAGGCTCGGGCATCATCGCCCGCCTCGGCGATGAAGTCGCCTCCAACCCCGAGTTTGCGCAACGCCTCACGATCGGAACCTACGTAGCCGTGCTCCTCACGAACGCGTGCGACACGAACAAGTGCGCCCGTTGCAAAAGCGGGTTCGCGAACGTCTGCTTTTCGCGCCACATGTTGGGGATCGGCGCAGACGGGAACTGGGCGGAGTACGTATTGGCGCGGGCGTGCACCGTCGTCCCTGTTCCAGGAAACGACCCGAAACACCCGCGACTCCATCCGGCAGCCGTGGCGACCTCAACGGACGCGGTGCTAACGCCTTGGCACGCGTTAAAAAGGGTTGCGCGTGTGCAGCCCGGGCAGACCGTGCTCATCATTGGATGCGGGGGCCTCGGGAGCAATGCGATCCAGATAGCCAAACACGCCCTCGGGGCCAGTGTGGTCATCGCATCGGACATCCGGGAGGATAGCTTGGTGCTCGCCCGAAAAGTCGGCGCAGACTACGCGGTTCCGCCTGCCGAGCTGAAGGTGCTGCGAGATGAGAAGGGCCTGGTGATCGACGTGGTAGTGGATGTGGTCGGAATACAGGCGAGTATGGATGGCGCTGTCGAATTGGTGAAGACGGGAGGAACCGTGGTCCTCATTGGGCAGGGGCAGGGAACGGTGACGATCAGTCCGTTGGGGATGGGTGTGAAGCAGGTTGCGGTCATGGGAACCTTTGGGGGAGACTATCAAGATTTGGTGGAGTGCCTGTTCGCAATCGAACAGGGCAAGGTGGTCCCGGAGGTCGAGGAGAGGGCTCTGGACGATTGCGTTAAGGTGGTGAAGGATTTAGCTGCTGGGAGAGTGCGAGGAAGAATAGCCTTAATCCCATCATATTGATTGAAGCGGTTATACCGCTTGTATACCAGTTTCGGCGCATACAGCCGTGTCGGAGACTGAGTTGACAACATCAGCATGGCTTGTGAAGATCTGAAAATAGAGGCGAAGCAGTTGTGACTACCTCACTCTTCAGTGATATTAACCGACATTTCACTTCCCCAGGTTTAATCAACAATGTCCGGGTAGAACGCTCGGGGGTGGTGCCAACGAAGGAGTCGGACATACCGGAGGCAATAATGTCTTAGCGCTTTATGATGATCTTGCATTGAACGCCACCAAACCCGAGCATGTACCTCGGTCTCCGCATCATGTTGGATCGGCATTGCTGTTTCAGCAATACCAGAATCACGATCAGAAAGCAGTCGTACGCGGAGGATGCAGTGGGGCGGCATGGATGAATGGTTGTACTTGGATGGAATGACCACAAGTAAAGCGTTCATAGCTCGCATAGCTGGGCAATGGGCATGTCAATCATCCCTGCGGCCAAGCTGAACTGCCCTGGTGAGGGTGAGAACATCAGCGGAAACACAAGATGAGTTGATGCAAATACCTGCGGGCACTGCACACGTCGTGCAAATCACTGGCAACGACTTCGGGGATGGCGAAGCCTGGGTATTTTGCGCTTCATGAGCAGCCCAAATCGTCGTAAATGAGCGCGATGCAGAGTATCGCAACCACACGCGAGAGTTGGGGCTACATGACGGTCGGGAGCAAGATGGTCGTGCGCCTGAGCTGAGCGAACCACTGCAGGTTCCGGCGGACCGCAGCGGGCCTTGGGCGCCTGTCCGACCGAGGTGAGCCCGTGGCGGGCACAAGACCTTGCTTCTGCCAATCATCTTCGTGGTCTTCGTCCTCGTCCACGCTCTCGTCGCCATCGCCCGCAGCAACGAGCAAACGCGGGGCAAAGCGTCCGAATTTGCTGTGCAGTGTCGATGCTTGCTTCCAGGAGACTCGCCATCTCCCTTGTTCGTAACCGTACATTCAGACCGCACGCCATAGCGACCATGTCTACCGCTCCCCCCGCTTCTGATTCCACGGGTGCATCGTCAGGAGGACCGGTGGAGTGCGCAATTAGGGCCAAGGTACGCAGATGGACCAATCCCATACCTACCCGTACGCCTCCGCTAACAGTAATTCCACGTGCCCCGTATGTCGGTTTTGATAGCTCACTGAGCTCCTGAAGCCTTCGCAACTTGACATCAAAAATGACTCATGGCAACATAGGCACCACGCGCCGATGAGGGCGGAGGGCGGTGGCAACGGGGAGACTCGTACGTATTCATCTTTGCTACGCTTAGGTCGGGCGCGCTGAGTTCTAACGATTCTGTTCGTTACCGGGCGGTCAGACTTTTCGGTGAATGTCGTGTCAGACGAGTTCCAGGGAAAGGTATGTATTGCTTTGGACGATGCTATCACGCGGACTGAGTGTCTATGTCTGACTTGTCCGCGCATATCTTTCATAGAACACCATGCAACGACACCGAATGATATACGCCGCCCTCTCAGAGGAGTTTGCCGCCGGGCTTCATGCACTGTCGTTGAAGACCAAGACTCCTGTTGAGATTCAATCCAGCAAACAGTCATAGCTTTGGCTCTCGAGTGTCCGTTCGTCACTTGCCTTTACAAGAACAAAGTCTCTACCATTCCGTGGTATGACAAGATTGTTTCGTGCGCTTGTTCTTCTGCGAGCGTCGCCGGTAACCAAAACTCTGTCACGACGCTCCGCGTGGTCCACCATGACTCTGCCACACCGGTGCCGAACGATCATCCGGCTGGTTTCCGGAATCTCAGATCGCAGTGAATGCCGGCGGAGACGAGCGAGTACCATTTCCATCTCGTATGTTGCAACATACGCTATTGGCTCCATGTGCGGCGCGCCCGCATAATTAATGCCACTGGCTCACGGTCGTTTCTTCTCATGACAATTGGTTGAACAGAGCTTTCACGACACGCTGACCACTGTGCAGAAGTTAGATTGATTCTGCGGTGGGATGAGCAGCAATGCGCCCGGCGCGTTTTGTATTCTCTTCAACAGATATTCGGGATCGAAGCACAAAGGGGCAACCCGCAATTAGCCTTCACGACGAGACGATCATCCGCTTCTCGCCATCCAACCGCGTACATCCCCCTGTCGATGTGCGACAACGACACAAACACTCGGCCGTCGAGAGCGGTGAGGCAGCATATGGCCATCAGCTGACCGTCGTACTGCTTGCGCTGATCTCTGATCCAGCGACCGCCCGGCGAATCTCAGATATGCGCCTCTCAATGAAAGTGGCGCCCACACGGCGTCACCCATCTCGCTTGCACTCCAATCCTCGCTCGATCATTCACCACTGGGCAGTACGCAGGCTGGGCCGCGCACCTGTCCGCGGTCTTCCCAGCGATTCTCGCCCACCTGCTCTGACGGAGGCCTGCGAATCGTGGCAGGCGAGTTCGGTCGACGTGCTCGGCAGCCTGCTCCGAATGTCTCCTCGTTCACGACTGTCATCAGCGCCGTTGTCGACGTGCTCATGGGTACATGGAGACCGACTTGCCGCAGTGGTGAAGGCGCGCGGGAGCGCCGAGAATCACTACAGCATCCATTCAGGGTTCCAGATCGCTTTCTGAGATCGAGTCCTTCGCGTGTTGGATGTGCCACGACTGCGGACGTGTGTCTCCGGATGTGCCCTCGACGTTCCGTTACCGCCAACTGTTCGTCGTCTGAAGGCTATATAGCGACGTGCCGGCCTCAATTCCTCCACTCCCCTGCCCTTCCGATCTTCACCCCTTTTCCATCCCACCCACCTCCAGCGCCCGTGCTATGCCGCCTCGTCAATCCTCCTCAAGCGACCCCTCTGGACGAGGCGAGCAGCGGCCGACGCTACCTCCCATCAGACAAATCTTTGGACGTGAGTAGTGATAATGTTCTGCACAGTCCGCGTCTTACCGGTTATCTTCGCGTGCAGAGGAGCTGTCCAGGTCGGTCCCACCACACCAGACGCGAGGAGGATCCCCCCACCTCGGCGGCCGCATGTCCTTGGCAGACGAAGATCCTCGCCAGCTGTCCCGCGGAGCCTCCTCGCCCGCACCTCGTGGGTACGCCGCCCCGGGCACGCCGCGCTCCTACCCTGCGTACCCGGACGTGCAACGGCACCAGCAGCAGCCCGCGCCCCACCACCCGCGGACGGCGTCAGACCCGCAGGCCACAGGCTATCCCGCGTACCCCCAGCACATGGCCCAACACCCCGGCCCTGCGCTCCAGCCGTACCCGGCCGGGTACCCCACGCAGCAGTACGCGCAGATCCACCCGCGCACCCCAATTCCGACGGGCAGCTATCCCTATGCTGGCACCCAGCACATGCACCCCGGGATGGTCGCCGGACCGTCAGGCAGCCAGCCCTACCCCGGCACGGAGCCGGGCGCGTCTGATCGGAGCTCGTCATCAAGATACGAGTGCAGTTACTGCGGCAAAGGGTTCACCCGGCCGAGCAGCTTGAGGGTACGGTGCCACCTGCTACGCTAGTCAGCGGCGTGAGACTGACTGCGTTCTTAATGCAGATACACCTGAACACGCACACCGGTGAAAAGCGTGAGTAACAGCTACGCGGCGTTAGTTTGATCGGCGCTGACTTGAGTTTTTGACGGGCGCGACAGCGTTCACTTGCCCATATGAAGGCTGTGGCCGTAGCTTCAGCGTCCAGAGCAACATGCGCCGGCATGCGCGGGTACACACGCGTGGCCAAGAGTCCCAAGGCGGCGCCGATCTGGAAGAGGAGGGCGACAGCGCGGAGGAAGAGTACCCATCCTCGGCGTCGTCCTCGCCCAAGTCCCGCAAGACCTAAGCGACGCCGTGCCTGCCACTACTGCACCCGTCCATCCGCGCCCTGCCAGCCTACCGTCGCCGTCGTACCGCAACCAGAGAAGATCGACTGTATCCTAATCCGCACTACAGAGTACCCCAAACACGGCTATTTGATCGTCGCTACTATTTATTCGCTGCATCTTACGCTATCCTCGCATCACACTGTACACTATGCATCCACTCGCACTCGTTCTACTCCGACGCTCATTCCCTTTGTTCCGTTTCCGCACCCGCACCCGCATCCAGGCCCTATTTATTCGCACCACGCATTACCTCACCGCATCGCCTCGCACTGCACCATCCGCTCCCTGTCGTATTTAACACCGCACGCACGTCGCCCCCCTTTTAAGCTATATTTATTCCTTTTGCCACCTTCCGACTTCGGGGCATTCCTCGATTTCTTGTATTACTTATTTATTCGGACCCGCCCCCTTCCTTCCCTCCCGGGGACCTAGAGGCGACTTGCCGCTTGTTGTACTAACCATTTCCTCTGGTTTTGCCCTAGACAACATCCGCACTGTACAACACCATCCGCATGGACTTTCTCGTCATCACTGTACTACCCTCACACTCCTTCCACCATCTCCTATCTATCGCCGTATAACGGCATCTACCCCACTTCCAGGGACACCTCCCTCACTGCGTACGCTCCGCCCATGGAGTCCGCCACCCTACCCACCGTATGATCATCCCGATATCTCACACAACGTTCGCACTGGCTGCGGCGCCCTTGTATTCAGTACATCATTCTGGAAATGACAACCTCATCATAAGAGCTCCGGTTGCCTCGGAGGTTCCTGTCTGCCACCGAAAGGATCAAACGAATGCGCATTCTACGATTATGCGAGTGTGTATATAGACAAGAGAAACCGCCCCAAACGACCCAAGAAGAACCCCAGCGAACACCAAGTGGACGCTTCTGCCGCACGCCAGCGCATCGCGACGCACTCAGTCGCTGTCCGTATCCTCCGGCTTCGGACCGCCGAACGTGAGCCAGTTGAGCTTCCGGATCCTCCGACGCTCCTCCTGTGCCTTCTGCTGGTTGCGCGTGATCTTCTTCTTTTTCCTGATGGGCGGCGTGCCAGTCCCACTGGCCTTGTCTTCCGCACCACTGCCCGCGGGCGTCGCGGCGACGGACGCAGCGGGGGTCATCGCCTTGGCGGGCGTGTTCGCGCCGCTGCCCTTCGGCGACTTGACGTTGAGCGGGTCCTCGATGATGGCAGCCTTGCCCTTGTGGGTCATCCGGCCAGCATCGACGTGCCAGATCTCAGGGCCTGGGGCACACGTAGGTCAGCTACTGTGGTCATGATGTGTGGTCCGGATTCACTTACAGAGCGAGGTCACGAACTCCTCGTTATGGGAGATGATCACCTAGAAGCCCGCACGTCAGCCGCGGCACAATTTATGAGCCGGTAACCTGTACGCACCACTGCGCCAGCCCACTCCTTGATGGCCACAGCCAGACCGCCGAGCGCCTCGCGGTCCAAGAAGTTACTAGGCTCGTCCAGAACACAAATCTGCGAAGGATTGCCGTCAGCATGATTGTGCGGTGATTATGAGGTAGCTTGAACATACCTGGGGGTTGTTCCACAAGCAGGCTGCAATGACAAGCTTGATCTTCTGACCTGTGAAAAGTTGACTGTCAGCAAATGGATCGTACGTCATACATCTTTGCACATACCTCCCGAGAGACCTGAGATCTCGTTGTACTGCGCAATATCTCCGTCGAGACCAATGTCCTCGAGATGCTTGCGGACGATGTGCGCGGAGGTGTCACGCTGTCCGGCACCCTCGCGCGAAGACTCAAGGTCATCGAACTGCTGCACGAGCTTGGTGAAGCCCTTCTCAAGCAGCTCCTCACGCGGGATCCAGGTGTTGAAACGATGGTCCAGGCCTGGCAAAGCGCATCAACGTATCAGCTTCACGCTGTTTCAAACTCAACGGATTTTGAAGCGTACCTCTCCACTTGACTTCGTACTGAAGCGACTTCTTGAGCTTCTGACGACCCATGATCATCTGGCACGAGGAGGACAAAAAGGTGTCAGCGGATACGGTCATGTCACAATGGCAATGATGAAACGTACCTCAAGTTTACGACGCTGGCCGTTCTTTCCGACAAAGTCGGTGTCCATGATCGCTTTCTCCTCATCGGTGAGAATACGAGTCGCCTTCTCCAAGATCTCGCCTATTCACGACAAATTGATTAGCGTCCCGCACAGTGCATTATGCGCAGGAATATACCCACGATCGTGTCCGTCCTGGAATCGCCACTGGATGTATTGAATGGGCGTTTTCTCAAGGTGGCGCTCTGTAGTGCAGAGACTGCGTGAGGCGATGTCATCAAATGCAACATACGACTTTGCGTACCGATATGATGCGTAGCGTGCTGGGAGACATAGCCAATACGCAGTGCAGGGTGCTTGTACACCGTGCCCTCTTGCGGCACAGTCTCGCCCTAAAACAGATGTATGAGTGGGCCGACATCGAGCAACTCGTGAATTTGACATCACGTACAGTCAAGAGCTTGATCAGAGTGGACTTTCCAGCTCCATTCGGTCCCACGATGCCCACTCGACTGTGTCGGAACGTCTCAGCATGACATCCGAGAGGCAAAGGATCACTACGCATACCTTGACAGGGACAGGGCACAGCTGACGTTGAACAAGCTGGGTTTCGGCCTCCCAGGGTACGTGAAGGTACAGCCCGTCATCTTCAAGATGGCGCGCGTACTGCTGCGCACACCCATTAGGGAGCCTGGCGGGGGGAAGGAGAATTTGACTGATGTAGCGGCGAGCGTGTAGTAAGACTTCGCCTCCGGGTGGTTAGCTACGAAGGTCGACAGGTTCCCAGGGTAGAAGACGAGCTGAACGGGAAACGATCAGACACCTAGGCATTGCCATCCTATTGAAATCTGTCCAAACCTTCTTGGTCTCGTAGTGAATGATATCGGTCGTGACGGTGTCGAGGAATCTACGAGGTTATGTCAGAGAGCGGTTGCGATCGGACATTCGCTATACGTACCCAGAGTCGTGACTGATGATGAGGCAGGTGACGTTCTTCTGCGCCATCAGGTAGTCCTGCAGCCATTTGACGGATGCACGGTCCAACTAACAACATTCCTTTCGTTACAGCAGTGCAGTCCACCAAATCTTGATCAGCACTTACGTGGTTAGTAGGCTAATTGCACAATTCGTCGTCAGCGCCGGATGTGCAGCGGGAGCATTGAAGGCTTACCTCATCGAGCAGGAGGAGATCAGCGTTGTATAGCATCGCCCTCGCGAGCTCAAGCTTCATCTTCCATCCCCCGGAGAGACCGCCGACGTTATCAGCCTGTCGCTCATCATCGAAGCCGACCTCAAGGAGCTGATCCCGGATCTTCGATCGGGGCACACCGGCCAGGGCCTTGTCTGTTTCGCCGACACGGAAGACACTGAGTATCCGACTGCGAACACGGAAGTCTGCTGGATGCTATGCTTACCTGACGCGACGAAGTCAAGAATGGAAAGAGAGGTGTCCTCGCCCTGCAGCGAGTGCTCGACCATCACGCAGCGCAGCTGGTCCTGCGGCGGGAAGTTCTCCACCTTTCCGTCGCGAAGCTGGCGCATAAGCGTGGACTTGCCGGATCCGTTCGTTCCGAGGATACCGTAGCGACGGCCACGGAACAGACGCAGACGAGTGTGAGACAAAAGCAACAGCGCGCCATATGCCAGGGAGAAGAGGGTATCGCAAAGCAACTCTCCTTCCTCGGAAGAGCCGGTCTGGGTGGTCGCGTATTTGGCCTCATCGACCGCCAGGAAGTGTGAGCGTACACGGTCTGCGAACTTCGTGGAGTCCACGGATCCGCCGGCGAACCAAGGCTCGAGGGGGGCTCCAACGCAGCGTTGCCACACTTTGGTCTCGGTGAAGTTGCGGGCCTGGACCACGTCCGCCAAAGCCCCGGCGCTATACTCAAGGACTTGCTTGAGAACGGGGTGGCGGGGAACACGAGGCCCGTTGGGCGAACCGGACGAGGGAGCGGCCAGCTCATCGGGGATGAGAGTGAGCAGCGTGTTGAGGATTTCGGTAGTCTCTGCCACAATGTCGCGATGCGCGGGAGGAGGGCCATCCTTGGACGCGCCTGACTTCTGAAGAGTGAAGAGAGCACCTTCGGCAAACGCGCGGACCTAGGAGAGCATCAAGGTAAGACATCACTCTTATCAAATGGTCACAGGAACTTACCTCGGGGAATGCAGCACCCTTGGCAATCTTCTCGACACCCTCAACAAGAGGGCTCAAGTAGGTGGCCGCAACAGTAGGATCGCGGACGAGCTTGACCAGGTTGTCGATAACGACAACGGACCGGCGCTGGACCTCCATCGAACGATCGTTCAGGGCACGGATCATGAGCGGAACGAGGACGGCGAGAGCGGGCGCAGTGACCTCCGCGACGAAGGTGGTGTTCGAGAGCGCCTTGATGCAAGCAGGCACGGAGTCGGGGTCAGACATGCACTTGACGAGCACCGGAATATGGGGGATGAGGTCGGGGTTCGCCAGAGTGGTGCAGAGCGCCGTCGCGCACTTCATGGCGGCGGAGGAGACCTGGAACGGCATCAGTACACGGAAGTTTATAATTGGGCTTGGTCGGCCGGACTAACCTCAGACTTCGTGTCGTGCATAGCGCTCTCGATCTTGGGGATAGTCGTGCCGAGCTCGTTGGCGACGGCGTCCCGAGCAGAGTTGACGAAGGCCTTCATGGCGTCCAGGACGCCGACCTTGGTGCGCCATTTGCCCTTGTCCAAGATATCTTCCAACGTCCGGAAGACGATGCGAGTAGATTCGGGCGGGAAGAGCTTCAGGATTGCCTTCGTGGCGGAAGCGGCGGCGGCGCGAACGACCTCGCCCTTGTCCATGTACAACTCAAACAGAACCGGGAGCGACTTGAGGAAAAGAGGCGCACAGGGCGCCCCCAGGACCGTCGCGAAGGAGTGGAAGGCAATGGCGGCGCTCTCGCGCTCATAGCCAGACTTTTTGTTGGTGGCGAATTGCTCAAGGGTAGTGAGGATGTTCTCATCGCTGAAAGAGCCATGTTGATTAACGTCAGGGCTGATGCACTTGCAGAGGGCGTAACACTCACGTCAGGTTTTCAAAACCAGCCTTGTGGACTTCGCGGGCCAGGCGATCGGCGGCAGCCTTTGCGTCTACGCACGCGGGTTATCTGTCTGCAATCGCATGAACGTTTGTGGGGATACTCACCAGGGGCGGTGGGCGCAACGCGGAGCGCATCTAAGAGGGGTCCAAAGTGGGAATCCGGGGCTACAGACATGGCGACAGGAGACATTCTTGAAGATACAAGTGATACAGTTGTGGGTTCCGGAGCAGCTGAGAATCTATGCGAGCCGTGAGATTACTGGTGTGTCTCGTACAGTGCAGAAGGAGGCCCGGAGAGGTATGATATAGCCCAAGTGTTCGAGAATGTGATGTTCCTGGGTGGATCTATGTGTGAGACGGTGAGCCCAGAAAGCGGAGGGGGGTCGTCGTCTGGAAGACGGCGCTGGGCGCGAGTGGGGGTGCGGTGCAGAGAACGAAAAGTTGAGAAAATTTGGATCAGCCAGTGAGCAGTCCCGATTTGGAAATTGCGGGGAAATCAGCGGGCAAAATTCCGACACTTTGAATCAGCCAATGAGTAATCCTGATTTGGAAATCCCGGCTAATCAGCTCACCGTAACTGTGGCTTTGTGCGCACTGCGCACTCCTCCCAAGTTGGACCTCCAACTTACGTCGGCCTTGTAAGCGTATCCACAGCTTTGACATACGTATAAGCGTACACTCTGTCGACATGTGCGCACTGGCTCTCAAGTACTCACGGTTCGGCCCTAATATGTTCCCAGCTGCGGGGGTTTTCTTGTTCGTAGAAGGGGCATCAGGAGGCTACCTTTCGCGGTCGTGGTTGCGCCGTCGTAAGCTGGATGATTCGGAGATGCGCGTTGGTATGGGTAGGCGGGGTTGGGAAGGGACTGGGGGATCCAGAGGTGGGATGGGGATACTAGTTACGGGGGTAAAGGAAGGAGTAGGTTTAGTCCTCGCAAGTCCTCACGGCCGTCTTATACTTCGTTGATGCATCGATGATCTTCTGGTCTTCTGAATAGCTTCCTGTCATGTCTTCTGGAATCACGCGTTATGCTTCCATGAGCTGTAGTCGATGTCCAGCTCGCCGACGAGGGGTCGATCGAATACTATACAGTAGTGACACGTACCACGTGACTCACGCACTACGCGTCTTAAAGTTCGACGACGCGCAGAAGTACAGCCGCGTCACCTTAGCACTCGACCACGACAAGGTCATGAGGTGTGTTCACTTCCTTTTCGCAACATTCGCTTTGTTTACTGACCACGGTACAAAGATGTCTTCATCACAGGTAACACGATCCATTATATATCTTTTTTTCGATTACGACAATGCTAAGTTTCTTCATTACAGGTGATGTATATGACCCGTATTCGTTGCCAAGACAGAATATCTCAAGATGTTGCATGAAGAGGGACCGGCCGTTTCTGAGAATACTACGGCCTCTCAAACAGTTCCTTTGTGAGTGACACGTTGGGCTTCGATGCAAGCGCGAAGGGACGCGCATACACCCACAGAAATCACGCATATAGGCGTGCACGATGCGCATACATCCATCCAAAATCAAGTCATGATGTCGTACCTCCTCGATCCTATCATGGCGAATGCTCCAAACACCTCAAAACTTTCATTCCTTCCAAGTTCACTGCAATTGAGTCTGTGCGGTTGGAGCGAATTGAAACACAAGTTTGGCTTCAGGCATGAAGCTCGCGTCGCGCTCGGGAACCCCAGTATAGGTGCGCTACATATTGCCTAAAAAAAAGTCACTTCGAACCTCTTCAAACACAGCGTTTTAGTCGAAGACTGATCCAGCGCTACTGATCCGCAGTGACCACAGATAACGCGAGATAACCCCCGCCACCGATTATTCCGGCCCAGTTTGTCCGACGAATCCTGAGGGATCACTAGTCTGCCCTCGACCATCATCATCTCAGCTCCGCCACAGCTTTGCCTCTCAACGACGTTGGCGGTGTGTACACCGTATATATAGGGCCGCATTCTATTCCTGGAACCAACGATCACGTCCAAATGACGAACGACCGTTATCTGCGCAGGGTGCATATGGGCTGCGCGGTAGGCGGCACTTCGTCGCATGATGCACACACGGTAGCCGCGCACATAGCCTCGGTGGGAGCAAAGTTGCGACACAACCCATCTTAACTCCAGGTATCAACGCCCTGTCATGCACCCAAGTAACCATGTGCGCTCTTCGAGCGTAACCGTTCGCGCCTCAAACTCACATATGGCTAGTCGCGCTTCTGCTGATAGTCTTCTGCTGATAGACTCTGGGCGGTCCGCACTATATGAGCCGCGCTCTGCGCATACCTGCGGGCGACCGTCCCCCCCGACTCACCTAAGCGGCTGCTCACGGATCCCTCGTTGCCTCGCCGGTCTACTCATGCAATCATGCAATCCTCAAGCAGCACACATGTAAGCAGCACGACTTTCTGCACCGTCTAGTACTCAGACTGACATCTGCACAGAGATTGGCGAAGCGCAACACCGTGCTCGACCCGCCTCTCATTGCAGGCATCGCTGTCGTTGTAGCGCTTATCAACATTGTCCTTGCCCTGGCTTGGTTTACCTGCCGCGGCCGGCGGCAGCTCAAGGCGCACAAACGTCGTATATCGGGCCCCGTTGACGTCGAGAAGTACCAGCACAGTGTCGCCTTCGCCGTTGCGACAGGCGGTGTCCCGGGGACCATCCACACGAAGGCTGGTGCTGGGGCAGGCGACCGCAAGTCCTACTTCGAGCTCATACAGGCCCTGCAGCGGCAGCCTAGCACGCCCTCACCGGTGCGGTTGTCGCGCGGATCGTCTCAGGAATCTGCGGACGGCCGTCGCCTCTCGGACTACGTCTTGCGCCCGCAGGATATCAAGGAGCTCAGTGGCGTGCCGAGGTACCCGAAGGCAAAGGGGCGTGTCCAGGCCTTGCGACGGAGCGTGTTAGTCGTGTCGCCCAACGGATCCACCCTCACACGCTCGAATTCCCTCGCGGAGACAGCGAGTGTTTACTCCTCGGCGTCCGCCCCGCTGGATTACCACGAGCAACTCTTCCGTGCGCAGCCGTTTGCGCTCAACCCGAGCGCTCCGACGAATCCACCCGGTTTTGAGCACTCGCTTCCCAAACCCCCGCCTCCGGCCGCTGTACCGCAACCAACTCAGGCGGCCGATGACCATAAGCAGCGCCTTTCCTCCCCTGCTCAGACACCCGCAGGCCACCGTCGCCCGAGCCACCCAGATGTTCCCTCCACTCCTTCGGTGTCCCCCACGTCCACAATGCCACCCCTTTCTCCCCGTCTCCGTTCCCGTTCTCGCGCCAACTCCAACCCCCATGCGATTGCGCCGCAGGTGATGTGGCTGCAGAAGGACGATGCTGCGCGACCATCTCCCTTGGTGAGGCGACCGAGCTCGGTCTCATCGCTATCCATGATCTTGGCTCTCCACCGCGGTGCCGCCGCACCCGCCGCACAGGAGACCTCAGTTGCACCACTGAACGTCCGTCGGCGATCGAAGGATGTGTTGGCAGGCCTCGCAGCTGCTCCCGCGCGGCCAGATGCAGACGCGGGACCGACCATCCCCGCACGGTCACCACGGCGACCTGCCAAGGCTGCCTCATCGTCGGTCGAGGACTCGGAATCTACCTAAACGGAGATGTACTCTCGATCGATCGATCGTTGTCCAGTTACGCGTGATATCTCGTTGTACATTTGCTTCTTGTCTGTCGTTGTACTTTGGATGGACCATAGCCTGTATCCCTAGTGAGTGTATGTACACTCGTTTGTAAAGCGGCTTGCCTAATGCCGATTATTATCCAGCTCCATTGGTTGTTAGTGAAGCATCTGTACTCCGTGAAGGCGTCATCTCTCCAGTGATGCAGGTTGTAGATCGGGCCCGGCCGACCGCGTGCGACGCCACCGACGGCGGTGCACCACCGGGAGTGAGCAGGAGTGAGCTGCACTCTTTCGAGACCTCTCTCGCAACCGTGTACAATTCTGAAGTTCTCTTTAGACCACGCGCGAGCTGCACGACAACACCACGAACGCACAGACAGGCTGAATACCACCATGCGCGCGCTCTCGCGCATAGTGAGCGGTATTCGCGAGGCGGGATAGTAGGCGCCTGCTAACCGACGGCACCGCCCTTAAGCATGGGATGATCCCGGATGATTGGAAGTCCGAACGGGGCGGGTTGAAAAGCCTCCGTCGCGAGTGCGCTCTCCTCCAGGACGACCACCGCGTCACCTTCTCTATTCCGCCTCCGCCCCCCTCTCCTCCTTCGGGACCCTCCTCTCTCTACCCTTCCCTGTCTTTCCTCGCAAGACTTGTCGGTGCTCCTCTTTCTGTCTTTACGACCCTGCTCTCGTTCGGTCAGCTCCATTCTCGACACCGCCATGTTCTCGTCTACCCTCTCCCTCGCCGCCCTCGGCCTTGCGCTCATTGCACCCACCGTCGTTAACGCTCACGGTTACATCCACACCTATGAGATTGGCGGCACATCCTACTCCGGTTGGCTCCCGTTCTCCGACCCGTAAGTCCCACTTTCCGCGCTGTTCGGCACGAGAAGTCAACGGAACAACACCAGTTATGAGAGCCCCGTTCCGAGTCGGATTGAGCGCAAGATCCCCAGTGACGGCCCTAGTACGTACATGCTCTATTTTAGATCGCCGATCCACCGTTTAACGCGTGGATGTAGTTCTTGATGTCACTTCCTCCGATCTCGCCTGCAACAAGGGCGGCGAGACCGGCGTCAAGGCGATCGCTACTGCTGCCGCAGGCAGCAAGATCACGTTTGACTGGCAGAGCGTACGTTCCGCCCAAACGCCCCATTGAGTTTGACCAAATGCTAATGCTTACTTTAGTGGCCCGCGGACCACATGGGCCCTGTCACCACGTACATGACTGATTGCAAGGGCGACTGCTCGACCTTTGATGCTTCCAATGCGAAGTGGTTCAAGATTGACGCCGCCGGGTACACGAACGGCCAGTGGGCTGCTACTCAGCTCATTGCCAACGGCGCCAAGTGGACCAGCACCATTCCCAGCGAGCTCAAGGCTGGCGAATACGTGAGTACTCTACACTAAAATATGTGGGACGTGTTCTGATCCATATGTATATAGCTGGTTCGTCACGAGATGTACGTTGTTGGATCATCTTGAATTGCGTTTCATGAATCTAACCATAGAACAGCATTGCACTTCACGATGCCGGCGCGCCCCAGTTCTACCCCAGCTGCGCGTATGTACATCATTTGTGCGACTTCTGACCCACATACTGATCGAATTACAGTCAGGTGAAGGTCACCGGCAGCGGAACCCAGGTCCCATCTGGCTCCTCCCTTGTTTCCATTCCGGGTCTGTACACCATCGCAGAGTTCCCCGACATCTGGTCCGACAGCTTCAAGAGCTTCTCCATTCCCGGGCCCGCGGTCGCCTTCAGTGGCTCTGACAGCGGCTCTGGCGACTCTGAGCCTGCCAGCACATCCTCCACCCACGCCTCCACTTCTTCGGCGGCCTCCCACACCGCCTCCTCGACGCATGTCTCCACCTCCGCGGAGACGTCCGCGCACGCCTCGGCGACGTCTGCGTCCTCCCACGCATCCTCCGTTGTCCAGACTTCCTCGGCCGCGTCCGCGTCGAAGCCCTCGTCGACGGGGACCGGACGGTGCTCCTCCAAGACCAAGCGCGAACGCCGCGGCATGGTCAAGCGCCACGTCTCCCACCAGGCCAAGCGTCACCACTGATTTCTGTTTCTTCCTTGCGTACGTGACTTTCGCCGCTTCGGAATCTGATTCCATTGGGCCCCGCGCTGACCGCCGTACTCCGTCCGTCTGTAGGCTCTTGGCTATCTCGAGATCTCGATTTGCTTTTGAGAAGCACTGGTCGACGGGATCTCAATCGATGTCGATATGGACGGGTTGACTCCCCTCCGTGCGCTGCTCCCACCGCCCCGGGGATAGAGTCCTCGCGCGCGGGTTGCTTCTGACGTTATTATTGCCTCGCTCTGCCTCTACGGATTCCACACGATATGTATCGGTGCTGCTAGCCCGCACGACTGCTCGACGATTGTACCGGAATACAACGCGCCTTGTTCATGTTCCGAACCTTCTGCTCCGTCCGTGTGTAGCCGTGCCCACAGTCTAGAACGTGGACGGGAGGCTTCTCACTGCGATCCACGAGAGATCGCCGCTGGAATGCCAGCGGTACGCGTCCGTAGAGCGTGTCACAGAAGCAAGGGTCGACCGAGAGCCCGCTCCTCGAATGCGCACGCGTGCTTTGTGCGCCGTGCTTCGCATGGGGCGCCCGTGATGCAGTGTGCCCGCCGTGGCCACACACCATAGGCGGCGCTTGGCGGACGCACTAGTGAGTGGCACGATACACGATGATACATCGACGCTGTGTTCCCCGGGCCCTGCTTCTGATGCCAACTGCTCCCGCTGTCAGCGTGCACGGTGCGGGGTAGGGCGTGCTAAGCGAGGCATGGTAGATCCGGGAGCCTAGATTCGCTCGCGCGGGCGATAGACTTCGCGGGCGGCGCGACACAGGTTACCGGGGGTGTGGGAGCCGTGCCGCCCTGGACGCGCACCGCTCGGTGCCACTCGGTGCGCGTGTGGTGTGCAGCGTGTGCGCGGGGCGACGGTTCTGCCCGTGCACGCTGCCCGTGGGCTTACGGGAGTCGATCAGCGGGCAGGCGGCCAGGAGGCGGCCTCGAGCTCGCGGCGATCCGGGTCTGCACGCGCGCACGGCGGGCGAGGGTGGTATTGCGGGAGAGATCTGCGATGGGGATGCGTATACGTACAGCGAGAAGGACGGGGCGGACAGCGAAGGAGAGCAGCAGAAGGAAGTTGCACGATTGGAAGCGGGCATATTACACATGACATAGTGGAGTAATAAACTAGGGGCGCGCCGCGGCAGGGCGAACTACGAGGGATAATAGGGAGAGAATACGTAGGGTACGGTGAGGTAATGATATAGGCGATAAGTCAAGACGCAGCGGCAGTATACATAATAGTGTAGTCACACAGAAGGACGCGGAGGTGCGCGGGACGAGAAGGTGTGGGAGGGGACGGAGTGCGGGGGACGTGATCGTCGAGATAGCAGATGCGATGCAGTGACGGTGGGTGAGAATCGCGGCGATGGGGGGCGATAACGAGCGGAAGGATGCGACGGAACAAGGTCCTAGGGAGCGAATGTCACTGCGCTGCGATACTTACGTTAAACAAGAGCCAGCAAATAACGGGGCGGCGGTGGGACGCATGCCAAACGAGTGGTGATGCCGCGCGCGCGTGGCGCGCCTGGCGGTGCACGAGAGAGAGAGGATGTGGCCCGCGGCCGTGCATGCGCGGAATCGTGGCCCGGCACGCGAACGCGAAGTGCGATGAGGCCGCGATTAGAACCCGGGGCGGGGAGAGAAGCGGCCATGTCTGTGCGGTTCCTCCTCATGGCTTCTCCGATGGGAAGACGGGCTGGGGGATGGGTTTAGGCGGCCGGAGGGGTGGTGCATGCCTCCCATGTCGCTGGACGGGCGCGACATGCTGTAGCCCGCCTGGCTGATGCTTGCAGGCCCCATCGCGGACGACGGGTGGCCGCCGAACCCTCCAGAGGGCGTCACGGACGCGGACCCCGGGCCCGTATATGGCTGGCTCGTCGTGGGCGGAACGCTCGCTGCGGCCTGCCGCGTACTCTGGCGCATCGCTTGCCGCTTGTTCTGGAACCTGTTGTGCGCGTCGCGTCGGCAAGCGTCAGCCATCAGTCAGTTGGCGAGCTGCAAACGCAGGACAAAGGCGGGGACGCACCATATTTGCACACTTCGTGCCGACATCCCCAGCTTCTTCGCGAGCTCTATGCGTTCCTCGGTGGAGGGGAACGCGGTGCGGTTGTATGTTTCGTTGAGGACCCGGAGCTGCTCAGCGTCGGCGCGCTTGCGCTTCTTCTTCACGGGTTCTGCCTGCGGTTCGGGGGCGTAGGACGTAGGCTGGACTACGGAGGGGACACGGGGGTATGGAGAGGAGCTGTGGCCGACGCCAGGCCGCATGGGGGCCGACCTGTCTACCATCGACCCGCGCCTTTGTGTGAGGCCCGAGGGCGCGTCGAAAGGCGGCATCGGGATGGATGGGGGGAGCTGACGAGCATCAGGAGCGTTGGGGTAGAAGCTGTTTTGCTGCTGCTGGTGCTGCTGAGGGAAGGGAGCGTAGGTCGGATAGCCGCTGCTGGGCGAGCGAACTTGGCCTGCTGCCGTCATTGGGATGTGGGGGTGCATCTGCGATTGAGGATTAAGTGGGGGTAATGTACGGTCGTGAGGGTTCCCGATCATGTTGTTCGGCGATGAGCGAGATGGGTATGAGCCGTAAGGGGTCTGTGCTTGGTATCGGGGATCTGATGAGAAGGGCACGCCTTGCGGATGAGGTTGGGCTGGGTGGCAGGCAGAGCGGAGGTAGACGTCATGAGTACGTGAAAGAACGTGGTGGACGGCATACGTACCTTGATTGACTGGCCAGCCGGGCTGACCGTAGGGCGCTATGCTGGGATCGTTCCGAGGCTGTAGGGGATCTTGCTGGGGAAATTGATGAGAAGGGTCAGGAACTGCATTGAGTAGAGACGGTTGAGTTCATTCATACAGTATAAGGTACTCCGAAGGAGAACAGACCTGGAGAGCGTGAGGTTCGAAACGGCGCAAAAAGAGGAGGCAGCACAGTTCGCCCACCCTGTCCGAGATGAAATAGTCCGCGTCGGGAGCCGTTGTTATTGTTGTTGGCGTTGTTGTTGTTGCCTGTCGGGGTGCCTCTTCGGTTGGGACGCGGGAAACAACCGTAATGAAAGTGGTCGTCCGGGTGTTGCTGATTCGACATGGAATATGTGAAGTGGGCGATGTTGGGATCGTCGGAAGGTCCTCTGGGCCTTCAATTTGTAGTCGAAGTAGGCGATGAGGCATCCGGCCTGCGCATGGCCAGCCCCCTGAGCAACACTGGATTGCGCCAGTTCACCACCACAACGCACGTCGGACGGGGGGAGCTGGAAACCAGCCGCGGCTACCGTCAGGCGTGTTGCAGCACACCTCGACCAGTCAGCGCGGGGGGTGACGTCCAAGAACACGAGGCAAGGGTAGTGGGCAGAGCGTGCCTCGGAACGACAGAGTGTTGCTAAAACGGCGAGATGGGGAGAGGCTATGAGGGGCCAACGTCAAGACTGGGAACTAGGGGGGCGAGATGCGAGGATGCGTTTTCCTGCATCAGCAGATGGATCGGTGGGACGCGCGTTTTACGGACGAGGGAAGCGTCCGGATGCACGTCTAGGGATAGCGCCAGAGTATCAGCTTTCGCCTCGTGTCTCCCTGCCGTGCTGCATCACGGTTGGGGGACCTGTTCGGCGAATGCCCCAGTCCCTGTGCGGCCGACAGGGCTCGGGGCAGCCAATTTGCTCCGGAAGAGGCCGCCGTTCTAGTGGTGACGACTCGGCGGAGGTCCCACATTAATTTACGGCCGGGAGTCGCCCGGGCGCGAGACGTTCTGTTGGGCGCACGGGACTCTCCGCTTGTTACTAAATCGAGGGTCGACCCGGTATTCACGAGCTGGTATGAAATGCCGCATCGCTCGGCGCGGCGAGGAGGCCGTACGCGATAGGCAGGCGCAGTTTGGCGAAGACGGTAGAAAATGCAAAGGGAACGACGGCGGTGTCGAATAAGTGGCTGAATCACCAGATCGATCGGGCTGGAGTAATTCCTCTAGAGGCCGAGAGCAGTAGATAAACTTTGCGATGCAGCTTCTTGCCAGAGTCCGCTGCAGCTTCACGGGACTGCCGGGCGTTGTGTACGGCTCGGACTCGGTGCGCGAGCTGTGATCGGCCTCTGTAAACCCGGTGCGCTGGGGAGGCGTGGTCGACAGCGCGAGCAATCGATGTCCTGATACCGGCGCAGAAGTGTGGAGGGCCCAACACGACGCAGGGGAGGGCGGCTTCTGGCCAGCACCGGGGAACGGGAGGGACTCGAGCACAAGGCGAACCGTTGTTTTCGTTTGTACGTACGTGACAGGTGACCCGTCACCAGACTGATTGCCGAATCGGGCCAGTCGCGGTCCGAGGCGCACGGTGGCGGAGCGCGTCCCGTCCTCCCTGACGTCGACCCCGACGACGACCTCGAGCTCGCGCTCGACGACCATGGCCTCGCCGCGTCGCCCGCTCCCGACCCCGCCAGTCAGCGCGCCCCGCAATGAATGGGACAGCTTCTATCCGCACGCCATCCCAGGCGGTCTCCCCGACATGTACCCATATGGAAATCCGTCGAGCTTCATCGCGCCGTATCCATACCACCCCGCCAATGCTCCCCCGGCTCCGTCTACGCCTGAATACGAAGCACCATCGGCTACGCTCAGGGGCGGAACGCTCCTGCACAAGGGTTTCTATGACCTTCTCGCGCTAATCCCTTCCATTCCGTCCACCCCGTCGCCCTCGCGACTCTTCTGGCCGCGCGCTCCGAGCCCTGACCCCGAGCCCATTGCTGGCCCGAGATATGAGGAGATTGAAAGCAATGTGACTGCCGCTCCGAAACAGCCAGCTCCGCCGACGCCTCCTGTCGCTCCTGCGTTACCAAGGAATCTTAAAGCGAGGAGAATAAGCAAAGATATGGTATCGAAGCCCACGGGATTCATGTACGTTCTATTCCCGTTTGTCCGAGCCCAGGGTTGAGAACATGCGTGCCATTCCAGTCACCTTGTCCACGCATCCGATGCCGACCAAGCGGAAGCACTTCTCACCCGCTGGGGTCCCGAAGGGCAGGGCAAACTAGGAGGCAAGTGCGCGTCTATACTACGCCCATTCATTCGCCTGAGCCATAGAGATAGATCCTCGCTGGGCCGACCCTATCAAGAACTTGATCAGGTACACAAACCAAGCCCGCGCGATTAATGAGGTCGTGAGCGCAATGAAACCCACGCCGAGTGATGCGCCTTCACCTCCGCCTCTCAGGGTTGTAAATGGCATGAGTACTACGACGTCGTCTATTATCACCACTGCTGCGAGGGAGAACGTTTCCTTCACCCCGGTGTCACCAACATTCCAGCCGCACTCACCGACCATGCAATCTCCGCCGTCTCCCACTCCGGCTCAGCTTTCTCCGAGTCTGGGATTGCCGGGTAACTCCACCATTCGATGGACTGCGGGCCTGCCTGTGCATCCCGAACACGAGCAGGAAGATGCAGCCGCTATGGATCCAGACAAGGACCTCCCCGAAATACCCACTCCCCGTCCCAAGAAGCCGATCACCCCGTCACTTGCCACGCTGGAGAAAGCCGTCGCTGCAAAGATATATTTCGAAAACTTATACTTTCCTCTCTTCCGTCACCCGCCTTCCCGTGAGCAAAGACGCGTGGCGCTCGAGAAGGAGATGGCAGGTATGCAGATGAGCGAGGCCCACAAGGAGAATATCCGCCGCCGCTGGCGTCAGAACGAAACAGAATATTTGCGTGAGCGCCGTCGGAAGGTCGATGTCAACGCGTTCGTCAAGCTTCAGACAATCGGACATGGTTCGGCAGCTCCATGTGCACGTCATTCGGCTAACTAATCTCTTGTCTATTGTGTGGTCTAGGTGCATTCGGTGTTGTCTCTCTTGTTCGCGAGCGATCTACGGGGCAGCTATTTGCCATGAAACAGGTGACAGACACATCCATTGTCGCCGTAATTTGCGCTGAACAATAGTCGCGTCGACTTATCACAGCTGCGAAAGACGGACATGTTGCGGAAAGGACAAGAAGGACATGTGCGGGCGGAGCGCGACCTGCTGCGATCGGCCTCCCTCGTCAATACCCCCGGAGGTGCCGAATGGATAGTAAAGCTTTTCTACAGCTTTCAGGATCGCGACCATCTCTATCTGGTATGCGCCCGCCCACTCATGCCTCTCCTCCATCATTTGGAGCTCACTGATTTCATTTCGATTTCATATCTGATAGGTACTGCAATACATGGGCGGTGGTGATCTCCTCAACCTACTGATAGAACGGGACGTCTTTGAAGAAGATTTCACCCGGTTTTACGTCGCAGAGGTCCGGCTTCATTTCACTTCAATCACACGCTGAGGATTACTCATATGTGGATTTTACGCCGTTCATTTCTGCTTATTCCTGGGCTGCGGCGCTCAGATGGTCCTAGCTATCGAATCATGTCACAAGCATGGGTTCATTCATCGGGACATTAAGCCGGACGTGGGTATTTGGAACAATTCCACCGCTGGATGCCAGGACAATGGGCATCGGTGTGGTGCCGGAGTCCGGCGGAAGCTAATATCGTTCCTCTCCCCCACAGAACTTTTTATTCGACCCGGAAGGACACATCAAGCTGAGCGACTTCGGCCTCGCGTGAGTGATTCCTTCCCACAGGCCGGGAGCACACCCTCTGACAATTCCCTCCCCCTTCTCCCCCACTGCCTCGCTCACAGCACCGACCTGCACTGGGCGCACGATACCTCCTGTCTGTGTTCTTGGCTTCCCCCTTCACAGCGTCCGGGCTCATCTTATTCCTGGCAGACTACGAGCAACAACGCCTGCATCTGCTTCACAAGCATGGCATCGACCTCGAAGAGAGTCACGGCCTCGGAGACGGCACGCGGACCAAGCGCCTCGACCGCAAGGAGGTCGAGCGACTCATGGGCGGCGGAGACGGCCAGAGTGGGGTCTTCACATGGAGGGAGAAACACCGCCGCAAGGTAGGCCACGCCTTGCTGTCAGCCCCCGTCCACAACATTGACCTGGCATCTAATCACCGTCCGTCGTACCGCCATCCAGCTGGCATACTCCGTGTGAGTGTCTGCGCGATGTTCGGGTTGTCACCACATTAACGTCCATCACGACCGTCTTCCCTGCCACGTCAGCTGCGGTACGAACTCGTACAGTGAGCATTCAGGGTGTGCGTGCTGCTTCCTGCTCTTCGCTGACGTGTTGTGGCTGCGTCAGTGTCCCCGGAAGTAATCAGAGGCCACGGATACACGTTCTCGTGCGACTGGTGGAGCTTAGGGGTCATCATGTTTGAGTGTCTCTACGGGTACGTCACCCGGTTCGATTGTCCCGGTCAACCTTCACTGACACCGCCTGCCTGGCCAGCTTCCCCCCCTTCGTCAGCAACTCGGTCAGTCCTTGTACTTTTCTTGTACATTCAGCCACTCACCCTCCCTCGTGTGATATATCGTCATTTGTGAAACAGAGGCACGTCACCCGGCAGAAGATACTGAACTGGAAGCAGTCACTCCGTTTCCCCTCCCGCCCTAAGGTCTCTCACGAAGCGGTCAATCTGATGGAGCAGCTCCTCTGCGAGCCGGAAGACCGTCTCGGATCGCAGGCGTCGTCTTCCGTTAGCAGACCCAACTCCATGATCGTGCAGGCAAGGCGCAGCGGTTTCATCACGCCGCAGGGCACCATGGGCAGCGTGGACGGGGCACACCTGATCAAGGTCTGCACCCGCCGGGTCCGAGCTCGCTTCATCGCTGACGTCCTGGCAGACACATCCGTGGTTCAGAGGCGTCGATTGGGAGAATATCCACAGGTACCCGGCGCCATACCGACCCGAGCTACGTAGCCCGGAAGACACCAGGCACTTCGACGACGACATCCCCGCCGAGGTGAGTCACAGATACGCACCATGCCTCCGTTGTGTGATCAGTGTTGATCAATCGTGCGACGGCTAGCCCCTCGCGCCTGCCAATGGTGCGGCTGCGGATGCGACCCGAGATCCGCTGCTGCGAGACAAGGTTCATGGCGGTGAGATTCTCGAAGTCCGCAAAGCCCTCGCGTTTGCAGGCTTCACGCACAAGAGCCCGCGTGCTATCAGCTACGTCCGCGCAGACAAGGCGTTCGACCCTGAGCCTGATACGTACGGGCAAGCCGAGCCGGACAGAGGCCGTTCTGCGTTCCGCGAGGCCCGAGACGTCGGCACCGGACGTGCGATGTCGCTATAGTTCACGAACGGTACGATCCCTGACGCAACGCCCCAAGCACGAGTTCCTGCCGCGCCCGCTTTAGCTCATACCCTCGCGGCCGCCCCCATCTACCCCCGATACGATATCCCGGCGACGAGCGCGGACAGTATATTGTCGAGACATCTTGGAAGAATTCCCTGCCGCATGTACCACCACCATCTACCGCCCGGGCCCGCTCCGCGCGCGCCGTATATCTATACCGCCCTGTACCGCTACACCGATGCTCGATTTGTTTACATTAGTGAGATCTAATCTCCACAAGTGTGTACAACGTACAACATCACCGCGTGGCGGCCGCACCCATCACGCTCCGTTGGTGGACCTACAACGAGCGAGGTGGCGCCTGCGCGACTTCGACGGCTTCGCGCCTGTCGATTCGGGAAGGCACGGCTCCAAGCCGTGGGCCATGTCAACCGTAGCTCGGTGCATGGCCGCCCGCACTGCACGCGTGCCCTGCCGGCAGCCTGCCCACATGGAAGCCACCCGGTGCGCAATTCGCAATACACCCCGCGGGAAGGCCCACTGCCGCAGACGGCGCCGCTGCACCAGAGCGTGCGCTCGTCGCAGAGCGTGACAGCGGCAGCGTGTGCGGCGGACGGCAGGAGCGCGGCGGTGTGTCTCATGAGTAGCGCGCGGAGGCTAACTCTAAACCCCACTGGCACTGTCGCGGGCCACCCACCTTCCAGTGCAGATCGACGTCGTACTGCTCATATCGGTTATTTCATCGCTCGTTCTGCATGCCGACATGAAAGCCGTTTCCAAGACCACACAGAGCGAGGCTATCGCGACGGCCGCCGGTCTCAGCAGGGGGATAGGCAGGGCGTCCGCGTCAGCGTCCAACCTGGCGGTCGCAGTGCGCCTCGAGCTTCGTTCTTCTCTCTGCTTCTGAACACGTGCTAAGGGCGCATGTCAGGCGTGCCGTATGCGCAGCGCACAGCAGGCTCAGCAGTACAGTCGCTCGGGCGCGCCCGAGAACCGCAGTGCCTCGCGGTGCCTCGGGCACGTCCCGCTCAGGTCTGGCGGCGTCAGGGTCGCCGCGGTGTGTAGCTTGCACCGAGATTTAGAGCGCGCCGAGACGATCCTAGACCGACATGAGCCCAGCACGCGGAGCGTTTTACCTCACAGCGCGCGCGGTGCAATGCACTGGCCAGGGGACACGCCGCGGGGCCCATTGAGTTTGCGAGGGGCTGACGGCCGTTCGCGGGACTTCAAACGGGACCCGTTGCATCCGGAAATCGGTGGGGCATGACGAGAGTGTGCGCTTGGGACGTGCGAAGCGCTGTGGCTTTGGAACGGAGCGGTCATATTGGGAAAAGAAGGGGCAGGTGTGGCCTGAGTGTCGCTTAGCAATCTCAGAGTTTACGGAGGAGGCGGGTGGAATATCAGGAAGTGGAGTGTGGTGGCATTGATAGCCTCAGCCGACAGAGGCGATAGCTTCGTGGACCTGTGGCACAAGGTTATCGTTCTGCACGCCTCTGATAGTCAATCAGGCCAACTTTCAAGCCGTCCTTTAGACAGCTCAGGGGAGAAACGTTTGGTGGCGTATGAGTTCAGCACGTACGTCGCTCTCGCCTGAGCGACCGTAACGGCACTCCTTCGGCTGCTGTTGCATTCCAAGAAAGGCAATCGTTCAAGAACGAATGATAGACGCCGACGACGATCCACAAGGTTGCGGGTGGATCATTTGCAATGAACATATGCACATACTTGGCGCAGAAGTGTTTTCTGCCGAGTAAGAGGGGCTTCCATGGCCTCGTGCAGAAGACCCTTACGTCTATGAGGCGCCATACAAGCAAGAGATTTACCCATTATATTCGTACAGTGCATGCCGTTGAGAAGCAATGTCCATTATCTGATACGTACCGTACTAAACCAAGAATGTCAGCGAAGATTCATAACCCCGCGCGCACGAAGGCAGCACCTCGTACCTGGTATTCGCCACGCGCGGGTCCACGCGGATCTTACGGCATCCCCGCCCTCATGTTGTCATACTGGCTCCCCTCGTACTGCAGCCAGTTCGGGCTGCGGTCGAGCTCGCCCATCGCGTCCTTGACGACCGCGACGAGGCTCTGGCCCGGCTGCGCCTCCTTTCCTGGGCCAGCCTCCATGCCATCGCGCGGGGGCCCCTTGTCCCCACTCAGTTCCCAGAACATGCTGCCGCGAAGGCCCTCGCGCTTGATCCACTCGCCCTTCCAGCGTCCGACGAGCTCATTGTCGAAGCTGATCATTTCCTTCTTCTGGTAGTCGTACGACCAGCTCGCCGCGAGCTTGTCGTCCTGGAACAGGTATGATCCGGGCAGCGGCAGCGCGCGGTAGTCGTATGAGCCTTGCTCCCAGCTGCCGGGTCCGACGCCCTGGAAGGGGTGGCCTGGCCCCTCTGTGTTCATGAAGCTTCGTCCGTAGAGGGGAACGCCCATGACGATCTTGTCGCGCGCGACACCCTGAGAGATGTACCAGTTGATAGCCTGGGAGGCACTGATCTGGCCCCCGAAGATGTTCGCCTGATGGCCTGCGACGCTGTCCCAAGAACCGGCTGCGACGACCGAACCTTCGGGTCAGTAGACTAATACATGCGGCGAAATACCCGCAATGAAAACGAACCGAAGTCGTATGCCATCATATTCCAGAAGTCAAGGGACTGGTCCATTTCGCGCACATGCAGCTTCTTGTAGTTATCAGGGCCACACGGTGCTGCGATCTGTGCGGCATGTGAGCACGCGCGAGTCCGCGAAGCAAATAGCACGTTCGCTCACTGTCAATAGGAACCTGTAGTTCGCGCCCTTTCGCCGCGCATGGGCGTCTAGGCCTTCCCGGAGCTCGCGCAGCAGCTGCACGTAACCGCGAGCTTGTTCGTCGTTCTGCGGATATTCGTAGTCGATATCGAGCCCATCGAGTCCATTGTCCTCCAGCAGCCGAATCGAAGACGCCACGAACTTCGAGCGCAGCGCGGGGTTTACGACAATGGGGTGGAAAGTCGGGGAGTACGTCCATCCGCCGATAGAGAGGATCAGCTTGAGGTGACGGTTCTGCTTCTTGAGATTGTAAAGCGCCTTGAAGTTGCCATACAAGTTCTTGCCCTGGTCATTCCAGGAATCACCGGGGTAGTGGATCTCTTGGTCGGCCCAGGTATCTGACAGGAAGACTTCTCCGGTGTCGGCTTTGAGGTTCGCGAATGCGTAGAGAATGTGTCTGCGCCTAAGTGTCAGCAATATTGAAGCCGGGAAGGAGGGCCATAACGTACGTCAGGTTGTCGACCGGAATCATTGACGGCGGGTACTTTCTGCCATAGATTCCCCTACATGGACATATATCGTACCGCATGACATTGTAGCCGACGTTTAAGTGACTTACCAGTTTACGAAGCTGCAGAACGATAGGAATGGGCCTTGTCATACACAGATCGATGCAAGAAGCACTTACTAGCCGACGCTGTACTTTCCGCCCGAAGCCATGTCTGTATCGTTCGCGGGTAGTACACTTGGTAGTGCGGGTTCCTTAACCACGTCTTCCTCGATGTTCCCAGATGAGATATCCGGTGCCAAATCAGGAACCACTTCTCTTCCCGCGGACCACTGCTCCGATCGGTAGGCTGCTAGAGAGACGAGGGTGATGGTGACGGCAAAGAGGAGGATTCTGCGGACAGTCACCAGACGCGAGCGAGTTTTCTGGGGAGCAGAGGGAGGCTGTGGCTCAGGCTGTGCGTCCGACTCGGAGGGTAGAGGTTCGTACGACGGCTCGGGCATGCTATGCGGACGCTGTTGCGCAGGCGCGGACGTCGACGTATTGCGGCGGGAGCGACTGCGGCAAATCCCGCAGTTGACCTCATCGCTTCCCCCTTGCACGTGATAAAACGCGTCGCGTCGCGTGTATATTGCACGCGTACACTGCCTGTGATCAACGTGCGAGAGAGGATCGATCGACGAGGAACGGTTCACGCATGTTTTCAGGATGTGGAAGTACATTCGAACACACGACAAAACATTTTTACGGAGGTACAAACATAGGACACCGGAACGTCCAAACATCTCGGCCGTGTATTCCTCCGGCTCGAAGACCGCTCCACCGAGGAAATACCATTTAACAGAGGCAGGGTAGATGGAGCGTAACGAGCGTACAGGAGGCGCCTGCGGGCGTATCATTGCCCTCCTGGAAGAAGACGTCGAACACATCCGCATCGCTCGTGCTGCACGCGAGGAAGTTCAGCTGGCGCGGCGCAGTGGTGATGATCGTGTCGCCCTCGAGGCCCCAGTCCGTGGTGCTCGCCACCGCGTCGAACGTGAGCGGCTTGTACGAGGTCGCCGCGCCCTCGTCGACGTTGAGGTACAGCTTCGAGCCGTCCGCGCCGTCCAGGGAGATTGTGCTGCCGATCGTGAAGTACCCCGAGGATGCCTCAGGCCCGAGCACGGGCTTCGTGCCACTCGCTGCGCGCGAGATAGGAGTCGTCAGTGCTGCGCTGGGGTGCCCCGCGGGATGCGCCACGCTGCTCACCGTCGCTCTGCAGGTAGAAGTGGTAGACGGGAGGTTGATCGGCGCGGATCTGTGACCCAGTCGGCGTTGCGCCACTCGCCGTGGTGGTGGGTCCCTGCGGCACCGTCACTGTGGGTGACGGAGGGACTGGGGTAGGAGTGATCGTCGCGACTGGCGCCGTGCTCGCGGGTTCGGACGCAGCCCCGGGGACACACTGCGAGTAGTCTGCGGGCGGGGGCCGTCATTAGCGGAACTGCGCGCCAGCACCGATCCCACATACAGTCGTTAAGCACTGTGCACACTGCCCCCGCAGCGCACGTCGTTGCACCTGCCCTGGAAGAGGTCTCAGTCGACCCTGTCTCATTGGCCGCAGGGATGAGCAGGGCAGCGACTCACCAGCCGACACCACCGCACTGCCCGTAGATAGGAGCTTGGGCAAAGGCTTGCGAGGCGAGGACGAGCAGGCTCGATGCGAGGAGGATGCCGTGGAACATGTTGGCGGTGAGTTTGTGGCTCGACGCGTGCAGCACGCCGCCATGTTCCGCTAGCGTGATATACGGGACCGGAGTAAGAATGGAGAAACTTCGTTGTGGTTGATGCGGCCACGCGAGGTTGTCCCATTTATGCCTGCGGCGGCAGTTTCTTCGGTATGATGTCTGACCACGCGAGGGCGCTGCGACTGGTCAGAAGACCGGCCGGTATGAGGGTGATTCTGAAAGAAGGATAGGTACACCTCATTTGGTGGCGTACGCTATGTTAATCATGAACTCGATTGGATCGACATAACTGAATGCTCGACGGTGCTGAACGCCGTAACGTTAGTGATTGCAAAATGAGATCGAGGAAGCATGGTCTAGACGTAGCCGGCGGGAGGTTGTGGGTCCACCTGCACTTGAACAAGCGCCACTAGGCCAGTACAAGTAAGACCGGTGTTGCCTCGGGATGGCTAGTCGAGTCGCTCGGAGTAAGTAACGCTCGCATGTCATAAACCGAGGCAAATGACACGTACCTGGCCACAGTGACGACGCAAATAGCTAGAGATTCTGGATGCAACTGCGAGCGATGAGCTTACCTGTAATTTGGGACAGTCGACTCATCTCGGAGCACCAGTTGGTATCGTTCGGCTACAATTGTCCACCTCGTACATCCAGATGGCGATAATCCAACGAAGTCTGCTGCGCCCCTGCTCGTCTTGAACCCCACACGTCCCTCCAGATCGGCGGCGTCAACCTGGTCCATCTCCCCAGATCGGCCTCAACCCCTTATGTCCCTCCAGATTGGCGTCAACGCCTGCGCAACGGTGTTCGCCGCGACCTCCAGACACCCACGCGTCTCCTCGTCCGCGACGCTCTTCAGCACCCCCCGCGCGCGCCACCGGTCGGGATGGAACCGCTTGTGGCTCTTCTCCACGAACGCCTTGTAGTCCTGCGCGCGCATGTGCTGGCGCGCCGCGGCGAAAAAGTCCTCCACCGACGACCACTCGATGTCCTCCACGCGCAACGTCACGGGCGAGTGCAGCACCGGCCACGGGATGATCTCGAACATGACCGGGTCCTCCGCAGTGAACTTGGCGGCGTCGAACGCCTCGGAGAGCAGCTTGTACCGCTCAATCGCGCGGCTTGTTGTCCACGGCCCGTAGGACCACCGCTCCCGTTCGCGCCGGCGACGCTGTTCGCGCTCGCGCTCGACGCGCTCCTGCTCGGCACGCGCGCGCCGCTCGGTCTCCGCCGCTGCGGCTGCGGCGCGCTGGCGTTGGCGCAGGTCTTCTGCGGCAGCAGCAGCTTTGCGACGCCGCTCCTCTTCCTGGCGTGCGCGGTTCACTTCTGCCTCTGCACGGTCATGAGCAGCGCGCCTGCGGGCTTCTTGTTCCCAGAGCGGGCGGTCCCGCTCGAGCTCGGCGAGCTTGCGCCGCGACTCCTCGATGGCAGCTAATCGCTGCGTCTCTTCTTCGTCAATCGGATTGGTGTTTGTGCCAGATTCTGGGTCGGCACTAGGCTGTGGGTCGGCGCGCGCGTCAGCCGGGGGTTCGTCCGCGTCATTGCCTGTCGGTTCGGTGCTCATGCCCGAATCTGAGCGCGCGCGCACGTCATCTCGCGGTTCACTACCAACGCCTGTCGAACATTGTTAGGAATGGATTGTGCAATGGGGAACAACCAGAAATAAACGCACTGTCGCTGCCCTGCGATCCGTGTGGCGTGCCTCTGGGAGTGTCCGCGAGAATGTCTTCCCATAGCCGCCGCTCCCGCTGCTCTTTGAGACGGCTAGCGTATTCTTGACGGTCCTGCGATTGCGCCATCTTGCTCTGCTTGCGCTGTGAACGCTTCCTATCCGCGTACGGAGCGTGTGGGCGCGGAATATACGTGGTACCGAAGGATAGAGAGAACGTCTCCCCCGCTCGCAATTTCTTGCTGTTGCTCGCATATGCAGAGCTATAATCGGGGTCTCTCACATGATCATCCTCTGCGTAAACTGAGCTAGAGTTTAGCAGATATCGTTCAAAAACTGCATATAACTACATACCTTTATGCTTCGGGGCTCCCGGGGGCGCTGTTGGAGGGACGCCGTTGGGCGCTGGCTCGGCCGTCGGAGGAGTGTCGTCTTCCATGGTGAGATCCACGATATCTGGTGTTCGCGAGCGGTTGCTGTCGAATGAGGAGGAGCCCATATTCGCCTTCATCTTCTCGCGTTGTTCTTTCCGCCGCGCCTCCTGCGCTTTGCGGCGGGCGTTGCGTCCTCCGGAGGAACGCCCATTACCGGGGGCGCCGCGCATAAACTCCTCTGCGACGATCTCCTCGACCTCATCTTCGTCGTCGGATTCCGTTATGGACTCCATGCCGCTGTCCTCCTCATCCGTAACAAGGTTGACGACGGTGCGAAATTTCTTGTGAATCCCGGGCGACACGGGAACGGCGCCCTCGTTGTCGGAGGAGGTAGAAGAACGGCGTTTCCTGTGTGCATCTGCCTTGCTGCTCGCCTGTGAAGAGGGGGCGCTTTGAGGCTGGCTTCCTGGGAGCTTGCGCGTGATGACCGGATCCCCCGGAAAGTTCGGGATGTAGCAGTCATAGGCGGGGTCGAGCTTGTAGATGTCCCATTGGTCTTCGGAGCAGATCACAAACTCCCTATGGTTGTATGAGGAACGAGAGTCACGCAAGCAAGCCAAAGCTGCTCACCCGTCGATGATGATTCTCCGTGGCCAAACGCCTTCATCCTCCACCCCTGGCGCGCGGCGCGCACGCGGTACAAACCTCCAACGTCCTGTTCCGCGACCTCCGGGCGGGGTCTCGATAACGATGCGTTTCGGACGAACGGGCTCCGGATCGTGGCGTTTGCGCGCATGGGTTCCGCTGCTCGCGGCTGTGAGAGGATCGAAGACGGCGAAAGAGAGCGTAGATCCTGGTACGCGTAAGAGTCGTGCTGGTTGCGAGCTATCAATTACGCCTGGTCTTGTGCCGTGAAGTTGTCGTGGTGCTGGAAGACGCGAAGGTCCTGCTGGTGCGAATGACATCGCGTCGGGTCGCGTCGAAGTGTATAGATGTCACCGTATAGTCGATTGTCCCACGTTCGGTGTTGTGAATGTTCAGAGTCGCCAAGCCAAAGAGCCAGACATAAAGTACAGAATAAGCGTACACGTCCGATGTCGGCGAGGTCCTAGCAAACGGGAATGAGTGAAGGAGAACAGAGGAGAACACGTTGGTACAGCAGCCGCAGGGTAGCCACAACCGCGGGCGCTCCTTCAAAAAGTGGCATCACGTGCACAGACGCGCGTCTATCTGAGTGACGCCCATGATGCGAAGGCATCTTCGTTTGTCTCATTCTGTTCACTCAATCACTTCGGTACGTTCTCGCAGCATCATACTGAGCTGGGACGAATTGTGCAGCGAAATATTTCGCCAGGTATTCCTTGGTCAATACTCGAGACGGTACGCTGTGGCCAGCTCCATCGTCGCGATGTGACGAGTCATGACTTTCTATAGACTCGGTGACATCCGCGCGTTCGCTGCTTAGATCCGACCCTGACTGAGCTTGACTCGTCCTGCTCAGTGCACGGTCAAATAGCCCCGCAGAGGCTCCACGAAACTCATACTCTGCCACCATGACCAGCTTACGAACGTTCCAAACTGAGATTGACCAAATACACAACCGCGAGGTCGCGAAGCAGCGCGCGTTCGCGGTCGCTGAACGGGCCAAGGACGTCAAGAAGACCCCCGCGAAGGGCCACGCGCGCAAGGAGAGCACGGAGGTCGTTGATCCGCCGAAGAGTGCGGGGAAGGAGCCAATAGCGGCCCCTCCAGCTTCCGGGGAAGAGGATGTCGCGTTGTCAGATATCGATGAGCGGTTACAGGTGCGGGGTACCCGCTCGTACATGGCCGTCTGTAGCTAACAAAGGAACGTGAATGCGCGGTCGGACGTAAAGCCTCTACTGCTGTCGCGATTACCGGAGAAGCTCGAGCAGGCGAGGAACCTGATTGCCTCATTACTTACCCGAACGCGCGGGGAGTACGTCTTCCGAATAGGTTCCCATCCTCCCGAGGCCAGGCTATTTTCGGGGAGAGCGTTGAACGAGGGTGATGGTTGGGTGGGAACGCCTCGTACAGTCAGCGAGCTCGACACTATCGTCGAGGAGACGAAGAAGGCTGTGGACGAGGTCGGAGGGCAGGCGAGTTCTCGTTTCTATCCTGCAAGACTTGAAGCACGTCGCTTAACTTACGGATTGTGCAGACCTCAATACTTTTTGATAGCAGACCGGAACACCCCCGAGCAGCATTGCTCTTACGATTACCACCGCCCGACGTTTCCACTACGCCGGAAGTTCGCTGTGCAGTAGTAGGTAACGTCGACAGCGGCAAGTCGACCACATTAGGCGTATTAACACGAGGTAGCCGTGATACTGCATGCACTATATGCGGGTACTCACCTGCTACCACGCATACAGGAGCATTAGACGACGGTCGTGGACGTGCGCGAGTCAGCTTATTCCGACATAAGCATGAAATCGAGAGCGGGCGCACTTCCAGTGTCGGCATGGAGGTACGTCTCTACTCGGAGCAACCTTTTTGCGTCACTCAATGCTTCCACCCGTGAAGATCCTTGGGTTCGGCCCCACAGGGAAGCCTATATTGCCCCCGGCAGCTAACTCCAACGACCCGGAAACTATTCGTCGCGAGAAGATGGGCTGGGAGGAGATCTCCAGACAGGCGTCGAAGATCATCTCGTTCAGCGGTGAGCACACAACATGTTCTTGAGATATACGACTACTTACGAGTATGCCAGACTTGGCTGGGCACGAACGATATCTGAAGACAACCCTGTACGGGTTGACGTCGGGGTCGCCATCCTGCGTCATTCTCATTGTCGGTGGAAACGCCGGGCTCATCGGCATGTCCAAGGAGCATCTGGCGATAGCTCTGGCTTTGAGTGTGCCTGTGGTAGTCTGCATAACCAAGATTGACATGACGCCGCCAAACATTCTTGCCAAGACAGTCGAGCAGGTGTCGAAGATCTTGCGTAGCCCAGGTTGCAGGTAAGCCCGTGCCGTGGCGGGTGGGTCTGGTCACTATACCGATGGACTTGCAGGAAAACGCCAGTCTTTGTGAAGTCCATGGAGTGCGCCGTAGCTGTGTCCCAGGCTTTCGGAAAGGACCGGTAGGTCCCATCTTCTGGTCCGCCAAGGACCCTTTAATCGACGTCTCCACCAGATTAGCACCGGTTTTCCAATTATCGAATGTCACAGGCGACGGCCTGGACTACGTGAGTTGCAGTCCACATCCAGATATCCGTGGCGTCCTCAGCTCACCACTGTCCGCTAGTTCCGGACCTTCCTCAATTTGCTCCCGGCCAGCGAGAGCGACAAGGAGAAGTTTACGGCCGATCAACCATTAGAGTACTCGATTACCGAGGTGTACTCCGTGCCGTACGTGGGCACCGTCGTCGATGGTATCATCAACTCTGGGTCCATCAAGGCTGGCGACGCTGTGCTCTTCGGCCCGGACTCGAACGGGAACTTCCACGCTACTACCGTCAAGACCATTGAGCGTAAACGGTGCGTCCTCAGGTCCTTCATTCCCGCCCTACCCTTCCCAGTCTGCCATCCACAATCTGTGATAGCCCTCGCCATCTACATTCCCGCCGCTCTCTTCCCAGGTTGCCGTCCACAGTTGACAGGCACATGTTCTGACACGACACCTGTATTAGGGCGCGGGTGCAGAGCGCGGACGCGGGGCAGTGCGTATCCTTCGCGCTCAAGCGCGTAAGACGTTCCGAAGTCCGGAAGGGCATGGTGCTCGTGCACAAGACCGACACGCCGCCCAAAGGTAAGCTCTGACATCCTGTTCTTCCTAGCGCGATCGATCGCATTTACCGGCGTTCGGTAGCTGTACGTCAATTCGAGGGACAGGTCCTCATACTCTAGTACGTACTCGCGTTGATCTGCGCTCTCATCCGTATGCGGGCTGACGGAGCGCCGCCCAGCCACAACACGACGCTGCAGCGCAACTACCAGGCCATGCTGCACTGTGGGGTAAGCATCCATCACTCGGACGCGACGCGTCAAATGTTCTGAGACTCGGACGCGCACTTATCCATCTATCCATCGCAGGCGGTGCGCCAGACGGTGCGGATCATCAGCATGGACCACCCGCAGGGCATCCTGCGCACGGGCGACCGCGCGACGGTCACATTTGAATTCATCGCACAACCCGAGTACATCAAGGAGGGCATGAAGCTGCTCTTCCGCGAGGGGAAGACGAAGGTGCGGTCAGCTGCCGCGTGCGCGCGTCCGTTCTGTGCGAGTACTCACTTCGATTCCCTTGTGTGCAGGGTCTCGGGGTCATCACGCGATTACTGTGACGGGCTGCCTGCAAGTTCTATCTGGACATCGCGCTCGCTGTTCATCTCTCGGAAGGTGGACGCGGACCGTTGTCTGTGTTTGGCTGGCGACGTTGTGCACCTTCCCCGTCTTCGCTTAGTGTTTTTTCGTTGTCGCAGCAACGTGCTGAAGGGCCGTTGTACTCTGGAATCTGGATATCTGGGCGCCGCGTCCATGGAGATGGAGAGGCGCTGTCTGTAGCATACGGCAGCCGTGCCTGCTGTGTATCATTATCCGGATATCTGTATATGTGTTTGTGTGTTCCAGTGCAGGAATATGCCGCGGGTGTCTCTCGACGACCTTATTGCCTGGCTCATCCGGGTTTGGCGGACTCCTGCCCGTTGTCTCCCTCATCTGCAGCCTTCCTCCTTCATGCTTCAAGAGTGCACTCAAGGTTGGTTTGGCTAGTCGGCAACCGCGCACCGCGGAGAATGGTCCGAACATGACAGTCCAATGCAGACAAAGCCCGATCGGTACCACAAATGAGCATCGCATTATATTCAGGCTCGCACTGATCCGCAGTTGGTTGCAACGGATTGGGGCCGACGCTGAAAGCAAGGCTTGGGCCAAGGCCCAAAGGATGCCGGGGGCCAGGCAACATCATATAATGATCAACACAGCCGCAGATGCTAGCCGCGACGCAGTACGACAGGACCCCCGCCTATGCCGCCAAAGGTCCGATCGTAGTGTCGACTAAAGTGCCCTCAAAAGAGGCCTTATGTCCGAGTCATAATGTCGTACAAACGAGCCTTATATGGTTCAATGTCCGATAATCTCTGTCGACTAAATGGGCCTATGCCGCCCGAGGTCCGATCAGGCATGTCGACTAAAAGGGTAGCTGGCTGGACAATGACTCTGACGCCCACGTCTCTCTGCGGCACCATGCATGGGACGGAGGCTCTCTGTCCCGGATGCCTCTCCAGCTTGAGCAATTCGTCGACCTCACTGCCCGCTGATGTCCAAATACATACTTTCTTGGGCCTATTCGAACGAAATCAACACTGCGTGCTCGACGCTATTCTAAGTCGCCTTATGAAGCACCCCCATACGGCCCTCGCTGGTGGGGATTCTCTGATCTTGCTTGAGCTAACATCGACAGGACCTCATGGCACGGGTGCCGTCGCCTCATAGCGCGAAATATGTGGGAGGAGGACGTGCTCCTTTCCCCCGGAGTCCACCCTCAAACTGCGATCCCGCCCGTCCCCCTCGTCCTCGCGTTCGAGTGCACCTTCTTGTGACTCGTTGGTATGTGTTCGGGCGTCGAATCCTCTGTCCAGCGATCTGATAGTGAGATATGTAGCCCAGGGATACGCTTGCGTCGACAATGGATGCCATAGCTCCGCAGGACGAGATGCAGACCGACCCGGTAAGTGTTTGTACGTAGACATCGAAGTCCACTTCGTGTTTATTTACTCCACATGCTCTAGCACCCATCCGTCCTCGGAGGCGTCTTAACGCCACACAGCGACAATATGGATGCCGTCATCGCCGCCTCTGAGTGGCTGGCACATCCCAGTCGCATTGACTTGGATGCAGCTCACCGCTGTGGCGATCGGCTTGAGTTCGTCTTAGGCTATGATCAGGTACCGGGATTCGGGCCCGCGGTTTCACTGCGCACGAAGGACATTCTCTCGCTGCTCTCTAGCGAATGGCTTGGCGATGATATTTTGAACGCCGGACTCGATTGGCTTATGCAGCAACATACGAGAACGACATCTCGCATCCGTCTCGGCAACTGTCTCCTTGTTCTCGGTCTTGCCGGCATGAAGCGCCGAGGTAGCTATAACCCCCGCAAGTGCTCTCCCCTCGACCAAGACATACGCTCTGGGCAGGTCGATGTGCTGTATATCCCCCTCCATGTCTCCGGCAACCACTGGACATTGCTTTGCGTCAACATCAGTTCCGGCTCGTACACATATGCAGATTCTCGCAACGCCGCTGCCACTCCCCCTTCCGACACTATCGGTGTTCTCTTCTGGTGGTTGACAAGCCTTCTACCCCATCTCAAGTGTCCATTGATCTCTGCAGGGAAACCAGATTGGGTGGTACCTGTACAGGAGGATATCCATTCTTGTGGTGTGGTGGTACTGAGCTCTCTGGGCGCCATCCTTCTGGGCGAGCCACCTTGGGCTCAGCATTGCGCGGACATGCATCGAATGGAATGGTTCATCCGTCTGACGGCGGGATTAGCCGATGGTGACGAGGTGTGTATCAGTCTCCCTGTGTATAGCGTCATAGTATGTCATCCTGACTAGTTGAATAGGAGGGCGACACAGAAGATTTAGGTGATGATGGGACACTCCCGGACGTCATCATGGACGATACTTCAGCTGCTACGGGTGTTCCTCTACCTACCTCTTTCAGTGGTGGCCCTCGCTGTGCTATGGTAACTCTCACCTTGGACGCTGTCGACTGGGACTCGTACCTGGGCACGGGCGACTCTCCGCTCTCGGATGAGTCCCCGAATGGCTCTTGCGATGCGCCGTCGGCACAAGGTCCAGTCTCTTTGACACCATCCCCTGCATCACTCACCCTCCCCTCCCCTTGCCCCTCGCCCTCCGCTGTTCCTACTGGGCCGTCTACGCGCGCTGGAAAGCGCGCCCTGCCATCTTCTGATGTGCCTAGCGCTTCGGACAACGACTCGCGCTCGAGGAAGCCTAGGCTGACAAGCCATGTGTCATCTCGGCCCTCGTCATGGTCCTACCAGAAAGACCTCGTCGAGCAGTCAAAGCTTCCAGATTTCGAGGCTGACGAGGAGAAGCTAGCAAAATTTCGGAAGAAGATCCTCGCCGACGACCCGCATGTATTCTTCGATCCTATTGATTGTCGACGGCTCCGCTGCTCTGCTTGTGCCACTTGGGTCGTTGTTCCGCTTTTGTATGATGTCTCGGGCTGGCGTGTACACCGCAAGTCAGGGAAGTGCGGTCGCAACCGCAGCACTGGTCTAGTGTCAACCTCGCTCCTCACGTGGTGCAAACCTGTACCGAAGGAGAGCCAGTCTATCTCAACCCTGAAGCCGCCTCCACCCCGTGATGTCCCGTGCCCTGGTGTTCAACGAGCGCAAGACGAACGCGTTTCACGCTACCTCGCACGAACTTCCACCAATGGCGGCGGTGCGCCTTCACGCGCTGCGCTTGCGCGCGAACTGTTTCAGACCGATGCTCGGCCGGCGGAGGAGTGTTCATGGGTCAACCTCAGCTTCGACGAGCGTCGGATGGTCATCTGCAGTGAAGAGGCGCGTTTCCGGTGGCGCAATCTTCGGTCAGTCGGTGCCGTGTACTCCACGAGCTGCGAGGGGACTGTCCGGGTACTCGACATCCAGGTGCCTGCGAAGCCGTGCGCCAGGTGTCTATCCCTCCTCCATGTAGCGGTCTTCCGCACACAGCTCAACAGGGAGATGCCCGACGAGTCCAACATGAAATACACGCCATGGCTTTACCAGAACAAGGAGATGGGGGCCATATATCTCAAGTATCTTGGTGTGCGACAGTTGCTCGAGGAGGTAAGCCGGTCATTGCAATGTATCGTTCATTGCCATGAACTAATCCATTACTTCTTTATCAGGGCGGACACACACCCTGGCGCAAGTTTGGAATGGGTGTGGCCGCTGGCACATTCAAGAACAGCCGTGTCATGCTCGGAGCCATCGAGGCCATGCAGATCAGGAGCGAGCGAATGGCACAAGGCAAGCAGATGCAAAACATGACATACAGCCGCGAGTTCACAGACTTTGCCAATGTCCTTGCGTCTATCTCGACACGAGCCTATCAGACCTTCCGACATCATTTTGGTGGCCCGCATGTCCGTACTCTTCAGTAAGTATCACTGGCATTCTTAATAGGCTCCCGTCCTGATGATTGGTGTCAGGAAACTGCGGGCACGTCTTCCTCGCTTCCAGCCAGGCATCTCGTCTGCCAATGTTGCGCTTGCTTCAGCCGTTCTTACTCAGCTGGACTATGCTGGACCGGTTGTCCTAGCCTGGGACGACACTGCTCTCGAGCCTGCCATCAGTGTTTGGGAAGATGCAGCGACCGGGATATGTTCCATTCTCGGCAGTACACACGGTGTAATGCAAGTGGCCTCTGCGGACGAGTTTGATGCGATCTTTGACAAAGCTAAGATGTCAAAAGCGGACAAGGTGAGTGCAAATGCATTAGTAACGATAGGATCTAACCCCGGCCCCTTAGATCCGCCTATTTGTTCTCATCGTCCCTCTCACAAAAGTCCCTCCCCTTCTCCTGGCTGCTGTAGCGCGTGGTGGTAAGGAGAACGCGCAGGATCTGCTTGACATCCACAATGAGCTCCTCGGCCACCTCCACGCACACGAGATCTATCCCGTCTCATACGCCGCTGATGGAACCGAAGTCGAACGCGCATTGCAGCGCAAAATCATCGCTGCCACCCACCGCTTCTCCCCGTACATTATCCCCAACGACGTCCCCGGGTGCACAATCGAGTTGCGGATACACACCATCAACAAGCATCCCGTGATCACTGTCCAAGATCCGAAGCACGCCCTGAAAACTGCGCGGAATCAGCTGTTCACTGGTGCACGTATCCTTGTTCTAGGCTGCCTGGCCTTCTTCTACGCGCAGTTGCTTCTGCTGTCGCAGCATATCCTCTCCCCTCTATTCCGCCGCGACGTGGAGAAGGTCGACAAGCAGGATGACCGTGCTGCCGCCCGGCTATTCTCCGCCGAGTCCCTCGATGTTGTGCTCCGCTACCACAGCGAGTTCCGTGCGCTTGCCGTTTACCTCTACGCGCTCGGTGAACTCGTTGATGCTTGGGAGAACCGCCAAATTTCCCACGTCGAGCGTGCGAGGATGGTGATGTCCACACGGTTCTTCCTCATGGCCTGGCGTACACACATCGTCCTCCACCCGGCTTACTCCACCAACGTCCAATTCATCTCACGCGAGTCCTTCGACATCTTCATTATGCTCTGCGACAGCCTCCTGAGCCTCATTGTGGTCTACCGTCAGTACTTTCCATACCATCCCCTGATGCCTTGGCTTCATTCAACCACTCCCTGCGAGCACATCTTTGGCATCATCCGTACGCTGAAGAAGGACTTCAACTTCGCTGATCTTCTCTATCTGGAGTCGAAGCTGCGCACACTGCTTCTCGGGGCATTCGATCGCCTTACTCCGCTCGATCGAGCAAATGAACGAGCCGCTGGGTACTACCACTCGTACTTTGATAGTACAAGTGTCGACGCTGACAACCTGCGTCAATGGCCTTCGGAAATCGAGCTTCAAGAGGCGTCGCGCGCGGCATTCCTGGACGCCGAGCAGCTACTCGAGTCCGTGCAGTTGAACGCGCGCAAACTCCTACAGCAATACAAGCCCCCTACCACGTCGGAGCAGTCGACGTCGGCGCGTCAGCGTGGTGCCACTTCTACCTGTACGCCAACGGGCCCGCAGTCACTCGCCGACCTCCTCACCCTGTATGCTCGCATCGATCTTGATCCTGTCCGGGAGCAGGAGGTCACCGTTTGCGAGATTGCTCTAGTTGCCGAAAGCATGGACGGGACGATCGCGATGTGAGTGTCCTTTCCCATGTCAGGTATTGGCACCTTTTAACGGTGATTCCTGTTGTACAGAAACGCACTTCCGGATGCGTGCGATGCGACAGAACTGCCGGTCGTCAAGACTGCTATCAATGATCAGCTTCTATCGCCTTCCAAGCCAAAAGGTGAGTCCTATGTACCTCTGTTTGACAACCATGACAGAGTTTGTTTATTAACAAACTTCTGTATCCTTTTATAAGCTCGAGCTGCTAAGGGTGTGCCCGAGAGCTATGCCAAATCCCAGTGCATGAGCGAACCGCTCTACAACTCTATCACCAAGGAACTCAATGTCGCTGTATTGAAGGCCCGACGCCTGCGGCATCAGACATCACTTGCTGAGAAGGCTGTACGGCAATATCAGCAACCAAACAAGATTGCGCCCTCGCCGTCGAATGTAGACGGTGGTGATGAGTCTTCGCTCACACTGCGTCAGCAGCTCCTCCAGCGACTTGCCGGTTCTATCCCTGAGAACGAGACATTCAATGCGACATCCGGCGTTGATCGACATGTCCGACATACCGGTACCTTCCATACAAGCACGGATAGTCCAGCTCGTGTCGCCCAAAAGAAGACTCTGCGCAGCGTCGCCGCTAACGTAAGTTGCCGTATATTCTTGGCTTATATGATATCTAACGTCACTTTTGCTCTGCTAGAACCATTGCCGCCTTCGCGCGGAAGCACTACTTGTACTACAAGACCTGCATGAGCAAATGTCAACCGCAAACATCAGTCCGCTCTCACCTCTGGTACCGGGGTGCTTCATAGTTGTTCTGCACTATGCTGCATCGGCTCGGGGGGCTCCACGGTTGCTGCTGGGTCGAGGTGCGTACAGTAGTCCCCCCAGTGTGAGCACTATAGCATCAACTAACACCTTAAACAGTCTTGACAATGTACACGAAGTCCGACGCACGGGGCAGCCGACACGAGCACATGGAGAGAGCCGAGAACGTCGGATATCTGTCCTATGTCGCCGTCGAGGTCTTCGTATTTTCCCACAACTCCACGTACTCGTCCCTCGCATGCCCCTCGCTCGGAAGCTCCACAATCCTTCGCTTTCCTCCTACGCAGGTCCTATTCTCTTTTGCGACGTGCTCGAAGAGCATCATGCTCTCCAAGATCACAACACCGGACGGCAGCTCTTTGACGCTGGCGACACTCTGCGACTTCTCGGCGTCTATCCTCGAGCAACTGGTCGAACGAACGGATGAAGTTGCTACATGCATCAAGAAACTGTCTCAGCTATCCAACAAGCAGAAGAGGACCACCTTGGCGGTGGTAGAGGAAGAGCAGGGAGGTTCCTCCAGCGATGATGACGGTGATATGTAGTCTAGGAAAGTGTCGACGCATATTTTCATTATTCGCTTCCCTCGCTCTCCCCTTGGTGTTTTGACAATCTCATATAATCGTATACATCATTTAGTGTCGCGTCAAATATTTGTAGACTCCTACGTATTTTCTCCGATTTTCTAGAGGTCCGATCGCAGATGTCGATAAGCGCCCGGCCCAAAAAGGTATGTCCGAAAAACATGTCGATAAAACAGGCCCAAATCTGTGTCGACTAAAACCCCCAAATTGGGGTGTTTTGCGATCGGACCTTTGGCGGCATAGGCGGGGGTCCTAGTACGACGCGTATGCGTAGGCGCCTCCTGGGTACAAGCGTGTGCTGTGGGAATGTACTTAAGGTTCCCTCTCCTCTCCTGCTCGCCGCTCTTTCTCCACGGCCCCGTCTCCGTCTGGTTGCATGCTGGCCCGCGCTTTGCGATATCTGGCCAAGGCGGTGCGCTGACTCGAACATTACGCTCTCAGAGGACGCTTCGAAGAGGTACGAGTACTTCTGTGGCCTGGGTGGCGAGCTATCTGATGAACCTTACCCCGCATGGCCAGCTGCCGCAGCCTGCAGGCACCCATCGTCATCACAGCCTCCTCACTCCCCGAGCCTACGCTGAGCCGGCTGCTGCACACCCTCAAGGTCCCGCAGGTGCGCCAGACATCCCCGAGCACTTCCTGCTCGCTGCCGCCACCACCGCCCCCGCTGTTTCGATGGACGGGCGCGAGCTTCGCCGAACACGCTCCGAAGGCGGTGCGCCGGGCCCGCACCCCACGCGCGTCCGCGTTTCGCATCGTCCAGGCGCCTCCATGTCCTCGCGGCGCGCCCCCACGCTCCCCCCGCTCGACCTGCCAGGTGAGTTGCGCATACCGTCGCTCGGCACGCTGCACGAGGGCCCTCCGACGCGCGCGGGCTGGGACGTCCCGCTGTACAATGAACGTGAACCAAGGCGCGATCCCACGCCACCTCGCGCGGCAGACAATGGCGAACAGGGCACCGGGGACCAGCCCGACGGCCTCGTAGGTATGATCATGGAACTGCTGGGCTACGCAGGGCCGAACGCAAAGGCGCGGCGCGACCTCCTGTCTTTCATTTTCTACCTCATCTTTGGCTTCGCGCAGGTCTGTGCATATTTGTGTCCCACGACCTTTGCGATGGCCGCTCAGATGTTTTTACAGTTTGTGATCATTGTCACTTTGTTGGCTTACTCGGCTAACCACGAAAGTCCGACCATGCCTGGGGAAACTGAGTGGAGAGCCTGTGACAGACCGCTGGGAGCATGGAATGCGCTTTGGCTCGTCAGGGTCGCACTTGGCTGTTTATTAGCTTTCTGGAGCTGGCAGAAGGAGCGGGAGAAGCGGGCAAAGTACGCATCTGTTGCCGCCCTGAATTCGAACCATATTGCTAACTCGGAAACAGCTGGCGGGCACAAAGACGCCGGGAAGGCGAAGCGGAAATTGCAAACCAGCGATATGCAAATGGACGGCCTCACCATGCTCGCGCTGAAGAGACTACGGCGAGGACTGCCGGTCGCTTGCCAGGTAACTCCTACGACAGTGAGGATGGGGGGATCGGACCCACGAGTGCGAATTCTCATCTCACCCCTGCCCAGTCTCCACTTCATTCTCGGTTAGTGTCTTCTCTATCATCCGCTATAGCTCTGACACAAGCTAATTTCGAAACGTTTTGCATACGTTTCGGCCAAACAGCGTCTCTATGTGCACGTCGTTCATCTCGCTGGCATGGTTTCTGACGGCACACATTCTGGCGTACACGTCGCTGAACACCTGTCGATTCGCAGCCCCTCATCTCTGGTGGCTCACGTTCGGTATCTTGTGCATCCTCTACGTGATGATCCTCGAGATATTCCTGCTCGGTCTACTGGTCTTCATCCTCGGCCCGGTTCTATATGTAGGTGCCAACCTGTGTCACGTAGGTTCAATGTCGTTGATTCCTGTCTCGCACACAGCTCGTTTGGAACATCGCCCTGCTCTGTATAGGTAGACACCCGCTTCAGAACCCGCACTACATCAACCCCGACATCGGGAAGCTCCCAAAGTCGATCGTGCAGCAGATCCCCCTCGTGCTGTACATCCCACCCCCGCCCGGCGAATCCACAGACGGCAGCACCCCAATCGCCATTCCCCCCGCAACGCACCAGTACCCGCCCAAAAGCCCCACAACGAAGAAGTCCGCGCCCGCGGGCGCGCAGCCCAAACGCCGCTTCCTCTTCTTCCGGCGCAAAGGCGCGGCGAAGCGCAAGACGCGCTCATCCCCCGCGCACGACCTCGAGAAAGGCGGAGCAGGCAAGAACGCCGCAGAGCCAGATGATGACGACGTGGACGTGCCGTGGGACGAGATGTGGGAGGAGAGCGAGTACCCGTTCGTGCGCCTCGAGGGCAACCGCGCGGTGTGCGCGATCTGCCTCATGGACTTCGAGGAGCCGCGGCGGGTGCGCGGGCCGGGCGCCGTTAAGGCCGATGGCAGCACACCCGCCGCGGCGAATTCGCCGGCCACCCCAAGTGCGGGCGCGGGGACGCAGGAGGTGCAGGTGGAGGAGGTGACGGAGGAGGAGCGGGACGCGCTGCACCTGGACGACGCGGGTGAGGGCGCGCAGCCGCTCCGGCTGCTGATGTGTGGGCATGCCTTCCACGTAAGCCTACTATGTCTCTCGCTGACCTGGAGTGCTCCCGGCTGACATATGTTTATATAGCAAACGTGTGTGGACCCTTGGTTGACAGACGTGTCGGGGCGGTGCCCGACATGTCAGCGGCCCGTCGAGATCTCCAAGCCGTCCAAGAAGGACAAGAGGCGGGGCGGACGGACACAGCCTGGTCCTAGATGATCTCCTTGTCCTTGCTCCCCCCGCTCAGGCTGCCCCTGTATTTTTCGTTCCTTTGCTGATTCCTATGGACTGCTGCTGACTACAATTTTCTGATTACTCTCTGCTACTCATGATCACGATACGATACGTTCACGCCGATCGAATGTCTGCTCATGTATCTACTGCTGTCCATCTCCCCGCTCGTGTAATACATATGTATATTGCTTGTATGATATTTCCACCCCCACGGTGTCGGTCCTCCAGACCGATCCAGGGGGTACCTGTCTGCGCCGGACCGGGTGCAGCCCTAAGTATACAGTTGTCAGCGTAAGGTTCCCTGGGCAGGGACCCGAGTACTCAATGTCCCCTTTGGTCGGTATCCTCCGATGTTACCGCTTATGTTTACTTCAATGCCGGCGTTCTGCTGTCTACGACTGTATCACTGGTGGTGGTACCTGTGGACTCTGCACTATAGAGTCTGAACCTTACGTTGTGTACTACTGCGGGTACATTACTTTGCACTGCTGAAAAGAATGTGCGCTGTACTACTGACAGTGGCACACAGATGGTTTGGTCAACACCGATAAATTGTGGACCGTATAAACACAGTGACCAAAGATACAATGAGACACCCGAGGAGATACACAAGCATATAAGGGGAGGGAAGCGCGAGAACCAGTCCAAACGGCCGAACCCGGTGCCTAAGGCCTCGAACCCGGCCTTTCCAACTGCGGCGTCATTTACGACGGGGGGCTGCAAGGATACAAGTCAGCGCCGGGCGACATACTCGAGCGATCAGGCACTTACACGGGGGCGACTGTGGTGACGGGTCCGGGGTCGGTGGGGAGCGTCGGGAAGGGGGTCTCGGCGCACGCCTGCTCGACGTCGGCGTTGCTGAGGCCAGCGGGGAAGTGCGCGACGCTCGTCGCGGGCGGGGGCGTGGGCACGAGCTCGGAGCACTCGATCAGCAGGCTCTCGTCGTGGCCGAGCACGGTCATCTTGCGGAAGGCAGCCTTGAACGCGGACTGGAGCTTAGCCTGATTGTCTGCGTTCCCACGCGTCAGTATCCCCCAATACATCAAGGGGTAAGAAAAAGAGATACGCACTGACGAAGGACTGCCACTCGCAAGCAGTGCGAGAGTCGCGCGCGAGCTCAGAGTCGGACTGGAGGCGCAGCTCGCCGCGGAGGGGCGACTCGACCTCGCCCTGGTTGCCGCCGGTGCCGGGGAAGAGCGTGCCACGGAGCTGGGTCTCGATGAAGAACTGCGTGTCGAACTCCTCCGGGGTCGAGTCGAAGGGCGTTCCGGGGATGCTCGGGTCGACGTGGTCGGCCGCCGCGATCGTGTGCGACACGAGGAGCGCGACGATCTCGGCGGGCGTGAAGCCGCCCGCGTCGGAGAACCGCTCGATGATGCTGTCGACGGTGTCGAACGGCTCGGGCACCGTCAGGTCGGGCGCGGGCTGCGTCGCGTCGGGGCGGCCGATGAACACGTCCAGCTGGGGCGCGCCAGGGCAGTTGCTGACACCGATCGCGCCGGCGAACTGGATGCTGCAGTGGGAGGTGTTGTCAGTTTCGGACAGCACGCTAGATGTCAGGGGAAGACACGAACAAGTCGGCGGTGGTGAGGTTGTGGCGGGCGATGAACGGCCGTTGCTCGTCGATGATCTCGTCGACACCGAGGTTGGCGTGGAAGTTGGTTTCGATGTCCTCAAAGAGGGCGATGGAGCCGTCGGCACCTCCGCCTCTGCAGAGCACCAAAGTTAGATACCTGACGATATGGAGGCCCAGAGGAGATATGAAGTTACCCGAATTGGCCGCGAGAGGCGATGGAAGGAGAGATGCCGATGGCGTCGTGGAAGGTCAGACGGAGGGACTCGTGGACCTCCTCGCCACACTCGCCGCCATCGAACAGGTTCTGCTGGATGTCGTCGCGGACAGCGAAGAGCTGGCAGCACGCCGCGTTGGTAGCGGTGTTCACGCCGTCGGGGCAGGCGACACGGCGGGTGAGCGCGCCTAGGCAGGTAAGACGATATCAGGATGACGTCGTAGCAGAAATACCGCGCTCTATCGCTCACCGCTTGCGACCTGGATGATGACCAGAACCGAAAGGAGAGAGGCGAGAGTTTTGAAAGCCATCGTATGAGGAGGAGGATAGACGGTAGAGGAGTTGGTGCGAGTATCCTGAGGTCTCTTTGCTCTTGCATCAGGGCCTTTATACTCGCCATCTGCTCGTGCAAAACGCAGTGCGATATGTCGAACTTGCTAGATCATGTAGGGCTCGATACGCACTCGTCCAATCACTGAATGGCGATTCCAGGACTGTGAGGACCCATACCCATGGCTTTGGGAGAATGTGAATGCCTTCGGGGCCGGTGCGCTGCGTACGTGAGTTTCGATGTGCAAGGACAAGGGCGTTGAGGCTATGTTTGCAGCTGCGCTCACCCGAGCCGTCGGAGGGTGGCGAGACCGACGCGGCCCGCAGGTTGGGTGCCTGCATTTTCATGAGAAAGCGCAGATGCGTGTGGGCACAGCCGGCCTTCTGGAAAGCAGCCATGTCCCTGTAAGGGTACACGGTGGCCCGCGGAAGCGGCACCGCATGTTTTGGGATCTTTGGTAGCACCCACCAGGTGGAGATGAGGGACATTTCATGCGACAGACGAGTCAGCCCGTTCACAAAGAAGCAGAGGAACAGGAGACATACCAAGGTACTGGGTGAACTGCGCTCGGGAATGAACCACAACCGGTGCTCTGTGTGAGCCTGGCTCGAGCACATCGATAGAAGAACGTCTTGTCAAGAGCCAGGGATCAGTAAGGTACTGCTTCACCTTGAAGGCTTTGACATTAGGCGAGCCGCTGTGGGGGACATTTCGGATGGAATGCGTACAGGAGAGTGACGTCGACTACAGATTTACTTGCACTTGAACTTGGCATGCGAACCCGAGTTGGAGCTCGAGTGAGAGGGACTTGGCGGTCGAAATAAGCACTTCGGCCAATGCCTGTCAGTTTGAGAACTAGGGACCGCGGGATCGGGATCTTCAAAGACGCATAAAGTGCTCATCCTCGCCGGACCCGGGGCTGACATTGGTCAGGTCGAGATCGGTGACGCTCAATGCCGCCCAGATGCCGTCGGACCCAGTAGACATTGTCCCATGGTTGCGTGTAAACGCCTGGAGCGACGAGAAGGCGCACAATACATCCGGGGTTAGTGGTTCTCACACATCTCCGTGCGGCGTCCCATCGTCCGCAACGCCGTCTACGAGCAATTGTCAGTGTGCTGTGATGTATCGAGTGACAACATAACGACTTGCCATACGGTGGTACTAGTAGCAGGCTTGCAAGACGCAGAAATCAGTACTTACTCCGCGTTTGTGGGAGGTATCAGCCCTGGGAGGCGACATTCGCAACCAGGCCGGCAGTGACCAGTCACCGTACCGAGAAGCAGGAGATGTTGATCTTTTCTACACGGGTGCAAACACAGCCCTTCGTTCCCCTGAAAGAGAGTTGTGAAGAGATCAAGGAGCGAACAGTGATACAGGCATGAGGAGAAAAGGGATTTGATGTTTGGGCGTCGTACTACGAAATAACGTTAACTTAATATGATGACATGGCCGCAGGAGGAAAGGCCGTTAACCGCGCGGATCGTGCTCAGTCTGGTGTCGAAGCGCCCGAAGTCGGTTATGGCATTGGCCCGCATGCGAAGGCATGCGACTGATAACACAAAGTATTACAGCACACAACTCAGCTAATAATGGCGCGCTCAAGTTTACGTTCTGTATCTTCGAGTTCCGAGTGCGGGACGAAGTGTTCATTGTACGCAGACGATAAGCCGTGTTCTAAGACCTCAAGTAAGTTTCGGCACTCCGACTCCGATGCGTACTCAATCGCTCGCAAAGACATGTCTAGAACGAATATATTTCAACTTTAATCCACTGATACAACCGCTGTTGTTACAACAACCCCGCGAGAAAGGGGAGACCGAGAGCACAGATACAACCGATACAATGCCGAAAGACATTTAAGGTCAACTACGAGGCGCGGCCTCGCGCGACCATAACCGAGGACGCGATGTTAGGTCCTGGAAACCCTTACTTCCGGGCGGCAGGGGGTTTGGGGCTAGTGGAAGGGCTCGTTAAATCGTGGAGACAAGTGATATCGGTTGTGAAACTTACACGGGGGCAACGGCGGTCTTGGGTCCGGGGTCGGTGGGGAAGGTTGGGAAGGGTGTCTCGGCGCACTATAGGGCGAATGGGTCAGTGAAGTGTAGTCGGCGAGGAACTAGATTGTGCTCACAGCCTGCTCGATGTCGGCGTTGCTCAGGCCAGCGGGGAAGTGCGTGTGGCCCTGAGGGTCAGCCGGGATGGGGACCTATACATGTGGCAGTTAGTGGCTGTTACAGGGGGCCAAGAATGCGAAAGAATGGTGCGACGTACGACTTCCGTGCAGTCGACGAGCGTGTTGATGTCCTGGCCGAAGATGGAGAGGTCGTGGAACACGAACTGGAACATCTGCTGAGCCTTGGGCTGGTTGTCGACGAACGACTGCCACTCGCACGCCGTACGGGAGTCGCGAGCGATGGTGTGGTCGGACTGGAGACGCATCTCGCCCGCAAGGGGAGACTCGACCTCGCCCTGGTTGCCGCCAGAGCCGGGGAAGCTCGTGCCGCGGAGCTGGGTCTCAAGGAAGAACTGCGTGTCCCAGAGCTCGGGGGTGGAGTCGAACGGCAGGCCGGACTTGGTCGGGTCGACGTCGTTGGCGGCAGCAACGGTGTGCGCGGTCAGGAGCCAGACCGTGAGGATGGGGTCGAACTCGCCCTGGGACGCGTCGGCGAGACGGTCGAAGATCTGGTCGGGGGTGTGGAACGGCTCGGGGACGAGGCCGTCGGGGGCGGGCTGGGTGGCGTCCTTGCGGCCAACGAAGGCGGCGAGCTGGGGGGCACCCGCGCAGTTCGAGGCACCAATAGCACCGGCGAATTGGATGCTGCACCGACAAATCAGCACAAGGTCGATCGTCGCTTCGCTTCCGGTACTCACAAGTCAGCGACGGAGATGTTGTGACGGGCGATGAACGGCTTCTGGAGCTCGATGATCTCGTCGAGACCGATGTTGGGGTGGAAGTTGGTCTCGATCTCGGGGAAGATCGCGATGGAGCCGTCGGCACCACCGCCACTAAATAGCAGATCCTGTTAATAAATTGAGCCAGGGGCAGAAATTCATTCGGCGTACCCGAAGATGCCCTGGGCCTCGAGAGCGGGGGAGATGGCGATGGCGTCGTGGAACGTCAGGCGGAGAGACTCGTGCGCCTCAGCCGTGCAGAGACCGCCGTGGAACAAGTTCTGCTGGAGATCCTCGCGGACGGCGAAGAGCTGGCAGCACGCCGCGTTGGTAGCGGTGTTCACGCCGTCGGGGCAAGCGACGCGGCGGGTCAACGCGGCTAGATGATTAATGTGTGTCAGCACGCTGCAAAAAGGCGCACTGTCGGCGGAGACCCGCCACCTCCTACGCACCGTTCGCGCCCTGGAGCGCTCCAATGACCGAGACGAAAGAAAGAAGAGACTTGAAAGCCATGTCGAACTGGGACTGAGGAGGACTGAGGCTTGAGTGCTCTGAGGACTCTCGCCAATGTCGCCCTGCTTTTATACATGTCAGCTGAGGCAGAGAAAAAGTTGAACGTGAAACATACACAGTGTGTTCAATGGTGCTTCCGCCGCACCAGGGCCGCCAAGACCAGACGGTGCGGAGCCAGTAGCCTTGTCAAGGCCAATGGCAGCGCATACATTTCGCTATTCTCGTCAATGTATGTTCCGCCACCACAGTCCTGTGGTAGTTCAACGCGTCCATAGCGTCGGTGTCTCGCGCTGCATCGCGCGTGCAACCAATCCCCGCGTCCTGTGCGACGCCTCGGAGCCTCTTGGTCGGATGTTTGATCGCGCGCGTGTGCCCCTGAGCCCGCCGCGGTCGCCGACGCTGTGAAATTATCGAGTCATTGGGGGTCAGCAGGCTCTCATATCCGCCAGCGGTAGTGAAGAGTAAGCTTACCTTCCTACACACCGCATCCTGTCTGTCGCCCAGGCATGGCCCGACGCCCTGGATCTGCGTCGAACGGAACGGCAGGATGAGCCGTGCCATTGGCCAAAGGAGCGGGCCATGATCGGTGCCCCTCCCAGCGATTGAGAAGGCGGCGCTTGCGGGAACCGCGCTGTGGACCCGACCATGATCTGTTCCCATTGGTATAGCTACACGTGCGGTAGCGCGCCTCAACTGGAACCGAGGTCGGCACGCGTTGAGGTGCAGCTATGACTTCGATCTCTTGGCGGGCAGCAAGCTACTGCATCGTGTCCGCGGTGGAGTGAAAGACCTCCCGCCGGAAAGTGAGGAGGAAGTTTTTGGGTAGTCAAGGCACACAATGAATGAGCCAGATCCTGCAGAATAAGAGCCACATGGGGATCCGCAACTGCCCGTCGGGGCTTGTTGTTACAGACAGCGGTAGCCTGAAGCCAGCAATGACCCTTTTAGCACAAGCCGGGCATAGCTTGCCGTGTGAAGACAAGAGAAGGCTTATTTTCGCCTGGTTCATGTCTCTTAGCATCGTGCACGCTGAAACAAAAGCGCGACAACTTATTCCTTGGTGACGCTGAAGTGGAGCGAGTGGAAAGTATAAGTGAGAAAAGTAGACGTACCAGAAACAATTTTGCGAACGAATGAGCCGGCACAGTATAATCAATCATGACAGTCCATGCCATCGTCATGCCGCAGATGTTCCCGTTCATGCACAGGGCATCGCATATGTCTTCCCACCGCGACCACCGGGTGAAGACCGGTAGAAGGGGGTCAAAATAGACGTGAGTAGACTGTGCCTATGAAGTATTCAGAATGTCAATTGACCACCCGAAAATAGCACAAAGAGCGTGCGTTCTCCCATGCCTGTTTATAGCTTGGTATTTTGAGAAGCGCGTGGGGACGCGATAACAGACCTGTGTGAACATGGCAAGTTTTGACAGACTGAGGGAAATTGATACTGTGTGAATTCAATCGCACGCCTAGGCGCGACGTCATGGCCCGGGTGTGCATATGGACTAGAGACATAGTTTCAGCTACATACCAATATGTTATACCATTAAGTTATGCCCACCTTGTAGTTTTCCGTACGCTGAACATGAACATGAATAGGGATGCTGCCGACCCCGACAAGTTCGAGCTTGGCAGTCAAGTTGATTGAGTTAGGGCTTCATTGTATCCCGGACTTTATGCAGTGCCCCGCGTATTAACATCGTTATCGCGGCGCTGTGAGTCGTGTAACTAGCTCGCAGCAGTCCCAGAGATTCAGAAGTGCAAGGCGTAGTCGTGCACCGCGGCCGTAGCGTCGAGGCTCCGGTCAAGTTCGGAAGCGCCCGTTGGTCCATGCGGCCGCTCCGGATTAGAACGGGACCGACGGCCCGAGGAACAGCTGTGTGCTCAACCAGTCTTCGAGCGATAGAGTACTCAGTAAAACTCACTGGTACGACGCTGTTGAAGGCAGGCAGATCTGACGATATGATGGATATTTGCGCCGGGGACCGAGGTTATGGTGGCAACGTGGGGTGAGTATTCAGTGCAACTTCCCTCAAGCACGGAGTCAATCCTGTTCAACGGATGCACTTTCGGATGTAAAGATCATCAACATCATGTATACCCGTTATACAACGTCCCGCAGCTGCGGTAGTACCCATACAACAAAACACAACCACCAGATCGAAGTCATAAGCTTTAATCCACATCACGCGCCTTCAACGCTCAAATGAGCTTTGCGTTACCGCCTCTAATATATTCTCTCACGGAAGGGGGCTATGAAACAAAAGGCTGTAGTAAGTGACTAATCATATCGATCATAGCTGAAAACTTACACGGGGGCGACAGAGGTCGCGGGACCGGGGTCAGTCGGGAGAGTGGGGAAGGGGGTCTCGACGCACTGTCCGAGATAGCTGGTGATCAGTACTGCAACAAGCTAGGGCTGTATCAGAAATACGTACAGGCTGGTCGATGTCGTTGACGGTCAAACCAGCGGGGAAGTGGGTCACGCCCTGGAGCGGTGCCGGAATCGGAACCTATGCTTGTCGGTTAGTCGGTGTCTAAAACGTTCTATAGGAGCAGAAGCACGCACAACTTCCGTGCAGTCGACGAGCGAGTTGATGTCCTGGCCGAAGATGGAAAGGTCGTGGAACACGAACTGGAACATTGCCTGCGCCTTGGGCTGGTTGTCGACGAACGACTGCCACTCGCACGCGGAGCGGCTGTCGCGCGCGATCGCGAAGTCGGACTGCAGGCGGAACTCGCCGGCGATCGGGGACGCGACCTCACCCTGGTTGTCGCCGGTGCCGGGGAAGGTCGTGCCGTTCAGAAGGACCTCGACGAAGAACTGCGTGTCCCAGACCTCCGGGGTCGAGTCGAAGGGCGAGCCGGGGACGGTCGGGTCGACGTCGTTCGCCGCGGCGACGGTGTGGGCGACGAGGAGCCACACAGTCAAGATCTCGTCGAACTCGCCCTGGGACGCGTCGGCGAGGCGGGCGAAGATCTGGTCCGGGGTGTGGAATGGCTCGGGGACGAGACCGTCGGGGGCGGGCTGAGTAGCATCCACGCGGCCGACGAAGGCGGCAAGTTGGGGAGCACCCGCGCAGTTCGAGGCACCGATGGCTCCGGCGAATTGAATACTATAGCGACGAGTTAGCATGTTGTTATAGTCGCATCATCAACAGTGGAGCTTACAAGTCAGCGACGGAGAGGTTGTGACGCGCGATGAACGGCTTCTGGAGCTCGACGATCTCGTCAAGACCGATGTTGGGGTGGAAGGCGGTCTCGATGTCGGAGAAGATCGCGATGGACCCATCGGCACCTCCGCCACTGTGCAGTAGAGTATCATCAATAACGATGTCTTGAATGCTTACAACGTGCTAGACATACCCAAAGATACCCTGCTGCTCAAGAGCAGGGGAGATGGCGATGGCGTCGTGGAACGTCAGGCGAAGAGACTCGTGCGCCTCGGCCGTGCAGAGACCGCCGTGGAAAAGGTTCTCCTGGAGGTCGTCGCGCACAGCGAAGAGCTGGCAGCACGCCGCGTTAGTCGCGGTGTTCACTCCGTCGGGGCAAGCGACGCGGCGGGTCAATGCGGCTAGCGGATGAAAAGACGTCAGATTGTCGTGACAAATGATGTCGACGTCGGCCGCGCTAGCCACGTACCGGTCGCGCCCTGGAACGCCGCCAAAAGGGAGACGATGGAGAGTAAGGTTTTGAAGGCCATGTCGGTGCCGAGCTGTTGGGGGGCGAAGAGAGGAGAACTCGAGTGCTCTGAGGTCTTTGGGCTGCCGCATCACCTCTTTTATATCTGTCGTGGACCTTGAAATATTGAATAAACTGGGCGGTGTCTCCGCAAGGTCCTCACCGGCTCTCCGCGACCAAGGATAGGTAGCCGAGTTGTGATGCACAGATCGACACAAGGACCCAATGGCAGCTCTGCCATTCCACCATTCTCGGTGCCGTTCACAAACTCGCAGCCATGAAGCGCACTAGCCAGAGGGTCCACAGCACTGGTGTGGCGGTGACGTTGAGCAAGGCAACCAATGGCGGCGAGCTGAAGCATCGCCCTGATCCTTCCCCGCCAGGGCCATCCTAGTTCGTGTGCCCAAGTTGCATCGCTGCCGTAACCTACTGTGAACGTAGGTCGATGTTAGCACCAATAAGCTCATTCTCCCTCCCAAAGCAGTGAGAGACGAACCTACTGTCAAACAACGGATAGAGCCCGACAGAGGGGTGTCGGCGGTCAAGCAACGCTTCGTACGGGTTCAGCCCCTCCGCGAAGGTAGCTGCCACTTGTCCGGTGTCGCTGACCGTGCCTTGAATGCTGTTCGCCGCCCGAAATGCCCCTTCGCGTACGCGTCCTCATACAGTAGCGGCATATCGGAAAAGCAACAGCCCGGGCGCGCGTGCGCGACACGTTCACATCGCTTGGGCTGCAAATACGGGACCGAGACCAACAGAGTGGGGACTTGGCCGGCAGGTCGTCGAGAAGGCCATCCAGAAGTTGCCTAAAGGGAGATACGAAGCGATACGGAGCTATGTTAGATCAAAGTTTCGTTGCATGCTTCCCCGTCTTCCTAGCACCTTCCAGTGCCGTCTCAGATAATGAAGTCGATTGCTGTAGTAAAGAGTAGCAGCGATTCAGGAAAAGGCTCAGTATGAGGCCGTAGTTGACAACTTACCAGGATGGGCTCGACACCGCGGTCCCGCCGAGAATGTATGGTGTCGGCTCCGAGACGGCTGATCGACGACGCGCCCATTAACCGCGAGGTAATTAAGGTTGAATTGCACCTTTCCCATGCCTCTCAAGAGGGCTAGTATTCCCCGCCTGTGTAGGGCAGCCACACGCGGCCCGGGCATACTACTTCTGCACACCTTACACACGGCAATCACGCCCGTGGCAGACTACGTGTATGATGTAGGTTCCAGTTAACATGTACTCGCCTGACGGGCGCATAACATCTTGCTGAAGCATAGGGTAATGCTTTGATCTCTTGATCACTCACCAATTATCACAATCCCAGAGCAGGAAGGCGTGCGTGAGATGCGATCCTCAGCCTTGGTTCGGGGGCGGCTAAATCGTTGTAGCAGGGGGCCCAACGTTAGCTATGCATCCCAGGGACAAGAATATCCTGGGATATGAGGCCTGGCCGTGAGGAGAATATAATAAGGTCGAGTTAGTTCCCTATTCTCGGCATGTGGCGAGGTACAATGTCTGCTCCACCAGGAGTGAACGTGGTTTAACACGGTGCGAGCAGCTGCCACTCTTGAAACGGTTTGATACCCCTGACATCGAGAAACCAATACCCTGGTAAACCGACCGTGCGTTTGAGGGTGAAAATCCGAGAGAAAAACTCACAGACATGGTGCGTCAAGCCGCTCTTGAAGAGTAGAAGCGGACTGTGTGCGCGTCAAGACCCACTTGGCGGTGTCCCTTGTCGTGCCGATGACAAACGCTGTGGGAGAGACTCGGCTGCAGATTGAAAGAAGGGGATGCCTCCCAGGATCCGACGTCAAGGCCTCCCGGGATCCGACGTCAAGGTCGATACCACGCCGGCGGCCTCGCATCATCGTTGAAAGACTCCCATTACGGATAATATCAGAAATCTGTAGCGTTCAGCAGACTCTTGCAAGGGGGAAGAAAGGTTTAGCCGTTCGAGCTGTGGTGCTTGAACATACGAGAGCATCACAGACGAAGGGGGTGGCAGATGAAACGATGGTCGCGTACAACCTCCGAGTCGGAGCCGGGAGGAGAGCATCTTCTCGACACTCGTCGTGGCTGACTGCCAGTCACATAATGGTCACGAGAATGGTCACAGCAAGTTCGGAAGCTTTCAAGCTCAAGGAGGGGCTGGGGCCGTATCATGCCGTTTCTCTTCTTTTCATGGTGCAAGTATTACAGCTACAAATCCGTTTTATCACTATCCCCCGCTCCTGCCACGCAGTCCGGCTCGTGGACAATTACATCTATAACGGAACTGAAAGTACATCAGCAAGGATACACAGATTTAGGGTAAAATATGCTCACCGGAGGTTCATCGTAAACCCCGTCTGGACATCGGTAAGCGTGAGGGTATCGATCGAGTGTACACCTGGTGCAAGCGCCAGGAAGTCCATCCGCACAGATTGGCACGTTGACGGGAGGAGCGGTCTGAAGGCGAAAGTCGGGACATTCAGTATTTCTCACTGCCATTCACGCGAGCGCACCACTCACCCAACACGAACGCGGTTCTCGAGCGGGATGAACCCCGGTGGATGGTCGCCACCCTTCAGACCACCTTCCCTCGTCTTTCGTCGGCGTCGGCGTTCCTCAGGGTAGCTAACCTCGAAGCGGCGCGTCCATGAGGACTGGTTAAACACGAAGATATCGAGCGTGAATTGGTCGAGCGGGTATAGTCGCCCCGCCCGGTTCGCCTTGCCCTTCGTCTGTCGTGACGCCGCGAGGTTCGGCGAGAGCAAGCCAACTGAGACCACTATCGGTTCTCCGCTGCTGTCCTCGTCACCGTCAACCGCGCCGGGAACTGCACGCAAATCCCCGACAGTATTCTGCAAACTCTGCATCGCCTGGAAACCACCTGTGATCGCGCCGAACCCGCCGACGGTCGGCCCAGGCGTCTGAGGCACGCCTCCTCCGCGCTCCCGACGAATCTCAACGCTGGGACCCACGGAGCCTGCGCCTGACTGTTGCGTCACGGGGGTCTGCCAGAACGGCGTTGGGGGAACAGGAGAAGGCGACGAGGGGTATGCGGGATATGCCGGGGTGCGCGGCGGCGTCGGTGTGGGTACAGGCGTTGCAGGGTCGAGCACCTCATTGATTGTGCTCACGCTGTCTGTCTGCGTGTGCGTGTATACCATGAGTGGGTTCAGATTTGGAGGGGGAAGTGGAAGAGGCGGGCTCGTCGGAGCGCCGTATGTCGTGGGTGAGCGGGGGAATGTGGTCTGAAATGCGACCGAAGGTGGGATATATGACGCGCGGTTAGCGGGGATGTGCAGGGTCTGGGCGGTACCGAGCCCTGTTGGTGTCGGACTCGAGTTCGGGGGTGGAGGTGGTTGGTTCGCGGGGTTGAGCATCGAAGTCGAACTTTGGTAATTCATGGGTGACTTGGGCATGCGCGCGTACTCCGAGCTCGGGTTGTCGATGGCCGCGAGGGTATGCCGCTTGCTCCCAGCTACGGCTGTAAGAGGAATGATGCTGCGAGTTGTCAACGGCGTCAGGCTGTTGCGTTGGGGTGGGATTGGGGCTGTAGGGAAGGGAGACGCCGGTGTGGGTAGCACGAAGAGCTCCGGTTGCGCGCCGTCGAGGTCGCCCGACTCTCGCTTCTTGTCAGAAACGCTCCCTGAAGAGAGGTCGAGCACACAATTCCACTTCGAGGAGTAGACGCGTGTGGGATAGGACGTCTCGCCCGACTCGTCCCCATACGGTCGACCACTGATGTTGATTGACACGGCGCGTTGGAGCTCCTCATTAGATGTACTCTTCCCGTCAAGTCCTGGAGGGCGCGCGAGCGAAAACTCGTCGACCTCAGGCCCGCGCAGGAACGAGACCGCGTATAGCAAGTTGACTTGCTCCTTTGGAGCGATCTTCAAGGGAAAGATATCGCCACCTTCGGAGCCCCAGCCCACCAGCGCGGTCCGCGCGCCTGTGCCGCCCACAGTCACGTCTGCTCGCTCGACCTCGAAATGGTATGTCGGGTTACCAGAGGTCGAGTGAGCTTCCGCGAACATATTCTCGATCTCGACGCTGAGGACGACCGTATGTTCCTCATTACCGGCTTCGCGTTGCTCCTGCTCTTGCAGAATATCGTCGTCTAGATCCGAGTCGGACGAATCGGAACCGCGGTCTTCGCCTGTGCTCCTGATCTGTCGCGCCTTCCGCGTCCGTCCGCCCTTTATATCCTGGGGAAGAAGGAAGTACGGGACAAACACTGTGCGCATCCGCACGCGGAAACCTGACAGTATCTTGAGGGTCTTCCGGAAAGACTTGCGGAGCGTCGCTGCTCGTGGAAGGCCACTGGAGGCAGGTGGCGAAGAGATTCCTGTAGCATACGGGACGGGCGTGCCCGTAGACGCAGAGGCTGGAGGACCCAGGGAGAACTCGTGCATACGCGTGTTTGAGCCCAATCGTGACGATGGAAGAGACAAGCGGTGTTGCGCATCGGCAAACGTAGGGCCTGGTATGATGTTAGCGGAGCACTAGCAATAGATTCGAGTTCAAGCCTCCACGAAAGGGACTGGGACGCAAGGTGGAAAAGCAGATCCGTTCGAGCATTTGCTAGCCAAAGCGGTAGCATCTCGCTGATGCAAACTTATATGTAAAGCGCGCAAAGTCTTCACTTCATACAATCCGATATGTGAAATGGGCTTGTCGCGCGGGAGAATACGTCACCACACTGAATTGCTTACCGGCTGATAACCCCTCCAAAAGGTTTACTTCTTGAAGACCGGAAAGGAGGTCATCCTCCTCGCTATCCGAGGGAGGCTGATCCGTTGCTGCGCCGTTAGTCTTGACGGGGGAAGCCAGACCGCCGGACTTGAGACCACCAGCAGCTTCAATAAGCGTAGCGAGAGTGGCCCGTGGGGGCGTCATTGCAAGCGGCTTATTGCGGAGGGTAGTCGACACGGTTATGCAGAGTAACGGGTCGGCAACCTTGGTGAGCATGAACACTAGCGCACGCCTAAGTTATAAGAGCGCGAAGGCCAAAACATGAGAGAGGTGCTCACAGACGAGGATAGACATCTTGTACACAGCTAGCCAGCAGCGTTCGTCAGAGTCCCAGAGAAGGGTAAATTGTTCAGTGTCTCGCGAGTCGGACTCGCCCCAGATGGCGGAGACCAGAGGCGTGCCTTGCGACTGGACATACTTGAGGTCGGACTCTGCAGCAGCGGGTATGGGATGAGGGGTATGTGGAGGGAATATGGACGGGTGCCCGGCGAGCAGTGGGCCGGGGCTGTTGCGACGCATAGAGTGGGTGCGCGGGGGAGGCATGGATAGACGCGCCGTGTTTGGCATCTCGGGCGTAACAGCAGAGGGCGAGATGTAAGAGGTCTCATATGAGATCTGCAAGTGCGCCAGAAAGGAGAGCAGAGATTTGGGAGGGTTGGGAGCAGGATCATCGTCGGATGCAGTAGAGGACAGGCGGATGGTCAAGAGAAAGTCCAGGTTCTCGTCTGCGTTTCGCTGAGCAGCCGATTTTTCGGTTTATATATTCAATACGCACCGAAGAATGCTGTCCTTCTATCTCCGGATGGACCTCGAAGACGAGCGATCCAGTCTTGAGCCTGCTCCGCTCTGTAGTCGGCCGGGAACTCGAGAGACGGCTGCGGGGCTACGACCTCGAGCACGCTAGACTCAAACAGCTCCTCATAGCTACTCATTCGCTATAGCTTGAATTTCGAGCGAGTCCGAAGAGCTAGCCACAAGAAGGTGCAGGGAAGAAAGCGAGAGAGATGCCAATGGTAGCCGGGAGTATGTGGATGAAGTGCAATAGACGCCCATTATGCTGTAGCTCTCTTCCTCCCTCCATCGGACATTCCTCTTGAACCCGTTCTACTCACTGATTTGGGGGATCCCACCATCTCTCTGTGTTCTCTTAGACATTTAAATTGATGAATATGCACTCTGGTGCACTCCCTCGGTGGTTTGATTTACACGTCTAGCTGGAGGCGTAGGAGTTGTGCTCCTCCCAAGCTCCTCCAGCCCATGGACCGCTAACCTCCGTGTCTTCACAGACAACGCAATGGACTTGTCTACGGGTGCATTCGGGATTCATGTTGTTTTTGGGGATGAGTAGCGTCATATACTACCCGTTTTCGTAACGGTTCGGTATGTGTTTCCGTCTATAGAACCCAATGACCATCGGTTCCAGCACAGGAGGCTTGCCGGACGGAATCTGTTTAGGCTTCCACGTCGTGTGCCAATACAGCCGCCCCCCTCCTACACGCTACTCTGTATAGGATGAGGTGGCGGATGCATTGTCATGGGACTATGTCCAATACAAGTCTTGTCAAACCCGCTCTCAGGTCAGCGCTCCGATCGACCAGAATAGGACGTCATCAGGACCATCGACCACAAACGCGCAACGGTTCCAAGAGTCAGGAGTAAGCAAGTTCATTGCAGGCTGGGAAGACCGATCTCTTCGAGGGTGTCATGCTTCACAACGCATCGATCGTGTAAATATTGTGGCCTGTGGGTGTATGTAGGAGCTTGCAATATCGTGCCCTGCAAGTCTACGCCAAGATCAACCAAAGGCCTCGTCAATTCTGTAGGCCCCTTCATGTCATCTCGATCAAAATGCTTAAGTCCCTGCGAACGAGTCCTATTTCTCCACAGGACACAGAACACGTGCGGACGCAACAGAATATAATCAACATCGCATTCAATCCCTGATAATACATGGTACAAACAACTCGCTCGCGAGTATACACCAAGGCGAACTCAGTACACAGGGCAAACCCGAACGGACCGTTTATGGCATACAATGCAGACGTCTATGGTGACTATGTCACTTTAAACCAAGGGCCCTTTGAGCCTTTCAAGAGGGGCTATAAAGTACACATGTGAGCATCGTGAGATATACTGCGAAGGCGTGCGATCTTACACGGGGGCAACGGAGGTCCTCGGGCCAGCCTGGGTCGGAAGGGTGGGGAAGGGAGTCTCCGCGCACTGAAAAACGAGATTAGAACCAACGTGCGAATACTATAGATCGGGCTGCTTACAGCGTGCTCGATGTCGCGGACGGTGAAGCCAGCGGGGAAGTGCGTCGCCTCCCTGAGTGGCTTCGGGACGGGGATCTGCACAGACAAGATGTCAGGCTTGAACGACAACGTAGTACCAGATGGAGACGCACCACTTCCGTGCAGTCGACGAGGTCGGTGATGTTCTGGCCGAACAGCGAAAGGTCGTGGAACACGAACTGGAACATTTGCTGGACCTTCGTCTGGTTGTTCACGAACGACTGCCACTCGCACGCCGTGCGCTCGTCGCGCGCGATCGCGAAGTCCGACTGGAGACGGAACTCGCCGCGCATCGGGGACTCGACCTCGCCCTGGTTGGGGCCATCTCCAGGGAAGAGGGTGCCCTTGAGCTGCGTCTCCAGGAAGAACTGCGAGTCGAACTGGCTGGGGGTGGAGTCGAAGGGCGAACCGGGGATCGTCGGGTCGACGTCGTTGGCCGCGGCAACGGTGTGCGCGGTCAGGAGCCAGACCGTCAGGATCGGGTCGAACTCGCCCTGGGACGCGTCCGCGAGGCGGTCGAAGATCATGTCGGGGGTGTGGAACGGCTCGGGGACGAGGCCGTCGGGGGCGGGGCGCGTCGCATCCTTGCGGCCGACGAAGGCGGAGAGCTGGGGAGCTCCGGGGCAGTTGGACGCGCCGAGCGCACCGGCGAACTGGATGCTGCACACACTCATCAGCAACGCCCGGGATAAGGTGACAAGGAATCAGGACTTACAAGTCAGCAACGCCGAGGTTGTGGCGCTCAATGAACGGCCGCTGCTTCTCCACGATCTCGTCGAGACCGATGTTAGGGTGGAACGCGGTCTCGATGTGCGAGAAGATCGCGATCGAACCGTCGGCACCTCCACCACTGTATCGAGGCCAAGTTAGCGGAATTAGCGGAACAGCATCACAGCGAGTTGACTGACCCGAAGGTGCCCTGGGCCTCAAGGGCGGGCGAGATGGCGATGGCGTCGTGGAACGTCAGACGGAGAGACTCGTGCGCCTCGGCGTTGCACTGAGCACCGTCGAACAAGTTCTTCTGCAGATCCTCGCGGACGGCGAAGAGCTGGCAGCACGCCTCGTTGCTGGCAGTGTGGACACCATCGGGGCAGGCCACACGACGGTTCAACGCAGCTAAGTGAAGATAACATCAATAACAGGTTTAAATCTCCCGCCGACAGACTGCTACACACCGGTGCTCACTCCCTGGAGGGCAGCGGCGAGAGCAACGAAAGAAGAGAGCAGCTTGAAGGCCATTGTGTACCGCCTTGGAAGTGGAGGATGGGGCTGAACCGTGCTTGAGTGGTCTGAAGAGTGGAAGTCACTAACCCTCTCCTTATATACCTACGATGCGGTGAGGATGCTTTCGGCTTTCCATGAGTTGTGGGTACGTCGTAGCACCAAGAGCCGAAGCGAACATGGACCCGCGGTGTCCTTCAGACCAATCGCAACTCCAGGATTGTGTGATTTTTTTCAATCGCTATGCGGCACGGCGTACTGGGACGACGCGCTCGCGGGAGCGACCGTGTAGTCGGTGTGTCGCGCGACCTAGAGAATCATTCTTCCCGACGCCTCTGCGCTGTCTTTGTCGGGTGCGGTGACTCAACTGTGGCCCCCGGTCGATGTGTTTGCCGTAAGCGACTGTGAACGCAGACGGCGCCCATGGTCAACCATGTCTTATCTCAGTTAGACCGTAAGAAGCACGCACTCAGCAGAGACGTTCAATATGTTGAGTGGTCCAAGGCGGTGGTTCATGGACGGAGCACGCCGATGCCTTCGACAACGAGAAGGCGGTGCTTTGACGGACAGCGCACCGCATGGTCTCGCGAGACCTGTTCACATCGACACAGCTGCGGGCGTGGTTTCGATATTCCAAGGGAGCGGAAGGTATCGTTGAGAGGCGGGGATGCAAACACGCTCCCTATCGCGTTGTCGCAAACTGCGCTTCTTCGCTTCCCGGTCAAAAGGGAGAATGATATTTAAATTCCCAAAACATCGGTAGGGCGAGCAACCTGAATATGTCGGCCAGAAAGGGAGCTGCTTGGGGCAATGTACTCAGTGAGATCACCATTAAAGGCTCATAGCAAGTAACAGTTTGATGATTCAAGGGCGGTCGTCACCTTGATGGCCTTTCAAGGCGCCGATGTAGGATGATCCAACCAACGCAGCCTAAGCATTTACTGTCACGGGGATGGCGCGCATGGCAACGCGTCTTACGCCAAAAAGTCACTGCCGCACCTCTCAAGGTTAAAATTCTTGTTCCATGTAAGAAAATCCGTAACGCGTACCCTGTACATATGTTCGCCGGCCATCGGATACGTCGTAGGTGGGCTACACATTCCGTCCTTCTTCGGTTGTCAACCGGCGTGTCGTGGGGGTCCCACCGGACCCGAAGCGTGGAAACAAACGGGTCTCGGTGACATACGGTCGTGGGCGAAAGCCGCTGTGCAGGTAGACTGATAGCATGCGCATGGTTTGGGTGACGGATGTAAAAACGCCTTCGGACATCGCCTGGCTGCGGTGACACCCGGACGTCCTATTGAAAGCGTGAGATGTGCACACTGTAGCCTTGAACTCGGGTGCTTGAGCAAAGCTTAGAAGTGCATCAAACGGCGATGCCGGTGAGCTCGCATCTTGACGTATGCTGCGAAATGTTCAGAGGGCTGGATGGTTCGAAAGGTGCGGGACCGAGCTGGTGGGTACCATGACCGCGGTAACTTCTTCGATAACCCTCCGAGATATCCAGTTCCCATCTGGCTGAGCCGAGGAAATAAAAATATACCAGCTCACAAACGCGAACGTATGCATCTGCGTAGTAAAGAAGACAATCCAGCTGCATCTAGCGTCCGAAGATATGAAGCAAGGTCGGTCGTAGTCAGGTCGTAGTTGCGGTTGATACTTGGATCCGTCTCGAAGAACCCATGCTGAGTGACCCGGAACCTTCCGAGATCACTGTCACACCATCACAGATACCCCCAAATGGCAGTTACAGTGTACTAGGCTGTCACATTCTATCAGCCGCCCACCCGGCAACGACTCCGGGGTGACGCGTGACGCTCGAGAGAAAATCCAGAGTGTCTCTCAGCTGCGGGGCTTATACGTGCATACTCATCAATAGAACAGCATAGTCTCAGAACCCCTCAAGACGCGCACCTCTGCCCGTTAACCAATACCTTCCACGATTTTTGAACTAGTTGACTGGCACGGCAAGCGGGCTTTTCTAATTCAACTCCGTCATCGAGTAAGATATTCGGAATGCTATTCAGATCTTACAACTGTTAAGTCGTACAGTACATAAGTTTTATGCTACTGCACGAGGGCCTGAACCTTCCTGGTTGTCAAAGGAGAGAAAACCTGCTAGTCAACTGAAAATGCATGTGTAACGGAAACCATTTCCCAGTCCCCTAGTTCGCCGACAGGTTGTTATGAAGCACACGCCAGAACTCGGGAGCGAGAAAAACGTAAGTGCTCGCACCTACTCGAAACCAGGTTCGCTCCGGGGAAGTGAGATGCCGGAGCCCAGCCCGCGCACAGTCTTCCCACAGTGCACAAGCCTCAAATCCCTCGGACACACCGAAGACGCAAGGCACTCCCAGGCGACTCGATCGAGAGGGATGATCTGCACGACCCCGTCCCACGGCCTCGAGCTCGGTGCGTTCTCGTGTTCCTGAGAATTCCAAAACGACTCGACGGGACCCTTCTCATGTCCGCGGAAACGCATAGAATGCGCCGGCCCTCGCGTTCCGCACGCCAAGAATGTGTGCGAGTCATACAACCACCCACAACGTCGGGGCGGGAGCCGCCCCGTGCTGTGTTACGGGCGCGCTTCCTGGGCGGGCCCGGGCCCCTGTGCGTTAGCCTTTTACCCACATGCCGTCAGTCGTGTGCGCGGAAATGGCCCGTGCGACATACTGCGTTCAATATAGTCGAGGGAGCTGCCAAGCTTTTCGGCGGTAGTTGTTTCAGACATGGCGGCGGCGGCTGCAGAAACGAGGCGCGTGAGAAACGGAGATCGGTGGAGGTAAGGTCGTGTGGCAGAGGACGCTGGAGGACTCACGAGCCTGCAGGCACAATGTAGGTTAACAAGAGCCAGCGGTCCAATGAGAGCGACGGCATTTCTCATCCCTAGTGAGTGCGATGCGTCGGTGAGGGAACGCAGCAGGCAGTCCGTTGTAGGGGTCCAGGAGGGTGGACTACTCGGACGCCCCCGTCCCCGCGATCAGGCAGACAGTTGAGGCTTCACCTGGTAGCAGAACGGGAGATATTCATCCGCTCTACCTTGAGGACACTGAACGCGAGGTCGAACGTGTTACTAATCAGTCATGCATGAAGCGGAATTTACGCACTGCAGCCGTTCGCGTTGCGTGAAGCGGGGTTGATTCTGGCTTCGGTGGTAGGGCTGCTCCTTGTCACCTCGAAGGCACAAGTCCAACCAGGAGTTGCAATCCGAGAGTTCCATGGACAACGTCACAGACAACGATGACCACACCCTCGAGCTGATAAACTCCTCATCGTTGAGGAGAGCTAAAGAGTGCTCAACCAGGCACAAGATATCGGTAAATAACACTCCTAGCAAACGCGACACACGTACTCACCTGGGGGAATGCGTCCCAACGCGCGGTCTGCGCGTTCTATGCAGCTGATGGATGTGGGGTTGGGGAAGATTTGGGTGAGCATGACACTCTGAACAGCGCGTCCTAAGTACTCACCAAAAGGTGCTGTGAAAGCCAAGCCTACAGGTTGCTCTTGGCGGACCCGAGGGCGGTCTGGACGACGTGTCTTGTGCACACGGCGGTCAATACCAGGGATATTATCGCTTGAAATCGCAGTGTGTACCCGCATGTCACGCAGGCACAACGAGGGAATTGTAGCTTCCGAATACTCGGTGTGTTGCTCGACAGTGAACTGTGGTCCAGTTGCACTATGCGAGGTATCACTCACGTCTGTAGGCATCGACAGATACCGCCCATGTGCCTTGCATGGCTGGCAATGCCGACGGCATTTGTGAACAGAAACTACAGACATGGCCTAGGAGAACTCGTGGTCATCAGTGATGGTGCGAAGCTGACTGACACGGACATGTACCATCCTTGCAAGGACCATAGAGCCGGGGCGAACATCCACCGGCGAGACCCGCAGTCTTGGCGCCTTCAAGCTAATACATCGAATGTGAGCGGCCCGAGTATAATGCGATTGACCGTTGGATCGTTCTTTGTACATCTTTGCGTGTATACGCCCGCACCGCGCTGTGGGCCATGATAGGTTACGGAGGCGTCAACCACGGTTTTCAGACCAAACCCAAGACTTGATTACGCGGCCCACCATCGCTGAATAAACAACAACCTCTGGATGATCCCAACTCTTGATTGAGTTCGAGCTTACGTCTAACGATGCGACCAAGCGGACAGGATGAGCATGCTCAGCCATCATGAGAAACAACTTGCGAGTGTTCGTCTGAGTACGGCGAGCAATTGAAAATCCTATAAACGCCAAATCCTTGTCAGTGAGTAGAAGGGGGGCAGGATGCTCATATTACGCACTGATACGGTGTCACCTTACTGCAGAAGACAAAGCGGATATGTAAGTAAACATGTAAGTACTAGTAGCCCCATTTGAAGGTGATGACTTACGGAGGTGTTGAGCCTTCGAAGGCCATACGCGCTCATTCCACGGAGAAAATTATCAGAGAGGGTGTTTGTCGAAATGCAACATAAGATCATCCAGTTGAACGAGCTGCACACCTCGGAAGACTGTCGGCGGTCGAACGAGGTCGAGCGACTGGCCGGGCGCGCGGCGCCACGTTCTGTCGCGACATGTCACGATCATCTGACATGCGTCACAGAACCCCGCTTGGACGTGTCATGCAGGTGGAACTTTAAATTTCGGCTCTTGTACTACGACCACGACCACGTTGGTATGCCACCCTGATCCCTCTCGCGAGCACTTTGTTTTACCTGGATGCAGTGTGCATTACCCATATTTTGAGTGAGTGAGTGCACCATTATGTTGTTGGCCATAATCAATTGGACGCAGTCACCGGCAAGAGGTCGCTCGAAGCTAGCGTACGTGCACGCACATGCGTGCGGGCATGTCAGCTCAGCATTTGACCCAAGGGCAACATCTCTCATTAGATCACCGAGACCAACAGCGTTTTTTTAAATCACGGTGAACATCGTATGGATACAAAACGTGCAATGCCGCGGCTCCGACGTCGCTAGCCTATAGGTAAAGAACTTTGGTATAGGTCACATTAGCACGCCTGGTAGGCGATAGACTCCCTACTCTATGCTGTTTCCCTAACACTGCAGCAGAAACAGCCAGGGTGCATTTAAAAAAATTCGCGCACCCCTATGCACGTGAGTCGTATGCACTGAACTCGAGCACGCCCCCTTCGCTGTGCTGATCCTGTACCTTGCTCACTATGCAACTAGCCGTGTGTGGCTTGTAGACTACTCCTCTTTACAATCCATCAGCTGGACCTACAAATCGAGACGGGTCGTTTGTTCTTATCGGGGTGCACCGAACATGCACGCCCGCGTTGCATATCATCCATCAGAACCTCACTCTGCCTGTTCCCGCTCATCCATGCCCCATTTGAGGCAATACCCCCATGATGGTCTCCCAGGTCCGATGCGGTCCCCACCGCCCTCGAACATACGCCTGCACCCCGTGTCGAAGTGAGCACAATCGCGCTCAGCGTTTCCTGAGCCTCGGGCGCCTGACTGCTCGTCATTTGGCCAGGGAATGACCCGCGGGCTCTGGCCAATCAGCGTGCGTACATTTATCGTAAAGTCTCACCCGGAGGCACACCCACATGCACGCGCATCATGTTCACCTTCGCCATAGCAGGCCATTCGTCCACTGCGCTATCCTCAGCTCTTCAGGCGGCCCACAGGGACCGCCGTTCCCGGCAGCCATGATACGCCACAAATAACCTCGCTCGCTTATCGCCTTAAGCGTGCTCGACCGTCGATGGAGGGCCTTTCGTTCCTCTCTCCAGACTCCTCCCACCACCGTCTTGTCTAGCCAGCAAGTACCGCATCGACGAACATGGGGTCCGCGCCGTCCAAGACAACCCAGGCTGAGCAGTGCGAGTCGGAGAAGGCGACATACGTTACCCGCGAGCTCGCGGAGTCCCTCGCGAAGCTCGACCTCTCTGCACCGCTCTCGGTCGATGGCTCGCTCTCGCTCTCCAACGTGGACGCGTGGGAGGACGACGTGACGCAGTCCCCCAAGCTCCAGCTCGCACGCACGATCCTCAACCACACCAACATCCGCGAGACGCTCACTTCGCGCAGCTCGTACATCGCGGACGCGCATGTGTTCAACACCGAGCTGGAGTTCAAGACCTCCCCGATCACGAACCAGAAGAGCTCCGGCCGGTGCTGGCTCTTCGCGACCACCAACGTGCTGCGGTACAACATTATGAAGAAGCTCAACTTGTCAGAATTCCAGCTCTCGCAGGTGCGTTAATCCAGAGCATCTTGACGTGAGTTTAATCGCTGACGGAAATAAAAATATACAGTCATACCTATTCTTCTGGGACAAGCTGAACAAGTCGAACTACTACCTGGAGCTCGCCATCCAGCACGCGGACCTCCCAGTCGACGACCGTCTCGTCTACTATCTCGCCGACGAGCTCATCAGCGACGGCGGCCAATGGGACATGGCCGTCAACCTGCTCGAGGTCCGTCCATCGCACCCAGCACGCGGTGCCCGCTCCCCTAACCTGACGCGCACCACAGACATACGGCGTGATCCCGCAGCCGCTCTACCCCGAGTCGCTGCACTCCTCGCTCTCGAGCCCAGTGAACACGCTGCTCAAGACGAAGCTGCGCGAGCACGCGCTCATCCTGCGCGACCTCTCCGCCTCGTTGCGCGCGGACCCCGCGATTAGCGCGGACGCGGCGCTGCGTGCGCTCCGCTCGAAGAAGGAGGCGCTCCTGAAGGAGGTGTATGTCGTGATGAGCGCGACGCTCGGCGTGCCGCCGCGCCCGGACGAGAAGCAGACGTGGGACTACTACGACAAGGATGGGAAGCCGGGCTCGTGGACGGGCACGCCGCGCGAGTTCTACAAGGCGTTTGCGTACGACAAGTACTCTGTAAGTTGGACCAAATGGTGGGGAATGGGTCGCGAGCTGACAGTGCGTGTGTAGCCCGCGGACTCGTTCTCGTTGATCAACGATCCGCGCAACGAGTACGGCAAGCTCTACACCGTCGACAAACTCGGCAACATCTGGGGCGGACGGCCCGTACTCTGTGCGTGCTCTTGGTCGTTGAATTTTCCCACTTTCGCGCGATATTAACACAGTTGATTCTCCACAGACGTGAACACCGAGATTGAGAACTTGAAGCAGGCCGTAGTGAAGCAGCTCAAGGCCGGACAGCCCGTCTTCTTCGGATGCGATGTCGGCCAGTTCTCCGACCGCAACGCAGGCGTCATGGACACCGCGCTCTTCGAGTATGAGGTGCGTATTCCCACATTCCCCACTGCCTTCGAATTTCGCTCATACTATCCCTCCCTCCCCAGGCGGCCTTCGACATCAAGTTCGGGCTCACAAAGGCAGACCGGCTGCACACGAGCGAGTCCTCAATGACGCACGCGATGGTGATCTCGGGCGTGCACCTCGACGCGGCGGGGCGGCCCGCGCGCTACAAGGTCGAGAACTCGTGGGGCGACGTCCCGGGCGACCGCGGGTACTTCGTTATGAGCGACGCGTGGTTCGAGCAGTTCGTGTACCAGGTCGTCGTGCCCAAGGCGCTCGCGCCGAAGGACCTCGTCGCCGTGTTCGACAAGGGCGAGGCGCAGACGCTTCCGCCGTGGGACCCTATGGTGAGTTCGTGTTTTGTGTCTTGTGTAGGCGTCACCGAGGTGCTGACTGCGCGGATGTGTGTTACAGGGCTCGTTGGCTTGAGTGTTTCGGCGAATGCATGTTTGGATGTTTCGGGACACTGCCTATCTACTTGCTTTGTGTTTGTGCAATGTTGTATTGTAGCTGAGAGGGGATGCTGGGACAAATGCGTTGGAGACAATGGATTGACAATTCTACACGAGGCAGAAACCAAGCGAACGCCCAACCTTCCAAGATATCATTAAATTGATGGAGTTCATGCATCGCCGGACGCGTCAGACGCATCAGAGGGATCCTCCATTGGCACTTCCCGCTGCAGAGCCCGCGGAAGAGACGCAATAATTCGGCATTGGAAATCTTCGTCATAACCGACGCACTCCATCTTCCAGGTATGCAGCACCTATCGTGGGTCAATATCGTTTAGGTACACGCGTAACAGCAGGGAAATCACTGATGAGATGCTTACCCAGAACTCGGTCTCAAAAGCCTCCCTCACGTCCTCGGGATCGAGCGTGTACTTCTCCTTCGTATCGAGCGCGTCCTCAACCTCTTTCTCCGAGGGCTGGCGGCCTAGCTGCTTGAACAGCGTCCGACACGCGCGGAGAGCGCGCTCCTCAGGTTCGTCCTTCCTGAACAGATTTCTGCCCCATTCCTTACTAACCTGCCAGTGCACTAGCTCATGAGAAAATTCGGGTAGTATGTACTCTGCAGCGTCTCCCACCTTGAGGTACAAAGAACAGAACTCGCCAGGCGAAAGAGGCTCAGATCTCGTGAACTTGTACTCGCCCATGTAGCGAAACTGCGCATCGGCGAGGCCGACGAGCAGCTTTTGCGTGCCCTCCGGCCACCGCGGCCTAGGTTTAGCCAAAAACATGATACCCGGAGCCCCCGGGGTGCGCGGGACCATCGCGTTGAGCTTGACCTTGGGGAAGAGACAGTGTGTGTAGCTATGTCCGAAGGTGCGGCGATTGTCGTCTGTGAACGAGACCGACATTTGGCGCATTCCGCCCCCGAAGTTCTGGCTGATGAACTTGCGTGAGACGAGAATGTTCGAGTCGGTGCTCCCTAGGGCGACGGGGAACACCGGGACGTCGTTGACGCGATCCCGCAGATAGTCTTGCCAGCGTAGAGGGCCCGATAATGTTGGGGATGGGATTACGACGCCGTCGAACTTCATTCGCTTAGCAGAGCGCCCCCGCGGTGCTATGTTGTCTTCGTCCAGTCCGTGTTTCACAATTTGACTTGCGCCCTGAGACATTGAATGAGTGATATAGTTTGGTCAGGCCTACTGTGTATTCGTTATGACGCATACCCTTCGATACGATGCAATGAGCCCTGCAGCTCGTTCAACTTCCTCATAGGTGGAAAGGGCACGATCAAGAACGGACTCAAAGGCCACCTCGAAGGAGTTCGCGTTAGGGCACGGCCGCGCTGCGACCGTCGCGCTGTCTCCTTGTAACGGCGCACGAGCCACAGAGGTGACGTCTTCGTTACCGGCTCCAGCACTAAACATGCCCTTGGAGTCCTGAGCATCCTCACGGTCCTGCTAAAGCGTGAGCATGTGCACTCACTTGAGAGCACAAAGAGAAGAAACTAACCAGCAGTGTGCGAAAGAAGACCGGTAAGCCAAGATCTTCGGAGGGGAGTGCACCAAGATCGTCCGCCTTTATCTCGAGCTTGCCTGCGAGGCCTTCCACTGGTTCAGAAAGAGTGAACAAATGCTGCCCACCCTGCGCTGCCGCGCTGTTGCTACCCGCAGCGACCAGAGCTGTCAATGCAATAACTTGGGCAGCCAGACTCGACACCTGGGACTGCAATTCCGTGATGCGCGCGGCCTGTTCTTTAGATGTCTTTTCTAGAAAGATGAGCCGTGCATTCTCATGCGCGCCGCCATCAATTAGTATGCCCTCGTTCTTCATTGAGGGGCACAGATGGCTGAAGAAAGTTCGAAACTCAGTGGGTGTGACGATGGCGGAAGGAAGAACGCGCCTCCAACTCAAGCGCCCTCGAAGCGAGCGTGACGCGCTCCACGTGCGCCCGTCGCGTGTTCTGGTCGTCCCCAATGTTGTTGCATGACGAAACGACGATCGAGTGGTCAATGTACAATTTTCGGCGAAAGCAGACTCAAATCCACCCCCCCATAAAAGTACAATCGAACTTCGCGCAGAATTATGCCTTACTGAAGCGTCGAAATGAACGCCTCCACGTCCTTTCGCGACGCGCCGCCCTCCTCCCACTCCTTGTTGACGCGCTCCTTGAGCGCAAGCAACCGTGCGCGCCTCTGCGCGCCGTCCTCGCCGAACGCACGCGCAAGCACATCGCGCGCCTCCGCGCGGACCGCGTCGAGCGTGCCCGTCGGCGTCTTGCCAGTGCGGAAGATCGGGCGCAGGCCCTGGCCTGTGCGCACCTCAAGCAACTCGTACGCGACCTGGTGTGTCTCCGTGAGCACGATCGTGTTCACGGGCTGGTCCCCGAGGAAGGGCCAGCAGATGAGCGGGACGCTGGCGTGGATGGATTCGAGCGTGCTGTTGAACCCTGCGTGCGTGACAAACCAGCCCGTTGCCTACATGGGGTGGCAGAGTCAGCGCACTGAGCCGTGAGGGTGGAATGCGAAGTACTGACGGGATGGTTGAGTAGGGTCTGCTGTGGCGACCAGGGGGAGAAGAAGCCGTTGCCGTACTCCTCGACCTTCTTCTTCAACTCGTGGGAGAAGACGGCGAAGGGTGAGGGGTGGCTGACAATCTGCAGAGACAAAGACAGCACTTGTCAGAGGGATAAAACGTCATGATTGGGAAGTGTTGTACTCACGAAGGGAATCTTTTGCTCCATCACAGTCTCAAGGAAAGCCGCAAAGACTTCGGGGTTCAGCGGGAAAAACATCGAGCCAAACGAGATCTGCAGCTTTGAATGAGTACGATATCTTGGTAACCTATCATGATCTCGAAGACCTACATAGAGAACAGAGTGCTTCCCCTTCTCCTGCAGTTGGCGGTCCAAGAACGCCTGAATCTGCAGCGCAACAGGCGACCCAGCCTTCTCGCCAGAGTCTGCGTTGGCACCTTCTGGGACGAGAGGGCCAGTGAAGTACACCTTCTTTCCGAGGCTGCCCAGCCACTGGCGGAATGCGACAACAGCGTCTTCGGGTTCGAGCGCTGCGGGGCTCATGGCAATAACGGCGTCCGTTTTCAGCAAGAGGCTTGAAACATCGTCAGACAAGGATAGCAGTATCGGTATTCAGACACGCACTCGTGGGCTTTGATGAAGGAGTTTCCGACAAGGGGAGGGGGGAGGGGCATCTGCACATTTTTTGCATAGTTAGCTCTCATATAACACAAATACGGCGACAAAATGCACTCACAACCTGGGGCTCGTACTCATAGTCGTACATCGGGGGAAGGCCGGGGACGCGAATGACCTTACCCTCGGTCTTGGAGAAGACCTATAGTGCCTCAGACTGTCAGCACCATCCTCACAATGCAGAATCTCATCACAGCTCACCTCAGCAGCTGCTACGTCGAACGGCTTTCCCGTCGCCGCCGCCTCTTGCTCCGCCTTGACGAGCAAGCTCCCCCTCCCGCCAAGGCTCTCAGGACCGAATAGATAGAGCCCGCTGTAAGCCGCGCTGGGGTACCACGTGCTGATCTTCACGTCGGGAGCCTCCCTGCGGATGAACTCAAACGTCCTAGGCGCGAAGAACTGCGCACTCCGTCAGACCCCCGCTGCCTTTGACGCAGAACGCAACGCAACACGTACGTCCAAAATGACCTGCTTGGGCGCGACCGGGATGGGCTCGTGCACCGCGCCGGACTTCACGCACGTAATGGGCTCCTGCGCGACGATCTTCGTCCACGCCTCCCCGAAGGCCTCCTCGTACGTTGCCGAGATCATCGGGTTCTCGTGCTGTGCTAGTGCAATGACGCGGATGCGCGTCGCGGCATCCTCTCCGTCGGCGAAGGTGCGCGAGATCTCCGCCTGGGCGAGGGGGAAGAACATCGCGGCCACGAAGAAGGTTATGGTGACCAACGGGTCGAGCTTCACGATGCGCGCGGCCAGCGTGCATACGGGGCGGATGTGGCCTACAGATGCAATGGTACGTCAGAAAGTATACTGCAGGAGGGGCAGGACGTAGACTGACCCCATCCTTGGAAAGGAGTGATGACGAGGTGCTTGGTGGCCATGATCTACGTCGTCTGTGGCGGATGGAGAACTGACAGGAAAACCTTGATAGTGAGCAAGGTTAGCGCGATCGCAGCATATATATGCTGGCGCCCTGCATGGCGCACGTCGATGATGCACCGGGCAATCTCGGTCTTCCTGCGATGGCAAAACGCGCGCGATGCGCCATCGATGAGACATGGCGCCCTCGAACAAGCACCGGAAGCACCGCCCTAAGGGCGCTGCGATACCATAGGCCATGGCGCCCCTGATGAGAGAAGGTAGAACGTAAGTGCCGGTACTGTGGCAGGCCCGATGATCCTTCTCTGTCCGGGAGCGGACCACGACTCAGCTAGTGAGCACCCCTTGGCAAAGATGTGAGCGGTATCGATCACGGCCGGTTCGCGCGCGATGTCTCGAGCGGTTACAAATACTAGACAGATATTGCAATTGGCAACTCGGGCATGTGTCCTTGAACCCCTCCGAACAGCGTTTCTGAGTCTCGGGCCCCCTACGTGGACCTCGACGGCAGAAAGATGGTCAGTACCTGATCGTAGCGGATGTTTTGCAGGGCTGTGCAGTAGTCTGCACGTTACACATATTGCCGCCCTCTCTCTCCAAGTGGACCCTCCTACACCGAGTATAAGTGATCATAGAAGCAGTGCATGTTTGAACGCGGGTTCGAGATGATCGAGGTACACAACAAAGTACAATGGTGTGTGGCTGTGTTCGCGGGGCGTACGGCGTTTTCTGGCGTCTGAGTCGGTCACTCTGTATACGGATTCCGGATATTGGGTGGACGAGAAAGTCTTGAGCTCCATTACGTTTCCGTAGATACACTTGAGACATCCGCAGGGCGATATGCGCCGGGCGAACATCGCTCAGCAACAGTAAAAATACATTACGTAGCACTATAGACGACCTCCAGGGGATACCAAACGAATGATCAAGATTATGTACTCTGCTCAGCGCGCGGGGCGCGTCGCAGGAGATAACGTACAGTACAGCGAGAGTGAGAGAGCTAGATGCTACAGCTGGTGGATACGAGAGCGTTCGGATACAATCCAAGACAGTGCAAGAGAGAAACGGAGAGAAAGTCCAATGGGTCATGAGAGAGTCGACGTCAGCATTACAGCGCCGTGGCGATGAATGGGTTGCTCTGCCGTGCAGCGTTGTACGTGGCCGCGACGGGGGTCTCGAACGGGTTCGTCGGGCTGACCACGTCCGCATCGTGCACGCGGTGCTCGTCGTCAAAGGGCGTCACGAACGGGTCCACCGCCTGGGAGGACTGTCGTGCGTGGTTCGTGGTCAGGAGCCGTGTCACGGGCGTCGAGGTGTCCGGGTCGATCTTCGCGGGCTTGCGCGTCGGGCGGACCGGGAGAGGCAAGAGGTGGTGAGAGTTGTGTACGGGTGTTGGGGCGGGGAACTCGAAGCCATGGTGGAGGGGAACAGGCATGGCTGCCTGTGGCGCGTGGACATTGGCGGTCGGGGTGTCGTACTCGGTGTTCACATCCAGGGGTACACTCGCGGCGCGGCGGGGAGGCAGCGCGGGCGGTTGAGTGGGCTTTACGGCACCCACCCAAGGGAGCGTGCTCGCGTCAAGAGGAGACATCGACCAAGCAGAAGACGGACCGGCAAGATCGCTCGGAGAAGTACGCTCGATGATCGGCAGCCCGTCTTGGCGCAGGGAGGAATGGTCGGTCGAGATGGACAAGTTTGGACGCCTGCGCCTGCGTCCACGGCTCTCCTTCTCCGGAGCGGCGGGACCCTGCCCATCCTTCCGCCACGCCATGCCGACCATACGCTTGTACCAGGGTTCCAACTGCATGGTCTGGGCGTCGGCAGAGACTTCCGAAGCAGAGGTAGAGTCGTGCTCAGCGTCGGCCACCAGCACTTCTCGACCCATCGCCTTGCGACCGAGCGCCATGAGCTTGCGCGGCCCGCTGACCTTGGGTGCAGGCTCCGCCTGAGGAGTAGTCGCCGTGTTGGCCTGGTCTAGGAAGCTATCCCAGCTCTTCTCGAAAGCAGGCCTGCGGATGCTGAGTGGGTGCGGTGCCTGCAGATGTGAGTCCTGCGCCTGCTGCCCGGTCCCGCGGAGAGAGAGCCGCACGGAGTTGAAGAGGCCCGCACGTGGCGAGGGCATCGGCGTAAACGATGGCAGACTTCCCTGCGTCTTCTCAACATCCAGCGCGGCTCCCTTCTCGCCAGCGTCCCCAGTACGAGGCGCGATATCACCCCGCTGCTCACGCTGCCACCGACGGCGGCGACGCGCCTCGAGCATGTCGCGGCCGTACGAGTGCCAGAAGATAATCGCCAGGGCCATCAGCACGACGAAACCCCAGAGGCCCATGAAGATCCCGAACATGAGGCGCTCCTTCTCCAGCGACTTGACGTATGCGGAGAGCACGCGCTCGAGGAGGCCCTGGCTGTCGTCGTTGCCTCCGCCGAGCGCAGCTTGAGCGATCGGCTGCGTCGCCTCGTTCACGTCTGCCTGCGAGAGCACCAGCACGGAGTCGTTGAGACGCGGGACATCGACGTGCAGGTTGTCGTGTAGGAAGGTGAGCGCCTTCTCGACGGCGTCGACCTTGGAGCCGATGAAGCAACGGATGAACTCCTGCACAGGGCTCTCGAGGATCGTGCCGTTGAACACACTCCCGACTGCGTCCTGGATGTCGGAGTAGAAGCCGCTGATCGTGTCATTCAGCGTCGTCGTTGTGCCGTTGACCCATCCGAAGAGCCCGTCATTGATCGTGGACTGCACGTGGTCGACGCGCACATTGACCGAGCTAGCGTACGCCGCGGACTGGTTGTACATGCTTGCGTTGATCGAGGTAGCGATGAGGCTCGAGAAGTCGGAGACAGATTGGTTCGCCTGCTGGGAGTACTTCGCAGCAAGCGGGCCAATGGCAAGCAGCTGAAGCTCGACAGATAGCAGCCCGAAGAAGCCGATGAGGAAGCATGCGAGCGCGGGAGGGTGAAAGACGTAGTGGAAGAACCACTGGAGGTGGATGTACTGCGACGGGCTGAGGCGGAGCCACGATGAGAGCTTGTTCGCGAGCCGCATAAGCAGCGGGTGGGTGGACGTCGCCTGTAGACACATGAGGTTGTGGTCGCTCATGTCCACTACCGGCGCGCTGGACTTGACGTAGGTGACGTGGTGCACGGCGGGGTCCGTCATCCAGGCCTCGCGGGTCCGCTGGAAGTGCTTCTTCATGGAGCGCCACTTGTACCATTCGAGTGCGCAGTTGGCCGCGATGAGAACGAGGATGAGGACGATCATGATCACAATACCGATCTTGACCGCCTTCACGAGGTCGCGCCCGAGGTCGTCTACGACGGAGGTGTCCATTTGGTCGCAGAAAGTGACCGTGTTCTGCGACGGGACGGGAAGCGCGTTAACCTCGAAGGACAGTCCGGTGAAGGTATCATTGATGTCCTTCTTCAGGAGCTCGAAGGGCGTATCAACGCTAAAGTAGGCGTTAGCTTGAAGTGTCCGCCGCGTCGTAAAAGAGCACTTACAGCGAATCAACTTTGTCCTTCAAGTCCGAGAGGCTGGGAAGCGAGCTGTTCAGCTTCTTGAGCGAGTCCTCGAAGTCGGTGGGTAGGGTAACGTTCTGCAACGCGGTAAGGCTCGGGATGCTGAACTGCGGCACTGAGATATCCCCAAACGGGTTGATCTTGTTGATAGCCCCGATCGCGCTCTGAATGGCAGAGTTCGCCGCGCCAACATCGTTTTGAATGTTGGTGCGGATGCCGTTCAAGGTGCTAGTCACGAAGGAGTTCAACTGCGCGCGCGTCAATTCAAGGTTCGAACGAGCGCACTGTCCGAACTCACCTCGTCCACCGCGCCAATGAGGATAGACAGACCACCGCGAACGACCAGCTCGAGGAAGCACAGGAAGGTAGAACGGTAAGTGTCGATAATGAAATTGATGATGGCTTCCATGATCGTGAGCGCGAGCACCATCGTGGCGCGGGCTGCGTTCATGGTGCCGTTCACAGCGTCGGTAATCTGCTGGTTGGTCGCCGCCGCCATGTACCGAGGCATGCTTGCTGCGCCAGTCGCAGCGCGTTCCGCCGCCTTGCAGCTCGTGAGCAGCTCGCTCTTAGCATTAGTGACTGCATCTTGGACAGAGGCGGAAGACAGCAGAAGCCGGAAGACCACGAAGACCAGAGAGAGGATGGGGTAAGCGAGCCAGGTCAGAGAAAGGAGATGCGGAAGTTGAAGATATGGGCGCAGTGTCGTGCCAAAGGTTTGGCTCGTAGGGGCGGCGTAGACAGGGGGAGGAGAGTTCCAGCGAGGGACGTGGGCCATTGCTGCCAGCTGAGGAGGTCGACCGGCGACGATGTACTGGAAAGTCTAAGGGGGTCGTCGAGGGACGTAACGAGAAAAATGAGGGAAATGACCCAGAGGGGACGGTCGCCCTCCGTTAGGCCGCTGCATGTTTTTGAGAGAGGACGGTCCATTGTGTTTGGTCGCGTACCGCGTCTCATTGTTCTCGCATAGGCGGTCCACACAATAGGACGTCCGCATTTGGCCGGCGCTTCGCTTCAAGCGCCCACGCCTCCATTCCCCGGCAGGCGCCGAGCGTGGCGAGAACATAAGCTGCCTTTTACGCTCATCTGGACTCGTGCTGCCGGCGTTGTCTAGCACGCTGCCTCGTATTTACGAGAACGGCGAGTCAATACGTACGCGCTATGAATCCATGAAGAACGCGAGCACAACGGAGCGCAACGGACCAGCGTGAGGACTATGGATCAGCGCTTTGCTCGAGGATCCGGAGTCGAGGGAGGAAGAGAGGAAAGAGGATCGATCTCTCTTCGACGGAGGGACGCCGCCTTATATATACGGCTCAAGCATGCGATCGTGAGTATCCAAACGAGACAGAAAGTAGCCGTTTCGAGATCGAAGCGCCAGGCTGCTTCCTTTTATCTTCAGGGTATGTTCACATCGGGGCTTCGCTGTCGGAAACACCACCTCCCAATGACGCACGTTCACTGGTGACTGGTGGCGTTGGAAGCTCAACCCTACAGCTAGACGGTAGGCTTCGGCATACGATCGACCGGTGCTCTTACCTCCGAAAACCTCGTGTCACCGGATTTTTTCATGTAAGCATTCATTCAGTGTTTCTGCATACCTTTTTCTGATCTATCGAGATGCATAGAATCTATGCGCTGAAAATGCTCACGCTTCACCACCGTTAGGATCACCAGTACTCGAGGGATATGGTCCTACAAATCAACATCCCAGTAAATTGACAAGAGTACTTGCCCTCTTCCGCTCGGAGGTGACCCGGGTCGCCCTCTTCACCCATTGCAATTGAACGTGCTACTTTTGTCTACGTGTACGAAGGTGAACACGAAGCCGCGGCGTGCGACGTATCCGAATCGCACCGACAAGGACGCCTCATGACATTTGCATGGGTTCTCAGCTTGTTGTGGCCACTCCCAACTCCAAGCATGCATCTCCGAAAGCACATATCCTGGTGAGCGGCTCGTTTGGTGATGCATCGATGATTTACCCTTGATCATCCAGGGTGGCGGTCTATAACCTGAGGCTTCCCGCCGCTACAGCGTCGTACAGCACTGGCGGGCCCTGTGCGTGACGCCATGATCGGCGGGACTGGCAGTTGAACATCTCGGGTCCGGCTCGGTCCCCCAGGTTAAATCGACAGGCCTGGGCCCGGTTAGCCTCTAGCTGACAGCCCGACGTGCCCGTCTGGACAAGTTCAAATAGGGACAGGCCGTCGTTCGCCCTCCCTCCACACACTCTATCCTCGACCGCCACCATCGACTTTCCGCCGCTCGCCGCGACAGCTACCACACGCCCACAGGCCTCACGAACTCTCACGATCTCTTCCTCACACTCGTTCTCTGTCTATCCTTCTCGATATGCGTGTCTCTACTCTCTCCGCCGTCTGCGCAACCGCGCTCATCCTCCCTATCTCCGCTGCGCCTCTCGCGACCTCCACCGCGTTCGAGGCTGTACCCGTCTTTTCACAAATCACCCTGGAATTAAACGGGCCGCCTGAACTCGCAAACCCCCCTCTGCCTACCTTGCCTGCTATGCCCAAAGTGCCTGCGGGAAGCAAAGACTTCTCAACGAACCATCTCTCCAATAGCAACAAATTGTCTCGTCTCCCTCGCGCCGATTTCCGCCAGGCTGACTACGGGGTCAACCACAACGTCACCTTGCTCCAAGTGCCCGTCCAAGGCGTCGAGGCTACTCCCGCCACCGGCTCTCCTGCCGCGCTCACCCGCCGCTCTGAAGATAACTGGGAGGCCAACCGCCTTCACCCGGACTACGTCTCCTCCGACGCTGCGGCTCCCTCTGGCGACCTCGCTGACGCTGCTCCTGACGCCTCGTATGCCTCTGAGTCTGCTCCGGCGTCTGCTGCTCCCCCGCTCGCCGTCGGTGACGTCTCGAAGGCGAACACGAACCGCATCCCCGTTCATCCCAATATGGCGAGCGTGAGCAACCTCGCCGGGGGAGGCGTCCACGCCCTGGGCGAGTCGCGCTTCAAGACCTCGTACGCTGCGCACGACATGCTTGCCAACCTGCAGCCCTCCACGGCCCAGTCGACGGGCGGTCTACCCGGGGGTCTCCTCCGGCGCGTGGTCCAGCACACGAGAGACTTCGCAACGCCCGTCAAACGCGTCTTCGATCTCGCGAAAAACATCCCGAAAGAATTCCATTCGGACCGGCTCATGAAACGCGTCTTCGACCTCGCGAAAGGTTTTGGGCCGCACACCTTCGGCGTCAACTCGAACGCGCTCTTGCCGGCACGCCCGGACCCGTCGCTCAACATGTCGGACCCGTACGTGGCGCAGGAGGAGATGCGCAGGCAGCACGAGGGCGTCCTCAACATCGACAGCAACCGTGCGGCGCCCCCGCCAGCTCCGGAGGGGTCGCTGAACGCGACGGACGCGGGAGCGGCTCTGCAGGAACAGGCGGGGGGCGCAAAGAACTCGACGACGCTGCCGATCGCCGACCATCAGAAGAGCGCGAAGAGCGTTGTGGAGAATGCTAAGAAGGGGACGTGGAAGCCGTAGAGGATCCAGATAGCATATAAGCGGTCTTTCTCTGGGGGAAATTGATAATGGAACTGTCCTCGATATAAAACACTAGATTACATATACAATACTACAATGCGGCGTGGTGACAGATAATGACAACGGAACGAAAGCGCAAACGATACCACAACAGTCCGCGGGCCCTACATGAGCTTCGCCTCCTTCTTGGCGAACTGCACCTGAGAGAGGCGGTGGCTGCGAAGCGTCATCTGCGCGTTCTGCGCACCCTTCTTCGTGGTGCCGGATGCGCCAGCGACAGGCGCGATTGCGGCCTGTGACAGCGATATTCGCGCCTCGTCGGAGGCGAAGCCGGGGATACGGATGTTGTGGTTGCGTTCTGCATGGGCCGGGCGTGGTCAGGGGCAGTCAGGTTGCGCAGGGTCCACGGACGTACCGAGATGCAGCTGGAGGTCCTTGACCTCGAGCGTATCTCCGCCGCGGTGCTTCGCTAGTTTGCACCCAAAGTTCGTGACTGAGTCGATGAACTCGTCCGCGATGTCCAACAGGAGCTGCATCGACCACGCGCGCACTCAGTCCCAGTTCGAGAACAGCTAACCAAGCGAAACTCACGTCTTCTACTTCAGGGTCAATCTTCACGTTCGGGTCGATGCTCGAGACCAGGTCTTGTATCGACCGGCGCATGCTCTGGTCGCCCGGCGTACTCTTCCGCCGCGACCGGTTGTCGTCGAGCGCTAGCACCGTCGTGTCGTCCTGCGGCTTCGCGACCTGCGGCGGCGCGCCTATGTACAGACCAACCATTGTCACCACACGTCCTCAAAGCCCTAACATGAGAGCGCAGTGCGCACGTACCTGCGACGCGGCCGCTCGGGACACCTCCTGTGAGCGACGGCCGGCCCTGTTGTGCTGGCTGCCACTGCACGGCGCCCTGCGTCGTCGTCGGGAGCGTCGCGGGGATGGGCGTCGCCGTCGCGGGGGTCGAGCCGAGGAAGGGGCTAGGGCTCGCGTGTTTGAACGCGGGGTTCGCGGCCGCGGGCTGGCTCGCGGGCTGTGCCTGCTGGGTGGAAGAGGATGACCATTGACCCATCTGTTCTGTTCTTCCGGAGACGCGGGGGATATGCGAGAGAGAAGGGGGGCTTACCTGCGAGGTAGAAGTACCCGCAGCCGAGGCGGACGCGGCTGCTTTGTGCTTGTCCGCGTATTGTTTCAACTGTGCGAGGGACATAGGGCTTTGGTGAACGGTGGTCAAGCGCATTGTGTGGTGGACGCACCTGGACTATCTGCTGCTGGGACAATTTGCCTTGTTTCGCAAGCTCGCCGAGCTGGCTCATGTTCGCGATGAGCAGCTGCGCAATGTGCTCGCCCGGGAGGGGGTCGCCGGTCTGTGTCTTGAACGCATTCCCGAGCGCGGCGATGATGTTCGGCTGCTGTTGCTGCTGTTGCTGTTGCTGCTGAGCTGTTTGGGGCTGAGCGGGGGCCGCCTGAGACGACTGCTGCTGCTGGGGCTGCTGAGTCTGCTGTGGTTGTGGGGGCTGCTGGGGCTGGATGGGCTGAACGGCAGACATGGTGGCGGTCGTGGTCTGCACAACGCCCTTTCGACAGGCGCTGGCTAATCAGGTCGCCAGACGTTTATGGAAATCGCACTGCCTCTTTGGGAATATGTCACCTTCGTTCTTACCCTCATCTGACTCAAGTGCGGCCTCGTTGGCTCCCAAACTCGAGGAATGAACACCGTTTGGAAGCGCCTGGGGTATCCATACTCGAGTAACACGACATGGGGAATCATCATGCAGCTGCAGAGGTATGATCCCCTTGTCAAATTGCGCTGAGTACCGACCCGCGCGTAACCCGCGGCGGGTATCATAAGCCAGGTGCCTTGTGTTCCATAACACACTCGCCGCACTAGCCAGAAGGCCACGACACTCGCAAGTTGTTGGCGAAACACCGATGGAGCCGGGTCCTTATGCAGACCGCGCGATCGACGGCGCTCAGTGGCACTTCTCCGGGTACGCTGGTACTCGCCCGATGCTCAACATTCAATGGTGTTCAGTGCCTAGATCTTTCGAATCGAACATGACATCGGCCGACTGGCCAAGCCTCGACTCAACGTTCTTCTACGTCCGTTGTCCAAGGACCACGCGGTTTCTGCCCGACGACCACAATTGCCACAGAACACATCAAGTTTGACCACTTCAGTGCCAGACAAGTGCGAGCTAGCGACACGCTCACCCGCGGGGCATGTGCAGGTGCCATGTGTGTTGTTATTCTCGAACCGCGAGCATAGCATCGTTATCATAATTCCAACCCAAAGAATCTTCCGCCGACTGGCTCGCGCAGTGATGGATACATACACAGGTATACACAGCTTCAAGTTCGTAGTTCCTGACACAGGGCTCTCTCCAGTGTCCTACGTGAGCTTTGAAGGCACCTGAAGTGCGAAGCATGGTTTGAAGCCCAGTCAAGACCAATAAATATGCTTGAGGGGCAAGCTGTTATCAAGGTGAGTGCCGTCGTGTCCTAGCAGGGTTCCAGTTTTCCGTCAAGTCGCGCTACCGCCCAAGTGACACGCTGGCAGTGTGTTCCCAAACTACCAGTGCGCTGTGCGAGGTCTCGTGGGCGATGTGCGGTCTTCAAGCTCTCCTTGCACAGGCCCTGTGGCACCACCGGAGTTGCGGCGGCTATCTGAAGTCAAAGAGCAGCGCATTGCGGTTTGTTATCTTCATCGAAGCTGCAGGTCTGATAGAACTTCTCCTTCTCGCGTTGAGTATGAACGCTCATGAAGATCCCACAGTCGAGCGGTCCTCGCTGCTATAACAGAGTCTTTCGAGCTCGGCTACACTTCAGACTCTGGGAAACCCCCTCTTCACACACATCCTCCTTCACCCCGTGGGCGAAGTGCAACTTTTCCCTACCCTTCGCACAGTTGACCGTGGACATCCTCAATCCATCCTCTGCTTTTGAGGTGACCGCTTGACACCCTCAGCTCCTTCCACGATACGACCTCTTGGTGGCCTGCTTCACGTCACACCCCTCACGCCTGTGCGACTATAAAGCCTCACACTTCTCTCAAACGGTGGGAAAGTTTTCCTTTGTAAAGCACTCGCGAAGGGACTGACGACGAAAATCCTCCAGATGGATATACGGTTGTTGAACACCACTACTGGAAGATTCCACGTCGCCGACGATCCCCGCGAGGTTCATTACGCCATACTCTCGCACGTATGGGCAAGACCACCCGACCTTCGTGACCCGGAGCTCACCTACCAGGACGTTCTTCGGATACACGACACTCACACCCCCGAGCAGAACCCCTCAAACCCTCATCAAGTCGTCTCCTATATCCCTCAGTTCCCCGAGAAGATCAGAAAGTTCTGCGACATCGCGAGGGAACACGGATACGACTATGCGTGGGCTGACGCTTGTTGTATCGACAAGACAAGCAGCTCCGAGCTATCACAAGCCATCAATGCCATGTACGACTGGTATCGTTACGCTGACGCCTGCTACGTATTCCTCCACGACGTCCCTACTCCTTCGACGCCCAGTACGGCGCTTGACACCCACAGGAGTCGTTTCCGCACCAGCGTATGGTTCAAACGAGGCTGGACGTTGCAAGAGCTCCTCGCCCCGGACGTCGTTGTTTTTCTCTCCGAAGTGTGGGAAGTCATAGGTACGAAGCACACGCTCGCCGCACTAATCGAAGAAATCACCACAATCCCTCGCGATGTACTGACCGGACGGAGGGCCCTGGAGGACGTCAGCGTCGCTTGCAGAATGTCGTGGGCCTCATCCCGGAAGACGACGCATGAGGAGGACCGAGCGTACTCGCTATTGGGGATCTTCGGGGTCACCTTGCGGACGACCTATGGGGAGGGAAGCTACGCGTTCATTCGACTACAACAGGAGATCTTGAAGCAAATTCCAGATCAGACGATCTTTGCCTGGGGCTCAGCCCTCTCGACTGAGATGTCTCCTTTTCGCCTCAACTTCCCTACGGAGTGGGCCGCTCCCAACCCCCAGCCCATAGCCTCGCTGGAGACGTCGCCGATGGACCAGTACCTCTTGGCGTCTTCGCTTGAGGCCTTCAAAGACTCATCCCACATAGTGAGCATCCCGTGGGATACCTTCCTACGTCGATTCGGTGAACCTCTCAGCCACAGACCAACTTATACGACGACGCCGTACGGTATACGCGCCCATCTTCCCCTCCTGGCCACCCGTATCGAAAACGCTCAGACAGCCGTGCCCACATGCGTTGTGCTTCTCGCTTGCAGGGATTCCAGGAGCAGTGACTACATGGCGCTTCTCCTCCGGTCCCAACCTCAACGGGAGTCAGACTTTTTTGTGGGCGCTCTGGTGGGGAACTTGCACGACATCTTCGGGTTGGCCAACAACGGAGTCAATTCGAACCTAGCGGCTTCCACTACGGCCGCGCACTACTACTATCGGCTGACCCCATTCCCCGAGCAGTTCCTAACGTCAAATCTGCAGCGGTTCGAATGGAAGGATATACACATTCCTCACTGGCCATCACTCGCGGCGTACAATCTAGAGCGCGACCACCTCCTGCATTCCTCTCTACCTAGGACGGCACATGGAGATCGCTTCCAATTGAGCGTCTCTAAGTGGTCCCATCATGTCCTTAAACTGAAAGGTTACTCTATCGCGGAGAACTGGTACGTCTCAGCTGCTGTGCGTCAGATCTTTGATTCTGAGCTTACAATTGCTTAGTACCAGTGGGCCCGACGTGTGCACGGTCGACATCTCGGGGGCACCGGAGTCCTTTGGAATCATCAGAATCGACGTGAGGCGCTGCGAATGCACCTTCGGGGCCAAGGAAGGCTTTCTTAGCGCGAACGTCGTTCTAGACAGCCCTGGCAGAACAACGACCCGGTCTCCTCGCGAACGCCACGAGATGGACCACTTCACCCACATCCAGTCGTGGACCATCCGAAACGGCACAGCGTCGAAAGAGTTCCCTTTGGATGGGAGACACTGGCACGTCACGGTGCGGCTAACCTTCAGGCGCCGAACAGGAGGATCCGGAACGTACATCCTCGGGGTCGAGATCTGGCATGGCTCAACCGAGTCTGGAGACCGCGGTCGCTCGTCGGATGATACTAGGGCGCGTTCCCCGGGACGCGCACGGGACATCTCGAAGACGAAACACGACGAGCCCCTGCGTTCGGACTTCCTCTCCATTCCCTTCTTGGGGGCACAAAGACCATCGACATCCCGCGCCCGCACCGCCGGGCTGGACTCGGGTCAGTACCTAGCGCAGGCGGAAAGGCCGGAGCTCGGCAGCCGTTCGAGCACTGGCAGCATGACGAGCTTGGTCGGGTTCAATCTCTCCACCATGGCCGATGCAATATCCTCCGCCGTTGAGCGCGCTGTGCACACAGGACTCTTTCGAGGGGGCGTAGGACCGAATCCGGCACCTAGCGGGACGCACGACGCAACTCCGCCGCAGACGCTCCGCCTGGAGACCCAGCCAGAGCTCAAATATCCAATCGCCCCGCCCATTTCCAACGCTATGCCAACAATCTCAATCGCAGCACACGCAGACACGCCGGTCAATTATGGCTGCAATTCCCCAGTGGTCCACACCGAGCATCCGCCGCTGACCGGCGATACCGACGACTTGGCCGAAATGCCAATGCTCCTGGCACGCTTCCCGTCTGCGTCAAGTGAGCAGCATCCCCCGCCCAACGCCTGGCCAGCCGAGGCACCCACCGCACATCCCACGCCGGCCGTACCTCCGCTGCAGTTGCCTGTCAAAGACCTGCACCACCACGACAACCCAGGTGTCGGGCGTCGGGGCTCCCTGTGGTCCCGACTACGTAGGTCGTGTTCCAAGCGAGCATCCAAATAGCCTCTGGTGCTATGAGCCTGAACTCCGGGTGAACGTGGTGAGTTTTCTCGCAATAATTTGTGCCTGTATGAATTCTCATGACTGGGGCAGGGTAGAGCTAAGAAGTGAGTGCACGAAATCTATGAAATACTGGGCCCATCCAGCCCCACCCTCTAGCACCATTGTCCGGGAGGTTTATTCTAGTGTTGCTACTCAGCTGCTGGTGTTGTATAAGCATAGACGGGGTGGCAAAGATTTGAGCGTATATGGACTGTAGTTGATGACGGCGAACGCGCAATGATGTTGTAATGGGACAAAAAGATGCATGTTTCCAAACATTCGCTCAGATCGTCTCTCGTGCCATGAACTTGAAGGAGCCCGAGCGAGCCCAGTGAATTTGCTCGTTGTCTCTTGATTCAGAATCTTACCCATCTTCGTCTCGCGCAGAATGGGGCTAAGAGGCGGTCAATATTCATGCGAGAGCTTTTGATCTCCTAAATCAAACCTGCACTCTTGCGAACGCGTACTGATGTTGTCGATGGTCCAAGAAAATCGTGCAGTCCCATTAACTGTGACTACACTAACCAGCAAGAAAGCAATAACAAACCACAACCAATACATACACACCACTGTACAACAACCAACCCCCTGCAGCGCTCACACCACCACCGCACAAGCAGCCTCGATCCCGCGCTGCATCTGCTCCATGCCCGAGCGGTGCAGACTGATCGCCGCAACGATGCACACGTGCCAGATCGCGTGCGAGCCGCCCCCGAGCCAGTCGAGCACGCGCGCGCGCGGCCAGCGCGGCGCGAGCACGCACTCGGGGAAGTGCGTCGCATAGAACGCGAGCCCCACCAGGTACGCGACGAAGGAGGGCACGATTGGGCTGATGAATGCGCCCATGGCACGCGGGCCGTGCGCGCGCGAGAGCTCCGCTAGGGGCGCGATCCCGCTGAGCGCGAGGGAGACGAAGAACGCGATGCGCCAGTGCTGAAGAAGGGTGTCAGCCTCGTAAAGAAAAGACGCGGGGGGGTGCGTAGAGGATGCTGATACGTACCCGGTACTCGCGCTTGTTGAACCACGATGTGAAGGGCAGGATGCTCCCCGACAGGCCGATGCCGAGGCAGAGCAGGAGGAACGCGTTCCGCGTCAACTCGTGGCACTGGAATCCGTAGTAGACGACGGTGCCCACGCTTGCGCTGATCAGCCTGTACGAAACGCGTTGCGTCAGGCGGAGCCGTGGTGCCGCAGTGTCGAATAGGCACTTACCAGCCAATGCCGACATAGTCGACGCGCGCGCAGAGCTCCATGCCGTGCGGGTGGGCACAGCCTGCCATGGTATGCCACAGAGCGCTGGTGAAAAGACAGACGAGCGCAAAGGCGGTAAAGATGACCTCCGCTGGCTCATCGGCCTCCAGGGCGCTGAAGAAAGGGGATAGCCGGAATAATGCGAAGGTCCACAGCAAAAAGGGTATCAGGTGAGTGTGGATATTCACTAGGTTGAGGTAAGTATGATAAGATCGCTGAAACTGCGAAGAGATACATACGTGTCTCATTGTGCAGAGCAAATAGCGAGAGCACTATACGGGGCCATTCATGCAATGGGATAAATCTGTAACAACCGTGTCAGCCGCCGAAATGTGTGTCACTCGCAGCATGTTGACAGCTGCACCGCCAACCACAGCAAACCGGGAGCTCACCTATAACCGCCCTTGACGAACGGATTGTTGCGCCACTTCTCTGGCAGATCGACGTATTGGATTAGCCGTGACCCGTTGAGCGATCGTTTCATCGCTCGAGTGATCTCCAAGGCAGCCTTCTCCAACGTCTCCTCCCCGCTCTTGAGGTCCGATGATATCTCGGATACGAAATGGGAAGAGAGCACCCTGTCCAGTAGGGTGGATAGCGACGCGCTGGGGGCGTATGTCGAGATGTAGAGGCTCTGGGTGAGGTCCATCGAGGACAGATGCGCCTGTAATGACTGAAGACTGTTTGAGAGCGTCGGCACATAGTCTAGCGGTCTAGGGAAGTCTATGTCGGAGAAGCGGGTGCGAACGTCGTCTATTCGGGAGCGGACGTCCGACAGGTCAAAGTCGGGGAAATGGGAGCGTACGACGTCCGGCATATCCGGGAGGTGTGAGCGCATATCCGTCATGTCCGGGAGTGTGGGGACATCTGGCATATGCGTCTTGACGAAGTCCTCCATGGAGGGGACGTTATCGAGGGTGAAGTCCGGGAGGTGAGCGCATACGTCCTCCCTGATCGTGCGCAACATTTCGAGGCCGTCCTGAGCCCAAGCGCGGGCCTCGTCCATGGTGAGCTCGCCTTTGGCCTTGATCGATTCCGAGGAGATTGGGGACTCAAGAAGGGACAGTCGAGTTTCGAGATCGGCAAGGTAGGTAAGCACATGGAGACGGAGCGACGCGAGGGTGGGCGTGAGCGACGTAAGAGAAAGGTCGAGGGCTTCAACCGATGGCGGCAGCTGGTGGCAGGGATGGGGCAGAGCGTAGCGACCAGCATGGAACGTAGAGAGTCGGCGCCGAGCGGGTCGGCGGACATGGGCATCGGTGGGATGGGCCCTCACTGCGCTCGTCGTCGCAGATGTAGTGGCAGTCGCTGTCGCCGCTGTCGTCGTCGTCGTCGCCATGGCCCGATGGGGGATTAGGTGGTGGGAGTATAGGTTAGAGGTGAAGGGACGCACGGAAAAGCCACTCCTCGCCGTCCTGGAGCGGTGTGGCAGGCGGCTTATGTAATATATTGCACGTGATCGCGTCTATGCCGAAAACGCTCGCTCGTCGCGTCCTGAATTCCTTCTTCCTTCCTCCCGTCACCACTGTCGTTTCGTGCTCGGCCTCGGATCTGCTCCGCCTAGGGGAACCTCTGCTCGCCATGGCCTCGCCTCATTTCCTCATAGCTGGCCTGGGCAACATCACACATCCTATGACACGGCATAGGTAGCTATCGTGAGATCAACTCATAACGCTCGCACCTTACACACCTCAGTATAGGACATTACATTGTAGATGCACTCGCGTCTCGACTCGGCATCCGTCTCTCTTCAGATAGAGCGGGCTACGCTGCAAGAACCGACGTCCAAATCGGCCCGGACACGGTCACTCTCACCCTGTTCAAGCCAAGTAAGCATTCACATACGTCATCCGTAAACCACACCTCGCTCATCCTTGCATCCTTCCCCATCAGAGGCCCTGATGAATATCTCTGGTCAGCCTGTTGTCCAGACGCTGCAGAATACTGCGATCAAGCCCGAAAACCTGATTGTCGTTCACGACTCACTTGACCATAAGCCATGCACGCTCTCGCCCAAGTTCGGCGGCTCTGCAAATGGTCACAACGGCGTGCGCAGTGTCATTGCCGCATTGGGAGGCGAAGCGGCCTTTCATCGTCTCCGCGCTGGCGTCGGCAGGGACGGTGACCCCGCGGACTACGTACTCGGTCCGCTATCCCCCCAGGAACGACAGTTCTGGGGCCCCAACGGCAGCGGCGCGGATCTGGTATGGAGGGAGCTGACCAGGGTAATAGAAAAGAGCCTGAAGTCACGATAACGTTGCCTAACGTTGCCCGCTCTTGTATGACAAGTGAGCGCATTTATAGCGGTTCTCCTTGCATGTGCACGACTTCTGATCTTACGCTACCTCATCGCGCCCAGCATCATGAGACCTTCTAGTCGATGTCATTGGGAGCGATATCTACGCTCCGCCGGCTTTGTCTGAGATACGGCCCCTTCTGATGGCCCGCTTCCTCCGAGATACACGAAGATGCGGCATCCTCGCTGGCTTTTGAACACCTGCTGGTCTTCATCCGCGGCAAGCCGCTGGCGCGTCCTGTGCACCAAATAGTGATCAATAACGCGAAGCCATGGTCACGCGTGCGCGCATCTCAGTGTCCGCTACTCGGGCATGTGCTGCTGGCTTCTTCTCGACATCGCGTATCGACCCCGCCGTCCCCGATGGCCCGGCCACGGCGGGTACTTAAGCCATGCAAGGATGCGGCAACCCGCCTGTGGTTGTGCGCACTGCTGAGCTAGTTAGTCTCCCTGCTCCGCACTATGGCCGCTATGCGTGCGCTTTGGGTGCTCGCTGCCGTTTCCTCTTGGAGCTTCGGCCCTGTCTATGCCCAACCTTCGCCTCAGGTGCAGAAGGATATCTCCGCTGCAATCAAGAAGGCAGCTTCGTCACACTCAGCCGAGGTCGACTACACCCAATTTGTGAATGTCTTCATCGGAACCGACAACTTTGGCGATGTCTGGTATGGAACATTCTGCGTTACCTGTACATGCAGAGTATTTCGCTCATGCGTGCCACAATAGCCCCGGTGCCTCCGTGCCGTTCGGAATGGTTAGTGGTTACGTCGCGAGTCACAGGACGCTATCATGGAACAGAGTTTCGCGCTATAGGCCAAGTTCTCGACGGACTTAACGGGCTACGCACCTGCCGGTTCGTCTATACCAGATCCGCATTTGCTCGAACAGTCGATAGAAATCCATTGCAGGCTACATCACCGATGCGACGCAGAAGATCCGAGGAATAAGCCCCATGCACGATAGCGGAACGGGCTCTTCGCTGGGTGCGCTTGCTCGCATATCTTGCGCCCGGATCTCCGCACACTAAGTGAACCACGCTACAGGAACCTATGGTAACTTCGAAGTCATGCCCATGGTATGTCCCGGCGGGTTCGACACCTGCCCGGTCACGCTCGCTGCGCGCGAGCGTTTCCGGAAGAACAACACCGACGTAAGCATACCTCTTCATTTGTGGTTCCACCTTCGACTGAAGCGGGGGTAACGCCATGTAGGTGGCATCCCCGGGCTACTTCGCCCAAACGCTCGATAATGGTATCAAGATGGAAGCGACCTCGACGCGTCGCGCCGGGCTTGAGCGGTTCACCTTCCCTAAGGGCTCCAAGCCATACTTCGTGCTCGATCTCGCTAATGACCTTCCTGCGTCCTTCGCTGGAGGACGCATGGACATCGACCCGGTGAAGGGCAGAATCACCCTGGGTGGCCTGTGGGGTTCCAGGTACCAAACTTATGCTACAATTTTAGACATGCGTATCGTGCTGACCATCCGGATCTTTCTTCAGCTTCGGTCCTGGGTCGTACAACTACCAAGCGTTTGCGTGCTACGACATTCTCGACGGCGGTAAGCAAAAGCTCAGCGAATTCGGTGTCTGGACAGGCATGACTTCGTAAGACGCCCTCTTATCGACGCACTCCAGGGTGTGCACTGACTAGCCCTGTGACAGCGAGGACTTCCAGGCGTACGGGCTCGGCCAGACGACCCTGAACCTCACGCGGAACCTCATCGGGGGCGTGTACGAGTCCGGCGCGCTCTTCTCGTTCGATGGGAAGCCAGAGCAAATCAACATGCGCGTCGGCATCTCGTTCGTGTCCGCAGACCAGGCGTGCGCGAACGCGGAGAGCGAGGTCGGCGACGCGTCGTTCGAGGACATCGTTGCGCGTTCGAAGGCGCTGTGGAACGAGAAGCTGAGCAAGGTCGAGATCGACCTGAAGAACACGCCCGCGAACGTGACGGAGATGCTGTATTCCTCGCTGTATCGCTCGTCATTGACTCCGGTATGTCCCCTTACGGATGTGCTAAGCTCAGTGTCTCAATCTCCAATTCTCCCAGAATAATGCCACGGGTGAGACGCAGGGTCCATTCGCGGGCACCACGCACCCGTACTTCGATTCCCTATACTGCAGCTGGGACACCTTCCGCACGTTCTACCCGCTCATGTCACTGCACTCGCCCGTGGAGTTTGCGGAGATCGTGGACAACTACATCGACGGCTGGCGCAAGCTCGGCTGGATGCCCGAGTGCCGCGCGAACAACCTGCCCGGGTGGACGCAGGGCGGGTCGAGCGCGGACCCCATCGTCGGCCACTTCGCGATCACGTACCACAACGAGGCGGCCGCGCTCGGCATCGACCTCGACGAGCTGTACACGGCGATGCTCGCGGACGCGGAGATTAACCCGCCGGAGTGGAATACGCTCGGGCGGCAGATCGACGTGTATAAGTAAGTTTATCTTGGTTTACGTGCTGCCATTTGGCGAGATGGTGTGCTGACGGGTGTGCGTCTGACCAGGCAGTACGGGTTCGTTCCGTTTGGAGTGCTGGACCCGAGCAGCGTTGGTCGCCAGACGCGTGAAGGAAGCAGAACGCTGGAGGTGAGGCGATGTGCATGCGAGATTCACAGCCGTGCTGATCGCTTTGCCACAGTACGCGTTCGAGGACTTCGCCGTGCGCCAAGTCGCTTTGCTCCTCAACAAGACCGACGATGTCGCAAAATACACCAATCGCTCTCTCGTACGCATATATCTATGTGCATGCGTTGCTCACTCATGCTTATGCGATTGAGTAGTTCTACCGCAATGTCTGGGACCCGTCAGTCGTGAGCGACGGCTTCCATGGTGTGTTTGGCATACAAGTAGAAGAGACCTCACACTGAACCAGTGCCGCTGCAGGTTTCGCACAAAAGCGGATGTCCAATGGAACCTTCGTCCACACCGACCCAGTCGACTGCTCGCCCAACGACACGAACCAGAACCGGGAGTGCTCGCTCCAGGGTGACAACGTGGTCGGATTCTACGAATCGTCTTCATGGGAGTACAGCTGGTGAGCTCATTCTGACTGGTGATAGCGAAACCAGGCACTAAACTACCCGCTCGTAGGTTCGCACCGCACGACACCGCGCACTTGATCGAGCTCATGGGCGGAAACGTACGCACCTAGTTCTTGAGGTGATCAATAACTAACCCTCGCCTTCTCAGGACACCTTCGTCAAGCGCCTCGATCACTTCTTCAGCGTGAGCAGCGTTGCCTGTCTTGTTTGTGACAGCCACTCAATTCTGCCTATAGGCCGGCTACTACCTGGCAGGCAATGAGCCCTCGTTCCAAACCCCCATCGGCTACCACTACGCGAACCAGCCGACCAGGTCGGTCGACCAGGTGCGCGACGTCGTCTTCACCAACTTCGACATCAGTAAGCCCCGCTCTATCGTCTCACTTGCATGCGCGTGCTGACGCGTGTCCTTCGCAGCTCCCGCGGGGCTGCCTGGTAACGACGACCAAGCGGCAATGGCGTCCCTACTCGTCTTCCATCTTCTTGGATTGTACCCGGGTAAGCTAGCCTACACAGTGACAAAGACATAAATCAGGCCAACTCACCTCTCCTACAGTGCCCTCCACCTCACAGTTCCTCGTGCTCTCGCCGATGACGCCCAAGTTCACGATCCACAACTCGTTCCTGAACGTGAGCACGACGGTCACAACCAAGGGCTTCGACGCGCGCTCCGTGCAGAAGACGATCCCGAAGGGCGCGGCCGCGTACGTGAAGAGCGTGTCCGTGAACGGCGTCGTGCAGGTGAACCGCTGCCACTTTGACTTCTACGACGTCTTCCGCGTCGGCGGGGACGTCGTGATTGAGGTCACTGCGGACAAGAGCAGCGTGAACAGCTGTGGGGCGGGCCTGCCCGAGTCTGTCTCTACTGGCGGGTTCGCGCAGGTTCGGTGAGGGCGGGGTCGCTAGAAGACGTGGAATCAAACGAAGTGTAGGCACGCGGATGAGCGGGTCATGTCATGAATAGCATCGTAAATAAAGCACTAGCTCGTGGGATATCGTACACGGGGGAGATCGTAAAGAGATGGGAAGCAAACTACTACACATTCCGATACATGACCGAGCACGCGCGGGGGCGTGCGAACCAAGCGATTATACACGCGGGTATTTCGAGTGAGTTTAGGACGAGGTCGACGGGCCGTCCTTGAAGTTGGGGTTTGAGGGCGGGTGGATGAGAAGAACACCAGGGTTCGTGGAATCTTGTGTCGCGTCGATGTGATAGCTGCAGAGATAATGTGTCAGGAGCCATACCCAGACACTTGACGAAGAGATACTGCACGTACTCTGCCATGGCGCCGATAATGGCGAGCTTGAGGGCGGGTATTTTGTTCTTCGAGTGGTGCCCCTGGCCGGTGATGATACGCAGCTCGGGGGTGCCCGTGACGATGGAGTCGTATAGAGCCTGCTCGACCTTCTCAATGGCCTCCGGGACCTTGAGCCGGTGCACGTCAATCGTCTGGGGCTGAGGCTTCATGTTGTGCGCTGCAGTTCAAGCAGAACCCGTCAGCAGCAGCCTGTCAATACGAGATTTGCGCACATACCTTGGTAGAACCGTCGCGCAGCCTTCGCGTGCAGCTCGCGCGCATCATGCGCCGCGCGGTCCATCTCGTGCTTCACCCTGAATGCAGCCCAGAAGTCCCGGTTCCGTCGCGCATCTTGCAGTTGCTTTCCTAGCTCCGCGCGGCGCTTGTCCGCCTCGTCCGCGATACTCCGCAGCGACTCCGCGCGCTGAAGGAGGCGCGTCCGGTCGTTTACGTTCGAGATGACGCTCCCCGCGGGCGTACCGTCCGACTCTACCTGCGACAAGCGATTCTCGCCGCCCTCGCCTTCACCGCCATCCAGAGGGTACTCATACGGGGGCGGCGCGGTGATACTCGTGCGCACGTCTGAGCGGACCTCCGGCTCTGGCATATGTACGGGTCCTGTGGACCCCGGGCCTGGGTGCATGTTCTGCATATAGTCGGCGGGGGGAATCAAGCCTGGACTTGGCTGCGGGGTGTTGATGTCGGGGATGAGTTCGGGGTGGAGGAGCGCCGCGCGTGCCTGTGCTTGGTCTTCGTGGTCGGCATTGCGCTCGTAGAGGCGAATGGGGATGGGGATGGGATTGACGTCGGAGGAGACATGCGATCCAGCCTCGTCAAACACGGTCACCGGCGGAAGGCTGCTGTGGGGGGTAGATGGACGCTCTGGAGTCGTCAACCCGGATTTAACCAGCTCCGGGCTGTAGACATTGATGCGTGGCCTGTCCTCGTCCTTCTCGGGCGTGGTCAAGCCAGAAGATCGACCGCGCAGGTCCGAATGTACGCTCTGCTCGTCATCCGACAGGACGGGCCGTATAGGATACCTTCGCTCAACGTCCGGTATGACGGGAAGCGTAACATACTCGAGTTCGGAGGGCGTGCGTGGACGCGGAGGACCGAGGGAGGGATCCCGGGTGGGCGGTCGCGAAAGTTCTTGAACGGGAGTGCGTGATGCTGCCGGGACAGGTGTTCGTGAAGGTTCCGGCACGGGTGTTCGAGATGGCTCGGGCACGGGTGTACGAGATGTGTCGCGTGGAGGTGGTCGTGCAGGTTCTTGACTAGCTAGTCGTATAGGTGCTTGGATGGGCGACGTAATAGGGGGCGTGGAAGAGGTGTCGGAGAACGAGACCGACAAGTTGGAGCGGGAGGGCCCGATGGACGGCGCGCGAGAGCCAGAGCCTCCACTGGCACTGGCGTTCGTATCAGTCTCAGACCATCCTCGGTCAGAGAACGAGCCGGGCACGCGCATCGCGGAGCGTCGGGGAGGTGCGGGAGTAGGCGCGGGCGGACGGAATGGAGCCCGGGACGCATCGGTTGGAGAGCGAGGTTCCAATGGAGGGCTGCGCGCGTTTGACGCACCAGACGAGGAGGGGGGAAGTTGGTAGTACTGCGCGCGCGCAGAGGAAGACGTGCTCCTGTTGCTGCCGCCACCGCTGCTTGTACGGCTGCCGCTCAGCGAGAAGAGGCGAAGGAGAGGGTAGATGACGGAGTGCCGGACGAAGCGCATGAACCGGCGGAACCGGCGGTCTGCGTAAAGGTCGACAAAGACGTCTGAGAGGAGCATGCCCATGAAGGACCAGAGTATTGTGATGAATAGCCGCATCCAACTCGTCGTCCAGAGCAGATCAATGAGCAGGCGGAAGCCATAGGCAACGTAGGGATCGATGGAGGCGGGATATTTGGAGATGAAGTGTCGGAGGATGGCGCCCTCCCAAAGGCCGACGAGCGAGCCGTTTAGTCTATGATTGTGGTTTGTGAGGGTGTCGATGAGTGCGCGCAGACCGAGTCCAACGCCGATGGCGACGAGGTTGTCCATCTGTCATGCCAGACGCGAGAGGTGTATATGGTGAAAGCTGGGGAGGGGGAGACGGGCGATGGAAGGAAGAACGAGCTCGTCGAGGGCGGCGTCGTCGACCGCCTCGTGCCCGCTCTCCATTTTCCCACGTGCGTTGTAGTCCGGCGTCTATGTCCAGGCCTGGGCGCCAAAGGATCTGGATGCTATTGTTCTCGCCATGCGCGCGTGTGTTCCGCGAAGCCAGGGGGGTATATACACAGCCAGCGATACAGACTAAACTACAGGGATATATACGATACATGTTACGTGCGCCTGCGCGAGATATCCTCCCTTCCTCCCTTCCATCATGCGAGGTCCAGCACCTCAACGTTCCCAGTCACATCCCCCACCGCGATCCGGCCGACAGTATCCTCCAGCGCAGTCGCCGATATCATGTACTTCTTCCACAGAATCTCGTGAATGTTGCACCGCCGCGCGTACAGGACGTCCTTCGAGAGTTCAACTCGCGCCGTGGGAGGCCCTATTTTGCCGCCGGCCTTCGGTTCGCCCTCCGCGGTTGTCACCTCGAACCCAACCAGACATCGTGCCGGGTTCTTCGCGTGCCGCACGACGACATTTCGCGTCTCGGTCCAGAAACCCTTCCCACTCGGCCCAATCCGTAAGTCGCAGGAGGAAGGGGCGACGCTCATGACGCGCGTGTACTGCGAGGGGAAGACGCAGGGCAGGCGGTCGAACGTCAGGTTGCTCGGCTTCTCCTTTTCATCCGAGTCCTGCGCTTTGGGGTTCGGCAGCAAGTCGTACTGGTGCATCGTCTCAAACCCGTCATCCGAATATCGAGATAGGATTGTCACAGGTTCTGCGGGCCAATCGGGAAGCTCGTCGGAGGATGCAGCAAAGACCTGGCGGACGACAACGACAGAGCTTGAGGCAGGTAGGTCCATCTCGATGCTAGAGCTCGCCGAAATCAAGGCTGGGTACGGCGGACGGACTTTTCTCCACGAAGGCGCAGGGAGGACTTCAAAAGTGCGCTGCCGTACAATGAGGAGGTATCGGTTGACGGGTTTAACGGCGAGGATAGAGTTATCCTTTGGGTACTAGTGAGTACTTGTGCTTGTATGCGGCCAAAGACAATGAGATGCACATACCGGTAATTCTGCTAAAGAAGCTTTCCCCAGAGGTTTCACAATAGTGGGTGCACTGAGGTAGCAGACGTGCATGGGGTCCCCGAACACAAGGTAATCGCTGCGCAGGAGGTGGAGCGGGGTCGCCGCTTGTCGATGCGCGCGAAGCTCCATCCGGCAGCAGAACCTCCCGTGGAACTTGTCAAAGGAGAGCGCTCTGCACTCAACGACGCCTTGACTAGTGTAGAGATGGGTCAGTTCATCGCGCGCGACAGTTGACTGTGCGGAGCGCTCACGTTATAGCATGTGCACTGACATACGCCAGGACTATGTCGCTCTGCGGGTCGTCGTTCACAATGACCTGCTCAATCGTCCTCGCCGCGGTCCACTCTGCGACGCGATACGCCTCCGACTCCCCCAGCGGAACCTCCCAACACGTCAACACGCGCCCCACGACGGTGATCAGGTACTTCCCGTTCCGCCCGGGCAGGAACGCGACGTGCGAGACCGAGGTCTGGGTGTCCACCGGGAGATTGTCGTCCCCTAATGTGAGCGCAGAGAATTCAATCGCCTTCCGCGCGGCGGGATGTGGGGAGTTCCAGTTGTCGTCGAACTTGACGGCGTGCACGGCACGCGCCTCTAGGTGCGCTGCATCGAGTGCCTTGAGGTCCGCCACAGACGCGGCGGGGATGGGGAGGCCCTTTTGCACGACGTGGCGTTTCATGGCGTCGTACCACACCCAGCGCAATTTGCTCATATCGCGCAGGCGGCGGGACGTCTGTGCGAGGAGTTATGTGGTTCGGGTGAGCAGCGCGGGGCGCCTGTGGCGGATGCGGACCGACCTTGCGCAGGACCAGTATGTCTTTGACCTCCACATAGCTCATAATCAGCAGGAGAATGTCGTCGGGCAGCACAGATATGTTTCCGCGGGTTCTCATGGTGGGTGAGGATGGTAAGACGGAGGAGGTGGAGGAGGGCGAACGGGCGAAAGAGGTGCGGCTTATTTGAAGGCCGTCATATTAAACAAGGCCTTCCTAATGCAGGATCCCACGTGGGCGGCTAATTAACAGAACGCCGATCTCAGTACTTGGTCTCTCCGTCGCCGCCACCAACTGCGATGGCCCCTGACCAGATAATTGTAGCCTGTTGTCAGGCAGACGCGCGATATCCTGAGTGGGACTTGAAAATGCTCAAGTTCCAGCGCCGGAGATACTCGTGTCAGAAACATATATTGTGCGGCGTCGCGCCGGCGCCGGCGCCACGAGCTCTCTCAGGGTTCATGATAATATCATAACGAAACCGATTCTCATCTCATCGTTGTCCGTATCTTTTTTGTCCTGACCATCGGCCGGTACGAGAGACCAATGACCTTCGTCGATTCAGAGCTGAGTACATACTCAGATGTGTCTGGAGGGTCCAGGCTAGCGCCGACAGTAGCGCTTGTGCCAGCATCACCGGCAAACGTGGTCTCTGACCATCACCACCTTCTACATTTTCACTCAAGCTCGAGATCTCTGACATTGCATGCTAGATGGACACCTATGCTCAAATTCCGCGTAACGATGGTGATGCATCTAAGAACGGACAGCGCCTGGCATTCCTCGAGGCGCTGTCCAAGAGACAAGCAGCGAGCATCACGGAGCTACAGATTCAGGTGGCTGGCCTGACTAACCAGGTCGCCACATTGCTTGCTGCAGTCTCTCCGCAGAATGAACTTGGGTTTCTAACGACTGGCGAGGCTCTGGATGCTCCCGCCCACTCCCTGGGGAGTTCACACGACGGCTTTGAGGTGAAGGTGGATGACCTCGGCGGGCTTCCCTCAGAAGACCCTGGTTCGCCCACACTCCTGCGCGCTATACTCGTGAGCTTCTATGCTGTTTATGTCAAAGATCGATTACAGTGTGACACGTACGCTGCAGAAGGACCGCGAGGAGTCAAAGGACTCGAAAGCAACATTGAACAATGCCGAGGACCACAGCGGTGTGTCCTCAGTGGACTCGGAACTGGGGCCGTCCACCCCGGCTCCCCTTGATTTATCACCGTTCACCGAGGCACCGTATGTATATGTAGGAGAGGAGAGCACGATCATGCGGCGTCAGAGCTTACCTCCAGTGGTCAGTGTGTCTTCGCTAAAGTTATACGTATGGTGCAGACGAGACTGAATTGGCCTGACTCCCCCAGGCTGGCGGTGGTGTCATAAAGCGCGAGCTAGAAGACGAAATAACAGTACCACGAGCGCGTCCCGCGAAGCGCGCCCGATTCGACGGGGTAGTCATATCACCCCGGCCGCGCACCCTGGAGGACTACCTGCACGCCCGCCTCCGTAACGTCCCCGCGCATCCCGTTACTCTTGATGATGCAATCTCGAACGTCAGAGTACCACGCCAATTCCTGTCGACGTACTTTGGAGGCAGCAACCGCAATATGTTCGTCACACTCAGTGGCGAGAACCGCCGCAAACACGGGCATAGTTATCCCCACTTTTTGTTTACGAAGGCCGACAAGAACTATACGGTGCCACGGACACCGGGCGAGCCGGGCCTGATGTTCCTTGCCCAATGGGAGAAGGTGTGGGGTGAGGGCCCATAGGAAGGTAGTCGTCGGACTTCAGCATTCCCAATGGCGCTACATGGGTGAGTATAACCTCACGCGCTCAGAGCGGATGACATCCGCAGAGTTCAACGCGCTGCCAGGTCGGGTGAGTGGCCCTGGAGTACTCGTTCTGCACTGCTATTCATTATATATTATGTAGGTTCAAGAAGAGTGGGGCAGAATACTGGCACGGATCGATGGTCCTCACTCTTGGAGGCAGGGTCGAGCACACATAGTCTTATCCAAGCAGCTCGGCCGCGCTCCTTCTGCACAAGAATTGGATAACGCGCTCGACAGTAAAGATCAGCCTTACGAGGTTGATCCTCTTGAAATCACGCAGGCGTTCAAGACCGGCGTTTGCGTGAGTCTTGCTAGCTCGCCCTGCTACTACCCCCGCTAAAGCAGCGTCGACGTCTGGCAGAGGATGCACACTTGGAGGATGGAGTGCATCGGCTACGATGAGGATTTCCAGCGTCGGATTGCAGAGCAATTTCCATCCTGGATTCCGGAGACAAAACCCAAGAAGCAGAAGCAAGCGCGAGGGGCAGTGGTCGATACATAGTTGTTTCAACCTCTCACAACATGTTCTACCTTGGCATGTGTCGTACACAGCCTCTTCTTGATATGGGTACTGATCACCTTTACACATGAACGCCGGGGTTCAAACGTTCATATGCACAGAGGCACGAATCCGATCGGGGCTCAATTCACGCTAACACAGCCTCAAACTCGCCGTCTTGACGCGTCTTTCGTGAAGCGCCGAGCTAGTACTTGGGTCTGCCGAGTCGACGCGTCCCCTCACGTCCCGCAGCTGCCACCGACTCAAAGGTACTGGGTATATAAGTTGCGCGCATATATGCCCTGTGCTCTATTCATCCGCAATGCCTTCACTCGCAATCGCACGCTCAGCAAACAGCGCCGCGCTCTCCGCGCTGGCCCACATCCCCGTCGCCATTTTCGTCGGCGGCACCTCCGGCATCGGACGAGCCACCGCGGAGGCCTTCGCGCGCCACACCAGAGGCAACGCGCACATCATCCTCATCGGGCGCAACAAGGCTGCTGGTGACGCCGTCCTCGCGTCGTTCCCCAAGCCTCCCGCCGCGGCGACGCACGAGTTCGTCGCGTGCGACGTCTCGCGAATGCGCAACATCCACGCGGTGACGTCCGCGCTCGTCGCGCGCCTACCGAAGGTCAACTACCTCGTGCTCTCCCCCGGGCTGCTCAACTTTAAGGGGCGCGACGAGACGGACGAGGGCATCGACCGTCGGCTCGGGCTGCACTACTACGCGCGGTGGAAGTTCACGTACGACCTGCTGCCCCTCCTGCGGAAGGCGAAGGACGCGGGCGAGGACGCGCGGGTGCTCTCGGTGCTCGGCGCTGGGTACGGCATGGAGGCCGACTTGGATGACTTGGGCCTCAAGAAGAACTACAGCCTCCTGCAGGCGGGGAGAACGTCTCCGACGTACACCGACATGATGATGGAGGTAAGTCTTGCTAGTCCTGTTGCGACGCTCGAAGTCCGTGATATTCACCGCACGTGCGCATGTTCAGTCCTTCGCGGAGCAGCATCCCGACATCGCCTTCGTGCACGCGAATCCCGGGGGCGTGCGCACGTCCCTGCTGGAGCACGCATACCCCTCTTTGAGGAGGCTTTCCAGGGCGTTTGACCTCCTGATGTACCCCTTCACCAAATCTGCCGAGGATTGCGGGGAATTCATGCTGTACGCACTCCTGCAGAGCAGCGGCGGCGCGTCACGGCGAGGCGACAAGGGTGAGGATATCGGCAAGTGGAGATACTTTGGATCGAACGAGACGAGGAAAGCGGTCTGGGAACACAGCAAGGCAGAGATGGACCGAGCTCTGGCTATCTCGGAATGAGGTTTAGTGGCGGAGGGGTCGAGCATTTCATATCTGTAAGCTATTGTACATGAGCGACCGTTCGTATAGTAATCGAGAGTCCACGCGCACCGTTTTTCATGTCAGAAGAGATTTCGAGTACAAGGATGTTGAAGGAAGACAACTACAAATACAGTGTGGTATACAACAGAGCAGGGGTGTGAGTGGGAATCTGGATAGTCCGTCGAAGATGATATTGAGTGGAGAGAGATCGTTCTTGATGCTGCGAAGTGGCCATACGCGCTGTGGCAGAGCGCTGAGGACCGAACGAGCATGGGTGGGAGCACCGCCGTGAGGCGGAGGGTGCTGTGAATTAAAGACCGCGCAGTACGCGATTCTCAGGAGTGCATGGACACGTCGACGTCTATCATGTCCGACTTGAGTAGCCGCCGCCGCCCTTGGTCCCAGCGTTTCAGGTACTCGACGCACCGATCGCCGAACACGTCAAGGCCGTCCAAGAACCCTTTCGGAAGCTTGTCCTTTCTCTGGTCCCATGGTTTGACATCGACGAGCTCGCACCGGTCGAGACACACCAGGATCATGCCAAAGCTATACGCGTCCGCAAGCCGCGCGTCTACGCATTCTCCACGCAGGATCTCGGGGGCGGAGAACGGACGTGTCCCAGGGTAGATCTGCTCGACCTTGCGGAGTGCGGCAAATTGTGGCAGTGGAGTAGGGGGTGGCCTGTGCCCGAAACGCGAGTTGTTGCGGGAAGGTGGGAGTGGAGGGGGCTGCTCGTGAAGATCATCGTCTGGGGACGCGTACGTCGACTCGGCGGAGACAGAGCGCCCGAAGTCGAAGAGCTTGATCGTGTCCATCGAGTGCGCGACCAAGATGTTGAGGAGCGAGATGTCCCCGTGGCTGAGCCCATACGCGTGGAGGTGCGTGAGCCCATCCAGAAGCTGGTTGTGGTAGTCAACCTTCTTCGCGCGCGAGAGCGTGTCTTTCTGCTCACGGATCACGTCGTAGAGCGTGCGCCCCTCGAGGTACTCGAGCACCATCCCGACGTTCTCCAGGCACCCGAGGAACGCGGTGATGTTGCGGTGCCGCGCGAGCGTGGTGTACACGCGCAGCTCCGCGAGGAACTGCGTCGTGACGTCCTTCGCGTTCGACTGCATCTCGCCGTTGATCTCGAGCTGTACCACGTTCGGCTTCTTCACCACGCACTTGAACAGCTCCGACGCGGACCCCGCGGCGACGGGCGCGAGGTGCTGGGTCGGGTTCGGGGGCGCGGAGTAGGAGGTAGGGGTCGGGAAGGAGAAGATCGTACTGGGGTTCGTCGGCGGGGTGTATATGGGTGCGGAGGCGTGCGAGGTTGTCTCGTAGGTGCGCGGTGTCTGGCGATGCAGCGTGCGGGGCGTGCGCTCATGTTGTGAGTCGTTCGCGCGGGGTTCTTCCGTGGTCGGGGTACCGATGGACGGTGGATCTGCGCCAGTGCCCTCTTCGTCGAACTCAACTATGCTTTCGCGACATTTGTTAGCAAACGCGTCTGTATTTTGGACGCGCGCGAGCCTCACCCATCCACCAGTTTTTTTTTGAAGTGAGGGTGACGCGCTTGATCTGCCTCGACGACATCGTTGTGGGTTCACCGCGGAAGCAAGGCAATATTGATGAGGGCGGTCGCGATGTGAATGTTTAGCGTGTGGTGAACGAACGAGGTGAGCAGGCCAGCGGTATGAACGTGTGCAAGGGAATGGGGGGAGTTGCCAAGCAGTCCGACAAGCCAAGTGCCCTCAAGTACCCTGCGCCACAGATGACAGGCGCTTCTATCTGCATTCCCAGAAAGGCAATCATACTAGAGGTTCGCTCCCCTCAATCTCCACACAGGTACGAAGTAAAAATCCACCATGCAATTCGCGTCACGACACCAGGGCATACTATGACATTGCGAGGTCGAATCAGATACGATGCGAAGTCACATTACCACCGGAAGCCGTCCTAATTCATTGAAAATCCATGATACCACTAACGGCCCTGCTCACCACACTGTTTGCATATCGCTACCCTCGACGACTCCGACGTCTCCGAGTCCTCCGCCGATCCTTTTCCGGGTCCCAGTCGTCCGCATCCCGTAGTACCTCTCCTTGTGGGTCTCCCGTGCGGAACACCTCCAGCTTGAGTTCATCGGCGAGAGGAACGAGCAACTCCCTGAGCGCCACCGGTGCGACCTTATTCCAGTTGCGGATAGCCGGAAACAGCTCCAGCTGTAGCCTCTCCAAGCGACGCGCACCCCGCTCCTCTCGCATACGGAGGCAACGAATGAGCGATTCCGGAAACTCGTCGTTGTAGTGCCGCCCACGGAGAGTAAGCGACCCAAGGTCAGGGCAGAGCACTCGCCCCGGGCTTGGAAGAGTGCCGGACGTGGCAGCCAGAGCGCAGATAAACGCGTCAAACGAGTGGTCCGCCGGGTAGGGAATGTCCTTAAGCGTGATCTCCTGGATCCCGGGAAAGAGGGCAAGTGTAGCGATCCATGTGGCCTCAGGAATTCCCAGCAAGGTGCCGCAGAACTCGATTCGCTCGACTGCAGCGCCTTCGAAGAGATCAAGGCACTGGACCAGCGATAGGAAGAGAGAGCCTCCGCGCCGTTTCTTCATAGCCCAAGAGGGGCTATCGTCGCCGGGAATGACCTTTAGCGTGGTCCGGCATCCATTCGAGCCTATAGCAGAGATCCCGGTCCCCAGTTCCATGGTATCGTAGACCTGGAGGGATGTGGGCAGCCTCAGAACGAGCACATTATGCCTGTCACGAGGGACCATCGCCCGAAGACCAGAGGCGCAGTCGCCGCTGACAAGGCCAACAGCCTCGACCGCAGAGACATGTGCTGGGATGACCAGCTGGGAGAAGATAGCGTGAAGCCGCCAAGGCTGGTCCGTGATCTTGATAGTACGGAGAGAGTGATGATCGTCGAGTGAGAGTAGGAGGGGTACAGGATCGCAATGCGCAGGAAGGACGTCGATATACCTATCCACGTTGAGGACTTCTAGACTCAAGCAATGGCATCAGCAGAACGTGAACTTTACTATAGGCGATGGCGGAGGTTATAATCTGTTGTAATAGCCTGCCATATCGGGGGTTGTTTATAAGTACCTGTAATATCATACCATGTGGAGCGCATGGTGGTAATTGCCTGCCCTCCTGGTTGAATGATGAGAGCAAATGACAATAGCACTATAGTGTAGTGTAATAATGTTGCCCGCGATCAAGTAAAACTGCTAAGTATACGCTCAATGCGCCAATATTTGGCGCCCGTCTTGGAATGGGCCCGGGGTGCACAACCCGATGACATCATGGTACGCGCCGTTCTGGACATCGAGCTGTCGCGAGTCAAACTCCGCACCGTCTTCTATTCCAACCACTACATAAGTCGGCCCCGACATCCTGTCGCTAAGTATCGCTCCTCTTCCCTCTACCACTCTGTCCTTGGTGTTGGCCTCGCCTCGTCAACGACTACCGCCTCTACATTCACGCCTTTAGCCGTCCTCGGCGGGTCTCAACCATGCCTAGATATCTATGAAGGAGCATCGCGCAGGTGAGTCTTGTCTCTAGCACATACCAGTACGTTCGCGGACCCCGTCATGAACAAGCCCGTTGCCAAGCTTGTCAACACTGACTTCCATGAGGGTTCGAGCAAGGACGGCGCACAGCCGCAGTCGAGTGACGACTAGGAGAAGCCTCACTTTAGAATCCTCGCTCTAGGTAAGCCTGCCGATTGAGTGGGCTCATAAGTTGACGATTTCTTTCTACAGCCGCACTGTTTCACGTCGCACCCGGCTCCGCGCGACCGTACCTCTCTACTGCGCTACCTGTGCCAACGTTAACGGATGCTGCCGCTCACTGCTTTCTGTCTATCTCTGGCGCTCTACTTCATGCTCTCGTTTTGACTCTGCTGTTCTGTTCCACCCGCTGTCAGCTCTCAGGGTTGTCTCTGCGCGCATGTAGGGTGCGCCTGTCTTCAAGCTTCAAGTTCTTACGTGTGCGCTCCTCATCCGCCTCGTTCAAGCTCGCCTCCTCGCACGTCCGTCACGCACCTTGGTCTTCAAGTTCGTTCGCGCGTGTTCCCCATCCGTCCCGATATCTCACACGGTCGCGCGCGCATGCCTCGTCCATTCCCATGTCTCACACGAGCTCGCGCGCGTGCGCCCTGCATATATCCCGTGTTTGATTGCATGTACCCGTATCGGAGCCAGAATAAATCGATTATATTTGCCATTTTATCGAAACCGAGCGGCGAGTGAGATGGCAGCCCGGCGCGAGCGCTGTAGCGGCGCCCGCTGCTACTATCCGGGTGTATGCCTATTGTAACATTGCTCTTTACCCTGTAATCGCCATCATGTCTTGTAAATGTCCACTCGATTGGATCGAATATTACAGGGTATGGGCGCTATTACAGGGAATGATGCAGTACTATGATAGACGGCCACCAGGTAGTAATACTGTGTCATCTCGGGCGCATATTACAGGGAATTATGTGCATTATAAGGCCCTATAGGTGCCAGTAATATGGGCAGGTGGTTTGCTGATGGGGAAACGATCGTCAGGAAGTCGACAACTGGCATCCGCCGATGGGCCATCGCCAGGCGCAAGCAACGCAAAGTAGCGCATAGAGCGGCCTCTGGATGGATAAGCACGTCCCGCACTTGCAGGTCGTACAATTGGGGGAAGTTTACAGCGCGAAGGGTGTAGGCAGGCGTTTCCAAGATGGCCGAGGAACCGCGGGGACAGCCGTGCACGTGCAGCCGTTCCAGAGCCGGCATGCTACGATTGAGTATCTGCTGTACTGAGTCGCCCTCCACGTCGAACGGCGGCGCGATGCTGAGGACATTGATATCACAAAACGGTAGATCCCAGGCCTGCCGCCAGGGAATCTCGAAAACACTGCCATCTACGAGGGTCGCAAATACAGCGACCTTGCCTTCCGGGATCTTAACCGGGATCTCCCAAGCCTGCTGGGGGACTCCCGCTGACAGACGGAGAGGAATTGGTGCCTTGTTGCATGGGATGACATGACTGAAAGGAAATTCTCACCTTCAGATGAACCAGGGTCTGCCATATCTCACTTCCTGAGTGAGGTAGAACGGCGTGTGGAGCATATAACGGGGGATTTGGTGAGGATGATGAGTTGCTGCTCCCTCCCTGCGTTATATGGACGAAACGGTGGTCTCGCTTGGATATCGCCCTGGAGGTGCTTGGATATCCATCCTGCCTCCGATCAAGCAAGCCTGCAAACTTGTCTGACGGTGTAGCGGCCATGCGTAGAGAATCATCATGGTCGAACCTGTGGATAAACCGGTAGAATATGAGCGTGCAGTAGATAGCAAAGCGTTTGAGTGGTTCAAGTACCTGAGCTATGCCCGGCGGCGTTGCCCGCACGACTCGAGCTCATTCAATCTCCACTAGCGGAAGACCCCCAGATTCCCGGTGAACACTTATGATACCTTGCATTATGTAGCAAGCAACCTGAATCAGCGCTCGCGCACACCGTCAGATCCACCGCTTGAAGGGAAGATAGGCAGCGACGTACTGGGCGCATTGAAGGCGGTCCTGCATATCCAAGCACCCTTGATCGTCTCATCGAGAGGCAAAACGTGCGTAACCAGTCGGAAGGGCTTGGCCTTGAAATCGTCCTGGAAGAACAAGAAAGAGTACAACGCGAACCTGTGCGACTTCGCGGTTCCGCGGTGACGTATACAGTCGACACCGCCACCAGCGCTGCCGGTGCGAATCCTCTAAGCGAGGCTGCGTTTGAGAGAATCGCTGCTTTTAGTGACGTGATGCTAAAGTACAGTGTAGACCCCGATCCGAGAAATAATCATACAAGACCGTCCAAAGCGCTCCCCCAGGCCGCTCAGAGCACGCTCCGCTGCCACTGCGCAGGGCACCCGTCCCGGACCGCGAGGTAGCCCATCAAGTCGCTCGTCAGGAACTCGCTCGGCCACTCCTTGCGCACCTGCGCCTTCAAGTACTTTGCGACGATGCCTAGGTTCTCCTCCGTGACCGCCGCGCTCTTCAGCGTAGGCGCGATCTCGTCCACGAGCCCGTCGATCCACGCCGCCGTGATGACCTCGCCCGAGTCAGAGACGCGGATGCCGTACTTGACCCACTGCCAGAGCTGGATGCGCGTGATCTCCGCCGTCGCCGCGTCCTCCATGAGCCAGTTGAGCGGGATGCAGCCGTTCCCGCCGAGCCACGCCGCGCTGTACGCGAGCGACGTCGCGACGTTCGAGCGCACACCCTCGAGGGTGACTACGCCTGGGACCTTCGTGTTGAGGAGGTCGGCGGCTGCGACGCGGACGTCTTCCCGCCGGATGTGGTACTGGTTGGGGCCGAGCATGTGCTCATTGAAGACCTCCATCGCGATTCCGTTGATGAGCGGGTGTGCGATCCAGGTGCCGTCGTGGCCGTTAGTGACCTCGCGCAGCTTGTCTGCGCGGACCTTGGCCATCGCGATCTCGTTCGCCTTAGGGTCGTTCTTGATGGGGATCTGCGCGGACATACCTCCCATGGCGGCTACGCGGCGTCTATCGCGGAATGTGAGTAAGGAGGTTGAGATTCGCGCTATAAAAATTCGTACTTGTGGCAGGTCTGTATGAGCAGGCGAACATATGAGTCCATGAAGGTGACCTCCATGGTGACGTCCTTGCGGTCGGGTAGCACAGCGGCGCGGTCAGCACGACGCCGCTTGATGAAGCTGAAGATGTAGTCCCAACTGGAGATAGCGTGTATATGAGCATTCTAGATGCACAAGAGGTCTTCTGCATAGCTACTCACCGACCGCAGTTAAGACCTGCTGAGTGTGTGCGGAGCTCGAAGAGAATCTCCTCCATTTGGAATGCCGCGGGGAGTGTCTCGATGAGGACGGTCGCGCGGATAATGCCGTGGGGCAGGCCAATGTAGGACTGCGAGAAGTTGAAGACGTCGTTCCAGAGACGCGCTTCGAGGTAGTGCTCCATCTTCGGGAGGTAGTAGTACGGGCCGGACCCGCGCTTGATGAGCTCGTGCGCATTGTGGAAGAAGTACAGCGCGAAGTCGAAGAGGGAGCCAGACATGGGCTGGTTGTCGACGGTAACACGCGGCTCGTCCAAGTGCCATCCACGGGGCCTGCGAGGTGGAGAAGTGATGTCAGAAAACGCCACACAAGCACAAGCAATTAGAGTTGGGACGCACCGGACAATCAGCACCGCGGGGTTCTCCTTGAGCTTGTACGACTTCCCGCCCGACTCGAAGTCGATCTGCCGGCGAATCGCGTCGCGCAGGTTCACCTGGCCGTTCAGCATGTTCGCCAAGGTGGGAGAGTTCGCGTCTATATATCGCCGTGAGCATGAGCAAGGTGCGCGATAGCATGGGACGCGTTCGCACGCACCCTCGAAGTCGGCCATGAACGTCTTCGTGCCGCTGTTGAGCGCGTTGATGACCATCTTGCGGTCGGTGGGACCGGTGATCTCCACTCTCCTGTCCTCCAGACCGGGGCCGGGCGGGGCACAGATCCAAGAGGGGTCGGCGCGGATGTGCGCGGTCTCGGAGGGGAAGTCGAGCTGCTGGCCTGCATCGAGACGCAGCTGCACAGTCTCGCGGGCAACGAGGAGGCTCTGACGGGTGGACTCGAATGTCCTGTGGAGAGCAGCAAGGAACTTGAGCGCGTCCTCAGTGAGGATCTGCTGCTGGGCCTCCTGCGCCTGTGTTGAGTGGATCTGCACGCCTGCGACCATGGTGGGTGTTATCGAGGAGGTGGTGGTGTGTGGGAGAGGGCGCGAAGGCTGATAGGGGAGTGTGCGGGATCTGGCTGGGCGAGCATGGCATATATGTAGGGCTGGCCATGGCGGCTCCCCGCGACACCGAGTGCGCGACGGAGGACGGATGGGAGGAACGTCATTCCCCTTTCACGTGCTTCCTTCCCCAGGCCGCGGACCCCGGAACCCCTCCCCGCCGATCCCCCGAAGCCCGGAACTCCGCCCGCGCTGCCCTGCTCTCCTTCCCCGCGCGCCTCGTACGATCCACTCTGGGCGGTCGCCGGCGGTCCCGTGCATTCCGTCTCGCTGCCTCCCGTCGGATCCTCTCCGCTCGGTAGTGCGACGGCCTCGCGCGGCTGCCCAATCAATCCGCGCAGTCCCAGAGATATGCAAGTTCGATAAGGTGTACACACAACGTCGTACATGGGAGCCCAGAATACCCGGAACCCTCACTCTCCCTTCGCGCGCGCCTCCGTCTTCTCCTTTACCTGCTCTCCCGACGGAACGGGTGCCGTTGATCCTGATCGCCGTCCCGCGCACAAAGCTCCGTATTAGCCTCCGTTATTTCCAAACGCGCAAGCCTGGGCAACCTCCTCCTCCGTCGGGCGTGTCCGTCCGAACCCGAAGCCGGCGCGCCACAACGGAGGACATCCGCGTCCAGACAGACCAACCGGGGCGGTACTCACCTGAAGACGCTTGCGGCGCTAGCACCTCCTTCGCCACGCGTTCTCCCACCTTTATTACCCGCCGGCATGCCATCTGCCACATGCCGCAGCTCACGGAGCCCGCAGGCGCGAACGGGAACGCGAGCACCCAGGTGAGCGGCCCAAACCAGCCCGGAGGCAGGTAGAACACCGCGGCCTTGCGGTACCACCACCCGATCACAAACTGCAGTCCAGTGGTCATCACCCACATCGCGGAGTTGAACTTGAGCGAGAAGGACGTCCGCGCCGACGCCAGCTCGCCATCTGCGGGGTAGGGCGGTCAGCATTTGTGTGCCAGGCGGGCAATATTCACGGGGCGGAGTGCGCGGGGGCCCGCTGTGCCGCTAAGCCGTGGACAGAGGGAGGACACAGGCCAGAGGGGTACGCGCAGCGCACTCCAGCGCAATGCCGAGCATGTAGTAAGGGACCTCCTGACTTACTGAGCTTCTCGAGATCCGCCAACCCCCTATCGACACTCCGCCTCAGCTTGGCCCACTTTGCGAACTGGTCTTGCGCGCTCGTTTGGAGCAGCTCCTTCTTGTTCAGCAGGATCTCGGACTTCAGCTTGCGCTGGCGCGCTGCGGTCGAGCTGTAGAATATGCGGAGGTACAACGCGAACACCTGCAAACGGAGACAACGGTAAGCTTGTATGAGGCAGCGCACTGTTAGCGCGATACGTACGAATTCTAGGAGGACGCTCTTTCCTATCCACGAGATTAGTTCGGTCACGAAGACCAGCACGAAGAGTGTTGCCATTAGCGTCATTTTGGAGCGCGACTGTGTATCCCAGGACACAGATAGAGACGAGGTATTAGGGCACGTAGAGTGCTAGTGTGACCGCTAGACAGACCGCGGAGTGATACGTGTACAAGGAAGGTGAGGATGCCGCCGCCACCTGCGGCACGTCTACAGTGGACGTAGCGCACGTGGCTGATGGTTGTTTGTCCTTGTTAGTTTCAGAAGCTATTGGCCTCATCGATATTCCTCCGATGCTACAGAAATTATACTGCGTCACAGGAAAGCATAGGACCTGCAGGCACAGGGGTGGTCGTACAGAGATGCAGTATAGCATAACATCGGCAACGATTCAGAACTAGTGGGATAGTCGTACAAATAGGTGGCATCTTTATAACACCATCGTCAGTACTTGTTGGACGAGTTTAAGCTTGGTCGAGCTATTCGAAAGTGCCTCAAAGAACAAGGTACAAGCACTGTTGAGCTCCCAGGTCATACCCAAATGAGACTGCCAGACACCAAGCCAAGTTCCTCTGACAGGATCTTCCGTTGCAGGTCTCAAACGGGCGTGTCAGTGAAGCGAAGCGAAATGTCATAGCGCATGCGGATATTTTAGCGAGTGCCATAGGCCAGTAACAGAGCGATACATGTGAGCGTGTGCGCGGTGCGGATGCGGTCCCGGCGGTGCGTATGAGGAGGTCCGGCCTGGTGTCCGACCGCCCTCCCTGTCATATCTGAGCCCCCAATACAACTACAACAGCGGCATGATGGTTGCCGGCAGGTGCGAGGAGAGGAGTGGGGGGCTTAGATGTTGAGCTTGGTGCGCCTCCAGTGACGACGCTTCGCGTTGTACTGCAAGAAGGATCACTCGGGTGAGCGGCCGAATCGTGCTGTGAGAATCAAGCTGAACGCACCTGGATTTTGGTATCCGACTTCAGGCGGAACCACTGGGGAATGGGGCTATCACACATGTCTCAATACATCTCCTCCTGGCCCTCTGCCAAACTTCGTCAACTCACCGGTTCTGGCGCGAGGCCTTGGCAAGGATGCGCTTCGTGCGGAAGGTCTTCTGGGAAGGCTACATGCACAGAATCGCCGCAATCAGCACTTTATTCTCATATACGGCCGAACGAGCCCTCAGATCGTGGAATGCAGCGACATACCATCGTTCTTGATGTCGTTGGCGGGCGGGCGGCGGTCGGTGGAAAGGGAGAGAAAATTAAGGTTGGGGAGTTTGTGCCCTGTACAGTTCTGACTAAGCGTCCGAATCCGGCATGCATGCACGTGCTAACTCTCACGCTTTTGATCCCACAGCCACCGGCGCGCGACGTGTCGTGGCGCGACGCGTTCCACGTTAGGCGCCTCTCTGTCTACCGTCTCTCCTGCACACCTCACCTCCTCGTTCACGACTCCTGCTTTTACGACAAACATGTTTTTCATGCGCATTCTCGGCTGTGTCTCTGCTCTTATGCTTGCGCTGGCCGTAACGGCGCAGGATACTCCTACGGAGCTCAAGATCGACACGACGTTCTTGCCCGAGGACTGCAAGGTCAAGTCGCAGAACGGTGACCGTCTCCAGGTCCACTACGTGCGTATAATAGCTGTTACGGAGTGACTGTGCTTATGACTGTTTATAGACTGGAACTCTGTTCTCGAACGGGAACAAGTTCGATTCGAGGTATAATGCACGGACACATCCGAGCTGTGTATGATTAGCTCACATGTACTTAGCCGTGACCGTGGCCAGCCTCTACCTTTGAACCGTACGTTAATCAAAAGCGTAGGTAAAAACACCACTAACAACGATTGTTCAGTCGGCGCTGGCCAAGTCATCAAGGGATGGGAAGAGGGTCTTAAGGGCATGTGCGTCGGCGAGAAGCGCATCCTCACTATCCCTCCCAGCATGGCCTACGGTCAGTTTGTTTACAGTCTCGCCTGCTTCTGCCCATCTCACATGTCAAACGAATCAGGTTCCCGTGGGTTTGGCAGCGTCATTCCCCCCAACTCTGCGCTCGTCTTCGACGTGGAGCTCGCAGGTCTGGATGCCAAGGGCCCGCGCGAAGAGCTCTAAGCTGTCGATCGCGTCGCCCGTCATCGCACGTGTTGCATACAGATCTATCCCAACCACCGGGACTTGTATTCATATCCCAATCACAGAATCTTTGTCGCAAGGACAGAGCACATTGACCCCACGTCTGACTCAAAGGTCCGCTACTCCCAGCAGTCTTGATGACTGCGGCATGGACCTTCACCCGTCCTGATGCACCAGACATTGGCGGGTCCAACAGCGTTGTCTTGAACACGCCGTCGCACATCTGCTGATGCCACCCAACCGTGCCGTCCAGTCATCGAATAGCGATTCCTGCGACCGTTCTCTCGTCGGGTGTCTGTCTGCTCCGTTACCCTTCGGCTCGTCGCGACAGTCTAGAAGCAAGTCAGATGCGGTGCGTAATGCACCCGACGACCCCTCAGTTTGGTTTGCCCCTTTCTTCGACATACCACTCGCCGTCATATCCTCGGCCTCACCTTGATGCCCTTCGTTACAGTTTTGCAACAGTGGAGGTCGTGCATGCTCGAGAGACCCTCTTCGACTGTTAACCAATACGGTAGATGTACCGACACGAAATATACTTGGGAACACGAAGCTGCGAACGAACCCACGCCCGAACAGGTGCTGATGCACGCGAAGCCCCTGCCCCGTCCCGTGTCCGCCATCTCCCCCTGTCCGCCATTGGCCCATTCAATCGCCTAGGGGTGGTGACCGGCCGCGCACGGCAGCAGCTGCGTCAAACCGACAAGGCGGAGACTTTCGATGGAGTGTGGCACAGCGACTGCATTAAGATCCGAAGCAAGCAAGACATAAAAAGCAGCTATTCAAACGAGCGAAGAGATGGTGGCAGCAGTATAAAAGATCGTACAGTAGCGCACCCACGCGCCCCCTCTTTCCCCCTCTCCCCCACCAACGACGACGACCCTCCTCCCGCGATGGGCATAAATATGTGTGCGCTCTAAACCTGCTCCCCGCTTGTCTATGTCTAGCTCTATGTCTAGCTCTACGGTCTAAGACGGTCATGGGTCGGGAGAGGTCGAGCAAACGATGTGCTAGCGACGATTTTACTTCTCGTCCGAGCTCTTGAGAATCCAGGGCTCAGAAGAGACGAACTGCTGCGTCGGCACGCCGAGCTCGAAGAGCCGCGCGACCACGGACGAGAAGCTGTACACACAACAGTCAGTACCGCTGACACCACAAGCGAAGGTGTGTACACGTACTCCTTGAACCACAGCTGCTCGTCGTCCGCGTACGCCTTCGTCCACTTCTTGAACGACTTGTCCTGGACGAGCGCGTAGTCGGTCGGTAGCATCATCAGCGAGCGCGTCTTCTTGTCCTCGAGCTGCTTCGGGCCGTCCCACTTCTTCCACGCCCACTTCTCATTAAGGAGCAGCTTGTAGTACTCGTTCGTTACGCTCGTCGGCGAGAACGTCCACGGACCCTCAAATCCGGAGCGGTCCGTGTGGCAGCGCCCGAGCGCGTGCGCACCGCTCAGCGCAACGATCTCCTGGTCGTTGAAGCCCATGCGGTAGAAGATCTATGGGACACCCGGCGTTAGTTCGTCTGCCTTGACGGATGCAAATACAGCGCTTACATTGCGGATGTGGTCGGCACCCTGTGCGGCGTCAGGCAGACGGCCGTCGGGGGTGCACTGAGTGGAGAAGCCGTCAATGCGGCCCGGACGCCAGGGGACCTTGGGGCCGCCCATCTCCTGGATACTGGCCACACCAGCCAGCGTCCAGAGATCGCCGTAGGAAATCCACGGGAATTCCTGCTTGACGGGCTCAAGCAGCTCGCGAGCAACGTTCAGACCGTTGTTCGCGCCGTGCTTGGCCTCAGGCTCGAAGCGCATAGTGGCATAGTTGCTTTACGGTCACACGCATCGACGGAGACATGATGGTTGACGAGCGGAGACAGATACGCAATAACGGGGAAGAAGAGCATCAGCGAGCGCTCCGATATACCGGTTTATCGCCCGGAAGCCTCGACAGAACGAAACTCACCTGCCGCCAGTGTTCGAGTCCTTATCGTAGGTACCCGACGCATGCCATGCCAGACGGACGAGGACGGGACCGTAGGAGCCATCTGCAGGGCGGGGACGGGATACGTGAGCCCTGAACCGCGCTGCTCACACGCCTCCGGAAGGACACGTACCGTCGTACCCCTTATCACCGGCGGAGTCAAGAATTTCGGCAACGCGGTTGTACACCTGCGAGCAGCTCAACGTCAACGCCAACGCCCTCTACATGCCTAGGCTGCACGGAGCAACGACCGACCTTCTGGTAGTCCTCCTGAGTGGGGACGTAGTTGGCGGCAACCTTGGCAGCCTGGACGCCCGACTTCACCGCGGTGCCGGCTTCCCTCGCAGAGTCGGAGCTGGAGGTGTAGATCCAGAAGCCGACACCACCCACAGCGGCGGCGCCGAGAGCACCAAGAAGAGCTGCGTTGCTGCTCTTCTTCGGGGTGGGGGGAGGGGGAACCTCCGTAGAGAACTTACGGAAGGCGGGGTTGCGCAGGGCGGTGCGGGACGCACGGGCTGCAGGAGCGGCGGCGCCAGCGCGGCGTGCAGATGCTCTGAGTGCTGCGAAGGACATGGTGGAGGTTACCAGGGAAGAGGAGGAGATATGGCGAATCTGGAGGGGAGGAGGCGTTAAGTAGGAACGCCGGAATGGGCCGCCCGCTCGATCGACCCCGCGCTCGATGGGCGCCTGTTTCTCCGCATTATTCACTACACGTGATTGGTCCTGACTAAAATGCCACCCTCCCATTGGCTGGAGCACCACGTGCGCGCGCTTTCCTCGACGGTCAGCATCACGCTTTCGACGCTTGCACGGTTCCTCCCGCCTCCTCGATGACTGCTTCACTGCGCCTGGCGGTGGCGGATCGGAATATTCAAGGCTCAAGGGTATTCTAAATGTGGCGTTCAAAGATGTGAGTCAGCCAGCTAAGCACTCATATTTTTCTATTGAACTCGTACGACCTCCTTGGCTTTCGCAAGTACGACAGTGAGCGTCACGCACACGGCTCGCCGTGAAGAATTTGATAAATAATGTACACATGCACTCAGCAAAAGTACTGCATGCTCAGCTTCAAAGCTTCACGTACGCCGCATCCGCTGTACGGTAGCTCTTGAATAAAGGTTTTTCTGTCTAAACATTCTTTAGCGCCTTCGGCGTCTATAGTGAATCGTGGTGGCGTTGTGGCGCGGACGTCTTATGCCGCGACGTCGATCATCCGAACTACCTCTTTCCTCAAAATACAGGCCTTATCAGTCGCACACCGTATGGCTCGCTGTGAGAATGGAGAGAGGGGGGCATGCAGAGGCTGACGCACCCGCGAGACATCGAGCAACCACTAGATGTGGCGTGTCTCTCCCCATTCGGATCGGGACTCGGAGGCCTGTCGGGCTGGCGGTCAGCCACAGGACCCCTGACAATCCTCCCAGATGCCTTACACGGCGGGCCACAAAATGTTGCGTTTTGGTCCGGGCCAGATTTGGGGCCTCTTACGCGGTTTTGGTCCGCGCCATGTGTAAGGCATACCCCCCGAAGGACTCGATTTGGTCCGGGAACTGTGTAAGGGCCTTCAAAAACCGGAAATTTCGCTCGAAGCGACCCAAAATCTAGTCTTGAACCAGAGTTGGTCCGGGTGTGTGTAAGGCCTCGCGCGTCCAAAACGCCCTTTTTGGTCCGTTCTGTGTAAGGCATAGAGCTCCCGGAAGCCCCATTTTGGTCCGGGCACTGTGTAAGGCATCTGGCAGGATTGTCAGGGGTCCTTCAGCCACTTACGCCCGCCTCTGACTGCATCTCAGAATCAGCGCATGGTATTGATATCCGGGTCACGAGGGAAGGGAGGACAATGGCTGGGCCAGATCAGGACGCGGCTGACCGGAAAGTCGCGTTCGCGGAGTGCGAACCACAGGGCCTGGGGATATAAGCCTACGCGCCCACCCCGACTCCCTCACCCACCTCTCCCTCCCCCATATCATTCGCTCGCGCCGGGTGCTTCATGCTCGACGCCCCCGCCCCGAGCAAGCTGGACCGCTAGATCTGGCTGCGCAACTGTCGGCGCGATGATCACCTCGACGCCACAACCGAGTCCACCGTCGTTCTCAACGCCACCGTCGACGCAGCGGCCATTTGTCGTGTCCATCAGTCGCAAAATGTGTCCAGCATTGCGCAAATCATGTGCTATCCCCTTGAGGTCTCGTTCCGGATGCAGGGCCACCTCGATGTCGAACCATCTCTCGACGCCACAGCCGAGTACACCTCCACCTCCACGCCACCATTGCCGTTGTTCGTCGTCCTCGTCACCGAATAATGTTGCCCGGGATAAATCCACGCCACCGACGACGCCACAGGGTGGTCGTTGCGCACGAAGGGCCGCTAGCCCTCGTACCATGTTGCGCCACATCCGAGTCGACGGGCGCTCCCGCGCTCCCGGCTTCGAGTATTTGTCAAGGGAGTGGGTTGAAGCATGTATCGGTACGTCTTCCTTCGTCTTGAGCTGTGGGTCGGCCCTGACGCCCGAGGCTAGAGGGGCGAAAGGGGTTTCAGGTCAACACGCGACGTCGCGGAAGGGAAAGGAACGGGTGCGAACCGTGCAAGCAATCGAAGACGCGCACGCAAGACGAGGCCCCGGCGCGGCACCGGTGGCGACGTCGGCCGCGTCTACGCCCCAACATCTCTCAGCCTCGGCACACATAAACGAGAATGCCAGTGTCGGGTGTTCGTCCCGGACACAAGGTTTCTTGGGCCTCGAACACCACCGTCGCCGTCGTGGCTGCTGGCCGCGTCCATTGGTCGCGAATGTCGCCTCGCGTTACTCAACCCATCTGGGCAACGACTTCGAGACGCCAATCCGGACGCAGGGGCCTTGACCTTCGAGCGATGTTGCGCCACACCCAATAATACCCGGGCGCTTGATCTTTGCTCGGGGGGCATGCTACGAGACAATGCGGGAGGATGCCCTGATACACAACGAGCCCCGCTCATGGCATGTGGCTGAGTCCCGACAAACCGAAGGAGGTCAGAATGATGCTGCAAAACGACAAACGAGAGGCACGCACCGTGGAAGCAATCGAAGACTCGGACGCGAGGGAGCGCGCATCGCACAAAGTGCGACCATCATGACCCGCTACAGGTGGCGGACTCGTTCGGTTCACATTCTACCCCGCAGTTCCCCCTGACTTACGCTACACCGTTACAGGCAAAGGCTCGGACGACGGCTCGTGCATCCCGCGAACGCCTCCACAGACAAATTCGGCGAAGACAGGTCAGGTTGTCAAAAGCCTCCGATAGAGCCGCCCCCAGGAAACACGTATCATGTTGGGCATTTCAGCAAGGAGCTCGCCGCATCGTCGTGGTATAAACCCCAAAAAAAGGACTGCAAGGATCCACTCGGGTCGCCAATCTGACTCGGGGAATTCAATAACGGGTAGCGGACGCAAGATGAACGCGAGCCACCTGTGGACACAAAATCTTGCAACGCTAGGAACCGCTCGGCGTGTGGATAACAGAAACGCCGATCAGCGAGAACTCCATGAAAGACATACGGGATTGAAAAAAAAAAAATGGGACATGACACCGGGACCCTGGACGACGATTTGGATTTTGAAGGCGCCATTGGGATCGGGGACAGGCCATTCGGATCCTGGACGGGCAATGGATGTACCATCGGGAACTTGGACTCACCAACAAAGTCCGCGAAGCGGAACGAGGCAAGCAGTGGTAATGTGCTGCATCCGTGATCATAGGCCACCACAGCAATACAAAGACCACACCCAAGGACGTCGGCCTCGGGACAAAGCGCTGCCATCGGCGCGCAGGAAGAACACTGCAAACATACATCGGGCTTGGATACGAATGCTGCGAAGGTCTGGCTTCAGCGAACGGGACTACGACATGCAAACACACACCCCGAACCGACGACGAAACACAAATGATAGCAAAGCCTTATGAGCGATGCACTCGGCCATCCGCGCGGAGTAGGAATGACTTGGAGCGATACGAAACTCAAGGCCTGCAACATCGCGCCCGGGAATATTCGAAGACTCAGGGACTAATATTGATACGCGCAAGGCCAAATTGCGGCAAAAAAAAACCTCCAGTTCTAGGCAACTGCAACAAGGGATGACAATCATCGACCAAATATGTCGATGAGAAAGGAACGAACTACCCACAGAAACACGTACACCAAGCCCGAAGTCATACGAGGCCGCACCCGTGGGGTACTATCTCGCAAGGCCCATAGGGCAGATCCACGCCGTGTCAGGGGCCCAAGTACTGAAAAGCATGGATGGACGGCTCAGGCAAGAATGAAACAAGCAGCGATTTCCGGAAACATTCACAAACAAGTCGCTACCAAAGTCCGTGCGAAGCCCGGGCCCCAGTGACACGACCGGCCGCTGCATCGTTTTTGGTCACCAACATGATATGCTGTGCGGGCCCCAAGCAAACCTACCTGTCCGCCGGCAGAAATGATAGAATGTCACGACACTTTGGCCTACCATCTTTGGGTCACTGGGCTACGCACCAAACAGATTGCGCACCGAACAGATTGCGCACCGAACAGATTACGCACCGAACAGATTACGCACCGAACAGAAGACACCAACATGGTGGCCGCCGAGCACATAAACCAGGGCTTCGGGACTGGAAGGATGATCAGCGACACTACACTCAAGGACGAAAGGACAATTATACACACGAATGCCAGCCCCTTCTGCAGGACCGGCGGGCCTCGGGGTGGCGAGGGTCAACACCAAGATGAGGGCACAAAGACGACCAACTTTAAGTTGGCAAGAGAGACATTCCCCGCCGGACATGATCTGCGGGAAGCCAAGCAAAATGCGCACTCGGATGCCTCGGTCCTGGCCACCAAAAACAGTCGCAGGCGCCCGCGGTAGCTTTGCATCCAGCGCATCGTCAAAACAGTTTGCATGCAATTCAAACTTCCGAGCATGCGATAATACCGACATAGGACCTGCGGACCGAGTGTTCGGATGCGGTCGCAGCAGCGGGCTACGGAAATAGCCACATTTCCTGCGGCACATCTCGCGTAGCTGTAGCAGACGCAGTGCAGGGCGGGGAAGGGCCCGGGCGGCGATGCGTTTATAGGTTGATATGTCGTGTCCGTGCCGAGGAAGGATGAGACGGCCAAACTGGGCTCAAACATACTCCATACGGTGCGCCACCGGCCCGCTGCGCATGGCGTCCTGGGTATTCCCAGCCAAGACCGTGCGCGCTGCACGTCTATAGCTTCCTGAGGTGGAATAAAACTGCATGGAGACAAGTTTGCCTCATCTCAAGCCGACGTCATGTCGAATCTGCACGAACGTAAAATTCAGTATGTATGAAAATACAATACTGTGCAACGCACCCGATACAATTACCCAAAGGAAAGAAAATTGGTGACGCCGTCCAGTCAGATTCATAAGCCCTCAACGTGCCTTCTCCATGGACACCGCGCGCTGACTCAACCTCCGTGCTCTCGCTTTGCACTGGTAAGGTTGTGTCCAGCGCACCGCGCCTTTGTCAGTGCGTAGTATGCCGTGACATTCGCCACCCGAAGCTGAAGACTGAGAACGCACCGGACCCCGCACACTTTTGGAGGCGGGGAGGACGAGTGTGTAAAGGTTCTCCGTAGTTCTTCCGTCCGCAGCGCGTTCCCCGTACCTGTGCCACTCAAAATCTTCCATACACCTCGGAAGACGAAAGATGTGTGCCACCTAGCCGGTCGAAATCAAGAGTGGAAGCAGCAGAGATGCAGGGCATGGGAGGAGCGTCCTCGTCTGCGGCAGGACGCCATCTGTTCCGCTGCCCGGAGACATGGAGGGGCTATCGCGGAGCTGGCTATGCGGTGCGTATCGCGGGCCCCTGCAGATTCCCCGTCTTGTGTCCGTCGGAAAGGTTGTTCGAGTGCGTCGATGTCAGCCGCGTACAGCACGAGCGGAGGAGACTCAAAGAGGGCGTCCGCTACGAGGAGGCGCTGGCGGCGAGTCGTCTACGCGATCACATGCTTCGGATTCGGAAGACCGCGCGTCTGGACTTCGCCAGACTGAGCCAATTGCAAGTTCTCCAAGTCTCTCGTAGGCTCGAGTCAGCTTGGCAGGCCGGAAGCATCGATTTTCGATGTTGTCAGTTTGCGTGTGTAGTTCGATGCATCGCGATCAATGCGTCTGTAAAAAGGTGAGGAAATGGACAGTGAGCAGACGTCGTCCAATCCTGAGTACGTGATAGATGGGACCGGCGATCTACTAGCACGCCTCTCGTAAGTACTACCACCGCTTGTATCGCCCGAAGCGACGCAAGTTGGCAAATTCAACGGTGACATCCTACCGCCATCTCAACCATCGGCCCCAGTCCCCCGTCCAGCGCGCCAGCATCCACCTCAGTCCAGACTCCACACCCTCATCATGGCCGATAAGGAGAGCCCCGAGTACCGCACCCTCATCCTCGACCTCGGCGACGTCCTCTTCAGCTGGTCCGCGGAGACGCGCACCTCAATTCCCCCGCGGCAGCTCAAAGACATCATGAACGGCGCGACGTGGCACGAGTACGAACGCGGCCGCCTCTCGCAGGCGGAGGCCTACGCGCGCGTCGGGCGCGAGTTTTCCATCTCCCCCGACGCGATCGTCGAGGCGTTCAAGCAGGCGCGCGAGTCGCTCCGCCCGAACGAGGAGCTGCTCGCGCTCGTGCGCGAGCTCAAGGCGCGCTACGCCGGGCAGCTGCGCGTGTTCGCGCTCTCGAACATCTCGCTCCCGGACTACGAGTTCATCCTGGCGCTGCCGACGGACTGGTCGATCTTCGACAAAGTGTTCGCGTCGGCGGTGATCGGGGAGCGCAAGCCGGACCTCGCGGCGTACGAGAAGGTGCTGGCGGAGACGGGCATCGACCCGGCGACGGCGGTGTTTGTGGATGACAAGCTGGAGAACGTGGAGGCGGCGCGGTCGCTGGGCATTCACGGGATCGTGTTCGATAAGCAGGAGGGCGTGTTCGCGGCGTTGCGGAAGGCATTCGGGGATAAAGTGCAGCAGGTCCAGGAAACAGTGGAGAGCACCTGACAAAGCTTGTTCCGGGGGTATTGTACTGCGCGCGCAAAGCCGGGGTCGGGGATACTTATTGCTGTACGAGAACTGCGGATCTGATCAGGCCACTTGTACTGCCTTGGTTGTAATGCATAGGATCAAGAGCGAACGTAGGGTGTTTGGTAATTGTTTGGGTGTACACAATTTTACGCCGGTTCAGTGCCTAATCGTGCACCCTCAGGCATGCCAGAGGAGTGATACCCCAACTTGGAGGCATTTACACCGTTCTCAGGCATCAAAAGAGCCAGTTTTGCCAAACAAACTGGCATACAACCAAGTCTCCAAAGTGATATCGATACAAGCATCTGTAGATATCATCTGGAATTGAGGAAATCAGTCTACATCCACTAGGCCACGCATGTCACCATCGCCCTATATATCCGATGGAAACAAAATGGCGCATAGTCCGATCCGATACTAGAGCGTACCGGCGCCATCGGGCAAGTTCGCCATGATGCTTTCTACGGTGACGCCTGGGAAGACCTCGAAGTCGAGATCAACCTCGCATACGCTGTTGTTGTCCTCGGGGAGCTTCAAGTGCAGAAAGTCAGCACCAGTAGGGACACAAAAGTTTGTCCGCACGTACCGTTCCATCTTTCATATATGCACGCACAACGTCGCCGATGCAAGCCGAGGGCGCAGCCAGCGTGGTATGCTACAAAATATACGTCAGTATCGTCTATAAATATTCAGGTATGTGTCAGACACACCCCGAAAGTGTTGAGTCGGACGATGGCGGCCTGGTCGCCAAGGGTATCAGTCAGGTTCTTGGCAGAAGAGAAAGGCGTCGCCGGGTCGAACTGCACATGCCTGGGTCAGCACTTCATCACAAAGCTCAATGGCAAGGGGAAAATTACCGTGTTGCCTATGACAAGCACGCGGTTCGCAAGTGTCAAGTTGCTGAACGATCCCTGGAACCGCTCCACAGCGCGAACGGGCCAGGTGGAGCAATAGTACGAGGCAAACGGCCAAGCTGAGGCAACTGCGAACGGACTACACGTGAGCCTGTGCATTCGCCGTAGACCTAGACGGAGATGACGGCTTACACATGTGCGAAATATTCTGCGACGTCTTAATAATGTTCTCGAACACTTCAGCAATGCCCGTGTCCGTAAGGTCAACGCTGTCACCGCACAGAATTGCCTGGGTGGTGTATGCAACGGTGTCCGCCTCATCTCGCTTTCCGTACCTGCGTGTATTAACTGAGCGGTGATCACGATGGGACTAGAGAGGATACAGACCATGTACGGCCCACAGACACGCTGATAGTGCCGTTAGTTGGCCCGTTTCCGAGTTCTTGCTGCACCCCTTGTGCAAACTTGGGTAGCACTGTATTCGCCAGATCCGCCCAGCCAGAAGGGAAGTAGATCTCCGGCCGCATCGTCGCTACATCGCAATGATCAGCTATGAAATCTGGTCGGCCGGAGGCCCTGCAACCGTGGACTTACATCGAATCATGCCGGACGTCACAGCAACTGGCCCGTCCGTCGCAAGGGTGAAATCATGTGCGATCTTGAGCAGCGATTGGATGTTGTCGTTCACTTCCGTGGGCGATTGTCCAGCGGAGGCAAGAGTGCAGTTGTCAGACCCTGCAAGAGCACAGGCCGTGTAGAAGCCCTCGTATGCATGATCGTCATCTACAAGCAGCGCAGACCATGCCTATGTTCCAAATTCAGCAACGGTGGTGTGGTTGCACGTCCGATTATTGACTTACCAGGGCTGCCTCCTCAGTCTCGAAAAGAGTGGGATCCAAGACACCGTCCAGGATGACGCGTCCGACACGCTGGATCATCCATCAGACTCACTACACGGGGTAAGAAAATCATAATTAAGACTTACGTCGGGAAACACTGGTATAAGCAGTGAGTGACAACGGGGGGAGTAAGAGGGGAAATAGACGCACTGCCGATAAACCAAGCGCCGAGGAGCGTGCCGTACGACTGGCCCCAGTAGTTGATGAGGCCGCCGGGCCCGTCCAACGCGTCGGCCATCGCCACCATGTCGCGGACCGTCGCGGCCGTACCAATGTACTGCAAGACTGACCCATCCGAGTGGTTCATGCACCGCTGGCCGAGCTCCTCGTACTTCGTCTGCATGAGCGGCGCCTGCGACATGAGCCGGTCAATGTCGGCCTGGTCTGTGAAGTTGCCGGTCATCTCGATGCCGTTGAGCTCAACCGTCCCGTTCCAGAACGTGTTGTAGTCATCGACGCTGTCGAAGCAGAAGACATCACCAGGGCTGGATAATAACAGGTAAGCAATCAGTCAGATCATCTGCAGCGGAAATTATGAACGTACACTGTGAGAGAGCCAACGCCGCGCGGATCCCAGCTGACGATGTCGAACTCGCCGCCCGTAGAGTTGAGCACCAGCGCACTTATGCTGTTTAGGGTCTCGATTCCGGACACTCCGGGTCCACCTGAGGCCCGCAGCGGGTCGTGATGAATTGGTACGGGCCTGAGCTATTGACCTTGGGTATAACACTCACCCGGATTGAGGAACATAGTGCCGCGACGTGAAGCCGTAGCGTTGGCCTTGATGAGCGCGAGCTTGCCTGTCCCCACAGACGCATTGCGGTAGTCTAGGGGAACCTCGAAAAAACCGCAAGAAAGCGTAGGGTCTATCGCTAGAGCCTGATCACAGGCTGCCCATTGGATAGCGGGTGAAGGCGAGTCGGTGACCTATGGGTGCAATAGATGTGCATCAGAAAATGCAGCAACGGAGGAGTGATGTGATACCTGCATTCCGGCGTTGGACATAGCTGTTGTGTGGAGTGGATATTCCGCTAACCAGGCGGAGAAAGATGGAAATAACGGTTACTAAGGGGAGCATCGTTGACAACATTGAAGAAAGTTGAAGACTGAAAGCTGAGTACTGGGATGCTGAGGCCTGGTACCGCTGCCCAATGGCCCTTATATCCGAGTCCTCATCTACTTCGGCACAAACGTGGAGCGGTGCGGGTGCAGGGGGCTATGGCCGACCGCGGTTTGTTTGCCGGTGGTAACTGAACATCATGCTACATTGCGCAGTGAGCAGTTGAGTGAGATTGCAACGTATGATGAAGCGCTTGCGCACTGCGGCGTGCGGACCGCTGCGCGTCGGTTTCACGCGCGTTGCAACTGACGGACGTTAGCCTGGTACATCTCATGCTGCGAGGGCGCATAGCCCGCAGTGGCCACACGGGTTCAAGACTCTCCGCCACATCGCAAACGTCGAGAGCATAAATATAGCAAATGAAAAACTGCGATCATAGCGTACCTCCAAACGCACAGATTTTGTCCATCGACTGAGGGAGAGGCGCCTAGACTTTGTGGTGGAGATTGTCCGGGGCGTGAAGGACTATTCTCAACTCCTTGTGAGCGCAGGAGACGAATGTAAACACAGCCCCCTCCAGCTGCTCCGGCCGGCGACGTATTATTTGATGGCACAGTCAAGATGATCTGCCTGTCACCCATATGTGGTGTTCGCAGGCTGCGCTGAAGCGGAGGGCTTCCCGGAGGTTGACGTGGATCCCAGCAAGCATTGATCAGAAAGACCAGCCGAGAGACGTAGTATTGGTGGAGAGAGAGACTGCTATTAATATTGCGCAGTGAGTGGCTTGATCAGTCCTGACCCAGAGCACGAAGTTTGGTCCAAGTGCGTTGCACTAGAAGTCCTGAAGGCAGCACAATCCTGAGTACTGCGATGGCATGTGTCGCACGCGAGAACGGAAAGCATACGAGTACAGTCGTAGTATGTCGAGACTCGAAAGAAAACAAGCGCCCAGCGCTTAGCGATACACAGCGCCACGGCGGAGTTGCGTCGGGATCTACAACATAGGCGCTTACATCCAGGTACCACGGACCACCACCTGTGTTCAGCGCCACAGAGAGGACTAAAACCAGAGCACAGCCTGGCAATAAAACGTGCGGTGTGCTGCAGTGTGCTGCGATCTTCGAATTACAGCAGCAGCGTGGAATGTGCATGAAAGCGGTGTGGAACTCGCTTGCAATAAGCGGAACACCCACACCCAAACCATTCGGTGGCGTGCGCGTTTCGGCGGCTATACGCTACTACCACTCTTCCGCAACCCTTCCGCGAACCTCCACCACTCCGGTCAGCCCTTCGTATCCTGGACACGTTGAGGACAAGCACAACCATGAGCGGAACAACTTACGAGCCGGAAGTCGTGTCCATTGAGTATGAGCTTGCCGGGTCATCCGAGCACAGCGGGGAATATGTCGCCGAGAACATCCTAGTCGACCGTCCTCGAGACCACTCAAGCAGATGGAGTGCGGCGTATGCACCTAATGCAAAACAGTGGATTCGGCTTCGTCTCAAACAACTCTGCGTCCTGAGTTGAGTCGTTGATTATTGTCGGTTCCGGCCTTGCTGACCACCTATGCGCACAGAGACCATCACCTTTGGCAAGGTGAGGTACCTTACACAGCTGGCGTCGCTTCTCGTTACTTACATGTACTTGCGACCTGGATGAGCTAGTTCTATAAAGGTTAGTCGTGAAGGGGCGCTTAACGCCCAGTTCGCCCGGTCCGAGCTGACGGGAACATGCAGTGCATCCATGCAACATGAAGGAGTTCAAGATTCTCGTTGGAACGAACGAAGATCACATGTCGGAGGTCGGACCGCGTTGATCGATACATACGGACCCATACGGAGAGCTAATGGTCATCCCATCAGGTCCTCCATGCGGCTCTCAAGAACGACGTCACTCCCGAGACCTTCTCTATCAGGTGTACAAACCGCGCAGGGATGACATTCCCCACAAGATATGTGCAAATTGTGCCAATATCGTATGTGCTTCACGACTTCGTCAGCCTCGAGAACAGACGGTATTGTGGGGTGGCACGGCTCCTTCCGGGCCCAAGCCACTGTTGAATAGCGTCACGTAGTTTCAGGCAGCTTTTCCCTGCTGGGCGTATTTGGGAAAAGGGATACACATACCGTCTGGCGGCGAGACTACGACTTCACATTGATTGAGAGTCAGATACTCATTCAGGCAAAGCGTTCATGGACAGAACTACAACACCTCTATATGGCATGTCTCCTTCTCAGGCATCGCCGATGAGGCATACGTGGAAGTCATCCGGGCGAAGCATCACGAGGTAGTACAACTTCAACTCCTTCTCAATGTACAACCACTCATGAAACGTTAGCATCGCGAAAACGTCGCTCTCCGCCAAGTCCTCAAACACCTGAGGCAACGTCGTTTCCTTACTCCCGTACACCACATCCTCGCCCAGTCTGGCTTCCAGCTAGAACACCCACTCGTCACATCCTTACACGAGTCCTTCGTGCTCAGCGGCGATTGGCGACGCGCCGAGGAGCTCATCCGCGACTGCGCCTCCGTCGGCTTGCTCGAGAACTACCGCCAGGCGTGCCAAGCGCGCACACGTTGGACACGTATTAAAGGGCTGGACGCGGACGGCGACGTCCCCTGCCGACGCGGCGGGCACGCGATGTGCATCGACGAGATGGCCGCCGTCATCTACCTCTTCGGCGGTTGGGACGGCCAGCGCAACCTGGACGACTTCTGGGCGTACGACATCTTCCTAGACGCATGGCGGCTAATCAGCCCCGCGACGTCGCGAGACAAGAACGGACCTGGTCCGCGCGCGTGCCACAAGATGGTGTTCGACTCGAAGACGGGGTCAATATACCTGCTTGGGCGGCTCGGGGACGCGGACAAGCCCGAGTTGGACACCGCGACGCGGTCGCGGGCGGGCCACCCTGCCAGTGGGATGACGGATGCCTCGGTATTGAATCTGCGGGAGGGGAACGTTGAGTACGTGGGGCGCGACCCTCGCATCCCAGAGGCGTCGGCGAGCGGTTCTACACGCATACCCCCGCCGCACACGGTGCTTCCGTCGTCGTATACGACGTCGCTCTGCTCGGAGTTCTACAGGTACCATACCCGTGGATTGGACTACGGGCAGTGGGACCTCCTAGCATTTGATACGGCGGTACGTTTCAAGCATCTTACTCCAACTGAAGACGATGAAGACTGATGCGGGGTTCCAGGCTTCCGGAGGACCTCCGCTCATATCAGACCACCAGATGGAGATAGACAGCGAGGCCCAGATGATTTACGTCTTCGGCGGACGGGTGGCTGACGCCGAATGGGAAATGTTGAAGTTCTCCGGCCTGTACAGCTACGACATACGGACAAGCAGATGGAAGCTGTATAAGTGAGTACATCTGTCCGTCTCTCTCCTGACCTTCTGATTCATTTCTGCTCAGTACCTCTGACGCCTACGCGTCGCAACCCTCTATACCCCCACGCTTCGGTAAGCCTGTTTGGTTCCCGGAAACTGTCATAATGCTGACCACTGGTATCGCAGGGCATTCTATGGTTCTCGATACCAGGTCGCAGACGCTCTTCATTTTCGGCGGCCAGCGAGACGAGAAGTACCTGTCCGACATGTACGCGTTCCACATACCCACCAACACCGTCACGGAGCTCTTTTCGAACTTTTCTTCCGCCGGCGGACCCGATCCCTGCTTCACCCAACGCGCCGTGCTCGACGCCGACTCGCAAGAGATATACGTGTACGTCCCACACCATCCCGAGTCCAATGTTCCGTGCACTCATTCGCACATCCAGCTTCGGCGGTCTCACCCGCGCCAAGGCAAGCGCACCCCCAGCCCTCGACCCCGACTCCCCATACTGGATCTACCGCTACGATCGTCCAGACGTCCCGGGTCGGTGGTCCAGGAACCTCGCCGACGGCCCCGCCGCGTCCTGGCCGCAGCCGCGGTACGCGCACCAGGTCGTGTACGACTCCAAGGCGAAGGCTTTGTACATGCATGGGGGGAACGCGGGTCTTGAGGGCGACGACCCCCCATCCGACAACGAGGCAGAACAACGGGGGCCCGCAGTGGCCGACCCTGACGCCCGGATGGTGTATGCGTCTGCGAGCGGTGGTGCGTCTGTACCGACGCCTTCGCCAGCGCTCGCGCCCGTGGCGGATGCAGATGCGGACATGACGCGGATGGACGACTTCTGGCGGCTTGAGGTCATTCGGTACGTGCTCATTTCTTTCTCGTTAACCATTTCTGACAGTTCTGCAGGCCAACACATGAAGAGATCACGCGGCGGGCACTCTTCGAAGTCCGCAAACAACAGTGCGTTTGCAAGAGACGTTGCGAGAGCGGGATCATGACACTGATATATGCTGGAATAGGTTCCGGGAGATGTGCGAGGATGCGCCGTCCATCAAGGCGCTCACATTCCTGCAGACTCGCGTCTCCGCGGTCGTGAACCACGAGGACGCAGAAGAGGCGAAAGCTTTCCGCTCGCTGCTCTCCGCGCACCTACTGTCCGCATTCCCGCGCGGTGCCCCGCAAACCGAAGAAGCCTCCGGCGTAGATGACGAAGACAGTCCGCCGCCGCGCAAACGGTCGCGGCCGAGTTCGCCGACGCCAGTGGTGCGATGGGAACAGGACCCGCTTGAAGAAGGCGGGAACGCCCCGTCGCCAGAGCGGTTCCGCCAGCGGACGGAGATGTTCGAGCGACTGATGGCATTCATCAACGAGGATTCAAAGCAGCCGGACCAGAATCTCGTGGATATGCTGGCTGAAGACACTCTCGTCAGCTAGGCGATTCTTGTTTTCCCTGTGGCGTAGATGTGGTGTTGCGGATTGCGCGACGCACGCAGGTGTGTTGGCACATTGGCTCGGAGGGATGTAGGATCGTGGTATACCAGACATTGATACAGTGAAGCGATATACATGTACATTTGTAGCAGAGCGCCTTTTCTTGTGTCTCATTCGTCGAGGTTTATGGCGCGCCCGAACTTGGCGTACAGTGTCACCTTGAGGGCCTTCATCTGCTTCTCGCATTCCTGCGCGCTCGCCGTCTGCTTGTCCAGCTCTGCGTTAAGCGCCTTGAGGTCCCGCTCGAGCCTTTTCATCGCGCGTGGATGGGGCAGGTGAATGAACGCCTCGCCTATCCGGTAGCTGGAAGACCCACTAGCATGAGCACGAGCTCTATCAGACGTAGACGAGTGTGGACATACATGATGGGCTGGTCCTCGTCTGCGAGCTCAAGTTCCATCGAGATGTCATCCAGGGCCTCCTTCTCTTGCTACAGTCGTCCCGGTAAGCGGCCAACCATCTCGTTCACCGCACGAAGACACATACTTTGAGCTCCTCGATCTTTTCCTCAATGCTCCGCAAACGCGTGTTCAGCTTTGAGAAGGAGTTAATCCTCTGCTGATCCTCTGAAATTGCAGGACCACTGTCTGAGCAATTAGGCCATTCACAGATGGACAGGACGCACCCCATGTCACCTCGGCGCTGTCGTCATGTTCTTCCTCTTGCGAAAGCTGTAGTCCGGATATTAGAGCGCGAAGGCAAGGCGAATTTGAGGGTGATCGTACTTGCCATGCGCATGGTGGCGGCGGTCGAGCAAGATGCGTGCACAATTTCCTACGTAGTTTTTGGAAGCAAATGGTCCGGATAGATCGCGTTTCGCGCCGATATGCCCATTTATGGGCATGTCCGGATAGATAGCGCCGACCCTGTGACGGGAGCCGGGTCGGCCGACTTGTTCGGATGACATCCATATGGAACGCAGCAGCGTTAGCACGCGTCTCGTCCTGGAGGGTATCGCGACGTCCCTGGTTGAGAAATCACCTGTTATATGCCCGGCACGACCTGCGCGTTCGCTTTTCCTCCGCGACCTCCTCTCCAGTGACCACTGCACACGATGAGCACTCTCGTACCCCGCGCGAACCTGCCTGGGCTCTCCCCATTCGGGCGGACTGTTTGGGAGAATGTCAAGACTGCGGTCGTCGCGTACCTCATCGTCACCCGGGTAATCAAGGCAGGACGCCACCTGCGAGCTCGCGGCCTCGTACGGAGCGTCACAGACATATACCGATGGGTCCTCCAGGTGCGCCGAGCTTGTGTTTGTTGGGGCGCGTGCAGGTGTTAACTATGCGGTGCAGGAATCGTTGTTGCTCGCGCTGCGCTTCCCGACTGCGAGGAAGAAAGTGGAGACGGAGCTTGGCAAGGCGCGGTTGGACATTGAAGCCAAGCTTGTCCCCCAAGGCCCTGGCGTGACCCGCCATCTCTCCCTCCCCGCAAGTGGACATGACACCACCTGGATCCTCGCCGAGATGGCGAAGATGGATCAAGAGTCGGGGAATCACGTGGATTGGCGCGACGGAAAGGTCTCTGGCGCTGTGTACCGTGCGTGTTCTTGCTTCCTCTATGCGAGCTCAGCCAATGTATGTCTTATTGGTGTGTTCCAGATGGTGGCGATGACATGTCGAAGGTCATCATGTCCGCCATGGAGCGTTATTGCCTCTCGAACCCCCTGCACCCCGATGTCTTCCCCGCAGTCCGTAAGATGGAGGCGGAGGTCGTCGCAATGGTGCTTAAGATGTACAACAACCCTAATGGTGCGGGTACCACCACCTCCGGCGGTACCGAGTCTATCATCATGGCCGTCAAGACATACCGTGAGTGGGCGCGCGCGACTAAGGGTATCACTGAGCCCGAGATGTCTGTGAATATTTCATTACTATTTCGAACTTGTGACTGACTGCATCCGCGCAGCGTTATCCCGATCTCGGCACACGCCGCTTTTGACAAGGGTGCTGCCTACCTTGGTATCAAGGTGCACACTATCCCGGTCGACCCAGAAACCCGCCAGGTAGACCTCAAGCATGTCCGTCGCGCGATTAACGCGAACACCATCATGGTCAGCACTGTCGCGTCCATACCGCTCAATTGCAATGTTTACGCGACTACGACAGATTGTGGGCTCCGCTATCAACTTCCCTGACGGGAACCAAGACGACATTGTCGCCCTCGGAAAACTTGCCACCAAGTACAAAGTAGGCTTGCATGTGGATTGTTGCCTCGGCAGCTTCATCATGCCGTTCCTGGAAGAGGCTGGCTTCCCTGTCCAGCCGTTCGATTTCAGGGTCGAGGGTGTCACCAGCATTAGCTGCGACACTCACAAGGTGCGCTCGCATCTTCTCAATCGTCTGGCCGAGATATATTGATATTGACATCATGGATGCAGTACGGTTTTGCGCCGAAGGCAAGTAACTGACAAGCTTGTATTCAGTGATTTTGCTGACTGCTTCCACAGGGCAACTCAGTGATCATGTATCGTGATGCGGCACTGCGTCGCTTCCAGTACTACGTCAACCCCGACTGGGTTGGTGGTGTCTATGGTAGCCCTAGTATCGCTGGTTCGCGGTAAGGCTCGGCGTCAATGACTCCATGGATTGAACTCGACACTCATCTCGCTTGTAGACCTGGTGCACTCATCGCCGGAACCTGGGCAGCCCTGCAATACATGGGCCATGCGTAAGTTCCATACCATCCCTTTCCGCCAAACACGCTACTCACGCTCCGTCTCATGCGCAGAGGCTACCTCGAGTCCTGCAAGAGCATCGTCTCTGCGGCGAAGACGATCGCGAAGCGTATTACGGCCGAGATCCCAGAGTTGCGCATCCTCGGCAACCCGCCCGCGTCCGTCGTCGCGTTTGCGGCCGCGCACGGCAACCCACTGAACGTGCTCGAGGTCGGCGACGCGATGTCCCGCAAGGGCTGGCACCTCAACGCGATCAGCAATCCGGCCGCCGTGCATATCGCCGTTACGGTATGCACACCCCAAATCCCCTGTACATTGAGCGAGGCTGATGTGCGAATTCTGTTTGATTTCTAGCGCCTGACGTTGCCCGTCGTGGACACTCTGATCGCAGACCTGAAGGACGCAGTGAACGAGGCGAAGCTCGCGCCGTCCGGCTCCGGTACTATGGTGATGCTTTACGGTATGTCGCGGTTTCCTCAGCGAAAGGCCGCGTTTGGGTGAACTGACGCGCCTCTCCCCAACGCAGGACTGGGCCAGTCGAGCCCCGTCGGGTCGACGATGGTCGGACACGTCGCCGAGGCGTTCTTGGACACGATGTACAAGGCGTAATCTTTCTTATGCTCTATTCGGGCTGGGAGGACTTCGGAGGGCATTAGGTACGCGACCGCCGTTGCTGGGGCGTTGGGGACGCAGAAACGAATGAGGTCGGCCGTCGTACGAGCTATAAGCGCTTCCGCTACGATGCCGACCCACAGTTACGCGTCGTTGAACATTTACGTTTCGCACTGACAGTATCGACTCATTTTTGTGCTTTTTATGTTGTACCGCTGCACACTGCTCATGATATACCGTATTGCCACAATGCGTATTAACCCTTCCATCTTGTCTGCACGACGCACGCGTAGGCACGCACACGTTCGCGGGTGGGCTTCCTGTGTCAAGGGTTATTGGCGGGTGAACCATGTTCCTGGTCCTCACAGGCTGTGCGCCGCACGCAGACCCTTGACGTCGACCGCGCACCGCTGCACCACATCCCCAGGGGCTGCTGCTTCTGCGGTCCCTGTCCATGGCGTACCGTACACGATAATGCACTTATCTCGTACCTGACGATACATGTACCGGCGTCCTGGCGCGTGCGCGGTGCGCGGCAGTGGTACCACTCCATTCCTTGGAGCCCGAAGCTGCTGATTCTAGACCAGGGCCATGTTGGCACGATGGGGTTGCTGCGCTTCGACTCCGATGGAAGGCGCCAGGCAATGGAAGGGCGGCGCGCGGATAGCCAGGGCCTGGGCCCCGTCAGGGTGCAGCTATTGTTTGCGCAAGTCCATGGCTTGTTTGGGGGTGTGTTCTGCTAACCTGAACCTGAACCCCGGTTTCGATGGCAGGCGCCGCTGAAGGAGGGTGCCCTCGTCGTCGGCGCGTATCTTTTCGGTGCCATTAGGGATGAAGACTTGACCGAGACCTTGGAAGAGGTGACACAGGGGCTAGACCCAAGCTGTGCCACTGCGCTAGAACGCCTGCAAGGTACGGTATAGTAGACATGGACTGTATGGTCGCAGCGACGCAGTACTGGCGCTCGCGGGCTTCCATTTCGCGCCGCGGTATCTAGACCAGGGCTGATAATTGTTGGGGCGGGTTGCGAGGTATCGCGCGAACAGCATAGAAGTAAACATATAGAGTCTAGGGCGCAAGCCGCGGGCCGTTGTGGTGTGTATACTTGAATCCAAGGCACGAATGGAGCATGGTCGTCCTGAGTCCCAGTTGGAAGCTGCTGAATATTGCTTAGACGGATGGGGGAAACGCTGACGGCACAGATGCTCACGTTGTACACCCGGGAAATGCCTAGCGAGGGAGGTGTGATCGAAACACAACGCATCTTCATACCGCAGGCCGTATACCTCGGTCCCAGGCGACACGGCATCTGGTCGCGGAAACCACTGGAAAGACGGTCAACGCCGGATGTCCCCTGGGAACCGAAGCAGCCCGCTGTGCGAACATATGACCGTTACGTCGTCTACCCACGACAGCCTCATACTAACTCGGGCTTCCACAACATCTTCAACGGAAGCACCTGCGGAGATGTCTCTGCTGAGAAACGCGCACGTCCGTGAGCTGTACATTGACACATCGACGAAGTGCTACCACACACTTGACCCGAGACACGCATCCACCGCCGTTCGCAAGCACAGGGAGGTGGAGCCGGCCGATCTGCGAAGTGTCCTCGATGCGTAGACAGCGCGAAGTATAATTACCTTCTTCCAACCCCGCCGCTTGACCTCAGCTTCGTTTCGACCCCGCTTGTCATCACGTCATCCTTCGCTCGCTAGAATCCACGAAGAGCGCTGTACGATCGGGCGGAGCTCGTCGCGGTGGAGCAGACCGATCTGCACACCGCACCCGCGCGATCGAAAGGCGGCCGAGTATACTTGTGCGTGCGCCTTCCTTCATTAGACGGGAGCGCGTCCCCGGCGCGCCTGCGAACCCGCCTTGCAAGAACGCATACCGCGCCTTCGACGAGGGCACGCACCCCGTAAGAACGAGCGAATGCGCCCCCCGTGCCGCTGCACTTGTTTGGATCGCGCCACCCTCTGAGAACAGCGTCAGCGCGACTGTATGCGGAAGGGCGCGGTACCAGAAGTCGAAGCCCGCTGCGCGCCGGACCTGAGAACGCTGTGCACACGACTCACTCAGGCTGGCGCAGCGGGCATGACGACCCTCGTTATGCCAGCCTGAGTATTGCTGCGGGTGCGCAAGAATGGAAGAGCGCGTCGCTGCGGTGCGTGTAATACTACCCTAGTTCCAGCGTATTCGGAACGTGGAATGACCGCATCGGGCGAATCCGAGGATCCGCGTGCAGACCTGACATATGGCAGCGCCCGCGGGCTTCTTGGGCGTATCTGGAGTCTGGACATCTTCTGCGATAAGTAGGGTTAGCGGTGGGAGGCGAGGAAAGTAGTGCGGGCAGCCCTATATGTGTATGCTGACTCACCGTATGTTCTCAGGCCCAAGACAAAAGCTCGTGGAGCACGGCGGTCCAGGCCTCCTGGGGAGCGGTCTATCTGGCTACCGTGGATGGCGGTGCCGGCGCAGGGTTCGTCCATGGTTCATGATGCCATAATTTTGCGATGGCTGTGATGTTCTCCGCCGGGCGACATATCAGGGGTTGTGGTCGACATCGGGCCAGCGGCGCGGAGTCGTATTTGGAGCGTCCGAGCGTGGTACCTACACGGGTGCAGTGGCACTGCAGCAGCAGGGCGAACGAACGTGCCTCCGCGGATGGAAGGATCTCGGCGGAACCACATACATCCGCGGGTGGAAAGCGCCGGCGCCGGCGTTCATCGTTCTTACCTGGGGAGGTACACAACTGACGACATGCGGCGTTACCGAGCCACCACGCTCGCTCGAAAAGGCACGCAAAAAGGCGTACGCGGGTGGACAGAGCCGAGACTGAATGCGATCGCCCGCAGCACGCCGTAATGCTCCATCGCAGCCATCGCATTGCGAAATTGGGCGCGCCCTCCTGTCCGGGAAAATGTCACGGCATGCGCGGGTGCTGTGCACAAAGGAGAGGTGTGGTTTAGGCGGGCGGGTTATGAGCCTGGGAACGTACCTGCAGATCGCCCGCGCCGCCGCATGCGGCAGGCGGCGTCCGGGCAGGTTGGCCAGAGAAATTGACCGGTGCGAGCGGGAGATGAAAACCTCCCGCGCCGGGGGTGGGTTCGAGCACCGCGATCATGCCGGTGCGAGCAGCAGTGCTGGTGGGCAGATGAACAGATGGGCTCCTGTGCGCGGTCTAGCGGCGAGACGCAGTGCGATGAAGAGCCTTCTCGTACCCGCGGTGGAGCGGTGGTGGGTACGCTGGGCTGTGGAAAGGTCTGATGAATGTTGGAGAAGCTGATTCGGGCACACGCGCACTGCTGAGAGAAGCCGCGTAGAATTTGCTCCTGGCAGAGGACATGTCATGATGCATGGATGAGCAGGTGAGTACCGAGCGCATGTCGCGCAACGAGGCCCTGCTTCTACGGGAGACCGTGTTCCGGCGCATGCGCGAGATATCTGGACCTGACGGCGCTGCAAATCATGCGTAGCACGCCTAAGCGGGGTCCTAGGAGGCGGGGAGAAGACGATGGGGGAGGAGATAGGCACATTGGCAAGAGACTGGACAATAGGCAGGAAGCGTTTGCCACCGCGCATACACACAAAGCACAGCTGGCAAGGAACGGACTACGGCAGCGACACCCTCTACAGATGCCGCCACGAGATGGGCCGCAGAAGGGCCGAGATCGGTCCGGGCGAGTGGCATAAGATGAGTGAGGCCAGGGAGGACGAGAGTGGCAGGGAGCAGGGCAAAAGGGGAAACGTCGGCCTTCTGCAGCAGCTTTGTGGCGTCCGGACTTCTAAGCAGGAAGCGCGCCGGGGACTGCCAGAGAAGTGTCCGGACCAGCGCAGACGCGATGCCGCGCGATCGGCCACGTTCTCTGCTTTTCGCGTCGTCACGGTCCATGGCGAGAGCGAGCGAAAATTGAGACAGCGGCGGGTGCCTGGGGCTATCGATGACTGATAGCTGGGCTCTCTCGGGCGCGGTGATGCCAGCATGGACGATAAGAGCGGGCGATGCGAGTCAGACGAACGAGGACAAGAGCGCGGCTCTGGCAGCCACGGCAACGCAAAAGGCTGCGAGAGAGGAGGAAGGCGCCGGCGTGGGCAGGGCCGCGGCCGCAGAGGACGCGATATAGGCGGCGGAGAGGGCCGGACCGGGAGGGTGGCGATGACGTTGGGCGAGGGCGCGGAGGCGGATAAGCGGCGAATTGAGCAGAGGATGAATTTGAGTGTCTGGGCCGCGCCGGAGGGTCCGAGGGAGAGAGCGGGCGGAATACGATTTTCCGGAAAAGAAGGGCGTATATCTTGTTGGACGGATCTGGAGTGCATCGAGCCCTCTCACACCGTCCACTCATCCTGCCTCTGCCTGGCCCCTGCTGCAGCCCGCGCTGCCACAGCAGCACCTCCCCTTCCCGTCTCGTCGCCTCCCAAGTGCTCCCTTGTGTTGGGCCATCGCGCGATCGATCCATTCCTGTCCCTCTCTTCGCGTCTTCTCCTTCTCGTCTCCTTTCTGCCGCCGCCTGTGCTTGCCCATTCTTCTCCCAGCACACCCCTGCCATAGACCCCCTCGGACGCTTTCTTCACAATGTCTTATGTACTCCACCGCTCGCCCACTCCGCCCCCTCCGCCCCCAGAGGAAGACGCCCTTTCCGCCGCCCTCCATGCTGCACTGCGGCCCTTCGACCCTACCCCCCACACCCTCCCCCCACCCCCAGAGTTCCTCCCATCCACTCAGCAGCACCACGACATGCCCGACAGGAAGTCCGACAAGCACCCCCACCTCGAGATCCACGTCGCCTCCGACACCCTTTGTCTCAGAGGCACCGGCGTCGATGTCAACCCCGCCCTCCTCAGCGGGAACGTAGTCCTCCACCTCACGGAGCCGACGTCTATCAAGGAGATTACGCTCTCGTTTAGAGGCAAGGCACGTCTCCCCGTCTCCGCCGCCGAGCCGTAAGTCCCTCGCCTCTCTCTCATTACGTCCCCGCCCTGGTCCAGATGACCCCCGCCCGCGCTCGCTCGTATGTCCCGCTCGCGTATGTTCGCAGGCTGCGCGTACCAGCATTCAGTCGTGCGCGCCTGCTCTCGCAGAGCTTACCTTGCCCTCCGCCGAGGGTACTTCTGCCCGCATACCGCCGTGGTGGCGTGCGCGCACAGGTGCATTCCGACACGCGCGCTGGACACGGGACCACACGCCTGTCGTGGGCGGGATCCACGGCTTCCATGCCTGATTCCCATATACGCATCGGCGCTAACTCTTTTTCCCCGCCACCACAGACTCGCGCTGAGCTCGTCGCAGCTGACCTACGTCGTCTGCAATCACGAGTGGTCCTTCCTCGAGGGCGACCGGCACCATGCACACACCCTCAAGGCCGGCCGCCACCTCTTCCCCTTCCAGCTCCAGATCGGGGGCTCGCTCCCGTCCTCGATCTACACCTCGGCCCTCGGCGGCGCGTCGGTCCAGTACAAGCTGCGCGCGCACGCCGTCCGCGGGGGCTTCGGGCTGACCCACCGCGAGATCACCGCGAACCTGCCGGTGACGATCATACGCGGATTCGGGACGGAGGCGCTCGAGTACCAGCAGACGCTCGAGATCGAGAACACCTGGCCGGAGAAGCTCATGTACTCGATCATGATCCCGCACAAGGCGTGGGCCGCGGGCGAACGCCTCACCGCGGTGGTCAAGTTCCAGCCGCTCGTCAAGGGCGCGCGCGTCCTGAGCGTCACGACGACGATCAACGAGACCGTGAAGCTGTACTCGCGCACGGGCAGCCAGGAGAACACGCGCGTGATCGCGAGCACGAAGCACGATATCGTCGAGGGCAAGGCCGTGTGCGTCGACGAGCAGCAGCACCGCTTCCGCGTGCCGCTCCTGCACGGGCACTCGCATTTCTCGCGGCACTCGCTCTCGAGCGCGCCGAGCACCCCGGCGCTCACGCCTGGGCTGTTGCAGGCCCACCACCCCAGCAATGCGACGAGCACGTCGTACTTCCCGCCTATCTCGGCGTCTAGCTCGACGCCACATTCGCCCACACACACGCCGCTGGAGTTGGCGCCCCTCACCACGACCACGACCAACTCGTCGTCATCCAGTGGTAGCGGGGCCGTACGCTCGGGTCCTCAGACAAGTCCCGAGGTGTCAGCACTACCGTCGACGAATGCAAGTGTGGTCGATCTGCCGCCACAGGCTGGGTCCTCAGCCGATGCGGATGAGCAGGCAACGGACGTGGTCACGACGCTCAACATCACGGTGCCCCTATATGCGACGTCCAGCCATTCATTAGAGGTAAGTAAGTTCACACCAAGAATGAACGCGAGACTCATCCGCCACCGCAGCCGATCCAGGTATCCCACCGGGTGCGATGGTCCATCCTCATCGGCAATTTCGACGGTCACACGTCCGAGCTGCGCTGCTCGCTGCCTGTCCACGTCCTCGATCATCGCCTTGCAGACGAAGCACGCGTGGCAACCCTCGCAACTCGCAGGCTCCTGCTGGAGGGCACCGACGTCGAAGGTGGTCAGGCTGTGCTTACTGAGGGCGATGGCGAAGATGCGGAGGCTCTACCCTCCTACCCTTCGCACGTCCGTGACCGTGTCGCGAACGCGTACCTCCCCGATTCCGCTGTCATGCGCGTCGCCAACTCCTGGGTCGTCAACGGCATCAGTCCAACGATCCCCGACCGAAATAGCCAAGTTCCTCCCTTCTCTGAGTCGTCAAGTGGCGCACAGAGCCCTGCTGCGTGGGAGACATGGCCGGTTGGCCCTGGGCTCGTACGTCCCCCTCGGAGCGAACACCTCCCGCACGAACCGCAACCCGGTGCAACACCTCTCGAGTGGGTCAACACGGAGCTGCTGCTCAGTCTTGGCCACGAGGCACCCGAGGCGCCACCAACGTTACCCTTGCAGCGGCCCACTCCTCCCAGCCGCACACCGCCAGAGTCGATGCAGCCCAGCAGGCACGGAAGCCGCTTCCCCAGCCGACGCCCGAGTCGATCGGGAAGCCGCGCCCACAGTCGCGCGAACAGCCGAGCAGCATCACCCGAGCGAGGCGTTTCCGATGGCTCTACGGACGGGCGGAGCACGAGCGAGAGTGGGGCGAGCGCGCTGTCCACGCATTCACGAAGCTCGAGCCAGGAGACGTTCGTGCACAGCCACAGCACCGCGAGCCGGAACATGCACGGGCTGTTCAACATCGCGATGAAGCCGTTCACGTCGCTCGGCTCGACGTTCTCGCTCGGCTCGCGCTCGAGCAGCCACGCGAACCTGCAGGCGCTGCACGCGCAGCAGCAGCAGCACGCCGCCGCGTCGAGCGCGTCGAGCCTGCTGCACAGTCCCGGGAGCGCGACGGGCACGAGCACGCCCGCACACGCGCACCCGGAGCAGATGACGACGCAGCAGATGCTGCACCACGCGTTCACGCAGGTGCCGGACTACGACATGGCGAGCCGCGGCTTCCTGGGCGGCGGGATCACCCCGCTCGAGACGCTCCGCGACCTCCCGTCGTACGAGAGCGTCGCGGCGGCGGACATCCGTGCGGGGCGCGCCGGCACCCCGGGCGGTACGGGCGCAAGCGCTGGGGGCGCGATCGGCGTCGGGGAGCGGAGCTTCAGCGACGGGGACTTGGCGAGCATGTTTGCGGCGCGCGGGGCGGGCAGCACGGTGCACCCAAGAGCGCATCATCCGCGGTCGGGGCTGAGCAGGATGGAGCCGCGCACGATGGTGGCCCCGGCCACGGCGGCGATGACGCCTTGAGGGCGACAGGCAGACTGCGTCTGTGCTTGCTGCGTACATACCCCGAGCTGCTCGTCGTGCCCCGGCTTGAGCTCGAACCCCGACCGCTTCAAGAATGTATCATTATTCTCTCCTCCCGCCCTCCGCATCTCCCATCCGCATCTCGCCGCCCACGGAAAAGCTACCCCACGCCGCCGTATAATCCGCCCTGGCCGCCGCTCTCCCCGTCCCCCATCCCGACTCGTCTCCAGCAACGCAACGATATAGAGCTCGCCGCACCCAGCGCGACCGCATACATAATGACTCCACCCGCAAGAATACCACACGAAACTCACGATACGACCGCCACCCCCCCATAGACATTCCCCTCACTCGCGATACTGATACTTATAGACTGCACATACTTGCGCACGCGCATAGCCCCAAGCCTCGGGCGCCCCACCCCTCATCCCATCTCGCGCTCGCGCCTTATTGGTTAACCTGTTGTTGTTTGCATGTTCCGTTACACCTACCCACCCCACCCTTTTCCCCTCCGCCGTGGCGACGCACTCTCGTACGCGTGTGCGCTGAGGAGTCGCTCGCTCCCCCTCCCCACCCTTTTCGGTAACTTCAGTGTCTTGTTTGTTTGTCTGTTTGTTTGTTTGCGGTAACGATGCATGATATATGGACTGATGAATGCCGGCCGTTTCGTGCCTCCATTCATGTACACTACATAGCCGACGAACGTCGTATGGACTGGTTAAAAGAACGCTTCACTCGTACACCATCATGGACAGCAATATGCCAGCCACATCGAGTTGAGGGCCGGGGAGGCCGTGGTGCGCGGACGCGGGCGCGCGGCGGCGCGACGGTGCCCGGAGCATGTGATCGCGTATACACGGCTCGCCGTCGGCGCCTCATCGCAGCGGCTGCCTTCCTCTCCTCCGCCCGCGTACGCTGCCTCTGATGCGCTCCAACAAGACCTCCGACAGACACAAGGCGCGCTCACACGCGGTGCGCTCCGCATGGCCAGCTCCGCGATAACACCTCCGTGTCCCCTGACAGCGGAACAGGCGGCCTCCCTCCGCAGACGCGTCCGACAGCGCTCCTCCGATGCCCTGCACCCTCAGCCTCTCCGGTGCCCCCGCTGCTGATTTCGACCGGCTCTGTGGCCCGCACGCCCCGTCTTCCGAGCGGTCGAGGAAGATTTCGAGTGGCACAGGTACGGGGAACGCGTCGCGGGCGGAAGAACCGCGGAGACCCGTCGCTGCTTCTCACTCGCGCTCTTCCGTCGTTGCGCGCGACGGAGCGGGAGCCGGTGCGTTCTCAGTTCTTGGTTCTCAGCTTCGGGTGGCGGATGTGCGGGGGGCGCCGCGGCGGACGCGCTGACAAAGGCGGGGGGCGCGGGGCATAACCTCACCGGCGCAGAGCGAGGACGGAGGGTGAGTCAGCGCGCGGGGTCCATGGGGAAGGCACATTAAAGGCTATTGCGCTTATACGTTATGACTTGACAGCGTCGCCAGTTTTTTTGCCTTTGGGAGATTGTATTGGGTGGGTGCTATAGTATTTTCGTGCATATAAGAACTGACTTTAGCCTAGACCCGACATGACGTTGTAGTAAAATATGATTTCCCGCAACGAAGGCCTACACCACCACAGGAAGTTTTTGAGACGCAGTAAGGCCGGTATCTCAGCCAAGTTCCAGCCAAGTACGCACGGCCTTGGCTGGGATACCCAGGACGCCAGGCGCAGCGGGCCAGCACTCAAGATGCACCGTATCGAGTACGTTCGAGCCCAGTTTTTCCGACTTACCCTCACCCGGCACGGAGACGACATATCAACCTATGAACGCATTTCTGCCTGGGCCCTTCCCCGCCCTGCGCTGCGCTACGTCCGCCGCAGCTGCGCGAAATCTGCTGCAGAAGATGTGGCTATTTCCGTGTACAGTCGCTGTGACCGCATCCGAACACTCGGTCCGTAGGTCCTATGTCGGTGTTTCCGCACGCTCGGAAGTTTCAAATGCATGCGAACCGTTTTGACGATTCTCTGGATGCAAAGCTACCGCGGGCGCCTTGGAGGCCAGGACCGGGGCAGCCGAGTGTGTATATGCTTGACTTCCCGCAGATCATGTCCCGCGGGGAATGTCTTTCGTGCCAACTTAGAGTTGGTCAGCTTTGTACCCTCGCCTCGGTTTTGACACCCGCTAACCCGGTCCTACAGGAAGGAACTCGAATTTGTGCGTATAAATGTCTCTTGTCCTTGGGCGTAGTGGTGCTGATCATTCTCCCAGCTCCAAGTCCCTGGTTTATGTGTTCGGCGGCCACATTGTTAGTATCGCTCTTTTAGAAAGTGGTCAAAACGTGGTATCGTGACATTTAGCCATCGGTGCCGGTGAAAAGGTAAGTTTTCTGGGGACCACGATATTGTCTGTTGGAGGCCAGAAACGAGTCACCAGGGCCCGAAATTTGCACAGACTTTGGTACCGGTTTGTTTGTGTAGGTCGTCGCACCATTTCTCGCTTCGTTCGAGCTGGAGTCGTCCATCCATGCTTTTCGGTACTTGGGCCTGGCACGGCGTGGATCTGCCCTATTGGTCGTGTGAGATTGCACCCTATGGGTGCGGCCTCGTATGACCTCGGTGTTGATGTATGTGCTTCAGTGGATAGTTTTTTTTCCCCTTTATCATCAACCGGATATGTTGGATGATTGGAATATTTCGCCTTTGTCGCCGTTGCATAGAACGGGAGGTCATCACTGCCGCCGTTCGGCCTCGTGCGTATTCTCCTCCGAGTCTTCTGATTTTTCCGGGCGCGGTGTGGCATGCAAGCTACCGGCAGGTGCATTCTGTGTATTCTTGGTAGGCCTTGGGTTTCGTATCGCTTCAAGTTTTTCCTCCTCTGGGCGGATGGCCGAGCGCAAGACTTTGCTATCATTCGTGTTCCGTCGCCGGTTCTGCGTAGTCCTGTCCGCTGCGGCCGTACTTTGGCAGCATTCGTATCCGAGTGCGATGTATGTCTGTTGTGCTCTTCCTGCGCACTGATGACAGCGCTTTGTCCCGGGCCCGGGGCGTCCTTGCGTGTGGTCTCTGTATCGTCGTCGTGGCCTATATGACTTGGACGTATGCGGCAAATTGCCATTGCTTGCTTGGTCCCGCTCCGCGGTCTCTGGTGGTGCCTCCAAGTTCCGACGGTGCATTTACGGATCCAAATGGTGCGGCCAAATTCCAAATCGTCGAGAGTCCCAACGGTACGTCCCATTTTCGATCCCGTATAGTCTTGCATGGAATTCTTGCTGATATGTGCTTTTGTCATCCATATAGTGGTCCCAAGCGTCGCATGATCTTGTCTCCATATGAGGCTCGCGATTATGTTGCATCCGCTGTCCATCATTGGCAAATTTGCGAGAAAAGTTGGCGGCCCGAGCGGATCGTTGTGAGTCCCTTTCGTCTTTGATATCGCGACGATGCGGCGACCTCCTTGCTGAAACATCCAATATAGTAGGTGTGTCGAGGCCAGCCATAGCGGAGATTCTTGACAACATGAAGCATCTTCGCCGACATGTACGGCATAAGTGAGTTCGTAAGCAGCGGTAATTTGCTTGTACGGGCGTTTTTGGAGTGCTCGAGCCGTTGCCGGAACCTTTGCCTGCAACGTTGTGGCGTAAGTTCAGGGACATAATGTGAGCCGAACGATTCCGCCACCTGTAGCGGGCTATAGTCGCACTACGTGCGGCGCGCGCACCCCCGCGTCCTTGATTGTCTCTACGGTGCGCATTTGTCATATATCGGTTTGCTGCATCATCCTGATCTCGTTCGGTTTGTCGAGATTCAGTCACATGCCATGACCGGGGCTGGCCATGCACCAGGGTATCCTCCAGCGTTGTCCGGCGGCCGTAGCATGTTCCCCGAGCAACGAGTAGAGTCCACGCAAGCGCCCGGTGATTCGGGCGTGGCCCAAGATCGCTCGAACTTGAATGCCCCTGCGTCCGCATTAGCCTCTTGAAGTGTGGCCCAGATGTTTCAAACAATGCAAGACACTGTTAGCGCCGATGGACGTGGCCAGCAGCCATGACGGCGACGGTGGCGTTTGAGGCCCAAGTGACTCTGCGCCCGGGACGAACATCCGGCGTCCTCGTTTGTGAGAGTCGAGACTGACCGATGTTGAGGCGTATACACGGGAGACGTCGCCACCTGTGCCGCGCTGGAGCCCCATCTTGCGTACACGCCTTCGATGATTGCTTGCACGGTGCGCCCCAATCTCTTTCCGTTCCGCGACGTCGCGTGTCGACCTGAAACCCCTTGCATCTCTCTAGCCTCCGGCGTTAGGACTGACTCACACAACAAGACGGACGGACACGTACCGGCACATCCTTCATCGCACTCCCTTGGCGCGGATACGTGAAGTCGGGAGGGCACTGGGACCGCCCGCCGACTCGGATGTGGCGCAACATGATTCGCGGGGTAGTGACCTTCTGTGCGTCGCGAGCATCCAGTGGAATTCTCGGTATGTGAAGATAGACACAGCGCAGTGACGAAGACGACGAACAAAACCAATGGTGGCGTGGAGGTGGAGGTGTACTCGGCTGTGGCGTCGCGAGACGGGTCGACATCGAGGTGGCCCTGCGTCCGGAACGAGATCTCAAGGGGATAGCACATGCTTTGGGTAATTCTGGGAACCATGGGCGAGTGATGGACGCGACGAATAGCCGCAGCGGCGGCGGTGGCGCTGAGGGTGAGTGTGTATTCGGTTGTAGCGTCGAGGCGGTCACTGCGCCGACGGTTGCGCAGCGAGATTTAGCGGTCCAGCTTGCTCGGGGGCGGGGCGTCGAACATGAAGCACCCGGCGCTGGCGAATGATATGGGGGAGGAAGAGGTGAGTGAGGGAGTCGGGGTGGGCGCGTAGGCTTATATCCCCAGTTCGCACTCCGCAAACGCGACTTTCCGGTCAGCCGCGTCCTGATCTGGCCCAGCCATTGTCCTCCCCTCCCTCTCGGCCCGAGTATCGACACCATGCGCTGATTTCTGAGCTGCAGTCAGAGGCGTGCGCAAGTGGCTGACCGCCAGCCCGACAGACCTCCCGATCTGAACGCAGAGAGGGATACGCCACATCTAGTGGTTGCCCGATACCTCGCGGCCGTGTTAGCCTCTGCAAGTCGCTTTCACTCCATTCTTACAGCGAGACATATGGAATACGGCTGTCGTGGCGTATGTTTTGTAGAAAGAGGTGGTTTAGATGATCGGCGTTGCGGCATAAGACGTCTACGCCACAACGCCACCGCGATTAAACATAGACGCTGAAGGCGCCAATGTTAATGGGGTGTACTTGTAATATCATCGGGCGTGGCTGACGATTCGTGTACGATGCATGGTTGTTACCTATTGCACTTCTTACGAGGTAGTACTGTTGCGGGGCTGGTAGGATGCCGACCTCATATCTGTATGGAAACGGCAAAGCACGCATTCGGAAAATGTTCATTCAAGAGTTACCGCTCGAAGCTGAGTAGATGCGACGCGCAGTGAAGCTTCGAAGCCGAGCATGCGGTGCTTTCACTGTGAGCATGTGTAGGTTATTCATCACATCCTTCTTTCCGAGCCGTGTGCGTGAAGCTCACCTGCGAAAGCCACCGAGGTCGTACGCGTATAACAGAAAATATGAGTGCTTAGCTAGCTCGATAGGATGCACGTCTCGTTCAACGCTGCTGGGAGGCTTGCACAGGGACCCACGAATCTGGGAGGTGCCCCGTTCATCATCTTCTCGCATCGAGTCACCACTAAGGCTTGCGCGATGCACTGTTGGCGGTACACGCGGACTGCAAACAATGCTCGGGCGGGGAGATAGTCGAACTCTAGAGGCGCAGCCTACCGTGAGTAATGTAGGGTGTTCGAGCAGTGCTCGGACAGCGGTGCGGGCGGCGTTCTCCAGACAGAACGGGTAGGCGATGGCGTATACGCGGTACGAGTCCGCTTCTATGAACCGGATGGAATTGCGAAGGCACGACGGGGAGACATAGGCGGAAGAGCCGCTCCAGCGTGTCTGCGTCTTCTGTGAGGGGAACGGTCTGCGGGATCTCAGGCTGCGCATCGGGATCCGTGGGGAGGGAGAACATGTCGCCAAAGACGGTAGACGCCTTTGCTACGATGTTCTTGTAGAGGTGGAAGTTGATGCCATCGCACGCGCAGGAGATGATATCGGCATCGGCATAGTCGAACGGAGGGCGAAGGGATACAGAGGGTTCCATCGTCGAGAAAGGTGCGACTTTGGAGGTTTGGCGGGTGAGGGTGTAGTGGAGGCGGCTTTGCTGATATATACGAGGGCTGCTGGAATATACACCGCGCCCCACGGTAGAAACTGCAGGAGACGTTTACTGCGGCAATCGGAAATAGGAGCGCGTGATACTGACATTGGATCATATTGCGCAAGGCTTGGACTCGTAGAGCGAACTCGATTGTGCTAATCTGTCGATGTCTACGGGAAGAAAAGTTACAGACGCTCTTGAGCGTTGTTCAACAACACAACAATGGCAATGCGTACCGGTGAGGCAGGGATACTCCTTTCGAGCAGCGCGACTTCGCTTTGTCTTGCAAATGGAAGCTCAATCGCGACCTACAGCTGCTCGTCAATATCTATTCGCAAATGGGAACACTAGGGCGATCACGATCTCACCTCATCCAAAGCCTCCACGATCTTCTCTGCGAGCGTTTCGCCAAAATCAAGCACATCTCTCAACGCATGAGGCCTGCAAGTAGCGCATGCGGATGCGTCGGATACAGTGAGTTCGATAAGCGACATATCCGTCGCGAGTCGTGCGACGGGTCGCTGGGCGAGTTTCCTCTTCAGCTCGCCACAATGATCCTGCCACCACTGTTGAGGCATCGCGATACTACCGCCTTCGGGGCCCTCCAATGGTTCAAGTTGACGCGGCCACCCCTGGTGGCGTTCACACTTCAGCCAGGTCCACAAAATCACGCCGGGTTCAAGTGCTGCCATCGCCCTTCGGTCCATATTCATCCAGCCATGCGTTTTGTATTCGAGAGTCGCAAGCACGGCCGCAACGCATCGCCGGCGATATATGAGTAGGGCATACATCGCCCGTGTGGGAAGTTCGTCGAATTCGGGAGGAGGGGTGTCCGGTTCTGCGACTGTGGGGTACTCGAGGAGCGCTCTGGCAGCGGCGCGCGCGACATCCTCCAGGCGGAAGAGATACGCAATGGCGTATACACGTAGAGGCTCGCGCTCCAGGAACCGCAACAGCGCCTCCTCTAGAATCGGGTTGATGTGGTCCATGGCATACTTCGTCGCAGCCGCAAGCGTGGTGCGGACGTCGTCGATGGTGGGGAAGTGCGGACGCGCAACGGGGTAGCATGAACGGAAGAGCCGCTCTAGTGTGTCCGCATTTTCTGGGAGTATAAATGCTCGCAGCGTCGTGGGCGCGTCGGGGGGCTTGGGGAGGGAAAAAAACTCTCGAAAGAAGGTGGACGCTTTTGCTAGGACGTTCTTGTAGAGCCGAAAGTCAACGCCGTCGCAAGAGCGGAGGATGACATCGGCGTCGGCGTCGTCAAAGGGGGTACGGGCAGATTTGATGGAGTCCATAGCCAGTTCTAGAGGTGCTGCTGTTGGGGGCTGGAGGGAAAGGGATGTAGCAGCTACGACATGGTGCACGAGGATACTTGGAGCCTGCCTGAAAACACGCTGCATGCTGCGGTAGGAAGCACATATAAAATGGATACTGGGGTAGGAATGGCACACCGGTCACAAAGCGCGTTGACATGGCGTCATAACTTTCGATGCGGATGGTACGGCCAGCGCGGCGTGAGACCAGCAGACTCGCAAGACGTACATCAGGCTGCATCTCCTTTGCCGCCGCCCTTCACGAACGAGAGCGTGATCTCGATCTGTCAGTTGAGTTACTGCAGCAATTCCATGGCGGAGCGACGACTTCGTACCTTGGAGATAGCCTCATCGATTCTCTTCACCATCGCATGAATATACTCCATCAGGTCCTCCGCCGCCTTGGGCCCGCAGGTTCTGCATTTGGCCGCCTCCGCGATGGCTGTCTCCGTCAACTCAGCCCGAGTAAGAGTTTCGCCCAAAGGCCGGAGTGACAATTCCTTTGCCGCAGAGTCGCTGTACGTTCGCCACCAAGCCCATGGGTAGACGGTGCACCGCCGCTGCCCGTGAACATCCAACGGGAACGCGATTTTGGCACAAGAGGCCGAATCGCACGCCAGCCACGCCCACGTTTGCGACAAATTCGCGTTCCCTTTCTTCGATACCGAGATCGTGCGTCCGCGCGCTTCGGAACACATCCACTTGTGGCCGAGGAAGACTGCGCGTGCCGCTTCTGCGCATTGCTCTCGATAGATGTGGACGTTCTGGAGAGCCGTGCAGGGTAGTATGTCGAATTCGGGCGGGGGATTCGGAGGGAACGCGAACCCAGGGAAGGAGAAGTTGAGCAGCCGCTTCGCTGCCGCGCACGCGAGGTCGCGATCCTCTATCAAGCACGCAATGGCGTACACGCGGAGGGGCTCGGAGGGTAGGAAAAGGGTGAGGTTGCGCTTCAGTATCTTCACTAGAAACGCCATATCGTACTTCATCGCGGCGTGGAGGACTGCACGGAGGCGGCTAAGCTGGAGGAACTCCGAGCGTTCCATAGGGTAGCAGAAGGGCAGCAGGTCTTCGAGAGTTCTGGCGGTCTCCGTCACGTCGACAACCTGTGCACGGTCGCTCTGTGAGGCCTCTTGCGGGAGCGTGAACATGTCGCAGAAGATGGGTGATGCCATTTCGAGGATGATCTTGTGAAGCCGGAACTCGACGCCGTCGCTCGAGCGAAGGATGATATCGGCCTTAGCGTGGTTGAAGAGAGGCGAAACGTTGGGCTCCGGCATTTCTGCTATGTGAGGTGATAAAAGGCAGTGGGTGGGATTAGAGGCGAATAAGCTCGAGGTCCGAATGCATGCGTGGGTAGAGTTCACGTACATCGACGGGCGCTCAACTGAGAAGCGTGTGCTGCGGTAGGAGTCGTCGAGCCTTCTCAAGTGGGGTTCTTTACTTCTTTTTACTACGTTCAAGAGCAGCCTCGTCACGTAGAAGATAAGTCAACCTCAAATACTCTCTTGGTACCAGAATTTGGGCGATTACGCTCAGGTAGCTAGATCGGACACTGGCCACACAATGTGAGGACCAGCGATGATTTTGTCGGCGCCCACGGTCATCGCGACACAGGACAGAGAGTGAAACCGCAGCTATGGTGGAGCACCCTGGTATTTCAAAGTCTCATAAGCAGCCGAGAAAACAGACTGAGAATATAGCCAGGCAGCTGTGAGAGTCTAGACGAGAGTGTGTGCACCTAGTAGACGAGAGATCTAGAGAAGGCGCCGACTCTATAGTAGACGCGCGCGGTCTCCGAAGCACATGTAGTTACTGTAGACCGCTCGCCCAGCGCCTCTTTGCAGCCTCCCACCAGTGGCCTTTCTCCTTCGCTCATGTGTGAGCCAATATGGGTACGTTCAGACAAATCATCTAACAGACGCTTTGCACACTTGTGAGGCCGATCCGATCCATATGGAAAAAAATTCGCACCAGCAGCAGCTGCGTGCTTTTGAAGAACGGATCAAGCAGCCACCGCTCCGAGTCGCGACCCTTTTTCGACGGCCTGCATCCTCTCCGAGTCTACAAGTTCCGACGTCAGCCGCAGAAACTGGTTCGCACTGCCCAAGCGGTCATAGCGAATCAAAACGGCACAGGTGCCAGGCATGTGCTGCACATGTCGCGCTCGAACAATGAATGGAAACCTACGTCCTTCCTTTGTCCGCCGACAGAGCGGGATCTGGTGCGTTGTCAGGTTTCCGGTGACGGCTGCGAAACAACGGACGCCGAGGTGCGTGCACTAGATGTAACGTTACCGGTACGTATCGGAGGAATCGACGTCAAGTCAACGCGTGGGTTTATGTCGGATAGAAGTACATTTGAGTATGATCTCAGGCCCTATACACAGATACCGACCTTACGCACCGCGATACGTGCACTCGCACAGAGTACAACGTCTCGGCGGGAGAACAACGCAACGCTGACAGAAAACAACGCCGCCAACACGCGGCGGCCCCGTCCATCATCCACGCGGCACGCGCATCAGACGTACACGACGAACAAAGTAGGATTGAGCAAACAGGGAACAAAGTAGCAGGCCGTAGGGCGCAGTATAAGAGCGCGAACGCGACCCGCCCATTCTCCAGGCTGCAGCACTCGTCAAGCACCCCATCGGATCTCAGGGCCACCGCGACACCATTTCCCTTGATCCCCACTACGGTGCACTCGGTCACTCCTCGGCCGCAGACACCCCCTACTCGTGCGCGCTCCGGCCGCGGTGCGACAAGAGGCCGCGCTGGGGCGCACCGTGTCCTTCCCGGGAGTCGCTAGCCTGCGTCGCATACGCCCGGCGGTCCAGGTGAGCATTGCACGCGACATGGCTCCGTCGAAGCAGCGCACTGATCTTGTTCACTGTGCTGAACAGGGCGGCGGAACCGACGTCGGGCGTCGAGGGATGGGCTGAGCGAGTATAGCCTGACAACGGATCCTCTTTAGTTCCCTAGTCGCCGCGTCGCGCGTAGAGCGTGAGGGCCATGGCGAGCACATTCTGCCCGTTGTCATCTTCCTGGTCAGCGGCCTAGTGGATTTTGGCAGCCGCTGTGCCGCGCGTCCCAACGGTTGTTGCGCTCGGCCTCTGCCTGGGTGAAAGAGGGAGGTGCACCCGGTAGGGTCGTCGGGGTCCGGGTGAACGGGCGTTGGGGTCGGCGGTCGTGTTCTGACGAATCCGAGAGGTGAGCACATCGACGGTCCATTTATGCAAGGCCAGCCACTCACCCGACCGAGCCCGACAGACTACGCCACCGGGCTACGTCCCCCGTGTCTGCTGCCTCCGTCTCGTTGTCGTGTAGTAGGTTGTGGGAGTTGGTCGCTCTGAGCAATCTACTGCCCCCAGCGGGTCGTACTTATACCTTTCCGAGTGCGAGTGAGCTTGGTCCTGCCAGAGTGTGGCTCAATACGTGACAGGGGCCTCCATTGCTGTATTGCTGCGGAGGCGGTGTGCAGACAAAGAGGCTTCGGTGATCGCCTATTGAGTGCTTGGTTCGTCGTCGGCCATGGCTGGTGTGGTTGCCTGCCCGGGCATTGTGTTGGGTATCGGCATAGTCGATGCTCCGGGAGGGTGCATGGACATCTATACGGCGTGTTAGCTGGGCCTATCCCGAAGCTAGACGTTCAGCTTTCCCGGGTCTCGCGCAGGTATCCCGCGGAAAAGAAAGTGGAAGGCAGGGAGTGTCTGCACGCGACGCGTTCGAACGTCTTCTGGGTGCTTACCCAGCAGAAAGTGCGCTGTTGACGCTGGTGCAAGACCAGCTTCAGCAGCACGTTGGGTTAGAATCAGTGCGCATGAACGCATTACATAGGGCTCAAGCGGCCAATGAGTCTCTTGCAAAAAACTCAGATTCTGTTGAGACCAAGCTCAGTCGAACGTATCAACAACGTTCAAGGGTGCTAAATCCTGGCTGTATACGTGAGCATCCATTGTGGAAATTGTACCAACCATGAGGTCATTGAGTCGCATACCTAGTCTATACATTGCGACCTAAATGACTTCAGTCAAGTTCAACGACCTCGGTAAGCGTTTCTTCCCGCGCAATCACTGCAGATGGCGGGGCAGTAGGGTCAAGTATTTCATGTGACCATCGTGCCCAAGCATTATCGACGAGTGTTCCTATGCAATTCTTCTGGAGCGACTTGCAGTAAACTTGAAGATGAATATTGACGTTATTACGTAGAACATACGCCATACGACCTGCGTATAGTCTTAGGCAAATGGAAGCTTCACGTCAATCTGAAAGTTGCGTTAGCCCACTGCGTTCCAGAACTTCAACCGTGATAAATGGCGCCTTACCTTGGACGTCGCTTCATCGATCCGCTTCGCCATCGCATTCGCATACTCCACCAAGTCCACCATCGCCCTCGGCGCACACGTCGTACACTTCGCAGCCTCCTCCACCGCAGGCCGCATAAGCTCAATCCTAGTAACGACCGCGCCCACGGGGCGCAGCGCCAGCTCCTTCGCGACCGCGTCCGCATACGTCTGCCACCACGCGCGCGGCCAGATCGCCCGCTCGCGCGCATCCACGCGCTTGTGCACGATGATCCCGCTCGCGCCGCGTGCGCACGACGGGCACGACAGCCACGCCCACATCCTGTTAGCGCACACGGGCCCGATGAGTGACCCGACCCCGCGCCCGTGCGCCCCATAGTACATCCAGTCGAAGTCGAGCAGGACCGTTTGGGCGGCGACGATGCATTGGCGGCGGTACGCCCCCACGATGCTTAGCGCGCGGGCGGGGAGGCTGTCAAACTCCGGCGGGGGCACGAGGGGGTCGGAGAAGAGGGGGTCGTGGAGGAGCTGCTTCGCCGCGGCGCGTGCGAGGTCGGCGTCGTCGAGCATGGTATACGCGATGGCATATACGCGCAGGGGCTCGGCGGGGACAAAGAGTTTCAGGTGGCGTCCGAGTTCACCGACGAGGAAGGCCATGTCGTACTTGAGTGATGCGCGAAGGACGGAGAGAAGCCGATCGAGATTCTGGAAGTCCGGGCGTGGGAAGGGATAGCAGAACGACAGCAGGTCCTGCAGCGTCATCGCGTCTTCGGTCATGGCCACAGTCTGCGGAATACCGCGCTGCGCGGGATCCTCGGGGAGGCCGAACATGTCGCGGAAGACGGGCGACGCTTTGTGCAGGATGAGCTTGTGCAGGCGGAAGTCGACGGCGTCGCATGAGCGAAAAATGACGTCCGCGTCGGGGTCGCAGTATAGCGCGGAGAGCTTCGCGTCTGCCATGGCGGCTGCTTCGATAGTGGCGCGAAGGGAATGTGTCCGAGGAGGCGAGGAAGTGGAGTGCGGGTGGACGCATCGTATACAACTTGTCAAGCGTCGAAGGGCGTTTGTTGAAGAGCATCTAAAGAAAGAAAGGGAGTCAACGCAGCGGTAAATTGAAGTTCAGCTTTAGATGGAACCTGCAACGCGTGCTTTGTCTCGTTTTGAAACCCCGGGTGCTGCTTGGAACCCTCTGCTCCTTGGAAACCCGGTCTCGTCGCAGGCAACGCCGGACGTCCACCAGGCGACCATATCTCAAACGGGACGCGGCTTGAATAATGTGTGCGCGCACACTTGAGCTGTCAGGAGGGGATGAACGCTTTATTACTTCCACATACATCAGGAGGAGTAGGCGCACCGACGCAGAGGCCCTTCCTTGACTGACATAGCTCAGGCTGCGCGCCAGGATCCGCGTCAGTCCCGCACAGTACGCGAACCATTCATGGGATCGTCGCAGATATTCAAGGGTTTATTTCGTCGAGCCCGGATGTTGGGGTCTCGCAATGACGCATTACGCGTGCCCTGCGTTGTACGGTGGGGCCGTGTATAGGGATCCGCGCAGCCGCGAACGCCTCGTTCCTCGGCCGCGTTTGACACCCTCGGACAGCAGTTTCTATCTGCACTTCTTGAACCCGAGTTGTCAAATATAAGTATCCTCCGTTCAAGGAGATCTAGAGAAAGAAAAGAAGTCAACGCAACGGTGAGGAAGCTCAGCGTTCAATAGAACCTGCCACACTAGCGCTTTGTCTGGCACGTCATCGCGCGCGTCCTCCCCGGAGTTCGAGCGAACGCTCTGGACGATCCCAGGTGCATTCGAATTTGGGATCTACAACATAACTCTTGCGATGCACGCATTACCGCGTGTTTCTGTTCAATGCCAAGTGTTCTCATCCCTAGACAGCGGCAAGCTAGAGGCCTCCAAGGACCTCCACCGATCTGTGATATACAAAGTCGACGCTGCGGGTGCGGTATCAACGCGCTCTCCCCGAGAACTGTGGCAGATGGACAGATGTCAGATGGCGTAGAACGTGCAATCGCTCGTGCATGGAAGACCGGCGCGGACTAGGCTGCACACGGCTTGATATTGGCCATGATAGGCTCCGGACGGTGTGAACGGTGCAACGGAGAAACCTCCGCGAAGGCCAGGGCGAGAATATAATCAGATGTGTGAGCGGTGGGAAGGGACAGGGCATTCTCCCGCAGTGACGTCGTGGAGGAGGAGCATGGGTGATGGATTGCGTCCAACAAGACGGACAAGGCGGCGGGAGAGTGAGAGAAACGGGAGATCGGGCGCAGGGGCGGAGGCCGCATAAGGGAGTCAGGGACGCTATCGCCACGTGGATGGGGGGGATAAGTGATGTTGCGGCGGGCGGCAGCCTCTATTTGCTGGACGGTCAACAGCGCGACTATTCTCTGGACAGATTCGATTCGAGGGCCACGCCTCTGCCACTCCTTTCTTCCCAAACTTCTCTTATAATCCGTTTCTCCGCCATGGCCCACCGGCGCACCTTCTCTGCCCGTTTCCCCGACATGCGCAATGTCTCCCTCGACTCCCCGCCCCTCACCCCCATCCCCAACATCGCTGGCCTCCCCATCATGACCTCCCGCAAGCCCCGCGCATACTGGCTCCGCACCACCTTCCTCGCCCTCTTTGTCTTGGTCGTCGTCTCCGTCTACGTCCTCCTCGTCTCCCCGCCCGTCCTCCGCCCCATCTCCTTCCGCGATGCGGAACGCGCCCGGACAGACGACCCCGCACGCCCGTCGCGCTGGACCCCGGAGGCGTTCCGGTTAGCTGCCCTGAAGCACCGGAAACCCAATGCGACAGGCGGCAGCAGCGCGACGAACGACCAGCCCCAGATCGCACTCAACCAGACTCAGGAACTCGCCGCCGTGTCCAGTTTCATCGCGAGTCTGCCGCAGAACATGATCCCCTCCAGCATCGACCCGTCAATACCCATCGACCCGCAGCTCGTCCTGGACTTTGACACCCGCGGGCCGCATGCGGAGGAGGAGCTGCAGGCCGTGATACGCGATGTGTGGTCGAGGAACCCGGTCATGCTCTACTCCAAGGTGCGTGTCTTCCAAGCATGCGGCCTCGTCGTCGCTAGCGCTCGCGCTCATCACGGTCTCAGGTCCACTCGCCGATATCACGAGAGATCAAGCAGGTCCTCGCGGATCTGTACCTGCGCCCTGCGCCCACGATTGTGGACGTCGACCAAAGACGTGAGTGCACCCCCGTTCCTTGCCCAGCGCGGTTCTGACGTCAATGCAGCGGACGAGAACGTGCTCGTTCCTCTGCTCTTCCGTCTCACGTCGTCAAAGGAGCTCCCCATCCTTCTCATCGGCGGTCACACCGTCGGCACAGCTCAGGAAATCAAGTATCTTGCTGCCAAGGGCCAACTCAGCCGTCTTATCACGGAGGCGGGCGGCGTCGTTGATGGCGCGCGCAAGAAGAAGGCCAAGAAGCTCTAAGCTCTCAGATCCCTTTTCCCGCCCTGCACAGTGCGACGCGTCGCGGTGCGAGCTGTACATTTTGCGGCGACCACGGGAGACTACTAGGGCCCGTCGAGGTGAAGTGCTCGCCGAGCGGGGCCCAGTGGCTGGTCAGCCGAGGCTGGTTTGGACACCGTTGATTGTGGTATAGAGATCCGGCCCCCAGGGATGTACAACTACGGCATCTTTCCTACATATAGCGCTACTCACACGTACATTTACTACGTGCTTAACATGCTCCCTCATCCCCCTAGTAGAATTATGCAACGCGCGTGGACTTTGACCGCCGGCGCGCCATTCGCCGCACCCCCTCCCCCTACCACACATTCTCTGCACGCAACCTCTTGGCCGCGCATCTCTGCTAGATCCGCACACTGTCTCCTGTTAGATACCCTGGGGCTCACGCGTCCGACCTTACCTTACAGCACATACGCACTCTCACGACGCCTCACGCCCAATTTCTATCCTCCAGAGACTTTTTCAGCACTCGCTGCGCGCATGCATCGCGTCTTCGCTGGTCTGCAAAGTCGCCCCACAGTGCGTGGCCTGCGCATGTCGATCGCGTCCGATCGCGCTCTGCGCGTTTCATGAAAATTACGGCCGTGCGTGCTTCCCCTGCTAATCTCCGCACCCGCCACGCCGATCTCGAGCTTGTTGTATGTCCCCGCGACCCTTCTAGGGCCGCGTTGTCTGCGCGTGGCCCGGGCCTGCTGCTTGTTAGAGCTGGCGTCTTGTCTCTAGAAGACAGCCTTCTGTCATTCAATGCCCCGCTAGTGCTGGTGATCACGCCCTTCTCTTCTCCTGACCTCCGCTCCGCCTTGTCTTCCCCTCCTGTTCGCCCACGGGGACAATTACGACAAGGGTGCGCCGCCGGGCCCGGTGTCTTTCCGCCGGCCCAGAGCCCCCCGGCTTTCCCGGGGCGCTCCAAGGCACTCCTTGCCCGACGACGACGACGCCAGCGCGACCGTCGCAGTCGTCCTCGTCAGCGGCGCGGCGTTTGCGAAGGCGCGAGATGCGCTGCAGAGATGCGGGGTGACGTCTTCGCGTATAATTTTCGCGAGCGGCCGAGGCGGCACAGCTGTGGTGAAGGCGTATCGGGACCGACGATCGGTGGCGGTGCCGCGCCAGGAACCGGACCCTGCATGGCGGGCCGGCGGGCGTCTTGTGTGCAGCGATCAGCGACTCTGTTTGCTCTTGAGCTTCATCGAGGACGTTGTTTCGCGACTCCTCCATCGGGCAGCAAAGGCTTTGTATCTGGAAGCACTGAAGTGTTTGAACGACATGGCGCAAGCAGAAAAGACGTCAAGACCGAAGATCGAGTATGTCATCTTCGACATGGATGGTACATCCTTGTTCACCCCCTCCATCGCGAGACCGGGCGGACCCTGACTGTATGCGCACGCAGGCCTGCTCATCGACTCTGAGAGGGTGTACACCGATGTGACGAGTGGGTGCATCCCACCCGGTACTGCCCACATCGGCCCTCATCAGCACCCATCGCAGATGAGCTCCTCGCGCCGTACGGCAAGGAGATGACCTGGGACATCAAGGCGGGCCTCATGGGCAAACGTACGTCCCCCATCTCCGCCAACCATGCCTTACACTGTGCACACTCACACGACCATTCACTCGTAGCTGAACGCGACGCAGCGCAGCACCTGCTCTCCTTCTTCCCGGACCTCCCGCCCTCCTTCACGCTCGACTACTACCTCGAGGCGCGCCGCACGCTGCAGGACCAGCGCTGGCCCTCCGTGCAGCCGCTCCCCGGCGCGCTCAAGCTCGTGCAGCACCTCGCCGCGCACGGCGTGCCCATCGCGCTCGCCACGGGCTCGCAGCGGCGCAACTTTGAGCAGAAGTCCGCGCACCTCGGCGCGCTCTTCGACGGCTTCGCGGGCCGCGTCGTGTGCGCGGACGACGGGCTCGTGCGCCCCGGGCGCGGGAAGCCGCACCCGGACATCTTCCTTGTCGCGGCGGAGAAGTTTCTGCAGCGGAAGGTGGGGACGGGGGAGGTGGGCGAGAGGCAGGTGGGTGGGGAGGAGGTGGCGGAGCGTGCGAAGGGCTTGGTGTTCGAGGATGCGATTCCGGGGGTGCAGGCTGCGAAGCGCGCGGGGATGAGCGGTACGTTGTGTGCGGTAATCGGGAAGGTCGTGCAGTACTGATGCTGATTGTGCTGCAGTGGTGTGGGTCCCGGACGCGAATCTGCTGTCTATCGGCGGAGACTCGGAGGTCGCGCCAGCGGTCGAGAAGCCCGACTTGATGCTAAAGTCTCTGGAGGAATTCGTTCCGGAGGAGTGGGGCTTGCCGCCATATGGCTCGTAAAATACAGTTTGTTGCTGTCTCTTACATTCACGAGAGGATGCGTCTGCGGCAGGTGTTATCTTCAGACGCTCGACGTTGTACTTATGCTGTCTCTGCAGCACCGAGAACATGTATATACCGCAGCCGGGTAACTGGGCTTGAACATCGGGAGAATCCTTACACGCACGGAAGTATAACCGAGCAGCAACGCCGCAGAAACCACACACTGCGTGATTACCGCAACGTCAGAGTAACACGTAATTGAACTCTCCCAGCATAGTACGTTACTTGTGGATTCGCACGCGTATGCACTACCGCAGCACCACGCGTGACTGGCAATTAGCTCTCATATATAGAGCGGATCGCTGCGAGCCTAAAGCTACTCACCACTTTCTCCACCAGATATCGGGTTTCCAAAGCTTTACGCCTGGAATAGCCTCTATGGACACGAACGCACCTCTGCCAACCCCCGCTACCCCCTTCGACGCGTCCGATGCAGACATCATCCTCCATTCCTCGGACAGCGTCGACTTCCACGTCTACAAGCTCATATTGGGGATGGTGTCGCCCATATTCAAGGCCATGTTTACTCTCCCCGACCCACCAGACCCGGCACCATCCAGTCCGCAGGTCGTCCCACTCACCGAGAATGCATGCACGCTAAGACATCTACTCCATCTGTGCTACCCGTTCCCCCGCACACCAATCGCCAATCTAGACGAACTCGTCGCGACGGTAGAGGCGATGAAGAAGTACGAGATGACCGCGCCGCGTTCCTCTTTGGAGCAGGACCTCAAAGCGATCCTCACAGCAGGCGCTGATCCTCTCCGCATATACGGCATCGCATACCTCTACCGATTCGATTCGGTGCTCTACGAGGCGGCAAAACTCACCCTGGACAACCCTCGCTACCTCCAAGCCCGCACCATGCCGCCCGAGTTCGTCCACCTCTCCGCCGCAGCGCTCTTCGCGCTCATGGAGTACCGTTTCGAATGCGTGGAGGCCGCGGGGGAAGTCATCAAGGACGACGACTGGATGGTCAACGGCGAGCACGCGAAGAAAATGCTCCTGTGGCCCACCGGCAAGCCGATCCTCGGGAAGTCGTGGGCGTGGATCGCCTGCAGGGAGGCCGGGGACCCGTCGTGCACCATGACTGCCGGGGGCCACGAGCTGTCCGTGAAGACGTGGTATGGGTGGTATAAGGAGGACGCGGCGAAGGCGTTGCTGGACCAGCCGAAGGGCGAGACCGTCACGCGCATCCCGGTGCTCACCAGGGCTCTAGAAGGTGCTGGGCTGTGCCCGCGATGCGCGCCGACCGCTTGGAGAGATATGCTGGACTATAGTCGTTTGTTGGCGGGAAGAATCGACGAGGCAGTGTCCAATGTAGGTCCTCGTCCCGCGGTGAGTAGCACACCGCCGTTAACCATCCAACAGGTTCAGCTCCAGCTCCCATCCTAGCGCATACTTCTTCGGTACACCAGTATGTCTCAGATTGTCTGCTGGGGTCGTCAAATATGTTGTTATAAGCGTTTACATGTGTTGAACGTGCGTGCGTCCATTTAAGAAGACTAAACAACCGGTTTGCATAGTGGCCAATTTGGCTTGAAGGGCATGTGCCGTCGTCGTCGCGCTGTGTCGCGCGAGAATAAGCCATTATTCTTGGTATAAACATTTCTAACGAAGCCGTTTCCGTACAGAGTCATGGAATAGAGCAGAAATGTGGATTTAGTGGGAGCGCGTCGACACCACCGTCCGAAGTCGACTACCGCGCGTGTCAGCCGCCACCGCGAACTATATCAATGGAAGAGCTTCCCTACCGCAGCATCGGCTTCCTCATTTGCACGAACAACTCAGAGCGCTCCTTGAGGTGCTCGCTTTTGCCCTCTCCCCTCGCTATATCACAACTGCGATGTCCGAGCCCATAGTATCCCCATCATACGACGATCCTGACGCGGATGTTGTCCTTCGTTCATGCGATAAAGTCGACTTCCGGCTGGACAAGCGCACGCTTCGCAGACAGTCCACCGTCTTCCGCGACATGTTCACTCTGCCAGACGAACCATCACAAGGACACGAGCCGCAGATCGTCGCCGTTACAGAAAGCGCCGCTACGCTCGAAGACCTCCTGCCATTCATCTATCTGGTCGGGGGGCGTCCGGAGGTCCTGGAGCTCAGCCGCCTCCGCGCAGTGCTCACGGCGGCGGACAAATACGACCTCGCAGTCCTGGACGACACGCTGCAGAACAACCTCAGGCTCCACATCCCAGCAGAGCCGCTCCGCATCTATGCCGTCGCGTACATGCGGGAGGACGCGGAGCTCGCCCAGACAGCGGCGAGGTGCCTTCTCGCGCACCCTCAGTTCTCAGTCCCCGCCGACCCACCGCCCGAGTATCACGAGATCCCCGCCATCGCAATCTGGCAGGTGCACATGTACCGACAGAGGTGTGTCCTCGCTGCGCTGGAGATCTTCCGGAGCGAGGAACATATAATCTCTCCGCCTCGCGCGGGGCACGCCATCTCGGTATCGAGGAAGGGTAACGCCGACACGTCGGGCGCGTGGGTGTGGCTTGCGTGCACATCGTGCGATGCCGGATGGCTGAGTCTCGCGGTTTCCAACAGCGCGACAGGGCGCAGGGACACTGTCCGCCCGCGCGCGTGGTGGCAGAAGTACTTCGACGCCGTCGTGCGGCAGCTGGCTCTGCGCCCCCTCGGGTTTGTTGCGAGCGATTCCAAGTTATTGCGGGAGACCATCGCGGAGGCCTCGAAGTGCACGACATGCGGGCCGCGGGGTGCGCTGCAGGTGTACGAGTACGCGGAGGCGATGGCGCGGAGGATTGACGAGGCCACGTCCAAGGTGCGCGGGCGTGCCTGTGTGCCGCACGGCGGGCTGAGAGCTGACTGCAGACGGCATGCAGATTTCGATCGAACTTCCATTTCAAACTCACCCGAGCTCGGTGGCGACCACAGACCCGGACCTGCTGCCTGAGCCCGAGCTTTCGTTGGGTGATCTCGGAGACGGTATGTGAGTTGGGCGGACGTCTGCATCGTCGCACCTCGGCACCATAGATGTCCTGTATATTGTGAGTGTATCGCTCCTGTAAGGGATTTTGCTCAGTAGTCGTACAGGAAGTACTAGGAGCTGCTTTGGAGGAACTTGTGTTTGCAACATGACAGTATTTTCGGCCGAGTATACACCGATGCGAATTGCCGTGCTGTATAGGAAACTCATCCCTAGAGTGACCGCGCCGATCTGTGCAGGGTTCTTTTCCTGGACTACGTAGTAGAACAGGTCTTAAGGGGAGTAATAACGCCTCAAGTGACGGTAACGTCACCCCCACGTGTGGTCACCGGTGACTCCCTCCTCAAAGCGGGTAGCGTGACTTAATCTTTGGCCATATTTGCGCGCTTCCCACGGTTGAAGTTCAACCGTCGTGCAGAGACGCTGTTGCGTTGCTCTCCTACAACCATGACCTCGTCGACTACACCTACACTCGCACGTCCTGTTCCACAGCCCACAGCGCCTCGCGCACCGCCTGTGCCGTCTAGTAAGTAAGCCCATTATACGCAGGTCGTGCTCAGCTTAACAGTTCTGTCCAATAGCGCATCACTTGGGTTTGCCTTCCGCCGGATCTCGCCTCCCCACCATGAACTCGCGCGAACAGGGTAAGTGTATATACTTTCTGTGTGCTTGCCGTTTCGCTGAACGAGCCGTCTGCAGGGGTACGCGCAAGTTCAGAGCGGGTACATCACCCACCGGCGAGGGCACAGCCTGGTACGTAGTTTATCCAACACGGTCTCGCGACAGTACGTGCTAACTGCCATACAGAAGCCGCTCCAGCACAGGCTCCCGGTCTCACCCGGGCTACCTCCGGCGCGCCGGCTCCTCGTACGTCTTCAAACTCTTGTCCCGTCTCCGCGCTGTGCTGACTGCGCTCCCTGGTCAATACGATATCACAACGATCACACATAACACACTATCACGATGCACATAACGTTGAAAAACTCTACGATCATGCCCGCTTCGCTCGTTGTCCGATACCACGATCCCATCAATATCATCCTCTGTTGTTCTTTGTCTCTGTAGATCTGGACGCCGTGTATGTGGTGCTCATGCAGGGATCTCTCCAGGTGTTACCCAGGCATGTAACTCGGCACCACCTCGATGTTATGTTCCAGTTCAAGACCGTTGCGCCTTCGTATGTCACCGGTGGCGCTCTGCGTGCGGGCGAGTTAATTTTGCGTTCCCCGTTACGTTCGGTAGTAGAGTCATTCGGCCACTGGCGTGTAGGGCAGCTTCGGTCTCTTGCAGCGGCACACAGTATTCCCGTCACCTCCAGGCATCGTGCCGAAGATATCACAGCACGTCTGCATACACATGAGTGTATTTCTTGTCCCGCCTCGTTGGAGTATGTATTTCAGGTCTTGAGTGTGCCACGTCCGGGCGTGTCGCCACCCTCAGTTCAGCAGCCCAATCCTGTCGCTGAGAGCAGTACCGTTCACGGTAGCACGGTTGTGTCAGATGTGGATCCCGATGCATATTTGCAAGTTCCGGACAACGAGCTCAAGCATGCCATCATCCAAGAATGGCAGCACGCTATGGCCCCAGAGGTGTTGCGGGAGGTTGTTTGTGCAGTTTGTGCCAGAAATACACGTCGCGGGCTAATTCAGATGATCAAAGCGAGCGATATAGATTTTTCGGTGCTTTGCAACCCAGAGTTGCCGGACCATGTTTTACCGACTACCTATAACCGTGCTGCGTACGACGGAGCCATTCTACATCCGAAGGGCCTTACGAATTTACAGGAGAAAGGAGATATTCAGGCATGCAAAGAATGCTCGGTTGCACTGCTCCATGACCAATGTCGGATGCCAAAGTTTGCTTTAGCTAATTGGCTGTATTATGGGCACGAAAGACTTCCCACCGACGTGAAGAAAGCATTTGCCTCCGCAACGTTCAGCGAGCGACTACTTGTGTCTCGGGCGAGGGCTAGTAAGGTGTCATACAAATTTAGCCGGTTACCGGGACACTACCTTGAAGGATCGAACGATATGGCGTCACAAGGCTGCGTAAAGGGCAATGTCGCCATTCACCCTCAGGACGCCACACATCTCAATGACGTCCTGCCCCCCACCAGTAGCGTGATCCACGACATGGTGTGTGCTGTGTTTGTTGGGGAGAGCAAGCCGACCAAGGAGACGATCCAGGCGTTCAAGCCCATCTTGGTCCGCAAGTCGCGATTGAAGCTCATGATTGATTTCTTGATCGAGAGAAATCCGTGGTATACACGACAACACGGGCTACAGGGGTTCAATCAGCAGAATTTCGATGATTTGTTCGGACCCGGCACCTCACACATTGAGGAAGGCATTCTCTGCGCAATGGAGATAGGTCACATCCAACTCAACGACGCCGTAGCTGGAGCGACAGCAGGATACGTTCCCGAGCAAGAAGTGCAACCTGCGCCAGGTGAAGACGAGGTACTCGTGGAGGCTGTCGGCTACACGGAATGCGATGACTCACCGATAGACTACGATACTATGACCATGAAGGCCATCGCGCACTGCTTGAGCGGCGGTAATTTTGTGCAATCGCAGGCAGGCTCCCGCTTCATTCCGGATTTCGAGAATCCGCGCCTGCTTTCTTGGCTGTTTCCGCACTTGGATCCTTGGGGCATAGGTGGATTTTTTGACGAACGTCGTCGAATTCCTCTGACACTGGATCAACAATTAAAATATCTATTGAACGTGCACGATTCACCATTTCGGGACGATCCGAACTTCGCCTTTGTGTATTACAACATTCGGCAGAAGCGTGCTGTTTTCGATTCTGTTGCATTCCGTGTGCCAGCGTCGCAGCGTGAGTATGTGACCACCCAGTTGCTGTCGGTAGACGTGCCGACCTTGGAGACATTGATTGGAAAGTTCAAGGTGAATCCGCGGTACCGACCTGTCACCGACGAAGAGACCGCTATCGTCAGACTGTTATCCAAGGTCAATACAGTTTCACACGACCTTCCTGGGTCGAACGGGTACAAAGTAATGCTGCGAAATCAGATTCGGGCTCTAATCAATTATGAGGGGACTCCCACCTTGTTCATTACGTTGAATCCATCGGACAGGGATCATCCAGTGGTGAGGCTCTTGGCTGGCGATGAGGTCACACGCGACGACATGCTGCGTGGAGAGGAGTACAGCCGCTGGAAACGTACCGTCATCGCTGCAAAAAACCCATCTGCGTGCGCGCGATTTTTTGACCATATGATGACTCGGTTCATCCAGACGATTATGAGGGTGGGTTCTTCAAAGAAGGGACTGTTTGGAAAAGTTAAGGCGTACTTCGGGACCGTCGAAGCTCAGGGAAGAGGCACATTACATTGCCATATGTTGATCTGGCTAGAAGGGCATCCGTCTCCTCAACGGTTACGAGACCAGATGATCTCCTCTGAGCAGTACAGAGGCAAGATGTTTCGCTGGTTAGAGTCTATCATTAAATGTGAGCTGCCCGGAACTCACAGTGTTGTTCAGGAGCCGAAGGATCGTAATTTGCCGCGGCCGAGGCGTTCAGTGGAGACAGGGAATCCGCACCCGGGATCTGTGTATGCACCGTCGCTTGAGACATTCGAGAGGAAGGGGGAATTTGAAGTAGCGTATGACGCATTCGTTGCCGAGCTCGTCAAAGAGTACAACTGGCATGAGCATACTATGACGTGTTTCAAATACGTACCGAATGGGGTACTGCCCGAGGATAAAGAAAGACGGGACGCGCTCTGCCGAATGCGTATAGATGGGACAACGTGTGCAGAGACGCATCTTGACGAGGAGACAGGCGGTGTCGTGTTGCGTCGGCTTCATCCTCGTATTGCGAGCTATAACGATTTGATTATATTCCTATTGCAGGGTAATATGGATCTGAAATTTATCGGCTCCGGAGAGGCTGCGAAGGCGCTTCTGTATTATATAACCGATTATATCACGAAACCGTCGCTCCCCACTCACATCGGGTTGGGCGCTTTATCTTATGCCATCCAAAAGACGAACGACAAGTTCCCAGGCGGGCTGCAAGACGTAACTGTAGAAGCATCCACTCGATCGCGAGGAGCATTGACTTTCACTGTAAATCGCATGATGTCGCGTCAGGAGGTGTCGCATCAGCAAGTCATGAGTTACCTAGTTGGTGGTGGGGATGTATACCGCAGCCACACATTTCGCGTACTGCACTGGGGCTCCTTTGACCGGCTCTTCAAGCGCAGTGTACAGAATGTAGATGGGAATGTCCATCAGGTTGTCGGGGAAGGGGATGACGAAAGAGAATGTGACCATACCGAGGTATCAGAGGGCTCAGATGTTGAAGAACCGGATGGTGATGCACCTGACACCGATGGTGTTGTTCCTGAGCGCGTGCATGAACTAGCCCCGGAAGAGGATGAGGATATTTTTACCATATCCTTGAGCTCGGGATCTGTTTCTGCCGGAAATCAGCAGCAGGACTACCTTTACAGAAGCGCTGACGCACCCTTTGATGCATTATGTCTGTACGAGTTCGTCGGTACCGTGGAAAAGATCACCAAACGCAGCGAGAAGAAGCGCACTGATCGCGGCGCTGGAATGTCCGCGATGATTGGTATCGAGGAGGAAGCCCCGGGCAATCCGAATGTAGGCGTGCAAGGCAACACGTCGGCGTCAGGTAATCCGCGAGGTCGCCGGGTCCAACCTAGAGGCACGTTCTCATCTGACGAGCACACTCAGTACGGCACCCACTGCCTAAGGATCAGGTCAGAGTGGACGATACCTGTTATTCTGGGAGATCGGATACCGCGTTCTGATAGAGGCGACGAAGAAAAGGAACAGTGGGCACGTATGATGCTTATACTTTTCGTGCCCTGGAGACGCCCGTCGGATCTTCATGGCCCTACAGAGAGTTGGACTGCAGCGTTCGAGAGGCAAAAGGGCCGAATCTCTGCTAGGAATATGACTGTGATTGAGAATATGAACGTGCTCTCTGAGTGTCGGGACGTACGCGATTCGTTTCGTGACATGCGCCGCGCGGAAGCCTTAGCCTTCTTGAGCAGCGGTCTTCCGCCCCGGGATAGTGCAGAGCATACCGGACTCGACAATGACGCTGAACTTCAGGATTATCAGCTCTTCGATAAGCCCGATATGTATGACGCTTACGACAACGTGCAGGATCTTGTTTCTTCGCAGGCGGCACTGGACTTCACAATTGGAGTAAAGAATAGGGAGGTCCTAGACACTTGTTACGGCTCTCAAGAATGCTTAAGTGTAGGGCCTAGATCACAATCCCAGATTCTCGTCCGCGCGGAAGACGATGACGATGCGTTGCTGATACATAGAGCCACGATGACCAAGTTGAAGAGGCAGCGCCGCCCGCATTATGCTGATGACGAGCGTGCAGAACTTGAAGAGCCCCCAAGTAAGCGTCGCAGATTTGAAGGTACAGAGGCAAACGTAACCCGTACTTCGCTTGGAGATTCAACGTCGGGTGGGGAGGAACGCGCATCTACATCTCAAGATCCCGTTAGTACGGCAATCGAGCGAGTTGTGGACGAAATGCACTTACGCGAGAATCCCGAGCAAGAGCGTGCATTCCGTATCGTTGCTGACCACGTACAGAATGGCAAAGAGCAGCTTATGATGTATATTGCTGGAGTAGGTGGCACCGGCAAGACGTATGTTATCAAGGCTGTCTTGCGTTTATTTCAGCTATTAGATCGCTCACGGGAAATTTTTGTGGGCGCACCTACTGGCGCAGCGGCGCTGAATATCGACGGGTATACCGTGCATTCTCTGACGATGCTCCCTAGCAAGACTAAAGCTTCACTTGGGGAGCTGCGGAAGCTGTGGTCGAGAACACGTTATTTTGTCATTGACGAGATCTCGATGATAGGGGCACCGTTTCTCGCACAAATCTCGAGTCGCCTACAACAAGCCAAGGGAAGTGACGGAGAATCAGCGTTAGAGCCGTTTGGAGGAATAAACATGATATTTACCGGAGATTTTGGACAGCTTAAGCCTGTCAGAGCAACGTCGTTATATAATCATTCGGTGATTAACAGCCCTGGCCTGCAGATCCTTCGTAACAGTACCAGCGTTGATGATATGCGAGGGGTCTATCTGTGGCGGCAAGTTAAACAGGTAGTGAAACTCACAAAAAATCAACGACAAATAAGTGATCCGGTGTACGCGAACATCCTTGCGCGTGTCCGTGTTGGTGAGGCAACCTCCGCTCGAGTCCCCGCCGCGCGTAACGAACCGAGCGACGTCGATGTCCTATATCGCAGAGTCATGCAGCAAGCGCGTCTGGATAATCCGCTATCGTTAGGTCAGTTCAAAGACGCGCCAGTCATAGTGGGTAACAAAGCCTTACGTGACGCCGTGAATGCTCGGATTATTGCTCACAAAGCGATAGAGGCAAACCAAAACGTTACGGTGTTTTATTCCAGGGATCGTATGCACAGGCGACCGGTCCCGAAAGACGTGCAGAAGGGGCTTTGGAGGTTGCCGTCTAAGATAACCGAAGACTCCTTGGGACGGCTTCCCCTCTTTGTCGGGATGAAGGTCATGATTAAGGAAAATATTGCATTCGGCCGTCGTCTCGTGAACGGTGCGGAGGGTACTGTGGACCATGTTTTGTATGAGAAGGTGGACGGAATTATACATGCAACGGTTGCTTACATACGTGTGCCTGGTGCTGGTAAAATCAGCGACGATCTCGCCGAGGATATTGTGCCCGTTTTCCCGGAAAGAAAAAGCTTCGAGTGTACTATGAATTTTGGCGGAAAGAAGTGTCAGAGGAATATCAGTCGTCAACAGCTTCCTCTCATCCCCGCGTACGCATATACTGACTATAAAAGTCAGGGAAAGTCGCTTACGTATGCCATCGTAGACATCGAGAGCGCCAACTCTCTTCAGGGCGTGTACGTCATGCTGTCGCGAGTGCGCTCTCTTGACGGTCTCATGATACTTCGACCTTTCTCGCCGGCGAAGCTGTGTTTGCGACTCTCTCAAGAGTTGCGGGAGGAGCTGCGACGCATAGATGGCCTTGCAGAGAGGACCAGGCAGAAATACGAACTACGCCGAGCCGAGTGCCTCCGAGGCTAGATGATTCGTAGGAGGCTATCAGGAGCTCACGCCGGGCTCGTAGTTGTTGCATTTGGGCAGAGGATGAATCATAGGCGCCGGGTGGATGTGACCGCAAAGAGGCGGAGTTCTATAAATGGAAAGCGAAAAAATGTGCGTTCACTCGGGTTCGAACCATACGCCCAAAACGCACACCACTTTACCGCTACCCTATGCTAGCCCACGAGACGTATCTGCTTGTTATATCTATTCTCAGTCTGCGCGCGAGTCTCCCGCCAGTTCTTTGCTTGCTCGAGCTAGCACGCAACATTCGATATCCTAACTAGAGATACAATATGCGAAGCACAGAGGTCTCGTGTCTATCCTCCACTTGCTGCTTCAAGGTCTGGACGACTCTTCCAATCGAGTATCCGTCAGCATACGGAGATGCATCGGCAGAACTTGTTACTCACCTGCGGACCGCTATCTGCGCCTTCACCAGATCCACTTGCCGCATTTCCAATAGCCTCCCACCCCGTGTCTCGCGCCGGACCACAACAAACTCTCCGGGGAACCGAGACCCTGAACCGCCCCCTAAGCTCGCGAGTGCTTCATTTCGCGGACACGCAGGACTGGCTGAGGCGCGAAAGTAGACGTTGTACGTCTCCCAGCTCCGTCCTAGCCGCCCTCGAAGCCGCCGCACGTGTACCACCGCCATCCCTGGTACGCCGTCTCGCAGCATCCATGTCCCACTGAGTACAGGAACATCCTGCGTGGAATCATCTCCGTGCGCCCAACGCTCGACGGGCAAGAGTCGAAAGCCGGCAGATCCGTGCAACGGTAGGGTATAGGCGCGCAACCATCGGCGGGGCTGCATACGAGTTTCAAGTCAGTATTTGTCGCATCGATGCTGAGAGACCCTGCGACATGTGTTCTCACCCTGACGTCTTCAACAGCATGCTGGTGGTTGGAGGCAGACATTGGTGGGTTGTGGAAGTTCAGGGTAGTGTGTGCGTCAGGACTCCGACAGTGTGAGGGTCTGTCTTACCTTCACGCTCGACCTACTCATTTTATTCTCTTACCCCAGCCCGCCATAGTCGTCCCTGGTGATACTCGCAGTACGTCACTACGTCCTCCATCTGGCTCTACTTCATCTCAGCGCTTGTTCCGAGAAAGCGCATCTCTTCCCGCGGTGGAGTTTTCCGGAAGCTTGTCCTGCTCAAACTGTGATCTGGTTCTCCGGGTATCGCATTCGGTCATGTTTGTTCGCGTGCAACACGCTGACGTACGGACCAGAGGCATGCATATCTAGATCATCCCTGTGCGTCATTCCAACAGCGATCAAAATCGAGATCAAAAACATGCGTCACCTTCTGCAAATCGAGATCCATCGTAACTTTGAATCGTGATCCTTCGTCATAGCGGCGGCTTCGCATCTGTAGAGGTTTGAGTGCACAAGGTAGCATGACTGACACACTGTTTTGCTACTGATGAACACCCCGTAGACATTTAATGCGAGCGTCTCGCCTGATCGAGGTCGGAGGCCATGTCGTCGGTCGCCTTGTCCCCCAGACAGCACGCGGTCGCGCGTAACACCGTTGTTGGCACTCCAGCACCGCTAGCTCGTAGGTCTTGTACGCTGATTTACATCTCCCCCTTTCTTACGGCTTGACCCATAGGTGCGACTCTCTCCCCCACGCCGGAGAAGGCAGTCGTGGTTCACGGTCGCCGCCATCCTCGGATCGTGATACCTGACAGCCCGGACATGCCGTCCAACCCGCCGTCATCTGACAATCGCTCGACGAGGTATGGCTCCGTGTTACTGAGGTGTATTGGCGCTGATTCATTGCATACAGAATTTATACTGTGAGAACGTCGGATGTCATCATGAAGAAATGTAGTGTCCCCGTTTCCCCAGAGACCGGGGTCGTCGCGCTGAAGGTCTACGGTCCACAGATCAAGTCCGGGCAAGCATCGGCTTTGGAAGCAGTGGCACCGTTGTCCTCGCCGAGAATCAAATCACTGGCTCGGTGGTAGCCATCAAGGTTTTTCATCGTGACCCCGACAGGGGCGCAGACTGGGATAACGAGGTCTTGATATACGGAAAGCTGGTCGCGGGCTGTAGCCCACATGTCGAGTGAGTTACCATCCCTTGGCCATATCCAACCCACGTCTAACGAATTGCTGCAGCCTATTCGTGCGTGTTCTCGGAAGCGGCGTTCACGCCGGGTTTCGATGCATCGCCTTCGAGCTCTGCCAGGCTACACTCTTTGAGGTGCTCCAGGGCTTTTCGGGGTTGATACCACTTCCCATGAGACACATCGTGGAGATTGGGTATCAGATCGTGCAGGCCGTAGGATGTCCGATCCCTTTCCCCCCTCTGCTATCGAATCGCACTCTGATATGAGTTTCTATTATAGATCTACACTCGCTCAATATCGTCCACACCGATATCAAGTTAGATAATGTGGCGCTCAGAGTTCGGGATACTGTCAACGTTCGCTGGCTGGATCCGACAGCCGGATTTCAGGATAAGGTGATCACTCATACATTTTTCCTCTTCTGACAAGACTCATCGTGGTGCAGAAAATCCTTGTATCTGCGAAGATCTGCATCATCGACTTGGGGAGCGCAGTTGAGCTTCAGGGTCGCGGCCCGTGTCACGTTCGGATTGGCACGCGCGGTTATCGTGCACCAGAGGTTGCCATTGGTGTGTCCGGATAGACACTCTTCTCATCTATTCGCACTTTCTGACTTAGCGCATAGGCCTCCCTTGGTTTCGCAAGGTCGACGTTTTCTCTATTGGCTGCGTCATCGCAGAATTATATCTCGCCCACAACCTGTTCAGCCCCAGCATCGAAGGCGACAGGGAGTACCTCGCCGCCGTGGAGCGCGTTTTTGGCCCATATCCACTCGACTACGCCGAGGATGCTGAGTCCAAGGTTCCTGGTACCTTTGCGCTCCAGAACGGGGCCTCTGTCCAATATCCGCCACCGGGTATTTCCTTGGCTGCCTCCGACTACGCCGATGCGATGCGCCGACTCGAGCATGCGCGCCCGTTGGCGGTGCGCTACATTTCGTCGCGTCCTACACGATACGATGCTGACGCGTGTATTTTTGTAGGCACTCATCCACGACCGCACTCTAATCGACCTTCTTCGCAGAATGATGGCCCCCGTGCCGGCGCGTCGCATTTCCTTGGAGGACGCTGCGAAGCACATGTTTTTTGACTCTTTAAGTAGACTGCAATGGGCTTAGGTCGACTCCATACATTGTGTGATTGTTTTCATGTATCAATTCGTGTCAGTGGAGATGGAGAGGATTGAGCGACCCGTTTTCATGTCAAACCGGAACTTCCGCACCGAGTACGGCGCACCCGGCTCCGTAACGCTTCCGCGCTTCCGCGCGTCCGCCCGTGAATCTTCCTCCCCCTGGGCGCTTGCGTAAGTTTGTATTTCTTTGTTATCTGTGGCGTCTGCGCACTAAGTGCAGCATCTGTTGACGTCGCTCTCCCCGCTATGCGCCCATCCCTTCGTGCTTAGCATCTGTCTGTATGCGTCTTCTGTATCCTCACGCACACCCTGTGACTCATTGCCGACCCGCTGCTGCAGGAGCCAGAGAAAGACTGCCTCGCGCATGAGCACCACCAACGGCACGACTGGCAGATCCTCGCGCGTGATGTCGGACCAGGACAAGTACGCAGACGGACGCGCGCGACACGGCTTGGGCATCACTCTTGACGAACCGCGTGCTGACGTCACGCCGGAGCATGAGCTTTCGCTTCGCGCGCGAGCGGGAAGCTGTGTTCAGGTGCGACGAGCAGAGACGATCCTAGATCAACAACAGCACGGAAGCGGTGGACACCCTCGGATACCCCGCGCGCACATCGTCCCTGCCCCCACGCAGCCCAACTCCACTGGGTCCCCCTATCAAACGCGACGTTAGCGCACTGCGTGCGTCGCTCTCGCGGTCTATAACCCTCACCTCGCCCGCGGACCGGGCGTCTGTGGGTGTGCCACACCTCTATGCGCTTGTCCCCGTCTCCCTCGCCGTATCTTTTCCTTCCACTGCCACCGCGTCCGTTTTCATCGCTTCTAACTCGGCGTTCTCGCGTTACCCGGGCAGCCGCCGCCCCTCTGTTATACTGTAGCCCGAGATGGACCCTGTGCTCGAGGACGACACCTGCTGTTTCCGCCCGCGTCGCCCGCATAGCAGATCTCCGGTAAGACTATCGGACCTCGCAGCGTGCAGTCGGCATTGACGACTTATACAGGCAACTCGCGCAAGGGTCGGTACGCCTCCGGTAACGTGGACCACCGGTGAACACTGATGTTCCAGTCACTCAACGCGTTCGGGGCGAGGGACAAGACGGTCGAGTTCGCAAAGGGCAACACGCACACGTCCGGGGTAGTCCCGACGCCATTCGAGGAACGTTACGCATTCGCCTTTGTCCGCCACTCGTGCTACGGGCGCAACAACTGCATTGACACGGCGCGCAATGCCCACTTGTAAAGGTACGTACGCGCGGCCGGCGTAGTGCGCGTGGGGCGCGGTCACCATGTTTGCGGGTGTGTGTATGGCGGAAAATGGCATATGCTCATACGGTCTAGGTAGCTAGATGGTGTCAGCTTTACGGTGTTGATCAGCTCCAAGACCTATTTTGACACGGACACGAGCTCCACGCACGCTGTGAGTAGTGTCGCCACCAGCTGGGGCTCTCGTTTATCGTGGACTAAATAGAGGGACAGATGTCTCAGGACACTCGAACAGTGCGGGTGGGGGGCGTAGGCAGGGATAAGATTCCTGGAAAACGAGGCGAGTGTTTTCGAAGAAAGCCACGCAAGAACCGCGGACCGAAGGCGCCAGCGTCCTGAAGGCTTTTGTCGGCATTATTCACGGACGGCCACTACAACATAGTGGGGTCGTCGTGTGGGTGATTCGGGACGTAACCGTGCGTCTCCTGTCCACCCTTCCGCTCTCTCGCCGCGTGATACTCTCATACACCACTGTGTTACTTTGAATGAGCAATTATAGCACGCAGTGCCTGTCTCACTTCACACCGCGCGCGTAATGCGCGCTTGCATTCCGAGCTCTCCATCGCACATATATTCACCACTCTGACCAGTACTTTTCAGTGCAAAATTCACTCGGCTGATAATGACCTGCTTGATCTAGACTTTTTCTCGAATACAAATATGTTTGAGCGACTCAGAGCGAATCATGAACTGATTCCGCATGAGTTTCTTCTAGTCTGACAGCAAACCTGCGCTGAGCCTGTGGCAATACATGTTTCTTAGGTCTTTGTGATGTTGTAGTTGACTGCCAGGGTCTGCCTCGCATTCTGCTTTCTCGTTCGTTCGGCAACAGGCCGTCCCATCCACAGAGCTCCCCGAGCAAGCACGGCGCCGCCGTATAGCTCCCCGTGAGTTATTCGGTCTTATTTAAAATCTGGAGATATAGCTTATTGAAGCCTACAGACTAGGTGTACTATCAGACCTGTAGCAGTCCCGCTATCCTGGGGCGAGAATGCACCTTTCGCAACTTCCTCAAGGATGCACAGCGATGCGAGGGAGAGCTCAGGCAAGTATGTGGATCACTAATCTATACCAGTTAATGGCTAATGATGTGCATGGCATGTCTCAAGTCTAGCTGTATAGACATGCCATTACACCATGAAGCCACGTGGCAGGATCATCCCCCACAGGTCTGGACTCCTTATGTGTTGACTTGTTTGTAGGACGAAGCGCTCAAACATTGATCTGTCGCTTAGCCAGGTTGTGCAATTCCCTCCCCCACGCATCATTCACTGTTGACATCCTGCCATAACCATGATGTGCCCCACAAACCATTCACAAGCCACCATTTCACCATCGCCTGCAGTAAGCGGGAGCCTGTACGTGCTGCGTTTCTGCATATTATCCAGGTTCTGACTCTTCTCGCCTTCCAGCTTGATTTATACCGGTGGAGGCGTTCTCTTGAAGGTGTTACAACCACATACCCAAGGCGGGCAACCCATAGGTGAGTGATTTTGGTTCATAGCCTCCGATAATCTGCTTACTGTGGTATTGTAGACAGCGAGGGCATCTACGCGCCTGGGGATAGAAGCATCGCAGAGATGTTTTATCTCTGTCAGGTTCCCCTAGAGCCCATCCACGTTGCTATGACGGTCTCTACCACCGTCGAGTCCGAGCAGGATTCCCCTCTTCATACGTACCCGACCATATTACAGCAAAGACTGGTTGAGGCGGAGCGGCTGCTCAGAAGGATCGAGGAGGTTGAACAAGAGTGGGATAGCCTTCCAGCTCGCTTTGTTGTCAAGATGTAGGCGCATCAGGGATAGCTATACCCCCTCTGGCTGCTTGTAATGCCTACTTCGATTGCAGATATATCATGGTAGATTTTCTGCGTCTTTTGATCACGCTCTGTGGGTACCCTGGCATGCTAGCAGCTTTCAAGCGACGGTATACCGCCCCGTGCCCTCTGAAATGATACTCATCTTCTTGACATGAAGGTTGATGCAGGGCAGCATTGGCGTGGCCGACCGCACATGAAGGTGAAGCGAGAGGGATAAAACTCGTTCATTCATAGGTAGACGTCGCCGTTTGATACATATTTTAGCACTGGAGAGGCTGAAGGGTCTGAACCAGACAAAGAGTGGCTAGGATCGGCGTGAGACCGAGTCAGACTTCGTTCTACGCGGCATATCCCAGCTCCGCAGCGGGCCATCGTGTTGCGTCACTTCTTCACCGTCGCTTTCCGCCTTGGAACTTCTTCGCTTTCAAGTTTCAGGCATCGGAAGCTTAGCATAACTCATTAGTACGACGTCGATACGAGCAGAGAGCAAGTCTAGAGAGAGATGAAACTATGAAACTATCAGAGACAGGTACTTGTGACGCGGAGAAATGCGAACGACATGGGACTGAGCAAGGGGTCTGGAATCCCGCTGGAGAATATATGCCGACGTCCAGCAAACGGGTGGGAATTAGAAAGGGGTACCAGAGAATTGTCGGTGGAGAGTAGCGTTGCGGCGCCGGAGGCGATCGCTTGCACTCTTGAGTCTTGGTCGGTGCATCACGTCGAGCTCGGCGGGCGCGCACGCACGCACGCTTCCGCGTCGAGCTGTTCTGGCCCTAAAGGACACATATCCCTACCGAACTGTCTAGATCATCTCTTTCCATCATTAAGTAACTGAGGTCACTCACATTTCACGCTCTCACCATCAGGGTAAGCTCAACGACCTTTTCCCAGTTGTAGACGACGCGCGGGGTCATGCTGATACGGGCGGGGCCGGCTCACATACAACTGAGTGGCAACGCCGTGCCATCGCACGCAAGCAAGGTCCTTAGGTAGCTGGACTGAGTGGGCGACGAAGTCTTCGACCGTGGACACTGAAGTGGGACAGCGCCGTAGAGAGTGCTCCACGGTCGAACCGGATCCGAGTCTGGCGAATCTAAAGATTGCTGCGTCCCCGCCCGCCGGCTGTGTACCTGCTAGGAGAGATGAACTCAGACACCCTAAAAGGCTGAATTCAGAGCACTCACAAGTCGATCGGACAAAGCGCGAAGTACGTGATCCTGCGCGGAGCACGCGGGCTAGTAAGTCGCTCCGCCGGAGACCGAGGCAAGCTCGTTCATGGGCAACAGCACGGTTGTTGCACAACTTTCTGCAAAATAATTAGTTTCTGCGCGCATAACGAAAGGAAGACATCTCCTTCGCACCGCAGGCCTGACTTCTGAACGGAGAGTGTCGAGCGCGATATCGATTGAGTGAGTGGGTCAAAACAGAGCTGAGTCGGGACGGTACAGCTTTAGGCGCTTATGCACCGCACTCGGCAATTTCCGCTGTCCTTTCCTCAGCCACGGCCACTCACCTCCCCACGGCAACATCTTCTAACGCTTGCAACCGTGCATTATCGGGTCCAACGCTGCCGCGCGGCCCACATAAACCACAATATAACGGCGTCGCGCCCAGGGAACTCGAAGCGGCCTCATAGGATACGCGTAAGAACAAATTCCCTACCAGTAATGTCAAAGTCTAGAGTTCACTCACTCGCCCTCAGTTTCGCAGCGGTTCTCGGTCTCGGATACGCGAGACGGCCTCGCAATCATGGCGCTGCTTGTAAGGGGAACTGATGTCATAAAATACATGTAATCGTAGGAACTCATCCTGCCGGCCGGCCGCCATCAACTTCACAAGCCTGCATTCCCCAGCGCATTGCTGAGCGCGCTCTGTTCAGAACCAGCGTAACTCGTTCCCTCCCAGCCGTTCGCTTGCATGCGGATACGCGCGAACGTCAAGTGCGCCGCGAAGGTCCAAAATTCGCTTCGCGAGCTGAAGCGAAGTTTCAGGACAGTCTTTGCCGCCCTTTCGGCCTCGGTGGGGGATGGGTATTGAAGCAGCATCGTCATGGACAACTATGGGGATCATGAAATCAAAGCTGCTGTGAACCACAGTAAGTCTCTTTACCTCATCGGACGCTACACTCCAACCCTCTCTGATAGCCCGCCACACAACAGGCACCGCACTTCGCGCCGTCGTAATCATAAGCCAGCCTGTAGTCATGGACGTGAGTTTCCGCACTTTGGTAGGGTTGTTGGACTCACGATCATGCTCCGACATCGAGATAATGGACACTTTTGCGGTCTCCCACGCCTCGTTGGGTAGAATCCTGGCATAGTCGTGCTGAGCAGAAGCGAACTCGACGTTATCGCAGGTCAAGACCGTCCAGGGCATGGTCGAAGACATTGAAAAGCTTGCGCTGACAGTGGAGGGTGAGTGACCACAGCGCTTCGGGTTCCTGTTCTCAGGTTGATCTGACCGCGAACTTCGCAATCATTCTCAGCGTGATCACGCAAAGCACGGTCGAGAGAAGATTACAGCTATTTGATCTCTATCCGCATTAGACTTTCTGTGCAATTCTGATATCATAGTACTCCAAAGAGACTTCTGATGTCATCGGCATTACCACTGATCACGTTGCTAAGCAGTGTCACGACGACTGCGAAGGACGGTCTTATCTTGACGATGTGTACTGGCCCATGATGCGTAGACCCTCAGCATCAGGTGAGGTCATCGACTCATTCCTGATGTGCTGCGTCTTCTCATCGTCCGTTTAGAGACTGCGCGCGTCCGGGCGTTTCGCGTCAGGGTAGAGACGGTCAGTAGTATGTCATGGATCTACGCGGCTCGATGCCTGCTTCAACACTGCACGTATAAAACTTCGCGGCGATGTTCTGCTTCACGGGTTCACTCGGCCTGATTTCACAGCGAACTCAGGCGGTCGTAACCTCGCGATAGGATCAGCAAATGGTGCAGGTGAGCTCCCTCTAGGGTGTCATTCCATGTTTACTCAAATTAGGACACGAGTTACGCCGTTCAAGCCGCATTGCCGCCGCACATGCAATCCGTGCGCCGGTGACGGTTCGCACAATCCGACAGCACAACCGTCGTATCCGGTGGTTTGTTCAGCAGGCGAGTCCCTATCATCAAATTTTAGATAGCCCTTGCTGACAGCGGTGAACTATAGCGACTCGTACACACGGCATTCAAGGCCCTCGTGTACGAGGTCGGCAGGACACGGCCGCGCCTACTCCTGCTACCCAGCCGTCATGACTGGGATCCGGCGTGCGGATGTCCAGCTTATCCGGAGGACTTAGACACAGATGACTGGTTCGACAACGATCAGATAGTCTCATCTGTCGATCGCTTCCCCGGCACACGATACCGACTCGCCAACGGATACGACATCATATCTGCACGGGGTCAGAGACGAGCCGCCAAGACGGCGACGCTCAACGGTGCGCTGCAGCGACTCTTCTCTGTGGAATGGACAGGCACGCTTGTGGTCGTGAAGCGCGCTAGTCGGCATTCCGGGCGAGCGGTCAATATCACGCCCCCGGAAGTTTCCTTGATCAATGCAGTGGTCGAGAGGTACGTCGCCGGTTAAGAAACGTGGTACTAAACTAATAGCTTTCGATAGATGGATCCATACGCAACCTCGTAATAAAGTGATGCGTTAGCTGTATGCAAGAATATATACCCTCCCCCAATATTTGCGCAAATCTGACCGAGCTCGCGCTGCATGGCCTTGTTCACCGTGTCCACGTGGACATATTCTATCATGGAATGACTTAGTGAGTCTCAATACCGCCCCCGAATGGAAACATTCGCCGATCTGGGGGATCACATGTTGGCCAGCGTATTTGCACGGTGTTGTACCTTCCCGTCGGTTTCGGAACTTGCTGCATCCATGCATCATTTCCAGAAACGACATCCTCCGGGGAGATGATTTAGTCGTTCCTGGTCGGATTTGGATCCGCGACAGTTGCTTCTTGCCTGGGGAGCTACCTCGGTCGTCGCTCTGACGTGCTTATTGCTTGTTTGATTGCTACGCGCTCTTCTCCGTCAGATCTAGGTAACCGATGCGCTCAGGGTGAATATTGTTTTAGTGTTCGAGGGTCCTAGAAATGGTCTCATCGTCGGGCGTGCGTTATGAGCAGGAGGCCGCTAGCGAAAACTCGCAATCGCCCAGCGTCTTGACACGACTACTAACACGTTCTATTCGATGGGTGCGCAGACACCACTGCGTCTCGTCGCGCTTACTGAGTACATCGCGAGTGTGGGTCGCAAGCGGGAGGGTAGCGGCGTGCACTGCCTGTGCTCCCCCAGCGGGAGGCGCTAGGGCCTCTCTATCCTACATTCCGTCTTTCGTCTAAAACACTACAAGCGGCGTATATTAATACTAAGCCAGGACGGTCCCGGTATACATGTACATCCTTATGTTAGAGCAGTAGTATAAGAGACGCATGAAGTCGGCCTTATCGTGTATCAAGAGGGAGTAGTGCAGGGGAGGTTCGTTTGTTGCTCCGCGGAGGAACGTCACCATATCGACCGCCTGTTGCGACGACGTCAACGAAGGGGTCGCGTTGGGAAAACATGCGCCGTACCTCTTCCCAATGCATCGTCCAATCGGTTCCGGTGAGGTACACCACCTGCGTCGTTCCCGAAGTCGGAACTATGCTGATCCCCCCTGTCGGCCGCGGGTACTTCAGCGCGGGGATCGGATCGCACGGAATGTGACACTCACAATGCGCAGTATTCGGCGCCGCAGTAGGGTCGCGCATCTCGACGACGGTCACAGTTGCTGCGACCCATTCAGATGTTTCTGCGCCTTCACTGACGGCAGTGAACAACGCACCACGTACGTTGAGGTGCGTACGCATTGATCTGGCAAGATGTCGGACGGAGAGTTTGAGCAAGGAGCGAGGGTACTCACTCGTTCAAGAGAGAGGGACAACCTGGGTAGACCGCGTTTGACATCGTCGGGATGGGATGTGGCCGCCATTTGACGGGCTTAAGAGGCGGCTAGGTGCGATTCAGCATCAGTCCGGTGCCGCAAGGAAGGGAGTCTGTGGGGTGGAATTGCCATCAAAAATTCAAGTGATAACCCCATGCCTCAGCTGTAGACGTCTGGCGACGATTTAGCGTCGGGCTTGGTCCTACCGGTACCCAGACTCTCGACTCGTCTTCAATTAGTACGTTGCCGCGCTGAAGCCTAAAATCCGGCTAGCGCTGGATTTTTACATCGACGGTCAGAAGTTTCCTAAACGTAGGTGGTCAGGACAAGCCACAGAATCCCAGCTATGCGTACATACCGTACCAGCGGGCAGATGTTCTCTACTTCTCTGAACTGGACTTCGCGGCTCGTCGCCGAATCCGAGGTACGGGCTTGCTGATGGACGGCGGACGCCGCCTCAAGGCTACGCGACGCTGAGCGTCTAACCGTCAGCACCCGGCTTCTTCGGCGCTGCCATGTCTGTCAGAATTCTGTCGGCATATGCTGTCCTTCACCGCTTTCACGATCTGATTTACCATGACAGACATACGTTTACGCGCGGCACAGGGAAAACCATTCTAGCACCGACGTCCGATCTGCTTGCGAAAGCGGCAATGGACGTCGTTGATGATGATAGCTGACGCAAGTCGTCTCGGTAAGTTCCACTCACTCTCTTGCGGCTGCACATATTTTCCTTCAGGAGGTTCCGTCGCTCTCTCTACCTCTCTCTGAGCGTCACTCGTGTTGTTGCACGAGGGCATTACATCATCTGCTGATCGCCTTTTCGCTGAGGTAGCGAGCTCGTCATAGGTCTCTTCCGGCCGCACCCATGCAATGCAGATACCTTATGTATAGCGTGCGGACATATCAAGTCCTCAGGTCTAGGGAACTCACGCACGGTACAACAGTACGACGCCACGGCTGCCTGCATAGCGTCGCGCCCGTCCGCCGCGCAGGTATGTCGTTCCCGAGTGCACTACTTCTGTATGTATTCTGACTGGCCACTTTTGACTTGCAGAGGAATTGCCATGCCTCCGGTTTTCTCGCGTCCGACCCCCAGTGTCCCCGATTTACCCCTCGATGTCGTCCTCGCGATAGCCCGTTATCTCCCCCCTCGTGATCAATGCGCCATGCTTCCCTGCTCGTGGACTATGCACAAACTCATCGCGCCTGTCGTTTATGGGCGGGTGGACGTGTGGATTCAGCCCCGGTCTTGGGACAAGTCGGAGGGTCTTGATCCCACCCCGTTCAGGCTGTTGCGCACGTTGGCGGCTTCTGCGCAGTACGCTGGCTTTCCTGTCTCCTCTCGCTGCTATGCCCGCCACGTCCTCACGTTCGCCTACGTCTCCTACGGAAGACAAGCCGATGTCCGCGGTATCCCCATGCTCGCGGAGTTCCTTCGATTCGCCATTCGTCTGCGACATCTGCGCATCGATGTCGTCCCTGCATCTGTGCCTTTGTTGCTAGATGCCTTCCGCCGGAACTCCATCATCAGTTCGCCTCCCCCCCTGTTGGCTGCCGCGTATGCAACCGCAAGCACAATTCATCCCTGGAGCCTCCCCCGCCTCGAGAGTGTCCGGTCGTCCAAGGCTGCCATCGTCGAGCCCTTGATGCGCAAGCGTAACATCCACACGGCCATAGTCGATGGAGCGCTGTCCTCCGCCGACATCACCAACTTCCTCCGCAACCCAGTCTCTCTCCAAACGCCTCAGCTCTTGCGCCTCTCCCTCAGCATCATCCAGGACTCGATCTACAGGCACATCATCCGAGCGACGTCGCTGACCTTCGGTCACTTGGAGTACCTCTCCATTAGAACCAACGCTGTGCTGGCGGACCCAGTCTTCGAGGTACGCTACTGGCACTCTGAACAGAGGTAGACTTCGTACTGATAATACGTCCAGCTTCTTATGGACGCTGAAGGCGACCGGCTCTCCATGTTCCCGAAGCTGCGAGGCCTCGCAGTCAATCACGGGGGTCACTCAGAGAGGTACATCACCAGGCTGCTGGAAGCTGAAGATTGGGTCGTGACTAACGGTGAGGAAAGGCTGTCTTTGCGGATGGTGATTATGGGTGAGGCTATGTGGAGCAGGGAGGAGAGGGAGATGCCTTGGGAGTTTTCTGTCGGGAAGCCGACGCCCGCTTGGACGTGGCTTTGCAATGTAAACAAGGGGATGTGGGCGTATGCGTAGCTGCGATGTATGACCCCGCTTTGACCCCGATATACCTATACTGAAACGGAATCCAGTCCCAGAGCACTTGCTCGGATCCTCGCACATTGTGCGGCAGTTCTACTATCTTACACTGAAGGTTTGATAATTACGATTTATGTCGAGCTCAACGAGTGCGCCGAGTAGCGAGTCTGAGTCCCGGTAGTGGCGAACTCGCATGGGACTCGAAGGGGAGGCAAAGTATGAGCGCCTATACACGGTTTGGGCGATGACGTCAAGGATCCCACGGCGTGCGCACGGCTTCATGCTTCTCACTCTCGAGCACACTCTAACGCAGATGCTACATGTACTACATCGAGTCTATCCTCGCGATTCTCTAGCTTGCTTTGTCGACGTCGTCCCTGGGCGGTATGCTACTCGATGTCTACCCTGAACGATGGCCATTAAAATCGACACGGCAGCAAGACACTTGCCCGACATCAAGGCCCCAAGGTCGAGATGGACACTGAACCCAATGGCTGCGCCGGTCGCGTGCAGAGTGAGTGAGCGGCAGGAGAATGTAGATAAGTTCATATTCTAAACTGACGGTCTCTCGTATCTCCCAGCTATATCAGTTCTTCGTTCGTTGCCCGACTGTTCTGTATCTGTCGCAGTTCCCGTTCATCATATCCTCCGCTCGGACTGCCTTTCCATATTTGCCGCACCGCGGTCCGGGATATGCCACCGTCCGCCTTCTCTTTTACCTCGAACCCGGTGCCAGCCACGATGTGTGTGTCGTACACGCCTCAATGCGCAGGACTTCTTCCCCCCCACATACACACACTTCGCGTGGACAAGACCAGGAGAGGAGCTGGATCGTCATGTTACCCTGGTGAGTCGTTTTCCGTATAGTTTCGTCCTTGAAGTAGTCATGTCGTTGCATCGCAGTAGTACGCCGTTGTCAGCACCGGCAACTCCGCACCACAGCGTTCGAGTAAAGCGCATATATAACGCTATCCACGCTCCCCGACCGCGGCAGCACCATCTCAGCCAGATGCTCGCGCCGCTCTCTCTGTACCGCGCTCTCGATCTTCAACACGACGCAATCGTCGTGTTTGCGTTCGAACGGGTGGCGGGCAAGCCTGCTCGGCGTGTCTGCGAGCTTCAGCCGTGTGCAGTCATCAGCCCCTTCAAGATCTAGCCGACCACGACGCGAAGCCACGCCTTTGCACGACCAACTTCAGGTAGCGCGTTTATCACGCAAGTGAAGGCCAACATGGATGCCGCTAGTTCGCATGCGCCTGGCGTGCCTCCCAGCCCCGATACACGCACACACCCTCCCGAACACTCGCCTTATACTTGCTTCCTACTCGTGTAATCGAAGCCTTGCTCCGCGTTGGTAAAAACCTCCCGTGTGGACAACAGCGTGGGTTGGCGCACGTTACAATCCTCGGCCCGAGAGACTTCCCATATGTTCTTCCATATTTCGGAGGCTTACGTGCATTTTGTACAGCCTGATGCCTCATGTGAGAGCCTCTCGCTGCCATCCAAGCTTGTAGCGACTTTCGGTCTCTATAGTGTTCTCAGCGACGAGCCGGAGACTAGCGGTAGTCATCCGAGAGACGACCGTCATTTCCATGCTCGTCGGGAAAGCGGGTTGTGAGATACTTTGAACTGCGTAACCGGTGAGCGCGTACGTCAATCCGAGCCAACTCATCTTCGAACCGCGTGGCTATTTGGGCTGCCGCTTCGCAGAGAACACTGTCAACTGCTATCCAGGATACACAGGTCATGTTCCAGCACAGTCCGTTGCACGACCCCGACGCATTTCAGACACGCTCCTGTACCTCCGTTCACAGGAGAAGATGTAAACGTAGGTGCCTTAGCGCGGTCAACCATACACTCCGGTCCTGACGATCAAACAGCCGCTGTCAGCGCAACTTGACTACATTAATAGCAGCATTCTTCAGGCTTCTTGAAGCTTACAGGCGCTGCCCAGGTTTGCATGCCATAGACCGAGAATACGACTACATCCTCATTGTATTTGTCAAACATATTATATACATCTCGTCTACCTTTCAGATCTCCTTGAAGACTCCGCCGATGTCATGGACTGTGGACTGCGAATACCTGCTCACGCGAGCTGCAGCAAGTTGGTGAAGCTCGTGTACCACTCCGCCGGCTTCCTAGCGAGCATGTCCGCCCAGGCCTTACCACCCCCCACACCAGACCTGCTTCTGCTCCTTCGTCAGCCTGCCCAATGCATCATAGCGCAATGGTCGCCCATCCCCAGCAAAACCACCTTGCTCTCCATCGTCATCTTTCCGCAACGCTGGGTCCTGCTCGAAGGAGAATCACTATACCTCGAACACGCGGACCCGTCCTCCCGGCACGTCGACACGCTCTTCTAATCCATATACAGTGCAAGCACGACTGCCTCGTCCCATCACTACTAGAGGACGAACCGCGCGTCGTACAAGTACAGCGCATCGCCTTCAGTCAGGCTGATTTACTTGCGGTCCGTGGTGAGGGCCCGGGCGGCCCAGAACTCGGCGCTCGCGAGCTCTTAGAGTATGCCTGGAGATGCCATACTTGTGTGCAAATCAGATGATGAACAGAATGCTACGTTACGGTACATGTGCACAGTTTCGGCGTCGGTATCGACCCCCATGAATGACGAGGCGGGGCTCGTCTTGGATAGGGACAGGGATGCTGGATGTGGGACGTCGGAGGATGTTCGGCTTCCTAGCCTGAGATGGTCCATCGACGCCTTCTTGCGAGTCAATGCATCGTCGCACGATAGGCTGTGCGCTGCGTGAGTGAGGGACAGCGCGATGGCCTACGTCGGCGGCGCATCTGCATATATGCTGCAATGTGTTTAGCTGACTGATTGAATAGGGCAACACCGGACCAGAGACTTACAGCAGGGTCTCCAGCCCGACCAGCAGCTTGTCAAGTCATCCGAGCCTGAATTGGCAGGCTTGATACAAGGGGCAGCGCTTGACCTTCGCGCACCAATGCCCGTCGTTGTCGGTATCGCCGGCGGAAAGTATCGCACAAGGCGCGAGTTGTCCTTGTAGTACGTCGGTTCGGTTTTAATTACGATGTTGCCGTCGGGGTACAAGACGCACGCCGGCACCACGGCCGTCGACAGACGTGAACTCGGTGCGGCGTCCGCGCCCGTCCGTATGCTGAGCAGGCGTGGCAGTACGCGACCTAGTCGGCATGGCCGCAATGGAAGCAGCAGCGCGATGTGCGATAGCAGAGCTCGCCGCTATGTTTGTGCCGCTCCGCCCGTGGGCGTTGTATCTCGCGCGTATCGGCGAAGGCGGTTGGGCTTGGGAGTTCCCGACATGTGTTTATGTTGATGACAGAAGGGGGCATAGGCAAGCTAGCTCGCATGCCAAGATACGTCCCGCCGCTCGATCTCTTTGGGCATGCATCTTTTTAGTCTGACAAAGGCGAGCAAGCCATAGCGCTACCTTCTACGCTGCGGGTCTACACTATAGCGCAGCGACGCAGCGTAATGAATCGAAACTCGGTCGTGCCCTATGTCGGTCACTATTGGCCATTTCGGACTGGCGGGAAGGTCGCGGTGGAAGAACGGAAACTGAAGGGTTGGAGGTAAAGCCTTAGTTCTCTTACAGGCTGATTGCATATATGCTCTGCGATTGAACTGAGTAGAGTCGAGGGCGGCGTGACCTTCGGCATGCACCGTCTTGAACAACACCGTGTTATGTAGCAAATGTATGACGGAGCGCGCATACCGCGCGAGGGCTATCTCGTCATGAAGCTTGAAGTCGACCGCCACGGCTTAACAAGTCCTCTGAGGCCTAGTCTTATTTGTATGTAACACTTACCGCTCGTGGGTTTGAGAGGTTGATGGACGGTGCGGAAAGCCCGGGATGGAATTGATAGGGAACGCGTAGAGGCTCTTCAAGTTCCGAGGAGCTCCATCCAGTGGGTCACCGGACATGGCCGCTATCGTCTTGTACCATTCACTGAGGCGCAAAATGCATGAAGGCGAAAGGATATGTCTTTGAGAAGGAGGGCTAGACGAGCAGAGAGCTTGAGAACTTGAGAGCAGCATACGCCATAGTCAAGTCACCAAAGCGCGCAGTGCTGAGATTACGAGCGCCCACAGGCCACCCTCCGGCAGGCGATGACGTCAGATGAACACACACTGGCGGCAAGCGCGCGACGTCTACTTCTCTCTCTCTCTCATCGACAAGGCTGGTGCACGTCAAGTCCGCCCATGCCGCGGGCCACCCTCTAGCTTGTACTATCTCGTCTCTGTCTTGTCTGTGACGTCACCGGCGTCGTCGGCATCTCGATTTAGACTTACTTGCATCACTGAACTTGAGTCCGGTAGTGACGTCCTTCTGCTAGAGCAGGTGCGCGCACTGCCCTGACCTCTCTGCCGCACAAGTTTACATCATGACAGTTACCTCAATGCTCTCGGCCCTATATCCTACGGCCACTGTTTAACCTTTATCGTTCAAGCGATCTGGTGCATTGCGTCGCAACGAGGATAGTGATGTGACGTCTTCGGACACCGGCGCTTGGTCCATCTCGACCCTGCGCGCGATGCTCTGCGCTGTGATCTTCGCCATGGCGCACTTCGGTCCACGTCATAGATTTGCAATCTAGCATCGCTAACTTCCACTCTACGATGTAAGTACGCGCCCAAAGTGACCTTGCCTGACATATACTCCCCGCTGCAGGACGGAAGACTTGCCCCGCCGTCCCATACCCAGGACCACCGACTCCGCTATTTTCTACCCTTAACGGTGAGTTACTCTTAGGATCATATTCGTGCACATTCATGGCTCACGCAGCGTCGTCGCGCACAGCGATGAACACCTTGAACAGATTCTACACTCCGCGAGCCAAGCTCTCCGTTTTCGAACTCTTTCTTCTGAGTGCCCCCACCAAAGCGGTCGACGCGTTCTTCGCAAGGTGGACACCCGATCTCGTCGTGAGGCTCAGACAGCTAAGCTCCTCAATGCTGCTAGCCACCGAGGCATACTCATCGCGTCGTTGGAACGCCAGAACCTTCTTGTCGCACTGGTTTGAAGAGCCCTCTGAGTTCCTGATCACCTTGGAAGATTGTGACGGCGTCATCTCTGGGTCGGAGGCACAGCAATTCTTCGGACGATGCGAGTTCCGCGGCCACGATCTGGATATCTATGTGCCGCTGCATGGACTGTTGGATATGGGTCGATATCTGAAGCTGGCAGGTTTCGCTTATCAACCGACGACCAACAGACATCCCCTCTTTGACGTCGCTGCCCTGATGTTTTCGTCTCATGTCGGCCAGGTCCCCGCCTCTTTACGCCACGGGGGCCCTCACAAGCCCGCTGCGTTCGGCGCATTCAACTTCGTCCGTTTCCCCGGAGTTCTTGGTCCGCAGGGACGGCACATTCAAATCATTGCCGTGTCGGACGACCCTATCCACTTCATCATCAACAGTTTCCATTCTAGTGAGTTTCGTACGCTCATTTCGATCTCCCTATCTGACGTCCTTCAGCTGGCGTGATGAACTACCTCACAGCCAACCATGCCGTCTGCCTCTTCCCCAATACGACCTTCGTGGAACGTAAGACGCTTGTCTGCCAGGACACGACGCGAAACTCGCTTGTACATCGCTCGTGGATGAAGAAGTATAGAAAGCGCGGCTTCACTGTCATCACTGCTGGTGATGTGCTACCGCCTTCTCCGGAGTTGCATGAGTGGAGGCGTCGTGTAGGCGACAGTTTCACCTGGGTTATACCCTTTCAAGCTTCCAGTACGTCTCGCGCGATTTTGATTTATACGGTGCTCATCGCGTTACGAGTTAGGCTTGCCCATCATCGAGTCCGAGGACTCGGGCCCGGGTCCGATCTACAAGGTAGCCTTCGAGGTCTTGCCGTATACGTCCGGAGTGGCAGCTCCTGGAGCGGCCTTGCGAGTCGGGCCTCGTTTCGTGTATAGGTAAGCCTCCGCATTTGTAAAGTGATGGCACAGCTGCTGATCAACGACCTATCAGTTCCATGGCCATGATCGCAAACCCTGCTGTCGAATTTGGGGCCCACTACTTCTCTTCTGAGGTCGCCGCCGCATTCCTCGAATATTTCGCCGATGACGACGACCCGCCTACTGATACCGATGAGAGCGAAGAGGAGTTGGCCACGGACGACGAGGACGCCGCAGCCGCGAACCTCGCGGGCGAGGATTTCCAACCCGAGGGCAGCACCAGCGAGGACGAGGAGAACGAGGTTGCGGGAAATCATGGAAGCGAGGTCGCGGAGATGACCGACTCCGAGGACGGGGTCGTGGAGGCGGGCGACGCGGAGGCGGGCGACGCGGAGGATGGGATTGTGGAGGCGGACGACGCGGAGGATGGGGTCGTGGAGGCGGGCGACGCGGAGGCTGGACTTGCGGACGCGGGCGATGTCGAGGGTGAGGTCGTGGAGGCGGGCAACGGTGACGAGCATGAAGAAGAGCAGGAACAGGAGATCGAGGAGGGGGAGATCGTCGAGGAGATGGAGCTTGAGGAAGGTGAGATCGTCGAGTAGGCGGAGAGCGAGGCGTCTGGAACTTTGGTTCATCTGTAACACTTGCAATGGTATTGGGCTGCAATGGAGTCCGTATATGTTGACTGCACTCTTCGAGCGATGGGGCCTGTACCTTGAGAACATCGGGCCTCTGCAGACAAGTAGTACTTGGACAACCTTTTGCTCGCAAAGTGGCGTGCTCTTGACAGTGCCAGCGTGCCTTAGCGTTGGGTACTCGGCGAATCACGATCCTGCATCCGGGAGGTCCTGCCAGTGTTCGCGGATGAAGACCTGTATCAGGTCTTCAAAATCTCAGACGGTCGTCTCATAGATGTATGGCTGATGTAGGCTTGCGAAGGGGAGGGCAAGGTACTACTTGCGAGAGCCGGTAGTGTTGTACAGTCCAGTCTGGTCCAGTCTTTTGGTCATTTTACAAGGACCGAGGACCGAGACTGGGACAGGACCAAATTCGCCGCCTAGGACAGGACCAAGACCGCAGTCCCAGGTGGACCGCAAAAGACCATAGTCTAAGACCGGTTATAGTCGGTCCAGGACCGCAATCGGTCCTGGACCGGTCTAGTCCAGTCCTAGACCGACTATAAACGGTCCTTACACTGTATTTAGGCTCCTTAGGGCAGTAGACTAGGCTTGAAACTTGCCATGCAGAAGGTAGGAGAGAGAGAGAACAAGTGTTTGATGACAACAATTAGCTCGTCGATGAAGGCGTGTGGAAGGGCGTAGGTGGAAGTCCGAAGCGCCCATAACCTAGTAATTGACTCAGGCGCAAACATCGGACTAGCTGAGGTAGGTGCGCGCGTGCAGCGACTGCAAAGACAGACCAAGAGGGACGCGCAAGCGGCGAGCGCGCGCGCAATGCGCGTAACTGTATGACAGACAAAAATGGAAGGGCACCGCACGCTTGAAAGGTACACATGCAGCTACAGGACAAACGAAGGGGCCGCGCGGCCGAGCAGACGTAGAGTACCGAAACTAGTACACAACTACTACCTGAATCCTACTCTAGTCTGAATCTTCATCCTCATCGCCGCAAAGCATCTCATCGAGCTCATCATACTCGGCGTATTCATCCGAGTCGTACTCCTCCACTGCCTCACTGTTGATACGCGCCAAGTCTACGATATCCTGCGCCCAGAAATGGGCGAGACATTCGATCCATTCGAAGACATCCGACCCGAGGCGAGATCGCCGCGAAGTGGCGACCTCCTTGGCACTCGAGAACAGCCGTTCCGAGGCCACGGACGATGCCGGAATCGGAAGGATATCCAGCGCCATCCGAGCCAGCGTTGGAAAGCTGTCGACATGCTTCTGTAACGTGAGGCGTGTGTGTGAGCTTCGGCAGTCTGCAAGCGGTCGGACTATGGGACTATGTGTACATACCGACCACCACAGGACGGTGTCTGCGTCCTTGTCCACGTCCAGGCTCGGGTCCGCGAGGTAGCGGTCGAGCTCGCCCTTCCACCCACCGGACTGATCAGCCAGCAATCGCTGCTTACGCGCGCGCGCATAGCTGTCGTCGTCGGAGCTGCTGTCATCGCCTTCTTGTGCTGCACCGCTCGCTTCGTCCGGATCAGCAACGGGCGCGGGCGGGTTTGCACCATCTGGCTTCTGCCGGAGACGTTTAGGCCAGTATGAGCGCATCTGCGAACATGTTAGCCGTGCCGCAGCCTTGGTAGTGTCCGATACTCACAGCATCCTCGGCGGTCTTCCGAGCGTGGGCCTTCCAGTTCACGGCATCGGGATCGCCGGCGGCGATGTCTGCTGCCTGCTCCGCCTCGCCGCCCCACTCCTTGTCGATGTACTCGAGCTTGTAGTACGGGTGCAAGACTGAAAAGTGCGTGTCAGGGGGAACAGCAGCATGCGAAGTTGATAGGGCTTACGAAGGGAGAGGATATACACGCCCGTGTGATCAAGGCGTGTGTAGTACTTATTCAGCTTCTCAATCCCGCGCCGGATAGCCGGATGATACAAGGAGTACTTCGCCTTCTGGAGCTTCTTCTCCCAACGCGTGCAGAGCGTCTCCATTGCGGGGATGACACGGTGAAGGGTGGGGATGGTCTCCGATGAGAAGATCTGTTGATAACGGTTTGCATCCTGCGAAAAATCAGCCATATTGAGCTGCGCTACTCCCAGCCACTCCGAGCGGGACCACTCACCGAAAGGATGTCGACGCAGAGCGAAACACGGCGCCAATCAGCCTCCTCGAGACGAAAGGCTGACCAGGGGATCTTCTTGACGACCTTCCCGTCTTTGCGGATGATTGTAATCGGGCCGAACTTTGCCTCGGCGGTCGCGACAAACGAATCAATTGCCTGAAGGGAGATTCATCAGTAAATGACACCACGGGTGTACTAGGAGCCCGGGGACGTACGTCGCGAAGCTTGTACGCGCGCTCGCACATGCCATGCGCACTGCCCCATCGGGTGTTACCGTGCAGTGGGATGACCAGAGGCGTCTTGATACCGAAGTTCTTTTGATGAATTGCGAATGCCTCCTTCCGTTGAGGGGAGGCCTGGATCTATTCCCATATGTCAATATGCATTCCACCCTGTCACGGAATAAATGGTGCACGTACCTTGATAGCTAGCGTGCGGATGACTGCGATTACGTCAAGGCCGCCACATACGACTCGGTTTTCAGGCAGCGTGGGATCGTAGTCCCAAATCGCCTGCTTGTTCTCGATTACCGCGACCTTGGTGACCTCGCGCATAAAGTCCTCTATGCCGAGCTGAACTATGTGCGCAATACACCTGTAGAACGTTAGATACCCGGCCGCGGAGAGAGACGACTAGTACACACCCGAGCTTCCGCTCCTTCGCCTTCCAATCCGTACACCCGCGCTTCCGGAGTTGCCGCTCGACTTCGCGCGCAGTCGTATCATTGTTCGTCGTATTGTCGGCTGTAATGTGGCCGAGCTATGCGCAGATTAGTCAGGATCTGACCGGTAACACGGCTCGGAGAATAGATACCTTGTTGGGCAGCGTCTTTGAGGTGATCCCAACACGGTCCGTGAACTTGATGAAGTACCGGCCTAAGTTCTTGCCGGAGTGGTCGCCCGAGATCTTATGGAATGCGGCAACGCCAACGCGAAGCTTCCAGACGTCTCCCTTCACATCTATCCATTGCACCATCATTCCGAAGAATGCCAGACTAGCATGCTCTTCGCTCCAAAGGTCCCAGTTGGGGCAGACGTCTCCGGGGGATAATTCTATTTGGAAACCCCGGGTACACCTTGGAACCCCTCTGCTAGTTTGGAAACCCGGTTTCGTCGCGGCCTGCACCGGAGCACCTCCGGGTGATGCGTACCCCAAATGGGACGTGGTCCGCAGGTGTGTGCGCGCGCGGGCGCGGCTGTCTTGTTTCGTACACGAATACGGGCACGCACCACGTTCTGAACATCTCGATCACAGCCGTGCGTCACGAAGCTGGCTTCAACAATGGATACGCGCACATCCGACTCGTCGCGAACAGGTGAGTGCACTATAATTCCAAATATGTCTCTCGAAATAGGCGCGTCTTCAGATTTCTACTTCATTGATATAGTTCATGCTGCGCGCGAGGCTCGATGCGAGTCCGGCGCGCTGCGCGAACTGTTCAGGAATCGTCTCAATTATTTACAGAATTACCTCGTAGCGTCCAGATGTTCTGGAGTCCCCCGACGGCGCATCGCGCGTGCCCTCCGTAGGACGGCGGGCTCGCGCGTAGGGATCCGCGCGGCCGAGGGCGCCTGTTGCCCGGCCGCGTTTGACACCTTCGGACAGGGGTTTCTACGTGTAATCTTTTGGAACCCGGGTTATTGTGCGTACCCCGGGTTTCTAAATAGAATTATCCGTCTCCGGGAGCAGCGCGGATGGAGGTGAGGATGGACTGGACGTAGTCTACAAACTTGTTCTTGATATTCGTACGGACCGTTGAGCGCGTCGGCAGATCTTCGCGTGTCGTTTTCGGGCGCATCATGACCAGGCAATTGGTAAAAGTCGGCGTGCTTGCGAGGAGGAGGGCCTGAGAGCAAAATAAGCTTCTGTTCCCACGTGTGTACCCAGACCACGCACCTGATCACCCACGACAACGTGGGTTGTGACAGCGTCGAGGATGCCTACCCGTGAGAACGCCGTGGGGGTTTGAACCTTACGGGCTATGCCATCCAACGTCGTCTGCTTGCCCTCCTTTCTCTTCTCCCCCTTCTTCTTGTTCGCTGCCGCCTTCCTCGCTAGTATGACTGCCTTCGGTATGGCTGCCTCCTGCTCGTCGAACTTGCCTGCCTTACATCTCGCATGATATTCCTTGTAGTGCCAAGTCCCGATATGGCGCCGACAGGTCGTGTTCGAGCCGGTGTACCAGCCAGGTGTTTGACCACGCCGCGCTTTGGCGTTCGGGTTTCCTCTGAGGTCTCCGGTGAGTTCCTTCATGGACTGTTTATTGGAGAACACTGACGACTTACTTGCATAGCGTGCACCACCGGCCATTCACAACGACGATCTCCCCTTGGTCGTCTTTGACCTCGCGCTCAACCGTCGGTGTGAAGATTGTCAGGAGATCAGCAGTACGCTCGACCTTCATCAGGGTCTTGTCCGGTATGTCAAGCTCAGACACGTCCAACATCTGCTCGAGCTGATGATTAGCTCGCAGGATGCTCGACTAGGACTCATTCGCACCTCTTCATCTTCGTCCGCGTCCCCACCGCTGGCATTGGCGTTGCCATCTTGACCATGCCCCTCTACGATCTCCTCGTCCTCATCACCGGCCATGTCAGCGTCATCATCGTCCTCGTCGCCTCGTGCATCCGGCCCAGAACCCTCTTCGTCGCCCATCTCAACATCTCCATCACCTTCCTCCTCGTCTTCGTTGTCATCAGACAACACTACTACCACCTTCGCTTTCCCCCGCTGTCGACGTCGTGTACTCCCCTCCTTCGTAGGATTATTCTTGGCGGCTGGCGGCTGGAGCTTACTAGTCACCTTTTTGCCTTTTGCGGTAGTGCCCTTGCTCCGGCTCGATTGCCGCTGTGCTGAGCTTGATGCCATGTATAGTGTAGTGTCTCGATAGTGTTGGCCTTCCGAGCATGCGGTGATGTGAATTTTCATTGCCAGAGCATGGTGTGCGTGTGTCTACATGTCAGGTGACCGTGGTAAGGAACTATATAGCCCATGCCCCAGTACTCGGCCTTGCAACATCTACGGTGGCTACAAGGACAGGACAGGACCGGTCCTCGGCGGTCCCTGGCGGTCCTTCTCAACGGTCCTGGACCGGTTTAGACCAGTCCCATCCTGTCCTTTGGTTTCCTGCCTACTGAAAGACTGAGGACCGGGACTTAGACAGGACTGCATAGGACCTTGAATAGTCCGGTCCTAAGGTGTGTCAGTCCCGGTCCAACCATCGGTCCTTTACAGTCCCGGGACTGGACTGTTCAACACTACTCTGAGCCGGCGCGCACTTGAGTCCTGGGTAGCGTTGACAGTCGAATGTCGCGCATCCATATTGCGTGACTAAATGAGCCGTGGAGATCGTGCGCTGCGTGGCTGGATGGAGATGTCGCAGCAGTATGTGGAGTGATATCGACGTTTCTAGGCTCACGAAAGTAGGAACGAGCGCACACGCCCGCTTTGGCAAATAGGCTCAAACGGTGGGCTCAATATAGGAAAAACATGACGCTTGAACCGCAGATAGGTTGACAGAAATTGCTTATATAGAGATATTCCTATGCTACCGGTGTAGTGACGTCTCCGAGGCGTCAAGAATCAAGTGTGGCGAACACGACAGAGGTTTCGGTCATGAATGGGGAAATGGCCGAAGGGCACAGAGACACCGTCCTAGTGTGCATGTTGAGTGCGTTGGTTGAGCGCGAGGAAGGCGTAGTACTCACTGTTCCGAGAGAATCGCGCTCGGTGATGAAAACATGGTAGCGATCTGTTTCGAGTGTGCGGCGCAGGACGATGTTGATAACGCGGCCGTCAATTCTGTGAGCTGGAACAAGGTTGTTAGCGAGAAGATCACTACTCAAAGGCAACTACCAACCGTGATTGTAGCGGACGTGGCCGATGGAGTTGATTCTCATGCACATGATGTTACAGGGAATGCATCCTCGGAGGACGTCGCGGACTGCACGTGCTTGAGAGGACGATAGATGAGAGGGGAACGTCTCAAAGACGGGCATTGCTGGAGGAGACTTAGGTACCCTGGTGCCAGCGGTGATGGACGTACTTATGAGCATCCGTGCCCTCTGTAAGAGGCACGCAGGGCGAATGTCCGTGCAGAATCCGGAACAGAGGCATGACGCAAGGGTGTGACGGTAAAGATACTTCCCCTGGTGCAGCCTCACGCTAGATGATCCGGTTGAGGAGAGCGTCAGAGCGACTTCACTATGCAATCCTGGCAAGGGTAGGAGACTGACATGACGCATGCTCAAGTCGTTCGCGTAAACGAGCATTCAGCCTCAGCGCTCAGCGCTTATCGATGACGGTGAGAGTAAGCGCGCAAATGACATCATCGGGCTGCGCTTTCGCAGTGCGTTGTTGCCGCTCAGCGACATGCCAGCCTCTACGCAACGCCCCATCCGTGTCCAGCGATACACTGACGAAGGACGACGCGGACCAAGCTTCACGCCTGCCACTAGCACTACCTAGGGGATTTCTTCAAAAGGGCTTCCAAATTATGATGCCAATACACCACCTTCCTGCCCTCGTCCTGCGACGCGACTCGGAATTCATCGGACACCATGCCTGATACTTGGATCGACACGCCCAAGAAACTGGAGCACGCGCTGCACTACTGGAGGAACTTTTCACTCTCTGCCGACTATATCAAACTCCAGGATGCCATCGACTCGCTCCCGAACAGCAAGACTCGACTCGTAGAGGGTCGTCCAGTGTACGCTGGCCGCTGGGTGGTGAGTGAAGTGTCATGTCTACGCCGCCAGGCTTGCTTATTTGTTTGATAGCTCGCGTCTAAGGATGCTGGAGGCGCAGAAGAAGCCATCTTTCACACCGCTGGAGTCATCAAGTGGGGTTCCGACCCGGAGACCGGCAACTTTGTCCTTGAGGGGCAAAAGGCGTCCTCAAGTGTTCTCGAGTCTCGCATGCATGTGTTTCTCCGCATCTCTACATAGAGAGAGTTGTAACTAACATTTATGATAGACGGACCGTTCCCGGTAGCTTGTGCCAGTTTTCGTACGCCTTGGACACGCATTCCGATAAATCAATCTGGGCCGCGCAGAAGGTTCGCATGATTGTGTTTCATCAGTACCGTAACTGACCCGTTTCAGGCTTTCGAGGACTACGTCATAACTGTTGCGGGATTCAACAAAGGGTCGAAGGACCGCCGTACATGGCAGGATGGTACGGGTGCCGATAGGCCGAACTCGTACTACGTCTTCAGTTCGCAGGTTTTCGTCAAACGTGTCGGCGTTACGAAACACCGGGAGGCTAATATCGACTACGAGCTCCACCCTTGGATTGCGGCCGTCACCAAGGGACCAAAGACCGAGTACTTCGCCAATCCGGACCGGCCGAAGCTCCTTGAGCCGTACGGTGGCAAGTTGCGCAATATCAAGGACTCAGATTCGCCTCAGCTTAAGAAAGGGGATGTCGTTTGGATCAGCTTCTCAGTCAGCTTCTTGCTCGGTGGGGACACGTGGACTACGAACTTCACGCCTTTCGAGATCATCCGTGTGGGTGCCGTTTCCGCGGACCTCATCGGGGACGCCGCCGACCGCCCTGGGACTGCTCCTGTTGAAAGCGTAGCCGCTCGGCCGCGACTGCAGGTAGGAATGGACATCAATCTAAGTGAGTACCTCTCGAGCTTCGTCAACGTGAACACGCTGATCGAGAAGCACACAGGTGACGACTTTCCCATGTATAATGGAGCGGACCAGCACGCTGCTGGTTCTGGCAAAGCCAAAGCCGCTAGTCCCTTGCTGGATACCTCATCACCGCCCAACGAGGTCGTCTTCGGACCTGAGGACGCTCTCAGAGCTTCCCGGCGTTACCAGTGGGAAGCAGAGAGTGGTTCAAGTCGATCAGAGTCACCTACAATTCCATGGGAGAAGTCGCCACCACGTGATGTAAGTCAAAATCGAGGGCGCATGATGTGAATCTCATAATCGTTACCTACAGATTGGTGCAGCAGGACCGTCGACCAAGGCATCGCCCGCGCTCGTAGAAGCCGCTTCTTCACACGGAGCTCCGACGCTGGACCTCCCTCCAAGCAAGCCGGTTACGCCCGTCGTTCCGCGTGCAGTAGCCACTCTCGCCATTCCTACTGCGGATCGTGTTTCCCTCGCCAGCGCTTCGCACGTCGACGCCTCGCTCGGCGATACCGCGCGCGACGAGGATGGGACGTTCACTAGCACCACCACAGCCGTGCCCGCGCTTGCTCATGTTTCGGTCGCCGTGCCGAGTCCTGATGCAATGCCTGCCTTTGCCGCGGTGACCGCCGACAACGTTCCTTCTGCAAGCGTGTTCGCGGACCACGTATTCCCGTACGCTTCCCTCGATGATACGGCGCTCACCGATGCTACGTTCGCCGAAGCGGGCTTCCTAGTCTCTGCAGCTTCCACCATCGCACTGCCGGACATCACGAACGACTTGTCTTCGACTATCTCTCCTGCGACCATCGCCACCCTGCCTGCCAAAGGCACATCCTCCGCCGTCAAGCCGAGTACGACTACTTCATCTGGTGAGGTGCTCTCACTCGGCTCTCGCATTGTGATGTTGACTTATCAGCAGAGACTACTACGCCAGCCGACCCTACTGGCACTACATCTACTCGTCTTGTCATCAATCTCCCATGCGTCGTCCAAGCGGACTTGGAGAAGGAGAACGCTAGCCCGGCTGACCCTACTCCAAAGGGTGGGAAGGGTAAGAAGCGGGCGGTAGAGCGTGATGTGGGGGAGACTCAGAAGGAGCGGCGCACTTCCTCGAGGGTGACCCGGCAACGTTTGGCGTAGGATCTGACTATAGGTCTTATATGTGTATACCGTGGGCGATGTGGCAAATTCGATTAGCGGGCGGGATTCATAGCGATCATGCAACAATCAGGAATTTATTGTGACTCACGAAACACTGATATGATACGAGATTGACTCGTGCGGAGGAGAGTGGGCAACTTTGCACCGGCATCAGCGCCTGCGCCGTCCGCCATTGCCGCATCTTGATCTTCCAGCGCGCTCATCCTCTGCTGCGTGTGCGTTCTCTACAGCGTTTGGAGTCGGCTACATCCGTGTTCCCCCCGCTCGCACGCTTTGCCGCGCTCCCTGTAACTTTACCAATGGTCCCCGGCCCGGGTGTAATTGCGCTTTACTGTGTACCCGCCTGTGCGCACCCATGTCAATGCTCTCCACGCCTGATAAAACCTGCCTAAGTCCGAGTCTGCGCCCCCTCCAAGTCTGCGCCCGTGTTTGCCGCTTGGCATTTCCGACCTATGGGCTCGATGTCCGGTGTTGCAGATATCTAATAAACAGGAAGGTCCAGCCTGCCTTCCTCTCCTATAAGGATGTACGGGACCCCGCCGACGGCGCAACGGAGGTGAGGGTACCGGTGGTGCCGTTTGCAATGTCGCACACAGGATGCATGAAGTGCACATACTTAGTGCCCAGGACAGGCAACAAAGTAAGGTTACACGAATTGCATGTCACCTTGGAATCTGGTCTCAAATTCACAGGCACAGCTCAGCCTGGGGCATGTATCTGACATTAGAACCATAACGTGTCCGCTCTCCCCGCGTCCGCTCTCCCCGCGTCCGCCCTCCCCGCGTCCGCCCGCCCCGCGTCCGCCCTCCTCGCGTCCGCCCTCCTCGCGTCCG